ACTTGTCTAGTCTCTATGCTCACTTCACTCGTCTAGTCTCTATGCTCACTTCACTCGTCTAGTCTCTATGCTCACTTCACTTGTCTAGTCTCTATGCTCACTTCACTCGTCTAGTCTCTATGCTCACTTCACTCGTCTAGTCTCTATGCTCACTTCACTTGTCTAGTCTCTATGCTCACTTCACTCGTCTAGTCTCTATGCTCACTTCACTCGTCTAGTCTCTATGCTCACTTCACTTGTCTAGTCTCTATGCTCACTTCACTCGTCTAGTCTCTATGCTCACTTCACTCGTCTAGTCTCTATGCTCACTTCACTTGTCTAGTCTCTATGCTCCACTATCTCGCTTCGCTCGATAGTGTCGCTCTACTCGATAGTGTCGCTCTACTCGATAATCGCTCTGCTCGATTACATAATTTCTTTCATAAACACACTCACTCAATTAAGCAGGTTTTCCTAAATCTTACATAACAACCCCAAAAATCCTTACATAACAACTTACCAAGCCACCTATAAAGCCGCTCAAACTGTCTCCACTTTATTCACCTCTCACTGCATCGACTCCTTTTTAGCGGAATTTATAGTGTGTGATTGGAGTTAAATTTGTATGGTCATTTTAGAGTGGCCAAAAGCCCCAAAGGGATATGGACAGAGCCGATATATCGGAGACGCTGCAGATTCTAAACTTACTTAAAACAAGTCCATTTCCCTCGGTATTATTGCCAATAGTTTTTCACCCAACACTATCGAGCAAAGCGAGATTGTGGAGCCCACACTGACCTCTTATTTGCATAGACACGGGTTTGATTGCTCAACTAATAGAGGAGTATAATTCAATAGCTGCTGGGTCAATATGGGTGACAAGGAAATAGATAGCCTGCACTCAAACACCGCCGATAACACCGCCACATCTCAAACAAATACACAGCAGCTCCATACTACTATCGAGCAGAGCGAGATAGTGGAGCAACATCTGGCGCCTTTTCACCATGCCACTATTGAGCAACATCTGGCGCCTTTTCACCATGCCACTATTGAGCAGAGCGAGATAGTAGAGCAAGATCTGGCGCCTTTCCACCTTCAAAGTGATCACCTTGAAAGTGACCACGGTTCAACGATAGATAGTGAAACCTCACACCAACCACCAGACCCAATATTGGGACCACTAGCCGACTTGGAAAAAAGTATCACATCCTTTGAGTCTTTCCAACAACAAGAATTGGCCAAGTTGCAATCGGTAAAATCAACAAAGTCCATCTTATCCAAGGAAACACTACGAGTCAAAAGGTCTGAAAAAAGAGGTATACTACCTAGTATCGTGTTTATTCCAGAGTACAAGGATGCAAGAGAATACCTGGTGAAAATCAAGTATTGCATAGTTACAATCATCTCATTGGCTTCAATTACAGGACCAATGGGTACATCAATCATGTTGCCTGCAATCGACGATATTGTTGTCAAATTGAACACAACAACATCAATGGTTAATATCTCAGTTGGTATATACTTGTTATCCTTGGGTATTTTCCCTCTTTGGTGGTCATCTTTTAGTGAGCGCATTGGTCGGAGAACTATTTATGTCATTAGTTTTGTATTCTTTGTTGCATTCAGTATTGGCACTGCATTGTCTCCTAGCATCGGCGCATTGATAGTACTAAGAGTACTACAAGGTGGCTCCTCTGCTAGCGTCCAAGCCGTCGGAGCAGGAACTATAGCCGACTTGTTCGCACCTACAGAAAGAGGCGTAGCTATGGGGTGGTATTATTTGGGCCCTTTAATGGGTCCATTTTTGGCACCTGTTTTGGGTGGTGCTGTCTCTCAGGCATGGGGATGGAGAGCTACTCAATGGCTTTTGATGATTGTTGCCGCCTGCAATTTGATCTCAATTCTACTATTCTTACCAGAGACCTTGAGGTGTGTTGACAATATTGCCATGTTGAGGAAAATCATGCAGCAGCAACAGCAAGAACAACAAAATAAGGAAGAAGAAGGAGAGCAGTTGCTGCCGAAACAAGGAGATTGCACCGAAAAGGATCGTGATTATGAGGAAAAAGAAAACGAAAAGACTGATGGCAGTAGCAATTTCAGCAATCATGAAGATGGTGTATCCGGGGCTCATTCCCAACAACCGCAGGCAATTATCGATGAACGTGAATTGGAACGTGTAGCAACTAATCTCAGTCGTAGATCAGTTACTCAATCTATAAGATCATACATTGAAGATGATCTGGATGAAGGACCAATCGTTGATCCCGTGATGCCCACTTTATCTAGACTCACAACAAATAGATCTTTTTACTCTCGAAGAGTTCAACTGAATTATGTTTCAAATGAAATTCGTCGTTCAATGTCGATTAATCAGCTGGATTTACAACCAAAACCTGAATGTTCTAAATCTTCTAAATCTGTTCCAAATACACCACCACCATCATCATCATCATCATCACCATCATCATCTTTTAAAGGTAGAAAAGCAGAATTCAAACGGAATTGCTACGACTTATTTATTCGTCCGTTACACTCCCTTGTTTTATTGAAACACCCACCAGTCCTTCTTGTTATTATATATTCCGCCATTTCATTTGCAGTCATTTATTTCTTCAACATGACCATATCATATGAATATTCGCGTGAACCATATCATTTTAGTCAAGTTATTGTTGGGTTGATGTACATTCCTAATTCCATCACCTATCTCGCTGCATCAATGATTGGCGGGAGATGGAATGATCATTTATTAAACAAATATGCTAAAAAGCATGGTGAGTTAGTCCCGGAAGCCCGCATTTCATGGAACATAGTGCTAGCTGTTTTTTTGTATCCCATGGCTTGTTTAATCTTTGGTTGGACAATCAAGTATGGAGAATTTTGGCTTGTTCCGTTGATTGGTACAGCAATATGCGGATTTGCTTCTATGTTGGTAATTGGTGCAACGGTAACTTATCTTGTTGATACATTACCTGGTAAGGGAGCCACGGGTGTAGCATTAAATAATTTGATTCGACAGATTCTTGCTGCTATTGCTACGTTTATTGTGGAACCATTGTTGAGAGCAATTGGGCCGGGAATATTGTTTACTATTTTGATGGGGATTTTGACAGTTGCAAGCTTAATTTTGGTTTATTTAAAAAAGAAAGGTGCTTATTTTAGAGAGAATTATGATTTAATGAAATTGTACGAAAAGCTATGAATGAGACAGTATGGAGAGGCAAAGTGCATATATATAGGTACATATATCTATATATAAAGATATATAATATTGCATTTCCAATATAGTTATAATTGCATATTAACTAGGCCACGCCTATTTCCTATTCCAAATTCATAATGTTTTCAAAAATGTAGTCAACATTTAAACCAACCTTCTTCAATTCGTCCAATTGTTCAAGTAAAACTTTCAAAAAATCCCGATATAATTTCCGGTCCTTAACTTTATACACTGGCTCCTCCGTTTCGGGGTTATGGCCATCAATAATCAATAATGTTCCGTATAGATGCTTCTTTATTGTTTTATGTAACTTGACAAATTCTTCAATACACCAATCAATTAACCCCGAAGAGTCAATTTTCACAGCTGCTCCTGACTTTCTGAGTAATGGAGCTATTCTATCATTGTATGTTTCAATAGTTCGTCGAATGATAGCAACATTGATAACCAATAAATTGGATAGGTAGTTAACTACATCGATTTTTGTACTTCCTTGAAGACCAACTATTAACTTTGACACTGTAGTGGATAAATATAGGGATGTCGAGCCCAAGTATGCTTGTATACCTGATTCCAAATTTCCCAACTGGTCATATAATGTGAGGATTTGTGCAAGCTCACTAGCGGTGAGTTTGGAGATTTTGTTCAGCAAGTCAAACAAAAGACACCGAATGATTTCATCTTTTCTATTGGAGATCTTAATATTGGACACATCAAGCAACAATGATTCATCAGAGAAACTGTCACTACCGCTGATTGATTTGTGTTTATCTAATGCTTTTTCCAAATTCTTGAGCTTGGACTCTATTGTTGTGAGCAAGTTAACTGCCTGTCGAAATTCATTATGTGAAATCTCTATATCAACATCGTCTAATTTATCCTCCAAATTTTTGATATTATTGAAAAAATCAGATTTGCCATTAAACGAACTATTGTATTTCAAACTGGTACCGAAATCGTGGGACCGGTTTCTTGAATGAACTCGCGCACTAATGTCATGTAAAACAAACTCAGATGAACTACGTTTATCCCCCCCGTGTACCGAACCACCTCTATTTCCCACTCCGCTGCCACTTTGTCGCTTCCCTTGTTCATCAATGACTCCCGAAGTTTCGTGAGATCCCGAGTTTCGCATCGTTTCTCTCAATTGTCTCTTTTCTTCCTTTGTTTCAGAGACTGATACTGGTGCATTATTTTCCATAGTAATGGATCCGCGAATTACTCGTTGTTCGTGAATCATTTGGTTTTTGCCCTTGTTGAAAGCATCTGTGATTTTGACTAAATGATCGTACCGATCTGTCAGATATATATAGCTTAGTGATTTCGTTTTGATATGGATAAAATACAATGAATCATCGTTAGTGGTTGGTTTGATCTGGGTTAAGGATACCTGAGTTAATGGCCAACACTGAATAGCTTGCAATCTAGTAGATTTGTTGTTACTACTGGTACTACTATTGTCGTTATTGATGTCGTCGTTGTTGCTGCTGCGGTGATGGTGGTTGTCGTTACTGTTCCCATTCTGCTTCTTTGTTGCAATCAATAGCAAATCATTCAAAACAAACAAATGCCCGGCATTACTTGGCTTCCAAGTACCTGCATTAACCTCGTGCCATCTTCCACTCTCCGCCAAAACGTGTCTTCCTGGTAGTGGCTGGATAAATTTCGAAGCGCCATCCACATGTTTGAACAATGATTGTAACTCCTTTGCCCAGTGTTTTTCCAAAATAAGAACTGATGATCTATCTTTATTCCTAGTCAAGTTTTGGTTCCTGTGCTGGTGCTGATTCTGGTTTTGGTGCTGGTTTTGGTTTTGGTTTTGGTTTTGGTTTTGGTTCTGATGCTGTTCCTGCAGCTCATACTCCAAACTGAGTCTTCGTTGTGCTGTTTCCGTAAAAACATCCAATACTTCAAATAAATTCTTTGTTGTACTCCTCAAATTCAACAATTCCTCTTGTGTCTCCTTGAGATCCTTGGTCAATGCCAATATATTTTTTTGATTTTGGTTTATGTTGCTCTTAATATCTCGGGTAATAATTTGTTCTTGCTTGACCAAGGATTTGTAATAATCATCGACTTCAGCAGCAGAACCATGTTCCAATTCCTTGAAAATCTTTTGCTGAACCGTCAACGCTTTTGGAAGAGCCATCAAGTTGTCGATATTCGGCAATGGCGGTGCATTGGCAGATCCTTGAGAAAATGACCGGCCGTGTTGTTGGTGCGCTGCAGCATGAATACTAAACCTTCTATTTTGTCGTTGATTATTGCTGGAATCAAGATAGGCACCACCACCACCACCACCACCACCAGGGACTTGCAACAGATTATTCTTGGAACTAGCATACAAATTCGTCCCTATTAATGTCGTCTTGCTATTAGGATTATCTCTTGCACCAAAGGGAACAGCATTCGTCAACAAATTCTTGTTATTCGTTTCTACACGAGTCAAAACATCATTAGCATAGGGATTAACAGTACCCTCAAAGTTTTTCTGCCACGTAGCTTTGCTTTTCCTATTCCTAAGCTTATTCATATCAAACCTATCGGCCTAAATCACCACCACAATCTACCAATTCAAAGGAATATTGACCAATTCAAAAGGGTATTCCCCCCTTATAACAGCGGCTAGCGAGTGAAAAAAAATTGAATGAAAAAAAAAAAACAAACCAACCAACCAACCCAACTCGAGGTTAAGTTTTCAATTAAAAGAAGAAGCTTAGGAAGTAGTGAAGGAGACACGGGAAACAACAGGGGGCCAAGGTTGTAAGATTAGGTTGAAGTGTGAGTAAATTGGCGTTTGAATTATTTTGTGTGAATTAAAGGGGGGCCCTTTCTTTTATCAAATGTCACTTACAAGTAAGGAACTCAATTATCTTATATGGCGATATTTCCAAGAGTCGGGGTATGACTTGTCTGCTTATACTTTTGATCGACAGTCGCAGTGTCTGAAGTACGAAGATAACCTTAATGAACAGATACTCGAAAAGATACAGCCGGGGTGTCTTGTTGATTTGGTTCAAAAGGGAATACTATATACGATTGTGGAAACCGAAGCTTTAGATGCAAGTGAATACACCTTTTTAGGGTCATTGGTGAGAAATGATTTGGAAAATTTGCAAAAAAATAACACAGTAGCGGCAGCAGCGGCGGCAGCGGCAGCGGCAGCTGGTGCTGGTGCTGGCGCTGCTGGTGCACCTGCACCTGCATCTAGATTCAAGTTGAAGAATGAGGAGGTAAAGAATCCGGAAACGGAGGATTTCCTCAATAACGAAGAAACTCCTCAAAACGACGACACTTTCCAAACAATGGTGCTAAGTTCAAAGCTCAGTTTCGCTTCAAGTATAACATGTGCATGGCATCCCATGGCAGAATATCCACACATGGAAGTGTTTGCATACGGCAAGTCCGACGGAAAAGCTAATATAAGTGCTTTGAGAAATGGCGCTATTGTAGAGTCAGTTGAGTTGAGTCATCCAGATATTTTAAATTTCAAAAATAATATCAATATGGTCTCATGGTCACCACTGGGGAATACATTGATTACAACGGGGGCATTCAGCGAAATACGCGCTTGGTCTCCCATGGGTAAGCTAAAAAACATTGCTAATACTGTAATTGATGATTTTGGCAAGGAAACAGAAACAAAAAAGACTATAATCACCACCATCTTATGGAGTATGCAGGGGAAATTTGTTATTACTATAGCAAGCAATAATCAAGTGAATGTGTGGGACGGATTGACATTGTCCTTGGTACGGCAGATCAGGAAGGAGACAGAGGGTGAACCGTTGATACTGGCAGTGTGTTGGCTAGCAGAGGACAAATTTGCCATTTCTACAAATACCAATCTGATCAAAATTTACGATATTAGACCGCCTCAGTATGGAGGAGGTGGTGGAGGAGGAGGAGGAGTTAGCACTAGCACCAATACTCATGAAATCTTTTCAATCGGTAGCCTTGCCGGTCACGATAACCACATTTCATCGATGAAACTAAACAGTGAATCTAAACTTTTAGCAACGTGTTCCGACTTTGATTACGAAATTAAGGTGTGGAGTAGCTTGTCAAGTCTGACTTGCTTGGATTTAAACGTGAAAGCGGATAAAAAACAAGACGTGAAGTTGCACACATCGCCGATCATTGAGTTGGACTGGATTCCTCTTTCGGCAAAGAACATTCTTTTATCAATATCCATGGATTCAGTATTGAACATCTGGGATGCCGACACGGGAGAAAATATCAAGAGCTCAGAACTATTTAAATACAAGAAAAATTTCAGTCAAGACCAGCAAGAGCATATTGGGAAAAATATTCTTACACTCAATGCATCAATGTCGCCGAATGGGAAACTTGTTGCATTGGGCGATGACTATGGGAAAATATCCATATGGAACATTGATTTGGCAACGTACAAGTCACAAGATAAGCATTTTGTCAAGTGTGTTGCAATATACGTCCCGCTGGTACCTCAAGAAATAGACCAGCAAAAGTCGCATTTTGGATTATGTGATTTAAAGTGGGATCACGATTCTTGCAAGTTGATTGCTTCTTACCTTGGAGTGCAAAGTGTCTTGATTGATATCCCGACATCTTCGAGTCTAGATGAGGAACAGAAAGAAGGAAATATGTAATCATGTAACAATATGTATTATAAAACTATCCAAGAATATCAATATAACCTTTTTCTTGCTTCTCTTTCTTGCTTCTCATTCTCTTGCTCTGCTTTATAACCTTTTTCTTGCTTCTCATTTTCTTGCTCTACTACTTTTTATATGGTTTCAGTAGCAGTAGCAGAAATAGCTGATACGGTTTCTGTGGCAATTTTGACAGTTTTCCTCAATGCAGGATTGGTACTTGGAAAGAAAAGATCCATATAACAAGTACCTGCAGCAATCAATGCCAATAGAATTTGTAAAATAGCTGGTTGTTGAGGTTTATCATTTCCATCGGTCAAGGGCCTATTTATTGGCTCATTCAAATAAGATTGTACAGCCAAGAAAACTGCTGCCCATGCTAATACTTTATTTTTCATAAACATCGCGGCCATAGGCATCGATTGTGATAAAATGTTTCCCATATCTTTTCTTGTATTAGCTGGGACATGCTTGTATCTGGGGGGCTAACAGTTAGTAAAAAAAGAAAAAAAAAGACAAAGACAACTGCCGTTGCTAAAACAACGGTTCAATTGATCGCTTATAACCACATACGGAACCACCAAATCCTCTCTTGCCTTTGGTGCCATGATTTGTTCTGGAAGTATTGATCAAGAGATTTCGTTGTAGTTGGAATTGAAAAAAAAATCGTGCAATTTCGCACCAATTTATGGAGCTTCCTATTTGGGCAATGGGCGATGAGCCATCCACTAGTACCACTATCGAGCGAAGACTATCGAGCGAAGACTATCGAGCAGAGCGAGATAGTCTATATCTACTCTTTCCTCTCTATAGACTATGGAGGAGAGACTATCGACCATAGACTATCGAGCAGAGCGAGATAGTCTATATCTACTCTCTCCTCTCTATAGACTATGGAGGAGAGACTATCGAGCAGAGAGATAGTGGAGCACACTAGCTGCTACTGACACTATCGACACTATCGACACTTCTGGGGCCTATAAGCCCAGTATATCATTCTCTGGGGCCTATAAGCCCAGTATATCATTCTCTGGGGTGTATAGTATATCATTCTCTGAAGACCCATGCTTTACATTTTACAAGGGGCCCAGGGGCCCTCTCATTTTGACTAATAGATCACTTTGCTCGATGGTAATAAATCACTCTGGCGGTAGCTGAGTGCTGCTCCACCATCTCGCTTCGCTCGATGGTAATCGCTCGATGGTAATAAATCACTCTGGCGGTAGCTGAGTGCTGCTCCACCATCTCGCTTCGCTCGATGATAATCGCTCAATGGTAATCGCTCAATGGTAATAAATCACTCTGGCGGTAGTATTTTCCAACGATTATTATAATCATATCAAAGGTAAATTTAGCAATGGAGGAAGTTTGACCAGCCACATTTCCTTCTCCCTCTGTTTCTCCTAGCACCCTCTTAAGATGTATTGCCCTTTTCGCCAAATCTCTCATTATCGAGCACTCGTTGGCCTCTAGAATATTATCGATTCGTATAAAAATCTGCCATATCCATTGACTAAATGCCGAGTTTACTGAGACCGTTATTAATCGAGTTAAGCGTGATAGTATTGCAAAACATTCTCTTCTTTGCAATTTGAGAATAAGATAATCCGGGGGCAACTCTTGAAAAATGGAATTTGAGTTTAGTAGTAAACGAGCTGGGGTTTCATGTTTTTCAAAAGTATGATGAAGCATCTTTGACTTTAGAGAGAGGAACAGTTCCATCACCATTGTCAGCCAAACATCATCATCCATCGCCAAGTGTCTATTTTCTTCAACAATCATCTCCAGGTGATCATCATCGTGGTGATGATATAATACCAAATTGATTTTATCAGCTTCATCTTGAACACGTTTTAAATACGACTGAGCATCTAGGTCTGTATCATCACCAACAGCTATAGCCGTAGTAATCCTCAAGTCCTCTTTACCAGACCCCATTAAACCAAACTAAACCAGACTAGAGGCTCACTCAATCGCTTTTCGCTCTTTCGCTTCAAACACTCAATCGCTTTTCGCTCTTTCGCTTCAAACACTCAATCGCTTTTCGCTCTTTCGCTTCAAACACTCAATCGCTTTTCGCTCTTTCGCTTCAAACACTCAATCGCTTTTCGCTCTTTCGCTTCAAACACTCAATCGCTTTTCGCTCTTTCGCTTCAACTCGCTCCATTTTTTCTCTTCTTCTTACTACAAGGTTTCTTTTCTTCTGTTTGTCTTCTTTTCTTCTGTTTGTCTTCTTTTCTTCTGTTTGCTTTGGTTCTTACTTCAAGGGTGGATATGGTTTCACGATAAAGATGGGTCAGAGATTATCATTATTGGCGCCTTCTGCTCCAACGGTTGCGGTATCATCATATGTTGACGCTTTGGATAATTATCAGTTTGTTGAGCTTCTTAACAATTCCCGGTTTCTTAAAACGATCAAAGCTATTGATAAGACGAATGGTTACTTGGTGATTATAAAGATCCTTATAAAGCCTTCAACGCCAAACTATACGATTCAATTCCATGGAATTCTAGAGCTTCTTGTTAAACAATCCTCGATATTGTATCCATACAAAAGTACGCTAACGTGGCATAAACTAATTGAAACTGATCGTGCTGGCTATTTGATCCGACAGATGGGTAAAACCAATTTATACGATCGACTATCATTACGCCCCTTCCTAGAGCCAATAGAAAAGCTTTTCATTACTTTCCAATTGCTCAAAACAGTCAGCGAATTGCATGCATTGAATATACACCATGGCGACTTACGCTTGGAAAATATACTAGTAACATCTTCTAATTGGGTGCTTTTAACAGATTTCGCAAGCTTGACAAAACCTGTGTTTTTACCAGAGGATAACCCTAACCAGTTCTCCTTTTACTTTGATAGCTCTGGTCGGAGGGTGTGCTATATTGCACCAGAACGCTTCTACAACAGTCTGGATAACCCAAAAAATATCCTGAATTTCAATGACGATGGCGTGTTCAAACTACGACACGTTATCACTGACGAAATGGATTTGTTCAGTTTGGGATGTGTCCTTGCCGAGCTTTGGCTAGATGGAGAGCCTACATTCACCCTCTCCCAATTATTCAAGTTTATGAAAAATGACTATGTACCAGAATTGTCAAATATCCCCAACCCAAACATGATAAAACTTTTGCAAAAATTAATAAGAGTCAACCCGGGAGAGCGCACAGGTGCAAGAGAGCTACTTGAAGAGTTTAAAGGATTGTGTTTTCCGGAATTCTTCAACACCTTTTTATACGGTTTAATGGAGTCTTTTAATGATCAAAGCAAATTTACAAATAAAAATGTACCAGATGGAAAAACCACAAGCATTACTGATAACAAACTAAATTATTTATACAACAAGTACGATGAAATTAGCAAGAATTTGGGATTTGTGTACGCTCAACAACAACAACAACAACAACAAAAGGTTGTCACCACTGATCCATTGCCAATGAAACTCAACTTACCTGGAATGCCTCACGATTACAGAATTCAACCGAAACGATACGTTGATGAGGACGTTTACGAATCAGCACTCATCATTTTAGATTTGGTGACTTCTTTTTCCAAGTCGCTAAAGTTTGTTGAGTCTAAAGTTAAATGTTGTGAATTGATATTATCGTTATCAGAACATATGAATGACGAATCTAAATTAGACCGATCGCTTCCTTATTTATGTTCAATGTTGGATGAGTACATAGAGGCTACTTCTTATCACCAGGCATATGCACATCATCAAGTTTCACCAAAGGTGGTTTGCACTGCTGTTTATGCAATCACCAGTCTTGTTATGTCCTGCTCCTACATTACCCCTATTAATGTGCTTCTTTTCCCAGAATACTTACTACCCAAGATTTATGCACTTCTTAATCTCAAAACAGACCCTCATTCGCAACGGTTGGTTAATGGGTGTGTTGCTGCTTGCTTGCCCTACTTGGCTGTTGTTGCAAAGAAATTTTGGACAATGTCTAAAGCCTTCAAAGCAACATATTCAACGAATGCGGCTAGCTTGTTGCCTGATGAGGTGATAAAGTCGGTGACTATGATGAACTTGTCTAAAGACCAACTCGTTCAGAAATTCAAAGACTTGACTTTGTTACTCTTGACAGACTCAGAAGCATCTGTTAAGGTGAGTCTCCTCGAAAACATTTTACCACTTTGTCAATTCTTTGGCAAGGACAAAACAAACGATATAATTTTACCACATTTAATATCATATTTGAATGATCCAAACCCAACGCTACGATTGGCTTTCCTTTCAGCTGTGCTTCAAATGGGTCCATTTATTGGGGCATTATCTTTTGAGCAATACATTTTACCACTCTTAATCCAAACAGTTGGCGAAGGAGATCAACTTGTTATTTTGAAAGTGCTTGAAATCTTTAACTTTTTTGTTCTGGAAAAACTCATTAATGCCAGATTGGAATTCAATGCTCTTGAGATTTATACGGAGTTACTATCAAGCTCAATTTATTTATTGTTACACCCTAATGAGTGGATAAGACAATCCTTGATGAGTTTGATCATTTCAATAAGCAACAATCTTACCGATGCGGATCGCTATTGTTTTCTATACCCCTTGATTAAAGGATACTTGGTTTATGATGTATTCAAAATAGATTGGAACACTCTTTACCCGAGCCTCACAAGACCCATTAGTAAACAAGCATTTGATATGGCGAATACTTGGGCTCTCAATTTTACAAGCAAGTCCTTGTTTTGGCAACAAAAGAGTTTTTCCTTATTGCAACAACAACAACAGCATAAGCATCATCATCATCATCATCATCATCATCATCAACAACAACAACTGCAGCATCAATATCAATATAATTCGGATGGGCAATCCAAAAGAAGAGTGATTGCGTTTTCGAAAAATATGGGAAAGTCGGTTTATTTGCCTAAAATGAGTACAGTGATATCTTACAATAGTGGAAGAAGCAAGGAGAATGTGCCATTGAGTTCCGAGGACAAGCAGTGGCTTTTGAAATTGAAATCTATTGGTATTGGCGATAAATCTCTTTGGAAATTATTTGTTTTGAGAGACTACATATATCGTGTTAGTAGAATAACACCTACACAAACATCGCATTTTGAGCAGACTACAGTTACTCCAAGAAACGTTTTTTTAGATGTAATCTACAAAACGGAACCTGTTGTTTCAGCAAATGAGTCCCATCACAATGAAAAAAAGATCATTTGTAAATCGGGGGATGCTGTTTCCGTTAAAAGTATTGAGCACAGTCTAGAGCATTCATTGGTGTTACCAAACATGGAGAGAGTTACTGCTTCGGTTCAAACTGTTGAAGCCAATGTTTTTGGTGAAATGGAATTGAGTAATGGTATCAGCTCAAAACCGTCGTATCTTAGCGATCCCTCATTTAGCCATAAAACCTTCCACGTTAGCGAGTCGAGAATAATAACCTCGTATGTAAAGCATACCTATACCGGATCGAACCCATTCATTTTGAAGTACTTGCAAAATTTAAAACTAACCGCTACATTGGAAGATTTCCCAGTCTTTGGTAAAGTGGTAAAAGCGCGGACCTCATCCACCGTTGAAGAGGAGATGAAAGAACCGAATATATTCGATTTGAATGTACGCAGAACTAGCGAGGATATTGATGCTTTTACATGCTTGACTATGTCGCCAACTCTAGAGTTTTTTGTTACTGGTTCCGAGAATGGGGTCGTTAAGATTTGGGACAGCTTAAAGTTGGAAAACATTACAAGGGCCAAAAACTCTAATCAGTCGATTGAATTCAACTCGCGAATTACATCGTTGACATTTCTCAAAAATAGATGTTGTTTGATTGTCACTACTAGGGATGGAATGATTCGAATATTGCGCATTGATGTATTGGAAAATAAGAATAAAAAGATCCAAAAAATCTTGAAACCGGTGGTTATCAGACTGATATTGGCAGCAGATTCGTTCATTACTCATGTTCGTGTAACTGATAATTTGATGTGCTGTGCCGATTACCAACTGAAAATTAATGTATATGATATGACTACTATGGATAAGTTATATTCGTTGCAGAATCCATTATCATATGGACTTGTGACAAGTCTCATTGTTGGTGAAGCAGAGCATAGTTGGGCCATCATCGGCACAAATAGCGGATATTTAACGTTGTTGGATTTGAGATTCAAGATTCTTGTAAAATCGTGGAATATCGAAGTCACAAACAGCAATCAAGGAAATACTACGGTTGTTGATTGTATCCATAGTATCAAATTGTTGGATAATAAACCCCCACAGAGTAGTTTGAAGTTTGAAAAAACGGAGGGATCTTTATATTTCATAGTAAAAAGCCTGCCTGATAATATGGAATCAATTTGGGAACTTCCTTCTACAGAATGCAAAGAGGTGATGAGGGACAACCAATCTCTCTCTTATAAATGCAAATTATTAGAGGTGCGCAACGACGTACTGCAGTTTACAATTGAGGAATTGATTGACAATATCAATTTGGAAGTAAAGTGAAAAAGAAACAGCAAGAGGGTGCTCCTTCATCGTCGTTATCATCACCTAAACTAAACTGTGGTATATATATAAGAAGATCCAAGATACTTGTTTCATTTGGTAGCCCATTTTTTTCCCTCATCATCATCTTTCTACAAACGAAGCAGGCTTGACTGAAAAATTGATTGAAAAACTCAACTTATACAGATGGATACATGTTTATTATATGGTTAAACGAAACAGAGAAGATGAACATGAGACCGAGACGCATACCAATACTATTGCCTTGAATGAAGCATCTTCTTTTTCTTATGTGGAGTGTCTTTATTGTGGTTCGAAATATGTATCGTATTTGGACTGCGAATCTCATATCATGATGTCTCATCAAAATAGATGCCTTTCATGTAGTAAAGTGTTTCCCAACGAGCACATTTTAAACTTGCATATTGACGAGGTGCACAATGTATTCTTGCGTATCAAAAGAGAACTGGGCCAAGCCACACTCTGCTGTTTTTCAGAACTTTGTTCACAGCAGTTTAGTTCATTAGAACAGAGACGCTTGCATTTGATTGAAAAACACAATTATCCTAGCGACTATCCATTTAGTATTACAAGCACCGGTATATAGGAAAATAGAATTGATCAATCGCCGTTTTCAAGTGGTTGTTTTTCTAGTTTGCGTTTCTTTTTACTAGTAACTTGCGGATTTCTGTTTAATGATTGAATAAGCTTTTTGTCAAAGTCACTCGAACAAGCAGGACACTTTGCATTTTCGGGTATTTTGCTCATAATGCATAGACAAATAGAACATACATACCCCAAATCGACGGGTTTCTTGGTGATAAAACAGCTTGCCTTGTAGTTGACTTGAGAATTTGTTGGCAAGATGATATAGGGCCGAAGGTTGGGTTCGATGAAAAACGCCGTTGAAAGTAGTTGGATCATTCCACGGGGATCTTCAATATGGAGATAAACTCCGTTAGTAGCATCGCTTGCTTGCTGTAGATATGATGAATTTTTGTGCCCCAACTTGGCTATATCTATGGACACTTTTAGCTTTTGAGCAGTGAATATACAGTTCATTAGTGGTATATAATTTAGACTATCGTCAGAGTCGTTAGCGCTGACTATTAGTATTCTCGATTTCATCGATATCGCCGATGAGGATGTGCTCAACGAGACGCCACTTGCTGCTTTTGCCGATGAATTCATCGACGCTGTTGTGATGGCAGAGGCTGTAGTTGTAGTTATACTCTGATCCAACGTTAGCATTCTATTGGTATATGTAAGTGCCATGCTTATTGCCCCCGTAATAGTCGGTCCTTTTCCCTTTGTAACCTTGCTTGTTTCTTCAATAAATTTTGTTAATTCTTGTAAGACCACTTCATCAATTTTCTTGAATTGTCTATACATTCCAGGTGACATCCTGGACTCGCAAGTGGATTTCACGCTGGGATGAGGGTAAAGAAACTTTGAATCTGTAGAAGAACTCGCTATAAAGGCAACTTGGTTCGAGTTGTTCAATGATAAATGACCATTGAGAAACACTAATAGCGATTTTGCTATATCTTCAAGTGTGATTGAGTTTCTGATATTAAACCACCCTTGGCTTGAAACGTCAAGAATAATAGTAAGCAATGAAGGGTCATCATTAGTACTTGACTCTAGCGAAGTCTCTGTAAATATCCTCTCTGTTATCGCCTCCATCTCCCCAATTAGACCTTCAAGAGTAAGTAAAAGGGTATGGGTATTTGTTCACTTTTAACATTCTGGAAAATCGTTTTTCCACTGATGAGATGCCAAACCAACAAGCTGATCACAACAACTTGTGGTGACCAAAACACCTTTACTAGCTTTCAAGAGATCGATAGTCAATCATGATTATGATTATGATAATCCTGCAAGGAAAAGTACCCCAAGTAAAACCTTAAAATTTAGTTTACACAACAAGTATACAAAACACACTATTACACATACTAGCACAACTGGTTTACTGGCACACTAGCCCTCTTAAGCAACTAAAGCGGAAGCAGTAGCGGATTCGTATTTCCAGTTTGGTGGTAATACAGAGACGGACCTGTAGTATCTAGCTAATCTGTGAATTCTTGATTCGATTAAAATTAATCTGAATTTAGAGTCCTTATCCTTTCTGTTTCTTCCCAAGTGCTTTCTAACGGAAACAGCTTTTTTAATTAAAAAGTACAAGTCTTCTGGGATTTCTGGTGCCAATCCATTGGATTTCAAAATTCTCAAGATCTTGTTACCGGTAACGACTTTAGTTTGTGAAACACCGTGAGCATCTCTCAAAACAACACCAATTGATGATGGGGTCAAACCTTTTCTAGCGTACTTGATGATTTGTTCCACAACGTCATTGCTAGATAATTTGAACCAAGATGGTGAGTTCCTTGAGTAAGGAATAGCAGATGAAGAAATACCTTTTCCCTAAAAAAAAAAGAGGAGATACCTGTTAGTATACTCAATCAAGAGGCAATAAAAACCAGCCAATAAACCAACAAACACACCAACCAACAAACAAACCAATTCCCCATGTTTTTTCTTTGACTCGTGTTGGACTAAAGCCAAAAAATTCCAAAGGGGATTGGGGGGGGGAGGTGGTCTGGTGAGCAGTCTAGGTAGCGGGCTTGGTGAGCAGTTTGGTGAGAGAGTCCCATTACAGATGTAACCCAACGAAATGTTCGAGGCATCAAATACTCAAAGCGTATATAGTAACAGTTCTAGGTACATGTTTCGACCGGAGACGAACTGTTTACTTTGAGAAAGACCCTTGTAACATCGTGGTAATAAATCTTGTTCCTTCCCCCGCCTCCCCAAAAGGGATTGGGTTCAGAAATGGTTTCTTCAACACATGTTCTTTCCGATTATAATAGTCACATACAGATGAATGCATACGACCCATGATGAATAGTCCTTAATGTTATTTAGTTGACGACAAAGATGATAAAAAGAAACAAAGGTAATAAGTAGTGGTGATGAGATTGATAAAATCTTCTTGACTGAAAAAAGTGAAAAATTTTATTGTTCAAAAGTGCACGACATTTGAGATGATGAGAGCTACCATATACAAAAGAAAAAATGTACTCACGTGATCTATCATTTATATGCAGGGTGAGAGAAAGTTACCCGGACAGGACGATGGAAAGCTAGAGCTCCTCTCTCAAATGGGGGGCGTGCACCCCCCCCCTCCCGCGCGCGCCCCACTGATAACGGTATGAAAAGGGTAGAAATATCAACCAACAGTAAAGATATAACAACAAAGTTATCAATGGTAAGGATATAACTGTAAAGTTACAATTGATGATTCTTTTTTGATCTCAGCGACAGCTTTCATCAGCTTACATGACAAGTGACTCAAAGTCATCAAAATCTTCCTCTTCTTCAACTTTAATAAGTCTTTATAGGGATATAACAGTTAGTATTGAAAAGAAAACTTTTCCACTGTCGAGGGAAGCGAGATAGTGGAGAAAATGTCACTCGCTTCGCTAGATAGTGGAGAGACTGTCACTCGCTTCGCTAGATAGTGGAGAAAATGCCACTCGCTTCGCTAGATAGTAAAGCATAGACTGCCACTGACACTGCTGCTCAATAGTGATACTTACTTTGATACTCCGGCTTTGTCTCTAAACTGTTCAAGTGCTCCGGCATACAACATTCTATTTGCTTGACCAGTTGTTGGTGGGATCCAATACAACATAACTAAGGGAGTCTGTAATCTTCCATCTTTAGTTTTCATGGGAAAAGACATTACAATGTATCTAGGACTATTTTCAGGTAACTCTTCAATTAAGCTCTCTATAGAATCAATTGGCGATTCTGTTTCATCCCTTTTGATCTCATACGATTCCTTGTCAATGCTATCTTCTTGAGTCAGTAACAATCGCGACACAGTCCAACACTATCACTATCGAGCAGAGCGAGATAGTGTTGTGACAAGATACTATGCTCGATAGTGTTGTGACAAGCTACTATGCTCGATAGTGTTGTAGCAAGCTATTATGATTATGCTAAATAATCATAGCTACTCTTGTAAACAAAGGCCGCAACATACATATTACTGCTTGTACTTTATCGACTCTCGCGCTTTGGAACCTAAACTTTTTCAAGTTAGAGAGTGTATCTGATGAAAATGTATATAAATTGGACGACTTGTTGAAATAACGTTAGTAACTAAAAAGCATATGTGCGGTCATCTACCATTCTTATATACAACCACAGCCATCTACCATTCCTATCCACATTCGAGTAGAGCGAGATAAAGGCGCTAGTCAATGCTGCCACAGTCGAGCAGAGCAAGATAGAGCCCCTAGTCAGTGTAGCTAGTCGATGTAGCTAGTCAGTGATGCTAGTCAGTGATGCTAGTCAGTGATGCTAGTCAGTGATGCTAGTCAATGATGCTAGTCAGTGATGCTAGTCAGTGATGCTAGTCAGTGATGCTAGTCAGTGATGCTAGTCAATGATGCTAGTCAGTGATGCTAGTCAGTGATGCTAGTCAGTGATGCTAGTCAGTGATGCTAGTCAATGATGCTAGTCAGTGATGCTAGTCAGTGATGCTAGTCAGTGATGCTAGTCAGTGATGCTCCACTATCTCGCTTCGCTCGATAATGTTGTTAAACATACCATTCCTTCCTTCTATCCATCAAGAGTACCAACCTTATCCACCTCTTCATCTCTTACCATTTTTCAAATCTTTTTTCCATTGAGCGTGCGATTTGGAACAAAACATTCCATTTATCCAATTTGTCCCAAAATGGAAAAAAGATAAACATAGTTGATGGATAGAACTTTTTTCATAATATAAAAAGTAAAAGGTATAGTCTCACGATTTAAACAAACTGGTAAAAAGTCGAGTTTTCATTCTTGAAAAGTTCAAGAAAACTCTCATTTTTTGGTTGGAATAACAGAACACACGGGGTTGTTTTTTTTGGTTTTTCTTTTCTCTTCTTCCTTTGCCTACTCAATAATACAATGGGTAGAAACAAGGTCAATGTACCTCTCATTGAGTTTTTAAAAAGTATGTTTGCACCATAATTGGCATATCCTTCTTCTCAAAATACCCTCCCCCCCACCTTCCTGGAAGAGGAGCAATTACTAACGTGTGTTTTCCCCTTTTTTTTTTCCTTTTCTCATAGACAGGATTTATTTAGGTGCTTATGACTATACGCCGCCCGATACTAAGGACCTTGTTTATTTCACCGTTGAGGACGCGTTGCCGTATAATTCTTTCCACTTGGATTTCGGTCCTTTGAATATCAGCAATTTGTATCGGTTTGCTGTGGTGCTCCACAACATCTTAAACGAGGACGAAAACCAGGGCAAAGGTGTCGTTTTTTATAGCTCAACTTGTCCCAAACAGCGAGCTAATGCTGCATGTTTGTTATGTTGTTATATGATTTTGGTCCAATCATGGGCTCCGCATCAAGTATTGCAGCCTATTGCGCAGTGTAACCCTCCTTTTGCTAGTTTTAGAGATGCCGGGTACTCTAATGCCGATTACGAAATAACTATTCAGGATATTGTATACGGAATGTGGAGGGCCAAGGAAAGAGGAATGGTTAACTTGACAACTTTTAATCTTGAGGAGTATGAGCAATACGAAAGAGTTGACCAGGGTGACTTCAACGTCATCTCCAAAGATTTTATTGCATTTGCTTCGCCAATACAAACAAAACGAAGCTCAACATTGAATGAACCTTTCAAGAAGGTTTTAAACTATTTTATCGAAAATAACGTTCAGTTGGTTGTAAGGTTGAATTCGCATCTCTATGATGCCAAGGAGTTTACAAAAAGGAAAATCAAACACATAGATATGATCTTTGATGATGGAACGTGTCCAAGCTTGGAGTATGTGCAGAAATTTATTGGTGCAGCCGAGTGTATCATAAATAAAGGTGGTAAGATTGCCGTGCATTGTAAAGCAGGACTAGGTCGTACTGGGTGTTTAATTGGAGCTCACTTAATCTACACACATGGATTCACTGCTAACGAGTGCATTGCATACATGAGAATGATCAGACCCGGTATGGTTGTTGGCCCCCAGCAGCATTGGCTATACCTTCACCAAAATTACTTTAGAGATTGGAGACACACTATGGTCTTGGACAATAGGCCCGATGAGTTTATAGGAAACTTGTATCCGTTGTGTTCGTATGAGGATTACAAACAGCGTATGAGAGAAGCCAGGCGTTTAGCACAAAAAGAGAAGATGCTTGCACAATCACAACTGCAACTGCAACTGCAACCGCAATCGCAACCACTATCCCAGTGTAATTCTTCCTTTGTTGCAGACTCGTCTTTTTCCACAACTCCAATCAGGAGGCGCAAAATCAGCGGAGCTCTTGCATCTAAAATTCAAACAGCTGTACCGATGGAGTCTCCAGGCCAGCCAAGGAAATTCATCGAGGAGCCCGATGAAGATGAAGAAGAAGAGAGAGGAGAAAGAGAAAGAGAGAGAGAAAGAGAGAGAGAAAGAATAGAGGTAAAATTAGAAGAGGAGCATGAGGAAAACCCGAGTGTGGAAATGGCAAATAATTCCGATGATGAAAATATTATGCAAGGAATTGTAACTAGTTCACCTGGAAGATACGATAACATCACACCTCAGAGGAAAAGTTCCGATTGGCGAGTACTACGCTCGATTTCAGCAAATTCGGCCCAACAACAGGTGTTGACAAAAACTACTACAACAACCACAACAACGCGAACGACTAGCACGACCTTGTCGTCGTCGTCTCCAGGGCCATCGCCAACAAATATGAATACAGGACTAAGGATAACAAAAGCAAGGTCAACAAAACCTCGAATAACCCTGGGCACATATTCGCCACACCAAAATCATAGAGTTCAATCAGGAGGAGTTAGGAAATTAAGTGGCAAAAAGATATAAGCCTGTTCCCAATCTCCTATTGCTTCAGCATCCCTTGTTTCTGTCTGTCTGTATCTGTGTCTGTTTGTTTTTGTTTTTTTATAGATAAATTTAAATCAGCAGTGGAAGGAGCTTTTTAAATCAGCAGTGAGAGGAGCTTTTTAAATCAGCAGTGAGAGGAGCTTTTTATTTTTCACTCTATGAATGCCGCTTCAACAATTTCAAAGTCAACTCCAGGAGTGGTGCTAAATGCTAGAATGTCAAAATCTTTGAATGACACTTGTTTGAAATTATCTTTATTCAATTCGATCCATTGATTGTCAAAAGGAGCCGCTGGATTTTGCGGTACTGCCACGCGTAGTTCCTCTGGTATAACTAATTTATGGTTTATTATTTCCTCTGGTATAAGTGATTTATGGTTTATTATTTCCTCGTCTTGTTCCACTTGTTCCACTTGTTCAAATTCTGATTTGGGAACAGGTATATTCTCTTCATCTTCATCTACTCCTTCCTCCATCTGGTCTGTCGCATTTTCATCTGCTTCTGGTAACCCACCGGAATTGTTTATCGCAAGAGAAAGTTGTTCCCTTATCGCTTCTAATGTCACTGGTGAAGAAATCGTTAGCGTATAAGTTGATTTTCCCTTCTTCAATTTCAATATCGTTAGCAAAGCAGCCTGAGACTTTTTCGGTGGCTATATACTAATTAGTATACAATTATGACTTTTACAAACACCTCTTTCTTATTTCAGTTACGTACCATTAGAGAATGTGTCTTTGAAGCAAGAAAGTTGGCAATGAAAGTTTGAATAATCCTTGTGCCCAAGGTTGATTTTTATCTTTAGCTTTTTTAAAGCGCGATTGAAGAAGAGGTGAAATATTTTTCAAATTGAAAAGGTGCAAAAAGAAGATGAAAGATTGGAGTTTGTAGATGAACTTGGTTATAGCACAGCTCAAGTCGAGTCTGTGTCATAGAGACGGGGTATGTTATTTGTATAAGGAATTGTTGAGAAAATCTAACAGGATAAAGCGAGAAGGAAGCAAAGAGAGTCGGATCTTGGGTCTTGAACTAAAAGTAGGCTTGTATGAATGCTTTACAAAAAAATATGCCGGTACATATAATCTAGCACAAGCTATGTTCGAGGGCCTTCAACTTGCTGAGAATCTAGATGAGGCTATTATCAATTGTAATTGGCATCCTCTTGAATTGTGGGTTGCTAATTATCGAAAACAAATGTGGTTTTGGCAGAAACGAAGAAGTGAATATTTAAAGCACAAATCCGAAATAGAAGAAAGTCAAATGAAGCTATTGAGGGGCCAAGCACAAACGCTTGCACAATCTCGACGCAAAAAAGTTGGGGGGAAATCTCAAAATTCGACACTAGCTTGCAAAAGGAACGAGCAGGACTCGATCAAGCAAAAGTATCGAATAGCCAAGAATAATGGTCGCGAATTGCTCCATAGTTTTATCAATCAGTTGCAGGTTGACGGTAAGCTTGCTAATCCGCATTTATTGCCCTATACAGCAGAGACTCTAGCTGCTTCTGGTGACCAATACGAACCGCGGCATATAATCAAAGGACTGGGAGAGAAAATTATCAACGAGGCATATGACAAAGAGTACATTGAATCCATAATAATTCCCCACCTTGAATTTGAATTGAACGATATAAACTTGGATAAAATAGCATATGATATAAATGAAAAGGGTCCTTATCGAGTAGTGGCCAAGCAAACGGAAGCAGGAACCGTTTCCATACCATTTTTGATGTCACCGTTCAAGCACAAAGTAGGACGTGTTGAAGTTGCTCGAGCAATCAAACAACAAATCTTGTGGTTGCGAATTCAAAAGATTTGGAACGCTAAGGGAGAAGTTGAAGAGGAGAATATGGCTAAAGACGGCAGCTATCCTGTTAAAGGATGTCAAGGGTTTGGACTTGGTGAAAGTATGAGACCAAAATTGTATTACCAAGAACTAGGCGAAGGTGAAGAAATGTACGAGTTATTTTTGCAACTAGAAAAAGGGAAAACCATTACTGATGAGCAAAAAGAATTGGACTTGACTGCATTTGACTGGACCCTGGAGTTGATGCAAGTTACTAAATATATAGCTTCCAAATACCAACAAGCTGTTGCAATGCCAAAATTTGATTTAATGAAGAAACAACAACGACTACAAGAGGAATGCAATAAACTATATAAACGCGAAGCAGTAAAGTTTGATCATTTATTAGCGGAACTACAAAAGCATAATGTATTCAAACACAGCGAGATTGTTTGCCCCGAAATTGGTTCCACAACAAGACTAGATTTGTTGAAAACACCAGCTAAATATTTCCCCGCAGAAGATCGAGTTGGAAGAGGACAACGATTAGGTGACTTTTTAAAATCAAACAAATTGAAGTGTTACCAATTTGGTTATGAGAAAAGGAAAAACATCAAGCAAGTTTTAGCAGAGTTAAGTCGTCGTTCGTGAGTAAATGAAAAGGGAGAAAAAGAAGAAGAGGAAGAGGAAGAACAGGAAGAACAGGAAGAAGAGGAAGAAGAGGAAGAAGAGGAAGAAGAGGAAGAAGAGGAAGAAGAAACAAAAGCTCGTTAAATCGTTAATTCGTCAAGGAAAGGGAGGGGAAGTGGTAGTTGCCTATACAACGTAACCACCAAAGCTTTTATTGGTAGTGACGTACCCCTCAATATTTCTACTATGCGATAGACGTTTGCTATCCTCTTTCTCATCATCACCATCATCATCATCGTTGTCGTTGTCGGCTTCAAACAATTTGTCTTTGACACCATGTTCCAGAACCGCTTCTCTTTCCACAATATCAAAATCTTCAATCATTTTGATCAACTTTATAGTATCTTCATTCATTTCATGTTCACATACACTCAAGCCATTCATCATCGCAATCACTTCTGCCATTGACTTGCCTTCCTGTTTCAATTCCTTGTGCTTTGCAATAACTTCTTCCAACAAGGTTATTGAATTCTCGTAAAAGTTTTGATCTCCTGCATATGGCGGTACTACTGTGATATCTTTCCTGGCAAATAATGCTTCCTTTGAGAGTTGGTTTCTGTAGAAAACGCTGGCTTGATAATGCTCCTTACAACAATACTGGCTCAAATAGGTATTGGGCAATATTATCGATGGTTTTCTATTGTATATTTGATACTTTGTTGAGGCTCCAGAATCCGAAATGTGAGCAATTGTCGTACCGTTGCTATTCAAACTCAATCTTCGCACTAGCAGTTTCGGCTGATTGTTACACATGACATATCCGCACTCATGTTCAATATTTCTCTCTTCAATAACATCATCATAAGATTGTTGTGTAAAAAATCTCGAAAGAAATTTCAACAACCTAAAGTCCACATAATCGTCAACGAGCAACTCGGTCACCAAAAGTGTCACTTGCAAAGACTCTGCAGGAGTCAAAAGCTCCCGATTTGCAAATGGCTCTAATAATGGTAAAAATGTTTCCAACGTCAACAACTGCATCCTTTGTTGAAACCCTTTGCCCCAAAAACCAAAAAAATAAAAAAAAAAAAACAAAAATTAAACAAAATCAGCTAGATCCTCTCAATCTTTGCCCAGACCAGCTTCAAATATGCAGCTTAAATCTCTTATAACCAATTGGGGGAAGGGGGCAGGGAGGAGGGGGGGGGGGCCTCTTTTTGCTTTTCTTATTCGCAACCGCTTGCTCTTACCCCAAAAAACTAGCAATTTTTCAATCCAATGAATAATTTGCTAGCGTGCAATGTAAAAGGTTTGCTATAGTCTGTTGTTTGATAATATCCTCCTATTTAGTAGTTTTTTTTCCAAAAATCGTAGTATTTGAGTCATGAAACTTACACTTAATCAGGAAACAAGGAAGAAACTAGAAGAAGAAGAAGAGAAGAGGGAGGGTATCTAATCATTCAATGGTAAAGCATATCAAAACCTTCAACTTTTATACTTGGACAATATCCTTTGTATTACGTAATTTCTTACATGAGCCCTTTTTCAAACACAATGGTTAAAGAGACTAGCTGATATAGGGAACAAGGTGCTATAAAGAGTAGGTGATAGCATAGAGAGTAGGTGATACAGAGACTAGCTGATATAGGGAACAAGGTGCTATAAAGAGTAGGTGATAGCATAGAGAGTAGCTGATATAGGGAACAAGGTGCTACAAAGAGTAGCTGATACAGAGACTAGCTGATACAGAGACTAACTGATACAGAGACTAGTCAGAGCTAGTCAAAGCTAGTCAATGGGTACGAGAAAGAGAACAAACCGTAGTAGGAAACAATCTACTACGACTACTTCTGCTGCTGCTGCTACTCAAGCTAAAGTATCTCCTGGGTCGTCCAAGGCCAAGTCGAGAGTCAAGACAGACTCTGGAAATGCAGTACTGTCCTGTGATCTGCTGTCAAAAGGAGCAAGTTTTTTGTTGAAATTTTTTCCATTCAATGATAAGTCATCTTCAGCTGCTACGGCATGTGCACGGCGTCTGAGTCACAGCAAGGGTAAAAGGATTTCCTTCTACGACTTGCTTCTTTTGGAGTTGAATTTGTCACCGATTTCAGATGAAGATTACGAGGAGAAGGACGGTGCGTCGTCAAGTGTGCAAAGAGCTTTAGGCGATGATGAATCGTATCAAGAATTGATCAACATGTTGAGCATGCCATGGTATTTGGAAAAGTTTATGCTATTTGGCTTACTAGTGTGCTTCAACTCGTTTTTAACCCTATACACCTTGGTTCCTTTGAAGATTGTTGCCGTGTTGATACAAATAACTATCAAGTATTTCTTTCACAATTGCAAGACCCTGTCAATAATACGTAGACTCAAGTCCATTGAAAAAGACGTCATCTCGCTAACTTTGATTGCCATGTCCTTAGCAGTGCTATGCTCGGGCGTATTAGATATTTCAAAGCTATATCACGATGTGAGGGGCCAAGCAGAAATAAAATTATATGTCACATTCGGTGTCCTAGAAGTAGCAGAAAAATTGTGCTCTTCAATCGGACAAGATCTACTCAATATCTTGTATTGCACATCTCCTGTTGACCATTTTTGGAGGTTTCTAGCTTTTTACTTGATAAGCATTTTTTATTTATCATTTCATGCATATATCCTAATCTACCAATCAGTAGCACTAAATGTAGCTGCAAATTCATACTCAAATGCCTTGCTAACATTGCTTTTATCTAACCAATTTGCAGAGTTGAAGAGTTCTGTTTTCAAGAAATTGGATAGGGAAGGTTTATTTCAAATTACAATGGCTGATTTATCTGAGAGATTTCAATTGACTTTGATGTTGGGTATCATTGCAATAAGAAACTTGTTGCAATTGCATTCTGTTGACGGACTTGTTCCAAATAGCTGGCAATCCTGGAATATTTGGTTAGGTGCAATCTTGGCCCCAGGGATAATCGTTATTGGAAGTGAAGTTTTTGTCGACTGGTTGAAGCATTGTTTTATCTCGAAATTTAACAAGATTAAACCCAAGGTGTATCGAAACTTTTTGTATGTTTCTTGCTTGGATTTTTTACAAGAGTTTCAGTATAGCACAAATAGTGGTGGTAATAATGTTGATAAGGACCACAAGTTCACCGATTACATCATCACAACGAGAAGAATCGGTTTGCCGTTGTTAGCCTCTGCTGTTTGTTTTCTTAGAATGACGTTGGGCGACTTTAAACAATTATTTATTATTCGTGGACCTAATGGAGTTTATTGCATATTGGCAACAGTGGGTGTTGTGGTAGCTACTATTTTTACACTACTGTTGATTAGAATCTTACTCGTTCTAGGTGTATTAAAAATAGCTAATCAATCTGTAACCAAGCACAGAATACATCAGAAAGAGTTGAAAGCCAAATTAGATGCATCAACTACCAGTGATAAAAACAAAATGAAGCAAGGGAAACCTACCCCTTCCGCAAGTGACGCAGCAAGTTCAGCGGCAGTAGCTCAAGGTATGTTTTCTCCCATTGATATGTCGTTTTTACCAGGATCTCCCAACACGGAACCGTCTACAATAAATCCCAGCACTAGAATCCACTTGTATGATGCTGATGAGGATATCCCACCAACGCCAGAGGAGAAGAGAAATAAAGCGCTACGTGATGGTGTCTTGAACGAGACCAGGTGGAATATTGATGAAGGAGACGAAGGCCTATCAAAAGTGATGAGGTACAAAATGTCAAGTAAACGTATATGGTGAATGAAATTTTCTATTATTTCTTTATCTATATACAAGCATATTTTTTATTCTTTTTTTTTTAAGTTGGCATTACGTTTCCTTTTCTTGTCTTGCTTATTTATTTACAGGATTAGACTTTTTCAATTGTTGTTTCATGAGGTTGTTGATATAGCTTACGAGTTCAGGTCTAGGCTTTTTCAATCTTGCAACAAATGCCAAACATGCGGTTAATAGAGCCAATGCACCTGCTTGATGTGCAGCAGCCAATGGAATTGGAACGAGATAGATCAACGTAGTTATACCTAAAGCAAATTGTAATGTGACAACACCCATCATGGCCTTCATCATGTTATTGGCGGGTCTTGGGATAATTGATGCATTTCTGTTAGCATACATATGGCCTGCAAATACTGCCAAGAAAGTTGTAGTTGCGAATATACGATGAATCAATTGCACAGTTGTTGGATTTTCAAGGCAGTTTCTCCACCATAAATCTGATTTATCTTCCTTTCTTGCAAAAATGGGTGACATCAATTCGTTTGGATGAGGCATCCAATTGTCTCCCATATGTGGGAAGGTGTTATATATCAAGCCTGCGTCTAATCCAGCAACCATTCCTCCAGACATAGCAGTGATAAATGTCAATACCAAAAGACCAGTTGCTATTACCTTTGTTTTTTTCAAAGCGGGACTATTTAACTGAGCTAAAATGGTTTCTGCCATTTCACTTTTACCTGTTTTGACCAATTTAATAAATTTATTTTCATTGAAAATCTCAAAAGCAGTGTACAAAACTCCGAGGTACATCAAGAAAGCGGCACCCAAATGCGTAGTTAATCTGTATTGGGATACTGTTGGTTTTGACTTTCTTTCGGCTAGTTGCTCTTCGTCTAATCCGGATTTCACCATCCACCATCCAATAGCACCTTGAAGGCCGAGTAATCCTGTTAACCCAATGACTCTTTTAGTTAATCTAGCTGTAAATCTATTTCTAGCCCAAAATACCACTGCAGGCAAGATGAAAAACAAACCAATACCTCTTCCGACCAATCTGTGGCTCCATTCCATATAATAAATGAATTTGAAATCCTCCAACGTTAAATGGGAATTTAATTGTTTAAACTCAGGAGAATCCTTGTATTTAGCAAACTCTTGAGCCCAGTCTTGCTCATTCCTTGGTGGTAATGCACCGGTTACCGGTTTCCATTCAGTAATTGACAATCCGGACTCGGTTAACCTAGTGAGGCCCCCCAAAACAACAATACCAAAAATCAACGTTGATGTTCCTACAAGCCAGTAACCAACAGATTTCGAAGGAACGGTAAATGGTTTCCCTGTACCTGTACCTGTACCTGTACCTGTGCCTGGGCCCGTCCCCGTCTTGGCGCCTTTCAAGGGTGCTTTTTGAAGCATAGCTTGTTTGGCTTCTGCTGCTGCTGCTGTCGCCAAAACGGAATACAGCCTCTTTGACTTGAGATGGTTGAAAATGCCAAAGAAATTCTTTACAAGACTAGAAGATGGCCCATGTTTGGCAGATAACAAAGGTCTGCAGCCAGGATGCCTAGCTAAAGAACTCAATATAAAGCTATTTCTTGTGAAAAAGAATGCCGATCTCGAAAACATCCTCTTTTAAACTACTTACTCTTGCTACGGGACCCCCCACCTACTTGATGAACCAAAAAAGAGAGATTGGAAAACCTTTACTTAATGGAACATCTCTCTTATAATCAACTGATTACTAAAAAATCTTTTTTCATTGAATAGATGGAGAAACATCCAAACATACACACATATCATGTATTTGGTAGCGATAAAAATGTCTTAAGCGGCTTTTTTTGCAACTTTTTCTTTTTTTTTGCAATTTTGCAGCCGCCAACCCCCTAAGACGATGTAGTAGATGTTTTTGTTTTTGTTTGGGGGGGGGGGGGGGGGGGGGGGGCCTGTTAATTATTTGGTTGTAAAAAATATAGATGGAGGTATAAGAGGAAAGGTGATACAAGCAGGTTGTTCTGTTTTTAGTAGAGCAGAGTAGGTGAAGCAGAGTAGGGTAGATCCGAGTAAGTTTCAATTGAGATGAGTGGCAAATCTGGGCAAAATAACGGTAAATCGAAATTAGAGCATTATAGAAAGTATTTACAAGATAATGGGTTCCCACATGAGCATCTACTTTCGGATAATAAGGAACCTGGGTATATTGTAAAGCACCATGATCAGGCTTATTTGAAGTTGGGGTTACAGGATAATTATCGCTTCAACGACCATCAGCAGCCATATCACATGTATCTGCTTCCTTTTGCATCGAGCTCAATTAATTTCAACAATTCGGTTATTTCTCATGCTTTTTATTTGTTCATGACCATGATCCTGGCGGTAATAATCTTGGCAGCGTTGATGTTTGGTATTAGAGAGTATTTGGTGGTGCTCAATGGGAAAGCAAGGTCGGCGCATGGTGATGGTCAAAAATTGAGTGAATGGAATTTGGCAAATTTGAAAAGTGACGCAAAAGAGGACGAATTGCAGAGTCTTGATAAGGTGATTCAGGATGGTGAGAAATTGCAAATCGAGGATAGTGAAGACTCGGGGCTAACCAAGTTTAATGATGGCTTTGAAAATGTGGAAAAAGGGGGGGACGACGACGACGACCAAAACCAAAACCACAACCACAATCAGTGGACTACTCCACGCAAATACAATTTGCAAAGTAACATTGTAAGCCCCGTAAGCACCATTTCCGAAAAAAATACAGTGAGTAATACTACAGCTGGGTTCAGTGACAAGTCTATAACCAAATATAGGAAAAAATACTTGATGCTCTTGCCCAATATGGAGCAGCAGCAGAAACATTTGTATGGTTCAATAACTCAGCGATATTCAATTGAGGAAATGATGAAATTAAGGGTTCAAAAACCGGTTACTGATCTTTCTTTCAACACATCTTCAGTAAAGCAAAAAGTTAGAATGTCGCAAGTGTTGAGTTCTTCAATCAAAATACCGGCAACAAGGTTTAGAAACGCGTGGAACGCTTCCAAGATGGTTGTGGAGTTGAAGTTGACTTTATTGCAAGCAGAATGCAAAGTAGAAAAGATATTGGCAATTTTGCAATTGTGTTCTATTGCCAAGGCCTACTCGCTTTTAGATAATCCTACAATCTTTTTGCATGCTTTTAATGAGTGTATTGAGGAAATTGTTGACTCGGGTGCAGTTTTTGAGTTGATGTTTATCTGTACCGCGACTCTTAAAACGTTGTTGACCGAGTGTTTGCTCTCATACTGCTGGTCTCATGCAAAGTTTCATGATTACGAAGCGAAAAATTCCCAAATTAAGCAACAGTTTAAAAAATGGAACATTCATCTGCCTTTGGTGCAGACAAAAGCTACCGTTTTTAAGATTTTGTGTAATCTCCAATTGGGGATGTACACCGTTGGTCAGAGCCAGAATGATTGTGAGCTAAAGCTCGGGCTACTTGTGAGGACATTTATCAACCAGAGTCAGTGTAATGATTACATCAACTACCTTCCATTAATTGCAAAAGCAGTTGACGTTGCAGATAGGGACGAAATTGTATATTTTTTTTACCAAATCACCAAATTTTTGGTTTTAAAACATGGCAAATGTTGTATGGGAGAATATATTCAAGATGCAAATTTGGATTTAAAGACTCTTGTACAATATGGAATGCAAATATTCCACCTGGAGCGGGTGAGACGTAAAACGCAGGAAATTTATACTATATTACGTGAGAGCCACCCGATAGTTGAATCATGGAAACCAGAAACTATTATTGCGAATCAAGAGAAAAATGCAACAACAACAACAACAACTGTTTTGCCCTTATCTAGTGAATATGCAGAGAGATACTTTACACCAACTATCAAAGAAGAAAAAGGCACAAAGAAGAAGGATGTAGAGTTTGAAAATTATACACCAGACTCTTGGAAAATGGGTCTACTAACTTCGAGGGATGCCCGAACACCACCACCAGCACTAGCACCACCCAGATAAAAAAAATAAAAAAAAAATCAAAGCCGTGTGGGTTTGATTGATTTTTTAATTTAGCTATTGATAATCGCTTTTTTAGGAAACATTCATCGATTTAGTGTTTAAATGATAAAAATTCCAAAAAACCATGATAGCGTGACGGAAATAAGCTCGTGGTTGCCCATTTATGGTTGCCCATTTATGGTTGCCCATTTGTGTACATTATTTAGTGATTCAACAAAAAAAAAAAAAAAAAAGTGCTACCAGCTACCATGTGAAGTTTTTTTCTTTTTCAACTAACAAGCTCGGTTTAAATCAAAGCACAGGATGAATTTATACAGAGAACAAGAAAAAAAACAAATTATATAGGAGATAAAGCTAACTTGACATGATAGATGGAATTAAGATTATTTATTTTTTTTTTTGTCTACTATGAGAAAGGAAGAGATTTCTCACCAAATAGTAAAAGGGCGAAACCCATATTTAAATAATCTCCACCTAAATGATCTCCACCTATTGAAATAATCTCCACCTATTGAAATGATCTCCACCTATTGAAATGATCTCCACCTATTGAAATGATCTCCACCTATTTAAGAGCATAGATCTGAAAGTTGAATCCTTATTGTACTACATTATACCGACCGTTTTGCTGGGGGGGGGACAAAGAGAAACCTATTACCCTTGTGTTTTTCCACATTTGGTTAAACATGTGCAAAAAAGAAAACGAAAAACGTCATTGGGGTAGAAGAAATAAAATAAAGCATAATAAAGAACCTCTTATGGTGGAGAAAAGGATGAACCAAAAAAAAAAAAAAATAAAATAAAATAAAAAAAAGATTCATTAAATTTCCAAAAGCGAGAAAAGGCCCCAAAAGAAAAAAGGTTTGAATTGATGATTATAAATTAGTACCAAAACAGCCATTGTTTCCCCCTTTACCTCCATCTTGAAGCTTACTTGAAAAGGAAACCGAGGGTATTTTTTCATTTATTTTCATTTATCATTATTTTATTTTTTTTTTGTTTTCCCACAAATTTGGGGCATTTCATTTGAATTTTTGCTAAATCTTTAATATAAAGATTATTGTTCCAAATAACGTACCTTTAATATTTCATTTATTTCATTTATTCATTTTTTCGTCACCATTACAAAAGTTTTTTAAAGAGGTATTGATATTGATATTGAGACAAGAGAAGGCAAATATTCAAAGGTATGTCAGGACTCGAAATAGCAGCTGCAGTAGTGCTTGGAAGCCAGCTATTGGAGGCGAAATATTTAATCAAAGATGACGTTGCCTTGGCTACAAAAGTCGTTAGTAGCGCATTACCGTATATGTGGAAGTCGCTGAGAGGTAAGGCATCGTACTGGTACTATTTTGAAGACTCTGTCAAAAAGCACAAGAATTCAAAAGCTTTGGCATTTCCTAGACCAAAACAAAATCCACCACCATTGGAAATTGATGAAGCAGGATTTCAAATTTATGACAACCAGTTTGAAGTTGAAGCCTACACTTATCAAGAGTTGTACGATATGGTTTTAAGGCTTTCCTACATTTTGAAAAACGAGTATGGCGTTACATCGGCTCAAACTATTGGTGTTGATTGTATGAATAAGCCATTGTTTCTTGTTTTATGGTTAGCATTGTGGAATATTGGCGCTTTGCCAGCATTTTTGAACTTCAACACCAAGGATAAGCCTTTGGTTCACTGTCTCAAGATTGCCCACGTTTCCCAAGTATTTATCGATCCCGATTGCGATGGCCCCATTAGGGAAACTGAAGGTTTGATCAATGAGGAATTACCAAATGTCAAGTTGCATTACATCAACGAAGCTGCATTATTTAATAGATTGCAACTGAAATCGACTCCTAAATTTAGAGCTAAAGATGAAACTAGGAGGCCTCAAGACACTGACTCTTCGGCATGTGCTTTGATTTACACTTCAGGTACCACTGGATTACCAAAAGCCGGTATCATGTCTTGGAGAAAAGCGTTTATGGCTTCGGTATTTTTTGGTTTCATTATGAAGGTTAGCGATAAATCAAATGTTTTAACCGCAATGCCTTTGTATCATTCTACTGCTGCTATGTTGGGGGTCTGTCCTACTTTATTGGCTGGTGGTTGCGTTTCCGTTTCGCAAAAGTTTTCCGCTACTTCATTTTGGACTCAAGCTCGGTTAGTTGGTGCAACCCACATTCAATATGTTGGAGAAGTTTGTCGTTACTTGTTGAACTCAAAAGCACATCCAGATCAAAATAAACATGGTGTCAGGATTGCCTATGGTAATGGGTTACGTCGTGATATATGGTCGGATTTCAAAAGAAGATTCCACATTGAGGCTATTGGTGAATTTTACGCTGCAACCGAGTCGCCCATTGCTACCACTAATTTACAATATGGTGAGTACGGGAAAGGTGCTTGTCGTAAATATGGTTCATTGATCAGTTTGTTATTAGGAACCCAACAAGTTTTGGTCAAGATGGACCCGGAAGATGAAAATGAGGTTTGGAAAAATCCCAAAACAGGATTTTGTGAAAAGGCAGCTTACAATCAACCGGGTGAATTATTAATGAGAATTTTGAATCCTAAAGATATTCAGAAAACTTTCCAAGGTTACTATGGTAATAAGAAGGCAACCAGTAGTAAAATTATGACCGATGTGTTCAAGAAGGGCGATGCTTGGTTCAGAACTGGTGACTTGTTGAAAATGGACCAAGATAAGTTGTTATACTTTGTAGATCGATTAGGAGACACCTTCCGTTGGAAATCGGAAAACGTTTCAGCTACAGAAGTTGAAAATGAGTTAATGGGATCGAATGTAATTAAACAATCGGTCGTTGTTGGTGTACAAGTTCCAAATCATGAAGGTAGAGCTTGCTTTGCAGTTATTGAGCCAAAGGATGGTTTAGAAGCAAATGAAATTTTGAGCAAGGTACATACTTTTGTGAATCATTCCTTACCAACTTACGCACAACCGGCATTTATCAAGATTGCTACCATTGAAGCTTCGCATAATCATAAAGTTCCAAAGAATCAATTCAAAAATCAAAAATTGCCAAAAGGTGAGGCTGGAGACGAGCTCATTTATTGGTTGGATGGCGATAAGTATAAAGAGTTGACAGAAGAAGATTGGAACAACATTTGCGCTGGAAAAGCTAAATTATAGAATGGACTCCCCTTCTTTTTCCCCTTCCCTTCCTTCCCACAATATATATTCATGTTTTTGTTAATCAATCAACTATTTCTCTATTGGAGATTGTGCGTAGTAGACAGAGAGACAGAAACACAAGTCTTTTTATTTTGTTAAAACACATTAAAACTTTTCTCTTGAACGTCACATTCGTCATATTTATTTCTACTTTTCCCCTTGTTTTTGATTTAAAGAAACTATATAACAACCCCTTGGGATTTAGTTTTTGTCCGAAAGGGCAACAACACCTGGTAATTCTTTACCTTCCAACAATTCCAAAGAAGCACCACCACCGGTAGAAACGTGTGATAATTTGTCAACAACGCCGTATTTCTTAGCAACAGTTGCAGTATCACCACCACCGATAATGACAATGTTACCTGCTTCTGCTGATTTTACACAAGCATCTAACAAGTTCTTGGTACCACCAGCAAAGTTATCAAATTCAAAAACACCTGGTGGGCCGTTCCAAACAATAGTCTTTGCTTTTGCAACGGCTTGGTTGAACAATTCTTTGGATTTTGGACCGCAGTCAAGACCCATCCAGTTATCTGGAATACCTTCTTTGTCATCGGCTTTACCAACAGTGGCATCCTTGTCGAATTTATCAGCAGTAACAAAATCAACGGGCAAGATAATTTCAACATTGTTTTTCTTAGCTTTAGCGATTAAATCGTTAACATTTTTAGCGCCATCTTCATCGAAAAGTGAGTCACCAATTGGCATATTGTCCAATACCTTTTTGAAGGTGAAGGCCATACCACCACCAATGATCAACAAGTCAACTTTATCTAACAAATTGTCAATCAACTTGATCTTATCGGAAACTTTAGCACCACCCAAGATAGCCAAGAATGGTCTTTTTGGGTTTTCTAAAGCTTTAGCGAAATATTCCAATTCCTTTGACATCAAGAAACCAGCAGCTTTTTGTGGCACATTAAGACCAACCATTGAAGAGTGAGCTCTGTGGGCGGTACCAAAAGCGTCATTAACGTAAACATCAGCCAATGCAGTCAATTGGTCTCTAAACTTCTTGACAGCTTCTGGGTCAGCCTTCACCTTTTTACCATCCTTGTCCTTGTGGGAACCTTCTTCTTCTGGATGGAAACGCAAGTTCTCTAATAAAAACACTTCACCGTTGCTTGCGGCATTAACGGCTTTTTCAACTTCTGGGCCTACACAATCGTTTAAAAAGGTAACCTTCTTACCCAATAATGATTCCAATTCAGTAGCAACAGGTTGAAGAGAATACTTTTCGTTTCTCTGGCCATTTGGTCTACCCAAATGAGATGCCAAGATAATGGCTTTTGGTTTGTGCTCTTCAACGTATTTGATGGTTGGTAATGCAGCAACAATTCTTTGATTGTTGGTGATAGTTTTACCGTCTAATGGAACATTGAAATCAACTCTGATGAAAACTCTCTTACCAGCAACGTCCAAGTCCTTCACGGACAATTTATTGGATAACGACATCTTAATATTACTAATTAAATCTTTATTTTTTTGCAATTGAAGTGGAAACAAGCAACCTTACAAAGTCAGGGGGGGAAGGGGAAGGGGAAGGGGAGGAAAGAGCAGATTGATTCCCTTTTATAATCTCGTGAGAAGAGTGAGAGAAAAATAGTGCACTAAAAGACAAAAAACCAACCCATTTTAAGGAGAGTGAGGATTAAAGGCTACAAAAAGAAGATGTATACTGATCAACAGAAGGCCGAATACCAAACGAAAAATTTAAACCCAGCAAAGAACAATAAAAAAATAAAAATATTAACAACACCAATAAAGCGTAAAGAAAGATCAGATTAAGTAGGGTAACTTTAAAATGACATTTTCAAAGAAAAGGAAACACCCGTGGTTATCCGTGACACACCTTATTTCACCAAAATTTATTTTGCTACTTTTTGAAAAATGGATAGTCTTGCTGGTGCGTGGCATTGGAATATTTCCCCGGGTTTCAGAATTCCGCCATGGTGGAAACATCTTTCAACTAGTTTTTTTTCTAGAACCACTAATCAAAAAAAGCACCAGTTTCCCTTTTTTCGAGTTTACCAAAACCGAGAAAATCGGTTTTGGTCTGGTCTGGTGTACATTTTGTAATTCTTTCTTTCTCAACCCACTATTGTATTGGCGTAGTCAGTACTGCTTTACTATCTACTATCTCGCTTTGCTCAACATGATAAAAGTAAAAGTTGCAAAAAAAAAAAAAAAAAAATAAAAATAAACTCCATTGTGCAGGACATTGCAGCACACGTGATATAGAGTCACGTGTGCTGCTGATGTAGTATCTGTCACGTGTACTCTAATGTAGTATCTGTCACGTGTGCCGTTCACGTGATAAAGAAGCTGAAAAATATGAGGGGGTCTCATCGCGGGCCCATCGCACAGGCCTCATCTCGCCCCCCCCCCCCTATTGGAAGCAAATAGAACTTCAAGAAGGTTCTGGAATAGAAATAGGACAATTATACCAAGGGAGGAAAGCAAATCGAGAGAAAAAGAGAAAAGCGATAAATAGAGGAGTCAAGATTAATAGATAAAAGGAGAGAGACGAAACTTTTGGATATGGAGAAACTATTACATTGGTCAATTGCACAACAAGCCGGAGACAAGGATGCTCTCAATAAAATTGGAGAACCTGATCAAAAGGCATTGGGCCAGTTGTTTGGCGGGCCAGACGAGTCTACCTTGATGAAAGAAAGTATACTCGTTGCAACTAACCCCCAAGTTGAGTTAAAAAATAGGGAAATTGCAATGGAAAATTTTGAGATGTTGGTGGAAAATTTGGATAATGCTAATAATATTGGTAATTTGGGTTTATGGAACAAGATAATTGAGTTGTTGCAGGAGAGTGAACCAAGTGAATTGAAAGTACTCAACTGTGGGATAATCGGCACTGCTCTACAGAATAATCCGAAATCACAAGAAGATTTCTCAAAGACTAACGGGTTGGAGAAATTGATCAAAATTGCTGACGATGCAAAGGACAAACCATTACAATTGAAAGCCCTTTTTGCAATTTCGTCTGCTATCAGAGACTATAAACCAGCATATGAAAAATTCAACAATTCGAATGGTTGGAACTTGTTGAATTTCGATACTAAAGATCCCAAATTCCAGTTGAGAGTGTTATCAGTTGTTTCCTCCATTTTGAGCAATGGCTTGTCTGCTGACATTGAAAAACATATCAGAGATTCTAAATTAATTCATTTTCTTGCCTCCGTATTAAACTTGGACTCGAATACTAGTTTAGTTGATAAGGCTTTAAACATTGTATCCACCTTGAATCGTTTAGAGTATAATTTTTCCTTAGAGGAAAAGTATGAAATAAACAGAGGAATTCAAGTTGTTGAAGGTTTGAGTGACAAATTAAATATCGACGATCTTAACGGTGCTAAAGAGGCTATCGATAATCAGTAAAAACAATTTGTCAAAAAATGTGCCAAATAGGAGAGGGGGGGAAAAGTCAGGTTATAACCTTATTGGGATCATCGGATGTGAAGAAGTTCAACATTGCGCTGTCAACTGTAGGCGGTACCATGTTTCTACCTAGCACATCTTTTCCTAAAGTGCCGTTTGTTCTGAACTTGCAATAAAGCAGATACATTGACTTGTGGGTATCGTGTAAAAGTTCTGCTTTGGACAGAGTCATTCTTGTAAAATGTTGGATTGATTGTAAAAAAGTATTCTTTGTGTCGCTTCCAGACCGAACATTACCAAGATTTGCAAGGTGTTCATTTCTTTCATACTTATCATAGAGGGACAAACTTATTGTATATGTAAAGGAATTGAGCCAGTTGATCGATTCTTGTCTGGATCGTACCGTAAATATATTGACTTTGAGATCTAGCTGCGCGTGATTTATCATTTTCTCAATCTCTTGAGGCTCGGGATATTGAGCAATCTGCTGCTGCTCGTTGTCCGCAGATTTCTTTTTCTGATTCTTCTTCTTCTTCTTTTGTTCATCTACATTCGGACCATACAATACCTGTGATCTGAATTGTCTTTGCCTGTGAGCTTTGATTTTATTTATTAGCTGGTCATACCCCTCCACCATAACTATAATGTGATGTTTATCCGTAGTTCGCTCTTTCAAGTGCTGCAATGATGCTGTTATCTCATTCTTTAAAGTGTTCAGTAAAAGAAAGGTTATCAAGTCATGAGCCAGGTAATAGAGAACAAATGTCCTTTGCAATACTTTTCTAGGCGGACACGGTATAAAATAATCCTTCTCCTTAATATACTCTGCCTTAACGTTTCGCTTCCAGAAGATTATGGGTAGGTCAATAGAAATTTCATTAATCGGCAGTTTGAGGTCCTCTTGATATTCCTGAAATAAACCGAAAAGTTTGGAACCAGCCCATATTTCCATTTCAGCATACAATTCCTCTTTTTTCCTATTAACCTTATTTGCCTCTTGCAATTCTTTTATTGAGTAACGAAAATTGTCAATTTGTGGCAAGTCAGCCAAAGATGTAACTGTTTTGGATCTCTTAACTTTTTTGTTCTTTGGAGCAGAATCTGCGTGCTGGACATCACGGACTCGTTTTATTGGGTTTTCCACACCTTTTAGCGGACCAGAAACATTCACCGATTGCGGTCTGCATGTATCAAGAGTAGCTGCAATTTTCGAGCTTACTGTTTGCGAGGTTTTAGAATTAGTTTGCTCCTGCTGTAGTTCAAATGGTTGACGTTCAAAGTGACTAATTAAACGAGAAGTAGAAAATGAATGAGACTTTTCCTTCAAGTTGGAAAAATTGGATAGCAATTGACTGGTCTTTTTAGTTTGTATAGTCTCAAAGCTTCTTTTCTTGGCCATATCGATATTCTCGTCAAGTTTGCGAGTCTCAAAAATTTCTGAATCATTCTCCTCGTCGGAGCTCAACCATTGAACAAATGATGGCATAGTTGGGAGTGGTTTCGAGTTTTTGGGTTTCGAGCTGCTTGCAATTGCAGCATTGGTATCTAATATATTCAGGAAAGAAAAGGAAGAGTCAACTATTGAGTCAGATTGATAGTTTTTGGAAATCAAATTGGATTTTGATGCTTCCAATAAAGATGCAATGGCATTTGTCTTTGTTGTACTTGGTGATGGTGATGGTGATGGTGATGGTGATGATGGATCAATTGCAATAGGCTTTTGGTGCGTCAAAGACAGTATCAGGTTCGAATCTGTTATCACGGGAGATGATATTGGAAGTACCTTTTCCCTTGGCTTCTGTGATGTCTTTTCAAGTGACTCTTTTCCCTTTTCATCACTATCATCATCGCTGTCTATGATTATAATTGGGCTCTCGATAGACACCTTGAGTGGCTGTTCTCCTTCTTTTTCTTTTCGTTCATTATCATTACCATCATCATCACTCGAGTCAAAAATTTCAATGTATGTCTTTATTGGTGTTGTTAGTTCTTTTCTTTGATAAGCTTTCTCTGACTTGTACAACCGGCTGGACACAATTTGCATATTTGATGGATGATGATTGTCTAACTGAGTTGCGTCCAATGAACAATTGATGGACGTCAAGTTCTGCAGTTCTTGTTTAAGGTTGTCGTCTTTGTTTACTTCCTCCACTTCATTTAATAAATATTCCTCTTTCCCTAGAATCAGTTTCTCTAAACACTCATCTTCTTTATTCTTTTTGCCAAAAGATCTTGGTTCTGAGCCAGGGTCTAAATCTGAAACATTTTTGGATGTCGCGTTTAGCAGGGAATTTTTGTTAGCATTGATACCATTTTGTACGCTCATCGCAGTACAGGTGGTATTAGTAAGCTTTTTCTGTGGAGCATCAATTGTATTGCTTGTAAATTGAAAAGATACTTCCTGGTGAGGTAGATGCACTTGTTGTCTCTGAGCTTTCAATGGGTGAGTAGAGTGGTTATCACTGATTGGGGGTTTCAATGGGGATGGAGAAGATGTGCCGGTTGCGGCATGATATGCCAGGTTACTTGGTGATGCAACATGTTGGGTCGGTAGAGTGTTGGTAGTATAAACTTTATTTGTTTCAATTACCTGAGTTGTAGAATTTGACTCAAACTTGTAAGGTAGAGCATTATTTTTGTTTTCATGAGTTGTGAGGATTTGAGGCAAGATTGATGTATTGCTGATGATTGTTGTTGAGTTGGCATCCTGATATTCTTGACCCGGGTTTATTACTACTATTTGCAGCGAATCCAGTAATTCCTCATTGATTAGATGTCGATGATAAGCGGTGGTGTTGGCGGAGGTGGCAGTAGAATAACCGCTTTGCAAGTAAGAAGAGTGGACAAATAAAGCTTGAGTATTTGTGGAAGGAGTGGACTGATGTTGTACATTTATATTGGATTCGATAGAAAGTTGAATAATCTCACTAGCTGTTTCAAACGGAGCGGTGGTGGTGGTGGTGGTGGCATCAGCAGCTTGTATACTCGACGACGATGCACTGGTATACACTGAACACCTTTGAGGCGTTGATCTTGCTGGTGGAAACACGTTATCTATGCTAGTAGTCTCTGTAACTTGAACCTGAGGTTGACCACTCAGTGATGACGATGACAAAGCAGGTAAAATATCTTCTTTTTGGTGGGAGGAGCAATTATTAGAGTCAGATTGCAAGGTGTGATTAGGATCTGCTGCTACAATTTGCTGGTGACGGCTTTTTCTCGAGCCGTTTAGATTTAAAGGAGGAGGAGGAGGAGGCGGACTAGATGGAGGTTGATTGATCAATATTCGTTTATGCTTAGTAAAGATGAGGGAGTTTGGTGATTGCGACATACCAGAGTCAAGCTCAGAATTGACACCCCTCATCACCATCAGCATTCTTGGACTGAGCTTGGACCTGGCGTCCATATCGTAAAATCTGTCCCTAATACCTTTATTTCCCCTTGTATATGCGATGAGATCTTTATCAAGTGCGATTCGTTACTATAAGATTTTTTTTTTTTCAACTATAAATAAAAATGTATATAAGGAGAAGCATTGAAGTGGTACTCTCCTGAGAAAGAGCATTGAAGTGGCACTCTCCTGAGAAGGAGGTGCAAAGATGCAGAGGTACAGAGTTGAGTGAGTATCATTCAATGTTATAACCGTTACTAATAGTCTACTTATAAACAGATGATCAGTAAGAAGTTATAATCTATAAATCTATAAATCTATAAATCAATGATAAACAAACATCTATATATAGAATCAATAGTACAAATGTAAAGTATATTACCAAATAAAGAATATTAGGTAAGATTAGCGGTGATTATATAAGATTAACAGTGATTATATAAGATTAGCAGTGATTATATAAGATTAGCAGTGATTATATAAGATTAGAAATAATTATTAGCAGTGATTATATAAGAATAGTAGTGATAATCAGCAGAGATTATATAAGATTATATAAGAATAGAAGAGATTATTATAAATAAGGAAAATAACAAGGATAGTTTTTATGATAGTTTCAAAAAAGGTAAGAAGGTAGCTTTGCATATAAATATATGCAGCTTACTATACTGCACAATGTTACCAACATTACTATGCAATAGTAATCGACACTAGGGAGCAAAGCGAGTTAGTGGAGCACTAACCGACACTAGGTATATATACAGGTTAACATACACAATATACTATACTGAATAGTGGAGCAACACTAGCTGTCACCGATACTTTCGACACTATTGAGCGAAACTATCGAGCAAAGTGAGATGTGGAGCACACTAGCTCTTATCATCAACTCTTGACACTAGGTATACTATACAGGTTAACATACACAATATACTATACTGAATAGTGAGTATATGAGTAGTCACTGTATATACTGAATAGTGAGTAGTACACTGGTGAGTAGTCACTGTGTATACTGAATAGTGAGTAGTCACTGTATATACCGAATAGTAAGTGGTAGTATATTGTACACTATAAATACTGAATAGTATCTACTATATTACTACACTTTCCAGTTGAAAGACCAAGCAACAAAGTGTTGCTCCACTATCTCGCTCTGCTCGATAGTGTATTTGCTCGATAGTGTATCTGCTCGATAGTGTCTATATTCTTTCCGCTGCCCATATAGCCCCCTTACATATCAATTTAATCCCCTCTGTTATCACCATATACGGCACAGCACTCTCTGCATCATGCTCAATAGCAGTATTCAAATGCTCCAACTCCTCATCTCTAAACTGCAGAATCTTCTCCATAATCTGCCTCACCTCGTCACTATCAAAGTTCATCAACACTCTTAGTTGCTGATTGTAATGCCCTCCAATAACAGTCTCTACTGCTACCGTACATGCCATAGCAGCCTCTTTGCTGAGCGCAGCCGTGGCTGCGCCCATGCCAACAGCGCCTAGCTTCCACAACGGCGTGAGAAGCGAAGGCCTTACCCTTTTTCTCGTTTGGAGTTTATTGAATGTGTTGTGGTGGTGGATCTCCTGCTCCCACATGTGTTTGAGCACGGGCTTTAGGTGGGGGTACTTGTTTGCAAGCACCCAGTATTGGCCCATGTATATATAATTCGCGCCCAACTCCCCAGCCTGGTCAACTCTGATTACTCTGTCTAGATAAGCTAAATGGGCAGGAGAGAGCACATTAGGGACTGCACTAGAAGCAGCAGCAGCACCCGAGACAAACCGTCTAAAGGAGATGGATGGGAGCATTGAGGGCATTGAGGGCATTGTAGAGATCTTTGAAAGCATTGTAAGCATTGTAATAAAATGGTGAGTACTACGTATTCATTGTTTTTTTTGGTGAGGACTCTTTTTCTTTTTCTTCTTTTTTTTTTTTTTTTATTCTTCTATTGGTGTGAATTTTATTTAAAAGAGCTCATAATCTTCAACATAGATACTCCTATATTATATGGTATTTCCTGAGTATCCCTCGAGTTAGTCACTGGCTTGTACTCATTGTTCGGCACCTTTAGGTGCTGAAAGTGTTTGTTCGGCACATCCTTAATCAAGAGCCACTCTACTGGAAACACGCCTTTCCACTTGGAGTGTTCGCACCAAATATCACTTGTCTTTGTATAGTCTATAGGCCCAGTCATTTGAGCAACACCGCAGAACTTTCCCAGTGAGTTGACCAGGAAGAATAAGAATAAAGGAATACTCTCCCCGGAAGGGCAGAGTGTATCGGGAGAAAGCATCTCCCCTTCCGAGAAGATGCTCTTCTGTAAGCTGCTCTTCCTTTCTGGGAAGAGCATCTTTTTGTATGCCGCATCCAATCTTCTATTGCCCAACTCTGTGGATGTCCAGATATGGTGCTGGAACGAGGCATTAATGTCGAGTACATTATACGACTTTATTACAAAGAACCGGGAATACAAAGGAACAGTGAATACTGTTCCCTTGTAGGATTTGAAGAGCAACAGCAGTGGAAGCTGCTGTTGCAGTGGTTGCAATTGCAGCAGCTGCTGCAATCGCGGTGTCTTGTGTGTTTGCAGTGTTTTCCAGATATTTGGTTTCAAAATGAGCGGGAAATGGTCGATTTCAGTCTCAATGGACTGGATAGCATGTAGAGCCCAAGGTGTGCAGTAATCGTATTGGTGCATGATAACACGTAAGTAGTAATAACCAGTAACACGGGTTGCAAATGGAAGACAAGACACTTGTATTTATAGTATAGTATTTGTATTTACGTGTTGCAACAATTGCGGGGAAGAGAAATGATACTATCGAGCAAAGAGAGAAGAGAGAAGAGAGAAGAGAGAAGAGAGAAGAGAGAAGAGAGAAGAGAGAAGAGAGAAGAGAGAAGAGAGAAGAGAGAAGAGCAGTGACTAGGAAAGTGAGACTTATGAAAGGGGAGGAGAGGAGGGGAGAAAAGAAAAGAGAGAAGAGAGAAGAGTAGTGACCATGACAACACCATTCCACTATGAGATTCAAGTAGGATAATGAGACTTGTGTAGAGAGGAGGAGGGGAGGGGAGGTGTATTAATATTAGTATTATGTATGAGGTAGTGAGATGTAGAGGTGTACTAGTGTTTGTGGTAGGTAGTGAGGTGTACGAGTACTAGTAGTTGGTAGTGAGGTGTATTAGTATTAGTAGTAGGTAGTGAGGTGTATTAGTATCAGTATAGAGGGGTATTAGGCAGTGAGGTATAGAGGTGTATTTGATTGACTAGACTCGTTTCACTCGTCTAGTCTCTTCTTTCTCTCTCTACACTCTATCGACTAGACTCGTTACACTAGTCTAGTCTTCTAAAGTGGTCAATCTACTTGGACTAGCTGCCGCCCACACCGCGCCGCATCCAATTTTTCTTTCTTGTGGGGACATACTTACCTTGCCAGTAAAGACATCACACAGAATTAGAATCATACTACAGAGGAGTCTATAGGTATCTACGTTTTCAGTGCTGCTCCACTATCGAGCAGAGCGAGATCATTTCGCGCAGCTACTGCACTATCTCGCTCCTCTCGATAGTATCGATAGTGTCGCTACTAAGTACTCCTCCACCATCTCGCTCCGCTCGATAGTATCGATAGTATCGATAGTGTTGCTACTAAGTACTCCTCCACCATCTCACTCCGCTCGATAGTATCGATAGTATCGATAGTGTTGCTACTAAGTACTCCTCCACCATCTCACTCCGCTCGATAGTGAGGTGTTTCTAGTGCCTTGTTAACAACTGGTCTCTACTATGCTCTTTTTCCTTTTACGCTACCAAATGTAGCTTACAAGTTATAGAGAAGAAATTCTTAATTACAAGATTTAAATGTATAACAGATACATCTTTGTCGCTTAGTTAGTGTTGCTCCACTATCTCGCTTTGCTCGATAGTGTCGTAGTTGTGCTCAACGGGTGAGTAGTCCATTTGTAGTGGATAATTGGTAATTAGTTATGCCTCCTCGAAGGCTTTCATATAGCATTCCATCACAGGATTTACAAAAGGCAAAAGATGCTAGTATCGCAGACCTTAAAATGGTCCAAAGTGAAATCACGTATGATTGGCCACTTATTTTGCAAGATAATGCTAACCCCATAGAAATGGCAATTGCATTATTGGATGATACATCCGTGGGCTTGGCTCATAGGCTACAGGAGTTTTTGGCTATAAAGAATCGAACAGAAGGTGCCTTGCGCAACGTTGTCGATGAACACTATGAGTTGTTCAGTAATAGTATCGGCTCCTACAACATGTTACTTTCAGCTCTTCATCAATCGGAGCAGGACTCAACAGCAATAAGAAACTTTTTGGAGTCGTCTAAAAGGGAGGTGCAAGATCGTACTACTATTTTGCGAGAATTATCGCAATCCTCAGCAAAATATGACGAAATAATTGTCCTATTGGATGCAATCAAAGAATTGAACAAAATCCCCGACGAAATAGAACACTTGATTGCCGATAAGAAAATACACGAAGTGTATGATGTTATAGCGAATGGATACAAAACAGCAGAGAAATACGGTTTGTGGTCCTTGCCAGCTATGAATACTTTAAAAACATATCTTGAACAACAATCAAACAAATTACATGACATGATAATAGACGAGTTGCAAAACGAAATCTACCTGAAAAATGATAGATCAATAAATGCAAGTGGGGTCTCGGCATGGCAGGTACTCATAACTTCGAAAAGTCCGCAAATGGCATCCTTCATAGCATTACTAAATCTGGAAAATTTGGAACAATACGTTTATAACTCGGCAAACTTTGACATATCGGAAGTGGTAAACTATTTGACGCAACCGGTAAACCATTTTTTATCTGTGCAACTACCAGAATTACATAGACATAGCACAAGGAGTGAAGGGGGAGCCTTTGATTATAAGGTGCTATTGGAAAGCACTCTGAGTTCCAGCAGCGAGTCATATTACTACATTTATAAACTTTTATTAACAGCATCAAAATTGGGAAGATTGGACCAGGTAATTGGTGCTTTGATTAGTAGCAATCAACTGGAGTTGCACGGACTAATTATAAGAACTACCGAGGAGGTGAAATCTAGAAATGGTTACGCACTCTCGAAATTAACAAAACTTCTGCATTTGGAAAAAGACGCTTTGTTTGATGTTTTAGCAGGCAACGCATTTAGCGATTCAGCTGTTGTTATATTGCAGGAATTTTTCAGCTCCATAATTGTAAAAATGTTGGCTACGTTTCAAAAACATAAGGTTTTAAACGAAGTGGCATTGCTTTTATCGGGACGTAAACTGGAGTCTACTAGAGCTTCCGCTTCCGCTTCCGCTCCTGCTTCTGCTTCTGCTTCTGCTCCTGCTTCTGCTGCATCCTCAAATTCTGTGTCAAGAGAACTAATGCATATATGGAATACAACAAAAATTGAATTACAAAAATTGATTCAGAGCTATATTCACAATGAGGAAGCGTACACTTTAGGTAATCAAAACAATACCAGCTTGATATCTACAAAACAAAAAAACTTGTTCAAGTTTGAGAATGTTGATTGGAGCTCCACCAAATCTGCACAGGAACTTGCTGTATCGTTGAGTGACATTTTTCCTGGATTTCATATTGACGCTGAGGAGAAGGAGTCAAGGAAGGAGGAGGAACAAACAGAGACGAAGGATGCATTGGCCATGAAGACTCCTTATTTTGAAGATGAAACGTTTGCTGATCTACTTGAAATTCTTGTGCCCAAAAACCTATTCAACATGAGGATTATTTTAGAACCGTTTCTAATATTTGTTGAAGGAGCCAATAGACTTTTCACCAATTTTGCTACGGACAAAAAGCAGTATAACAATAATAATAATAATAATAGAACTGCTTTTGAGTTTTTCGACAAGTTTATGAAGACCTATTTTTTGACATACTTTGAAAATGCGATTGAGTTTGTTTTTGAGAAGCAAATAGGAGGTTACTTTGGTAAAGCAGAAGTTATTGCTTCAGAACCTTCCGGGTTGAAAATGGATTTGGTTTCATTAAGCCCCGATTCTCACTTGAGAATTCTTGGTGGGGAAATTATGCTGAATAATTTTGAGTCAAAACTCATTATTTATGAGAATGCTTATAACTTTAAGGTATTGTTCCTTGGCCTTTGTGTGATCCTCAATACTTCATTGACTTATAGAGAAGAAATATCAAATATGGCACTACGTACGTTGCAATGCTTTGCTACCGAATACAGCAAATTGTTCCAAGAGATATTAGCGTCGAGTGAAGGGCAATTGAATAGAAGACCTGTTCTGCAGGTGAGCAAATGGATGAAATTACATGTACTTACCGAAATAAGTGGTGACATCTTGATATCGAATAGTGAAAACAATAAAGAAAACATACCACAACTTGTAGAAGCCGAAAACAATATGATGTTGTTTGAGATCAAAAACTTGGTCATCAACAAGGATGACCTTCTTGACAGTGAGGCACTTTCTCAAGTTGTTCATCTCTTGTTAACAGCAACATGGTTGATATCGTGGTTGACTTTAGTGAAGAAGGAGTCAAACTATAGCATATATGACGATGAACATAATGAGTCGGTAGAGATTCCAACTGTAGAAAGAATGAGGTACAACTGGTCGTTTTTAGATAATGGGCGGCCCTCGATTACATTCACGGCCAGTCCAAATGATATTACTCAACATGGTATATTTTTGGCCTTGAATCAGGAGAAAAGTATTGAGTTTGAAAGAATTGTGAATACGTTTGAGGCAATAAGGGATCAAACTGTTTTAGCTTTGAGATATGAGTTACGAAGCAAAGCCATCCATTATATTAGTTTGTCATTCCATGCGATGGAATGGGTACCGTCTACCGAACCCGGGGATGCGGATCCCTATGTCGTTGCTTTAAACCAAGAAGTATTTGCAATCGACAATAAGTTGACGAAAGTTTTGAGTGAAGATGAAAAAGAAGGTATATTTGTTGGTTTTAGTCAATTTCTTAATGAACTAATTATCCTCAAATCTTCACAAGTGCAAAAGATTAATAATAATGGAATAAAGAGGATATTATTGAACATTTCAACGATACAGCAAATGTTGAGAAGTCTTTCACCAAATCCAGGGCTTATTGATTTCAACAAATCGTCGATATACTTTGAAATGTTCACTCTCAATGAATTCAACTTGTTAAATCGAATTAAAACCAACTCGCAAAATTTCACAAAGGATCAATACTACAATCTTGCAAGGTTAATCTATAGTGAGAAGTTAGCCGACGGTAATGGTTCTCAATTCAACAAGGGCAAATATAGCGAGTTGGTGAGGAAAATAGATGAGCTGATAGAATAGACCATTATTAATATTAGTTGTAACATATATATATACATACATATATATATATATATAAAGAATTTTTCTTCCTTTCAATATTAACAACAACTTCTAGGTGGTGTACGCTTTATACTAAACTTTTCCAGTAATCTTTCACTGACAAATCTACCGATACCAGATCCTAGAACGACAGCAAAGAAATATGTCAAGGTAAAAGTCATTACAGCCAACATCAAGGTATAACTGAAAAGGTCAGGAATGATACATAAAGCTAACCTTATAACGTTTCTCATTATCTTACTTGCAGTTCCGATATGTGATTTTTTAGATTCATGGCTTGAAGTAGTAGAGTGGATTTCATTTCCAGACTCCAGAACCAAATTTTTATCCAACAGGTCAGTTGTGATTCTTTCTTGTCCTGCTCCGCATGCGCCTGGTTCGCATGCACCTTCTCCTCCTCCGCTTTCAGTTTGGTGCAATTTTGCTCTATGGTTCACAACACCATTTTCAAACTCTTGATATTTTGGATTGACCCATACAACTTCTTCGAGATAGTTTCTGACAAACTCCAACAATCTTGCGAAAAAGGCAGCAAAGAATAGTAATACAAAAATACCAAATGCACCACCTTTTGTCGATGCTGATAAAGTTTCAAACACAACAGGATAGTCCTTAAAATGGGTGGTAAACCACATATGCATGCCACCCATACCTTCTTCACTTGTATGATCATGAGACATGCTCATAGCTGCTTCTGCGGTTTCCATTACCATGTCCATAGTAGCACTAGCTCCTGACATATCCATAGTAGCACTACCTCCTGACATATCCATATGTCTCTTTAAGAAACTCATATTAACTCTATATTCTATTACGTTTAAAATTTGTCTATATACACTTTGTAGACACTTTCTATTTATATGGTATGCTTTTCCCTATATAAAAATCCTTTAAAGTAAGGAAATAACAGCTTGTTTAAATATACTGTAAGTTTTCTTCTTTTTTTTTTTAAAAAAAAAACTATTACCTCGAATTGAAAAGAATTTGATGTTCGAATTTGCTCAAATAAACACCGTTTAACATCTATCCTAACAACTCATAACTAAAAATACATAAACAAGTTAAGATCAACTGACTAAAAACTGAGCAAATTCCTTTATAGCGAGAGTAGCGAAGTAGCGAGTATTTTTTTTTTTTTTTTTTTGCAGCTTTTAATTTTTCACTTGGAAAAAATGAGCAGAATCAGTATTTCCCAATTGGGAACACTGTGCGGTGTTGTGAGCAATATGTTTCTTACCCAATTTAGAGTTAACCGTTAAGAAATTGGTAACTAAGTGATAAACAGGTGAGGACCAAATTATTTGATGAATAAATTATCTATGGGTTAATTATATGAAGGTTATTATGTATGGGTTATATGAGGGTTAATTATATGAGGGTTAATTATATGAGGGTTAATTATATGAGGGTTATATATGAGGGTTAAGCCGTTTGCGTATTTCTCTATAGTATTTTTATTTAGCTGAAACTTGTTAGCTAACTTGTTAGCTAATTAATACGGCGATTCAAGGGGGTATTTAATGGTTAGTTTGATGGTTAGTGGTTTGATACTAATATAGTGGTGCCGAGACGAAACCAGATGAAGGTATCATTGTCTCTTTCTTCCGATATCGGAACTGAAGGCAATTGAGAACGCTAGAGGGACCTAATAGCAACGACACTATCGAGCAGAGCGAGATAGTGGAGCACACCCACACCACGACACTATCAACACTATCGACACTATCAATACTATCGACACTATCGACACTATCAACACTATCTCGCTATGCTCGATAGTGGAGCACACCCACACGGGTTTGATTGCATACTTTATTGTCCCTGGCTTTTTTATCCCTCTCCCCTTCTTACTTTTTCTATATTTTTTTACTCTCTTCAAATATGGTATTACAACTACTTTTTTGTTTCTGTTCTTTTTATATACTTACCCTGCTCTTTTTATCTACTTGCCCTGCTCTTTTTATCCCACTGCTCTTTTTATCCTGATAGAGTCGATAGTGTCGATAGAGTCGGTGGCAGCTAGTGTGCTCCACTATCTCGCTCTGCTCGATAGTGTCGTTCTTATCCCACTGCTCTTCTTATCTACTTACCAATTTCTGCTCTTTTTTTGAAATCACGAAGAAACTTGGTTTTTTTGCAAAAGATTCAAAGGAAAGTGTATACAAAGCCACCCCCCTAAATAGTGTTGCTACAAAGTGTTTCTGCACGATCTCGCTTCGCTCGATAGTATCGATAGTGTTGCTACAAAGTGTTTCTCCACGATCTCGCTTCGCTCGATAGTGTTGATAGTGTTGCTACAAAGTACTCCTCCACTATCTCGCTTCGCTCGATAGTGTTGATAGTGTTGCTACAAAGTGTTTTATCTCGCTTCGCTCCATAGTGTCGAATGTAATAAAGCTTATTATTTTTTATTTTTTTTCCGTTTCTTTCAAAAGTTTTCATACAAGAGTTCCTTCAACTTGTACTCTTCATTCGCCTCGTCAATCTCTTGCCAGTTTCCAATAAAGTCGTCTCCACGAACAATTCCAGGTAAGGTTTTACCTGCAGCTTGTCTTTTCCATATCTTCTTTGCTTCTTCATCGGTTCCCAAGTCTCTATATTCAAACTTAATGCCGTTTGCTTGCAAAATCGTAGCTAATCTATTGGTTCTTGGAACGATTTGCATTCCCCCGGCAAGTGAGGTGAAAAGATAAATTGGAAGAGATTCAAGATGTTTACGGATCTCTTCAGGTGAAATGTCCAAATCGTCTAAATCATCGTCTTCGGCAAGAGATGTTACTGTTGCTGTCGTAGAATCTTGCTTGCTCGTTTTGGTCTCACCAACATCGCCTGATTCTTTGTTCTTTTCAGCAGACTCCAACTCAGCTTTTTCATCAACTGGTATTTTACCCATCGACCCTTTTTCTTTTTCAATCTCAATATTCTTCAAGCCTTTTTCCTCTTCCTCAACAATGTTTTTTAAATCTTCGGGACTATCAGTATCACCCGAAGATGCTAGTAAATTATCTTCTGGTTCCTTTGTTAACTCTTTGAGTTTAGGATTGTGGTTTTCCTCCTTCTCCTCCTCCTCCTTCTTCTCCTCCTCTTCCTTCTTCTCCTCTTCCTTCTCCTCCTCCACCTCCTTTTCTTCTTCTTCCTCTTTTTTCTCCACTTCCTGTTGCGCACCCTTATCAACAGAGCTCTCTGTGTTGCTTTCGATAGACTTTGAGCTTTCTAAAGTCAAGTCTGTAGTTACTCCCTCCTTTTCTAACTCTTCCTTATCAATTTCGACGTAAGGATCATCACCAATTAAAGCTCCCTCTTCTTCCAAAGTCTCGGTGTTGGAATTGTCCTTTTCATTAGTATGACCTTTCGCATTTTCAATGTCTTCATCAATCAAATCTTCATGCGTAGCATTTGCATTCACTTGTTCCAGTTCCGATTCCTCTTTTTTCTCAGCACTTGCTTTGTGATTATCCTTTTTAACTGTACTCTCTCCTTTTTCCTTATCGTTTTCAACGTCTTTTTCCGTCTCCTCTGTCAATGGCAAAAAGTTGGTACCATTAGCATCTTTACCGCTCAAAACATTTTTAACCATATTATCCAATTGATCAATGGAAGCATAGGGGTCATCAGTCACCAATGCTCCTTCTGCAATCAATGTATCAGTAGTAGCATCATTCTTCTCATCTTTTGCATTATTAAGAGGTCTTGCTCTTGATCTAGATCTAGAAATGGACCTTAAATAATTAGTGGAAGAGGCTGATCTCGATGCGTATAAACGGTCCGAAGCAGGTAACTTTGATGCAGGCGAGTCAACTTCGAAATTTGTGTAATCACCAGTTGTTACCAATGATGGATCTCTAGTTAACGACCCCGATTCGTATTCCGAGACAAAAGCTGGATTGGCGGCTTGTTCGGCTTCTGCAGCAGCAATGGACTCACCCATTGTTGGTCTTGTGTGTCTTGTGCGTCTGTCCTCCTCCTCCTCTTCTTCCTCTTCCTCTTCCTCTTCCTCTTCCTCTTCCTTTTCCTTTTCCTTTTCCTTTTCCTTTTCCTTTACCTCCTCCTTTTCCTTTTCCTCCTCCTCCTCCTTTTCTACCTTTTCCTCTTTCTCTTCTTCTTCCTCTACATCTGGTGTCTCTTTATTTGATACTTCCAAAGGCGACTCATATTGGGTTGGATCTTCGCTATGCACATATTTATAAGATTCACCCTTAGCCAAATGTGGTATTGATGAGTTAACTGAAGATCTTGATGAAGAGCGGTCGGCTGCTCTTGTTATGGGATTTCTTGATCTTGATCTTGATCTTGCACGTTCAGTATGAAACGTTGGAGTGTGTAAACTCCCTTCCAATCGTTGTTGCTGAGCTGCGGATAGAACATGATGGTTTGTTTTATGAGACGATGTTGAAGAATTTGGTGACGATATCTTTTGGTGTGGTGTAGACAGACTTGAACGAGGTAATTTGTGCAAATCATGAGATTTTACGTGGCTCAATAGATCGTTATGGTCCTTTATTTCCTGATCCAATTGATACTCCGACAAATTGGGAGTGGAATAATCCTCCTGTTGATAGAAAGTTTTTGCTGGTTTATTTAATGATGACGACAATAACGATGACTCTGTTGTGGATTCTAAAGACTCGATTGGTTTCATATCACTACCAAACTCGTTCTCGTTGTTCAGCACAAGTTTTACACTGGTTTCTTTAGCAGGCTCCTTCCCTTTCAATTCTTCTACTTTAGCTTTAGCTTTAGCTTCATCTTGTTTCTTTTTAGCAGTGTATTGAGCATCCTTCTTGACACCACCATCGTTATCCAAGAATTTTTCAAAATCCTCCTCTGATCCTAATAAGGCACCTTCATTAATCAAATCATCCAATGACGCAGTGACTGCTGGATTCAATCTTCTAAGTCTCGATTTAGACTTTGATCTAGATGATTGATATTTTTCTGGATGAATATAGTTTCGGTGAGGTGAATCGTCAGCTGACCGGATTGAGGAGCCAACTAATGAAGGAGACTCTGATCTTTCTACTGATTCCAATTGTTCTTCCAAATTCATTACTGACTATCTGAAAGGGGGGGTGGGGGGGTGGTGGTTCCAAGGTCAATGCAAACTTATTTGTAAATGTATTCCAAGAAAAATATATATACACAATAGAATATGTAATAGGTTTTATGTATTGTTATTATCTTGCGATTAGGTTTATTGAATGGAATCAAGGTTCAATTTTTCTTTCCAATTTCAACGATAACGATTTGTGGCACCAATTAAAAAAAAAGGGGGCAAAGAATCGAGCTAATGGTTGTAGCGGAAATTTGGAAAGAGAGAGAATCAAGAGAGTATCAAGAGAGTATCAAGAGAGAATGGAAAGAAATCGCTCAAAGTTTCACTCTTGGTGCGGGTCACATTAAAACGGCGTGTTTATGAATTAGCAGTAATAAAGTGATAACGTAGCTACTTTTTAATGATAACTAGCGACTTTTGAAGAAAATAACACCATTTTTTATATGTATGTGCTATACATTTTTAGTTGTAGTTACTACTAATTACTTGTTAGTGTAGAGGTATCTCAAAGCTGTGGATTCAATTCAGACAAGGATTGGAGCACACCGACTAGCTTCAATAGAGCTCTACTATCAAGTAGAGCTCTATTGAAGAGAGTCATTTTTTAACAAAATACACTTTCTCATTGACATAAAAGTTGACCAACTTCACTATCGAGCAGAGCGAGATAGTTTTATAAAAAGCTACAAAGTGCTCCACTATCGAGCAGAGCGAGATAGTGATATAAAAAGTTACTGAGTGTTGCTCCACTCTATCGCGACACTATCGAGCAAAGCGAGATAGAGGAGCAGCACTGACTAATGACACTATCGAGTAGAGTGAGATAGTGTTATAAAAAGTTACTGAGTACTGCCCCACTATCTCACTCTGCTCGATAGTGTTATAAAAAGCTATTGAGTACTGCTCCACTCTCTCGCTCTGCTCGATAGTGTCATAAAAAGCCACTAGGTATTGCTCCACTCTCTCGCTCTGCTCGATAGTGTCCTTCATCTTTGCAATTTCTATATGGCGTTTATCTACTACATCTAAATTGCTTATAAAAAACTAATTCTCTATTGGTCAGCTCTATGAAAATTGTAATATTTTGAAAAACTGATTTTTGAGTACAAGACAACACTATTGGTGTAGTTGACGCTACTACACTATCGAGCGAAACGAGATAGCGGAGCAGCCCTGACTACACTAACTGCCACCACTAGCTTGTTCAATTATACTAATCGATTGAGCCTCCTAAAATAAATCGAGGTAATCATTATTCTAGTATATTTCGAATACATTTACAGCTTCATCTACATTTACAGCTCTTCATATACACTATCCCTCTTTGTCTAAATTTACTGCTTTTCATTTGGATCCCTCTTCATCTACATTTGCTGCTTTTATCTAGATCCCTCTTTATCTACATTTACTGCTCTTCATCTAGATCCCTCTTCATCTACATTTACTGCTCTTTATCTACATTTACTGCTCTTTATCTACATTTACTGCTCTTTATCTACATTTACTGCTCTTTATCTACATTTACTGCTCTTTATCTACATTTACTGCTCTTTATCTACATTTACTGCTCTTTATCTACATTTACTGCTCTTCATCTACATTTACTGCTCTTCAACTAGATCCCTCTTCATCTACACTATCTCGCTCTGCTCGATAGGGGAGTGGCTTGGCTCGCTCTGCTCAATAGTGTCCTTCGGCACGACTTTCTACCACGTTCGCCACCAGCAGAGAATGAGAAAGAAAAAAAAAACCCCAAAGTTTTTTTTATATATAAATCATCACTATAGGAAAAAAAAAAAAGTATATCTTATAGTTCAAAGGTAATAAGTAACCATTGAAAAAAATGCCTAGACAAAGAAGATCAGCTCCAGCTCCAAGACAACAAACAAGATCAGCTCACACTGCTGCTTCTTACCCAACTCATCATCAGCCACAGCAACATTCTCAGCACCCGCCAGCTGCTGCTGCTGCCAATCATGCGCCAACTTCACAAGGACCCGGCTTGTTTGGTCAAATGGCCTCAACCGCGGCAGGTGTAGCTGTTGGATCAACTATTGGTCATACTTTGGGCGCTGGTATCTCGAGTATATTTGGTGGTGGAGGTAGCAGAGAACAAGCGGTTGAACAACAGCCTCAACAACAACAACAAAATTTGGCTCCATATCAACAACAAAACTCGGTTCAAAATCAAGAACAAACAAGAAACTGTGATTTAGATGCTAGAAATTTCACCAGATGTTTGGAAGAAACCGATGGAAATGTACAAAATTGTGGTTTCTACTTACAACAGTTGAAAGCTTGTCAAGAAGCAGCTAGGCAATATTAGACCAAAATATAAAAGGATCATGTGTATAGGAAAATAGCAGTAGGCTGAAAACAAAAACGTATATCAATAACAATATACATATATATAAATATTCATCCACTTTGAAACTTCACCTCTATACAACTCTTTTACGTCTTGGAGTTTTGTTTTGATGAATAGTACCAGTAGCCGGCCCCCACCCAATCCTAACAAGGCCAATACACCAACTGCATTGTTGTTGTTGCTGCTGGCACTACTCCTGCTGCCATTTGCGTTCTTTTTTTCTTCACTTTGATGAATTTAAATTATCGTGTTCAATGTCATCTACAACAGGAGACTGCTCAACTACTTCTTCAATCTTGTGATCGATTTCGTGGTTGCCCAAGTTGACAACATCGGCATCGTTGATTTTGGGGTTAACTGAAGATTGAATATATTTATCATGATTGGCCGATTTTTTCGGTTTTGATGATCCTGCTTGTTGACTTTTCCCAATCGAAATATCAATTGGTTTGCTATTGCCTCTATCTTCATGCAACTCATGTGCAGCACTCACGGCCTCGCCACCGTGCACAACATGTGCCTCGTTTGCTTCAACTTTATGCGATGAGTTACTCTCTTTTGTGAACAATTCCCTTTCGACAGATTTAGCCTTCTCATGAGCTATATCTTGCTTTACTGCTTCTCTGCTAATTAGAGGTACTTTCTGTTCGGTTTTGGGGATAAAATCGTATTTAAATTCCCACTCATTAATCGATGTTTGCGAGGGTAACCTAAATGAATCAATTGTGGAAGAATCACCTTTTGCCCGGATAATCTTTGAAACGGTGAACGACCTTGCTGAAGTCGTTGAAACCGCTGCAATTCTCTTAGCCGACTGTTTGAACATTCAAAATCGTCTTAAACCCACACAAACAACTATATGAACCCTTGAAATAAAAAAAACTTAAATTCTAGACCCTGTCTATATTTTTCCAAAGAGAACAAGGGGGAAGATGGAGGGGGGGGGAGCGATGCAACCCTCATTTACCCCACTTCATCGGCAAGGGAAAAAAAGAAAAACACAATTGGTAGCCCGTTCCGGATTATCTAGCTCTGAAAAAACACGATTGGTAGCCCGTTCCGGATTATGTAGCTCCGGGGGGAAAAAAAACTATTATATATGTTCTTCTTTGTATATTTTATTACAGTTACGTTTATGAAATAATAAGAGATATATATATATATGTGATATAAATATCATAATATTATAAAAATGATAATTTTCAAACCACGTGATATTAATATTGATATAGAAATAGATAAAGGCTTTAAAATTGTTGAGTATGATTCTATCTTTGGTATTAAGAAATATATTTTTGATAATTATAGAGAAGCTAGTGGCATATATATAATATATACTAGAAATAAGAAATTCAGAATTCAGTCTACGTCAACTCCTTTTAGTTATCATCTTATATTACCTTTTACAATGGCAGATCAAGATTATCTTTATGCTTGTTATGCAAAAGATCTAGATTTATATGATAAAATAGTAGAGCACAGCAAACTTTGCAATCATGAGAGTTGTAATATCTGATCCAATTAAAGCTTATGTTTATAATAATAAAAAAATTGAATCTAATGAATTAATAATAGTCAATGTAAAAAATGAAGATGAAATTATCAATGATTTTATTGATAATGAAATATTTCATTGTATTTCATATTATATAGTAGTTAAAGATGACATAAGATTATATTTTTCGATAGACAAAAGTTTTATTATTATAAATGAAAAAGATATATTCAAAATTAAATATGGGGTTCAAACTCATAAATGTGATGTATATAATTGCAAAGAAGAACATAGTGATGAAGATTATAAATATAGTGCTTATCATGAAATCAACAGAAGAACATGTAAATGTAGAAATGATTACTATTTCTATTTTATAAATGGGGAATATGAGTTTTATTTTAGAACTATATCTAAATTTCAAAAATATGGGTCCTTTGACAAACCTATTAGATTCAAATTCACTTATGATATTAAGAAAATGTTGGGTATCGAGTAGCTTCAGAAAAAACTACACCGTGTATGTAATTACTTATTATATTTGTTAGAGTTATATAATGATGATTTCTTAAATCTACATCAGCAAATATACCAGTCAACCATTTCTTCTCATTCTTTGATAAACCTCCCCAATCAAATTTTTTAGTAATATATTCATTATATAATTCAGCTGCTGCACTTTCTAATATTCCTTCTAATAAAGAAGAAGGATTACCAGCTATTAACATCATCATGTTTATATAATGTTCAGTCTTTTTTATATTTTTCTTATTACTATAATTTTTCTGATAAGATTCTATTAAAGTATTCCAACAACTATAAACTATATATGTATACTTTTTTTTATACCTCATAGTCTACACCGGCAGTGGTGTTTTTGTTTAACAAATCTTCAAGATATAAAGTCGGGGGTCTCAATGTAGTTTGCGTGCTCTTATTACCTGCACTTGAGCCCAGGTTATATTCTGAATCCTTACCACTTCCATTATAACTTGATACAACAGTATTGCTATCATTGAATGGTAGCGGCGAAGAGCCATCGGCAAAAGATTTCAACAAAAGCGATGAATTGTTGTTCTGTTGCTGCTTATACATTGTAGTAGTAGTAGTAGTAGTATTACCAATGTTGATATTTGACCCGTCTCCCAACATCATATCCAACTTGGTCAAATCCAAACTTGGATTTTGAAACATTGATCTACGAAATTGTTTCTTATCAGACAATAGCTGACCTTGTAGGGATTTTCCCTGGGAGTTTGTCGATGATGAAGATATGGAAATCGATGACGCATTGAGTGATTTGGAGTATGGGAATGTATATGTATTTGACTGTACATCACCAAAAAAGATACTCAGATTATTATCATTTGCAAAATAAGTTTCCTTTTCTCGTCGTGCTTTTGATGAGTATATAAAGTATGTGGTTATTCGAAATATAATCACCGCTATTAACATGGCTCCCAATATACATCCAACTATAATGAATACCAAGCCCAGGGGTAGATTCAGCTTGTGAATATACGGATTAGTTAAATTTGGGATTGAGGTAATCTCTAAACTCGGCTGCAGCGAAACGGAAGACAATGCTGGCATTGAACTAAGGTCTGCTGGAGTATTAGAGTCATCTCGCTTAACCACTTTTTCTAATACATCCGATACAATTGTTTGTGGAATACGATCCACCATATTAGACCCCATTTTCTGTCAAAAACACCTAGGGGAGAGGGGCTATAAACTTGAAGGTAAAAAAGAAAAAGAAAAAGTACAAGTTTAAAAAAAAAACTCTAATCATTATCATCATTAGAGTAGGTTGTTCTTTTTTGACACCTCGAGGTAAGAGGTAATATATTATTCATCTAAACCAATTGACACCCTTTCCGGTGTCTCTTTATTTTTCTTTCTTTTTTTGCTGTTTGTAGACGTTCAACGGATACGGAATTTCAGGGTTTCAATATTATTGTTTTTTTCGAGAAATACAACACGCATGAAATAAAAGTGGTAATTTTTTGGACGTGTTTTCTATTCACGAGTGAGATGCGTGTAGACGGATAGTCTTTCTCTCTCTCTCTCTTTCTCTCTCTCTCTCTCTCTCTCTCTCTTTCCGTTGATGAGTGCCTTTGAACAACATAACCAAAGACACGAAGAACTGACGTAAAACTAATGCATTATAAAACCGATTCAATTTCAGGGAATGGCCAAGATAATATTTGACACGGAATAACACTAAATAAAAGAAGAAGAAAAAAAATAAAACAAAATCAAAAAAGAGATGAGAAAAGAGCAACACTATCGAGCAATGCAAGATAATGGAGCATATCAACTAGTAACAAGTTGGAACCATACGAGTAGTTTTTGTTTAAAAATTCTTTTTTACGCGTTTTTCCAGTTACTTTTTAGAGTAAATGAAATGAATTAAGTTAACACTTAACAACCGAAAGGGAAAAAAAAAAAAAAGAAAAAAAAAGCATGGCTTTTGTATTATTTAAGTTATACAGGATTATTTACTATTACTATTATCACCAAGATCCTTACCTTAAAATCTCCAATCCTTATCAGTTGATTCAATGGCCCATTTGAATTTCTCTCGTAACGTCTTGGTAAATAACTTTTCAATAGGCACATCGAATTTCTTCGAGAACATAACTGTTAATCTAGGGTCAATATAGTTCATTTTTGAAGTTCCCAATGAAACTTCAGAGTTATCTTCTTTATCTTTCAACAGTAAAGAAGTGCTCAAAATTCTATTTTCCAACGTCTCAATTTGCGCCTTTAATTTCTCAATAGTAGCACCTTTTGGCACTTGATACTTTCCAGTTTTCAATTCCTTTTTGTATTCTTTTTCCAAATCGTGTACCTTATCTAATTTCTCCTTGATATCTTTCTTTGTAAGTAGTGGTTTCTTTTCGATTTTCAATTTTTCATTGTCACGTTCAAACTTTTTTTCAATTTGCAATTTTTGTCTCTCTATAACAAGGTGATGGATATGCTCGGTGTCTTCTTTGGTTAAATCTTCAATTTCTTCAAAGTATTTGGGTTCTTTCTTTAACAATTTGGGCTCTATTTGAAGTATAATCTTCTTTAATCTAATCTTTTGCCACACCAATTCTCGTAATTTATCATTAATCTTTTGGATTGAGTTACCATGGTTCTTACTAACAGTACGCTGGTGATTACATAATATGGCTACTGTTCTATTCGCTGCATTAAATTTCACCACTTTCTCAACAGCAGTACCTTTGTTCTCAATCAAATCCAACTGATCCTGCATGGTTTTGGAAGCATTATAAGTACGAAACACTTTGGCAGTCAAGCCCTTCATATAATTTTGTAATTGCTTATTTACTAAGGAAGGATTGATGCGGTCAAATAAATCGTCTCCTGGTTTCTTTGGTTCCTTCTTAAATATTCGCAAATTCTTGAAAACTTGCTTATCAACCTCAACTTCTTGATAAAACCGAATGGAATCCTTACCCAAAAAATCAAAAATCACTTGGTTCGGTGGCTTCAACGTCAAGTGCTCGTATCTCAATGAGCAGCAGCCCACTGTATCGGCTTCATCTTCTCCCTTTTCACCACCTGCTCTCAATGCAAACACATCGATAAGATAAATAGCAGTAGCCATTTGACGGTCTTGCATTTTCTCTGATTTTAGCATCTTTGTGTAGTCTTTTCTGATTGCATCAACATGATAACGCAACTCTCTTGCTTTTTCAAACTTTTTAAAGTCAGATTGGCCTTTAACTGATGAGTTTGCGGCAAATCGTACATATTTAAAAGAGTCGGAAATATTTTCTTTCCACATAGCCAACCAGGTAACTTCATTATCGTGCCTCACTTCGGCCCATTTATGTCCTGGTGGGGGTGATGGAACTTTGACATCTTTACTTAAATTAAGTGTCACTTGTTCTGGTAAAACTCTCCTTTTCAATTTCCCTGTTTTGGGATGAGCGCCTCTCCCCCTAAAGAGTCCTGGAGGTTCTATTCGGAAATTGCCCACAAGTTCTTTCCTACCGTTTAGCAAACATGTTTTAAAAGGCTCTTCAATCTTTTCCTTCTCCTCTTTCAATCTCTTTTTCTCTTCTTTGCTCAATAGTTTCTTATCTTCTCTTTGTTTCTCATAATAAGCATAAATACGGCTAAAATCCATCTTTGTAAAATCAGTAATCTCAACTTCACAACCACCACACTCTCTCAAAACTTGCTTAAAATCGTTGAAGAAATTTTTTCGAAAGACTGGATTTTTAGCATGATCGGTTTCTAACATAGCTCCATAGAATCCAGCAACTTCCTCTGCCTCAATGGGCAAGTTCACTGGTTTGCCGTCGTAATATAGTTTCACATGAGATGGCAACTTCTCATACTCTGGTGGGAACATCACACCATTATGTTCAAGAGAAGTCCATTTGATTTCTCCATCATGTTCATCTTGTGCTTCCCACCATTTATATCCTTCATCTTCGTCTTCCTCATCGCCTTCTCCTCCTCCTCCTTCTCCTCCTTTTTCTTCTTCTTCTTGCTTTATTTCTTTAAGTGATTGTTTTTCCTTTTTGACATTATTGTGTTGTTGCTTTGGCTGTTTCTCTTGTTTTATTGATTTACCATTCTTTGGCTTTGTTGTAGTAGGCTCTTTTTTAACTTTAACTTGCTTGCTTGTAGTGGGCTTTGTTGTAGTAGGCTTTGTTGCAGTAGTCTCTTTTTTAACTTTAACTGGCTTTCTTGGTTTAGTTGCAGCGGTGGTTTTCACTTCTTTAGTCTTGGGCTTGCCATTACTCAATTTTGCCTTTTTAGCCAAGGGTTTATCATCATCTTCATCTTCATAATCCGACTCAATTGGCATCTTTCTGGTATTGGTTTTTTTGGATAGGGAAACAGCATCCTCTTCAGTGTCGGAGGTATTTGAAGTTGAAGTTGGCGAGGTTGAATTTGATGAGGAGGAGGTGGTGGTTGTGGAAGTAACTGATTTTTGTTTTGGATGTATTTTTGATAATACTACTTCATCTTCAGATGAGCTCATTTCTCAGATAAAAGAAAAAGGAAGAAAAAACCGTTGATATTACTTTCTAGAGTAAGGACGTGGAGGGGAACAAGTAGAAAAAAAGTCACTCACTATGTTTTCAAAAGGTGTGTGTGTGTGTGTGTGTGTGTGTGTGTGTGTGTGCTTTGGGTTGAGTGTGTGTGTGCTCTCAGATATGTGTGTACTGCTCTTCCTTTTCAGCTTATTGAAAAATATCAATCTATAAAAAGCTATACCTCTTCGCTCTCAGTACATAACTTTTATTTCAATCTCTCTCGCTCTTTGTTTAAGCGCTTAAAAAAAAAAGGCGCTTCGTTTAAGCAAGAGAAAAAAATGGAAAGAAAGATGGTCACGTGATATGCGTTGGTATTTAAATGACACTATTGAGCGAAGCGTTTTAAAAAATACTCCACTATCGAGCAGAGCGAGATGGTGTTTTAAAAAGTGCTCCACTATCGAGCAGAGCGAGATAGTGTTATAAAAAGCTACTGAGTATTGCTCCATCGAGAGAAGCGAGATGGTGTTTTAAAAAGCGCTCCACTATCGAGCAGAGCGAGATAGTGTTATAAAAAGCTACTGAGTATTGCTCCATCGAGAGAAGCGAGATGGTGTTTTAAAAAGCGCTCCACTATCGAACGAAGCGAGATAGTGTTATAAAAAGCTACTGAGTGTTGCTTCACTATCTCGCTCTGCTCGATAGTGTTGCTCGATAGTGTCGCTCGATAGTGTCGCATTTCTTTGTCTTGTAAACCATTTTATTGCTAAATCTATAATAAATTTTATCGAAATAGCAATTATTTTTGAATTTAGTTAATTATTGCATTTCCTTCTTTGCATTAGTGATAATTAAAGAGTTGCTCTACTGTTTATTTCCCCTGGAATGGAGACTAAATTTTAGATTTTTTCGACAAATGACACAACACTATCGAGCAGAGCGAGATAGTGCTGTAACAATCTACTGAGTGTTGCTCCATTGAGCGAAGCGAGATAGTGTTATCAAAAGCTACCGAGTGTTGCTTCACTATCGAACAAAGCGAGATAGTGTTATAAAAAGCTATCGAGTGTTGCTCCACTATCTCGCTTTGCTCGATAGTGGAACACGAGACGGATCAAATATCTACATTCGAATAATACTACAATGTATAAACAACACGGGTTTGACTACACCGACACCTGCTAGATAGATACTCTGTTATAGATAGGCTGTTATATAGATATCTGTTGTGTTTAGTCTGTTATATAAATAGTCTGTTGGTTTAGTCTGATGGTTTAGTTTGTTGGTTTAGTCTATTTGTTTAGTCTACTATATAAATGAAGCCTTTAAAGGAGACAAAATAATCCCCTTTTTTCAATCTCAAGTCACAAGACAACAAAACTATACCAATCAAAGCCAATTATTTACAAGGCAAAACGGCAAGTTTCTCTTTTGCCAAAATACATCTTTTACCCAAAAAAAAAAAGTTTCAGTCATAATGTAAGAGGAAAGGAGTAGATTAAGTCATAATGTAAGAGGAAAATGCGTATGTCATAATGTAGAGGAAGGCATAAAGATAAAGTCATAATGAAAAGCAAGGCATAAAGATAAAGTCATAATGAAAAGCAAGACATAAAGATAAAGTCATAATGAAAAGCAAGGCATAAAGATAAAGTCATAATGTAAAAGGAAAAGGCGTTTGTAAAAAACCATTAATTTTCTCTTACTGGCAATTCAATATTGGTATCTGTGCGGCATTTTGATTAATTCTATAGTTTGAATCTTTTTTCAAGGCTTAGCTAGTAAATAGTATAAAAATTCATTGCCTAAAAAAAAAAAAGAAAATATTCATGAAAACTTTATACTTTGATTAATTGGGGTTTTAGTAGAATACATATTGCCTTACGAATTTTGAATATGGGCTTGGTAATATGAGCTTTGTAATGTCGACTTTAAATATATTATCGAAACTTGTTGAGATCTCTCTCTTCAAGTGTCGGTGGCAGCTAGTCACTCGCTCTGCTCGATAGTGTCATTTCGCTCTGCTCAATAGTGTCAAATTGCTCTGCTCGATAGTGTCATTTCGCTCTGCTCGATAGTGTCATTTCGCTCTGCTCGATAGTGTCATTTTGCTCTGCTCGATAGTGTCATTTCGCATGCAAGATATTTATCCTTTTCACTTATAAGTCTCATTTTCTTCTCTTCTTTTATCAATCAAGCCTAATCAATCGCTACTTACAATTAGATAAAAGAAATAAAATATTTTTTTAAAAGAAATAAAATAGAACAAAGTGAAGGAAGAATTTGCCAATACTTTAAGGTGAAAAAAAAAAAACATGTCATCGTTTCCATACTAAAACACAACTTTAATATTCAGAGTTGTAGTGCAAGACAAAGACTAAGAACTAAATTACATGGCCTCATTGGATACGTTTTTCCATATTGTATTTGAAAAATCTGGCTTTTAGGTATCAAACAGTTGGTGGGGTTAAAACTGAAATGAAATGAAAAAAAAAAAAATAAAAAAAATAAAGAAAAAGAAAAAGAAAAAGAAATATGTACAAAATTAGGAACCCTTTTTCTTTTTACACATAAATAAGCCATCATTTCCCTTGTCTTCTACCCCCCCCCCCTCTTTCCTCTCTCTCCCCCCCGCCTTCTCACTCCTCTCCCGTTACTTTATCTTTCTCACTCCACATCTTATCCCATCTCCTCTTTGTCTTTTTTTTTTTTTCATCCTTTTCCAATTGTTTCAGTTTTCCTTTCTTTTCCCTCTTTCAAGATAGATTGAACATTCAAATATTATGAGCCTGGGAGATCTGGAGAAAGCTGGTTTATCATTGACTGATGACGAACCGTTCCCATTGAATTCACACCGTTCCCTAAAAGATGAACTTAATCGAGAAAAACATTCCGACTCAAATCAAGATTCTGTAATAATAATAGATGAGCTAGATAAGGGACATGTCGGTGAGATTAAAAGAGGGTTGAAATCAAGACATGTTTCTATGATTGCTTTGGGTGGTACTATTGGAACAGGTCTTTTCATTTCAACAGGTGGAATCATTGCAACATCTGGCCCTGTGCTATCACTAATTTCTTTTTTATTCATGACAACAATTGCATTTAGTGTTACCCAATCCTTGGGTGAAATGGCTACCCTCATACCTGTTTCCGGGTCATTTGCTCAATTTGTAACTCGGTGGGTTTCCAAATCTTGTGGAAGTGCAAATGGTTGGCTATATTGGTTTAGCTGGGCAATGACTTATGCTTTGGAATTATCTGTGGTGGGCCAAGTCATTGAGTTTTGGACTGATAAAGTACCATTAGCTGCTTGGATTAGTATATTCTTTGTTATCATTTGCATCTTCAACATGTTCCCTGTGCACTTTTACGGTGAAGCCGAGTTCTGGATCGCAAGTATCAAGGTGGTTGCAGTACTTGGATGGATAATTTATGCCCTTTGTATGGTTTGTGGTGGAGGAAGTAAGCCTGCAGTTGGATTTCGTTACTGGAGACACGGGATGGCTTGGGGTCCTGGAATTTTGGTAAAGGACAAAGCTACTTCCAGGTTTCTTGGATGGGTTTCCTCACTTATAGCGCTGGCTTTCACTTTTCAAGGTACCGAGTTGGTTGGTATTAGCGCGGGTGAAGCTGATAATCCAAGAAAAACAGTACCGCTGGCAATTCGTAAGGTGTTGTTCAGAATCTTGATCTTTTACGTTCTTTGTATGTTTTTTTTGGGATTGTTGGTGCCCTATAATGACCCCATGTTACAAAATGGAAATTATACTAGCACTTCGCCATTCATCATTGCCATGGAAAATTCAGGAACTAAAGTTTTGCCTCATATTTTCAATGCTGTTATTTTAACCACAATTATCCTGGCTGCTAACTCTAATGTCTATAGCGGATCAAGAATCATTTATGGTCTTGCCCAAGCGGGTGTAGCACCCAAGTTTTTCTTGAGAGTGAATAATGGAGGTGTGCCATACTATGCTGTTTTATTTACAGCTGCTTTTGGTGCATTGGGATATTTAGCTTGTTCAAACGATGGAAATAAAGCATTCAACTGGTTATTGAACATTACAGCTGCGGCTGGATTAATCTGTTGGGGGTTTATCTCAACAGCTCACATTAGATTCATGAATGTGTTAAAAAAGAGGGGGATTAGTAGGGATACATTGCCTTACAAGGCTTTGTTCATGCCATATAGTGCCTACTATTCATGTTTTTTTATCTTCTTAATTGTGTTGATCCAAGGTTTCCTGGCATTTTTCCATGGATTTGATGTAACTAATTTTTTCACTGCATACGTTTCAGTGATATTGTTTGTTGTATTGTGGATAGCATTCCAATTGTTATTCAAAGGTTTCAGCACTAATCCCGGTGACTACTTAATACCATTGGATGACTGCGACATAGATACAGGAGTAAGAGAAGTAGATGAGATTGAATTTACGGAAAAAGAACCAAAGAATCAATGGGAAAAGTTTTGGTCTATAGTCTTTTAATCTATAATAATATATATATACTAATATTCTTTCTTTCACTTTCAATATATAAGCACCGTTATAATCTACTACTTGGTATACCGTGAAATCTTTTATTTTTTTTTTTGGATATTTTAAAGGGGAGAACTTGTTAGGTTGGTTTGAAGAAAAGATTACCATACTTGGTGCGGTATTCAATGCACCACCAGAATTCAGAGCCTTCAAATGGCGATAGTGTACACGCATCTACACACACTATAATGCTGATCAGTTTTCAACATCAGACGTAAAAAGAGAATACACTCAACTCTAAAAAAGAAGTTTTGAGTCTTCTTGATTTCTTCTCTCCTTGTATTCAGTTTTCATTTTCCATTTTTCCATTTTTCATCTTTTATTTTTTTATTTTTTTTTTCCTCCCATATTTAGCTCATCTCATCGCATAACAAGTAATTTTTCAACCATGGCTCGAAGGACCAAACCTCAGAATAGAACTAGAGAGAACGAAGCCGAGGTTGTGTCAGACTCTGCTGCAAGGAACTTGCTAGCGAGTCAACCAAAACTAACTGCTAAATCAAAGGTCAAAAAGCTAACTAAACTACAGGTAAAGAAACAGCAGGCTAAGATAAGGTTATATGGTGCTAAAAATGGGAAAGAGTATAAAGAAGAGCAACTAGATATTCCCAATTTAAATAGAGCCATTGTCCCCGGTATCAAACCCAAACGAGGCAAAAAGGGCAAGAAGTTTGTTGACGATAACGATTCCCTCACATATAAACGATTGGTGAAAAGCATCAATGATAAGTATGACCAAGTAAATGAAAGCAAATTGGAAAAATCGAGAAGATTAGAAGAAATACGAGAGTTGAAAAAGCAGGAAATAGAACGTAAGGAACAACAAAAGAAAGACAAGCTAAATAACAAGAAAGACGAATTGCGAAATAAAGCTGCAATGGCCAGATCAACAAGAAGAAAAAACGCTAAAGCAAGAAAGGCAGAAGAAGGTGGTCAAAATGGAGAAGAAGCAAAACCATTAAAAAAGAAAGTATCGTTTGCATAAGGAAATTTATACATACATTCTCTAATGATGATAATAATAATAATATTAATAATAAAAATAAATAATACCAGCTTCAGAAATCAAATACAAATCTTCTTTTGCGAATCAGCTCTTTTCTCTTTCTGGCATACCAATATCCATAAGCAAGTCCTACGATACTACCTCCCAAGTGTGCCGCATAGTCAAAAGTGCCCCATCTAAGTAAAGTTCCTGCGGCATTCCATATAACAGTACCCAAAAATAGCACCAAGGACCCACCAGGTATTGGTATGAAAAAAATTCCCACTGGAGCCGCGGGGAAAAGCACCGAGAAAGCACCAAATATACTGAATATTGCTCCTGATGCTCCCAAAGATGCCACTGACAAAGATGTGCCCATAAACATGGGAATTGCTATCGAAGCAAAGGAGGAAATCACGGCTGAGTTTAAATAAAGAATGGAAAAGTTGGTCACACCCAAGACTGTTATCAATGTAGATGCAAACGACTGAAAGCAAAGCATATTGATAAAAAAATGAGTAAAGCTCTGGTGTGAAAATGCCGAGCCTAATAGCGCCCATGGAGATTGCACATTATCCTTAAATAGTATTCCATACTTCATTGTGAATTTTTGAAGCTGCGGTACTCTCCACATTAAGAACACTATACCATTAAGACCCATTATCGCCCACATTAGGGATTGTGGATGTCTCTTGAGCGCTGATAATGGCGTATAGTTGTAGATATAGGGCGTAACTAAAGTTGTTGCCACACAAAAACCAACAGTAAAAAGCAAAGGTTTCTTTAATTTATCCCAGTGGGATCTGTGATAATACTTATTATAATTCCTCCATGTCTCGTTTCTGAAAAGTGATGGGCCCGTTTGGAAGGTCCTCGATACTACTACTGGTTTGGGAACACGAGTTACCCTACTAAACAAATTTGAACCGAATAGTGGACGCCTAGTAGGCACTAGCTTAAACATGGTGAACATTGGATGGGATCTAAAAAGACTCTTCTTACTTACAATGAATGAAAAAAAAAAGAAGAATGAAAAATATAAATGAATCTTGTTACTATATAAAAAGTGCGCGCGCAATATACAGATATAGATATAGATATAGATATAGATATAGATGAAAGAAAGGCTCTTCTATAAACCATCTTCATCTTGATCCTTTTCTTCGAGGTCGATTTTTGACTTTCCAGCTAGTCTAGCTTCGGCCATCTTTTGCGTTCCAACTTGTTTCTTCACTTTCCTAGTCATTCTCTCTATTTCATCTTCGGCGTTATCAGCATCTCTTTCAGCAAATTGCATAACCAACCTTCTACCGAGTAAATGGACACCTTCCAATTGTGACATTGCATTTTCTGCTTCTTTCAACAAATTAAATTCGACAAAAGCAAAACCTCTAGCACTTTGATCGAATTTTTTGGGTACACGCACCGATTTTAATTGACCAAAAGCGCCAAAAAGTTCCAAGATATCCTTTCGAGAAGCTTCAAATGGTAAATTCTTGATAATGATTTTACTCGATTTGTTCGACTTGGAAGATGAAGAAGAAGAAGAAGCTGTTTTGCTATTTGCTTGCTTGTGTGATAATTTCAATTGAAGTTTGTGACCATCTAGCACGTATCCATCTAGAGTGGATATCGCAGCACTGGCTTCTTCTTGCGACTTGAATTCGGCAAAACCAAATCCCATGCTTAATACTTGGCCCAATCTCTTTGGGTCGGGTTTGGTCTTTACCGTGGCCATTACAAACCCAGGCAATGGCTTGAAAAGGTCCGATAATTGTTGAATAGTTGTGGAAAAGTTGAGATTCTTTACAAATATGGAAACAGTTGGTCCTTGCAAAAACTCATCCTCTCCCTTCTCCTGTTCTATATCTCCTCCAAGAACATCCTTAGCAGTTATGGTTTCCACAGGCTCTTCTTGCTTTTCTTTACCAGCATTAACAATCTCGTCGGAAAAGGAAGAGTTTGGCTCTCTTGTAAACAAATCTTTAGGACCTTTTTCCAAGTATAATATACTAGAATTGAATCTTTTGTAAGCTAATTTTGTAAATGCTGCTCTAGCACTTGGGGCATCTTTAAACTCAACAATTGCAATTGTACCAGCAGGAGGCATAAGCAATCTTTTCACTGGGCCGTATTGCGAGAATAGCTCACCCAACTCTTCAGCACTAGTGCCAAATGTGAAATTCTTTATCAAAATAATCTTGTCGTCCCTTTCCTTTTTATCAAAGCTCGCTAAATCAACTCCTTTTTCTTTGAAAAACTTTCTGACATCTCCAATAACATGAGCCTCTGCAAGCGCTTGTTTTACTGCAGAGCTGGAATTCTCGGGATCAATCAACTGAGATTTTTTGATACCTAACTTTGCAGCCATAGACTCCATCACAGCATCATTATTCATATAGAGAGAGTTCCAACTAAACTGGCTCTTTGCAGCCAGTGATTTCTTCTTCAATTCTCGCTGTTTCTTTAAAGGCAAATTTTTCAAATCGAATTCATCCAACCTGTGGCTTTTTTTCTTATCAGATGCAAGAATATGAAGCAATCTGCCTTGAAAAATCTGTTTATCCAAAGCTTCGTATGCCCGCACGGCATCTTGTGAATTGACAAATTGAATATATACAAAACCTTTGGATTTGCCAGTTCTAGTGTCAATAGCAATGTGTACTTCTTCAAGTGGGCCATAGGTTTGGAACAAATTTCTAAAATCGTCTTCTGTTGCATTGTACAGTATGTTTCTGATAAATAGTCTCCCTGTGTCTTGAAGTTTTTCCAAAATCAAATTAGAGTTGTCCTCGTTTTCCACCTCTTGCAATGATTCCTCTTCCACTGTTTCCTCTTTTCCCTTTGTATCTTGCTCCTTCTCTAAAATTGGTAGTTCGCCATTCTCTTTAATTCTCACCTTACGAGATCTGAGCCATTCAATATCTGATACTTTTTCGTCCCTTGCTAGATTATCAGAACCGTCCAAGACCATCATTTCTTCTTCTTCTTCTTCTTTTTCCTCCTCATTCTCGCCTTTTTTGGTGTGACCAAAGTCATTATACTCGTCATCGCTCTCCTCATCCAGCTTTACCTTTGGCTGAACTTGCCCCGTTACCACCATCTTTTTTTGTTTATCTGTTCTTGTCCTGCCACTATCAATATCAATATCATTATCAATACTCTCTTCACCTTTTAGGGCATTTTCTAGCTCCTTTGAAGAAGGGCCGCCGCTACCGTCTGCTATAGAATCATTAGCCCAAGATTTAACCTGACTTGAAGGTTTCATAACTTCCATATATTCCTTAAACTTTGGATCATTCTCCATCTCTTCTTCAAGCGCAGATTTTCGTTTGACTCGTTTATTTTCAACCTGCATCTTCTTCAACAACTCCTCCTCCTGTCTCTTTAACCTCTCGGTATCCTTTTTCCTCTTTTCCCTAAATGATATCGGAACATTGGGATCTGCAAATGTCTTTGCAATCTCCACCTCAATTCTTGCCGTGTCAATAAATGACTTGTTAAAAAATTTCACTGCATTCTCAGCTGATTCTTGACAATTATACCCTATAAACGCAAACCTCCTCGATTCTCCGGTCTTGGCCTTGATTAGCTTAACATCCGTAATATCCCCTTGCTTCCCAAAATGCTGTCTCAAGTTCTCCTCTGTAAAATATCGGGGTAAACCCTTGACTATCAATCTTGACATTTTTCACCCTTACCTTGAAAGATACCAAAATGCAATGAGCAATGTGCGATGAGATGAGATGAGATGTCCAAAAAGGGAAGAGAAGAAAAAAAAAAAAAAAAAAAAAAAGAAACTGCTAAAAATAAATTGAATAATTTATTTTTTTTGTTTACCTCTTCTACATTCTTCATCCCCCTTTTACCGCCTAAGGATTATAATCAAAACCGCCTAAGGATAACCGAAACTGCCTAAGGATAATAACCAAGACCGCCTAAGGATAATAACAAAAATCGCCTAATCTTCAAAAACCGCTTAAGCTACGAAATCTCTATGGAGTTGTTAGATCATCTAGGTATCAACTATAATGGAGGTGAACACCAAATATCTCTTAAAAATTGGATCCAGGGAGTTGTTAGTCTTTTGCTTTTATTTTTGTTTATTCTATCATATCAAGCAGTTGCCGTTTTTGCAACCTGTTTAGCTTCGGTTTTCCCAGATACGGCAAGTTTGATTCGAAACAGGTTTGGAAATAGATTCTGGGACTTGGGTCTTTGTTTGATGGTTTGTATTGTTCATCCGTTTCGTCTCTTCCCCCCCGCCTTTTCTCTCTTCTTTTTCCATGGGGATATACTAACCATATAACCAGCGGCTTAACAATGTAAAGTTCAAGATTTTGGGAGACGAGATGAACCCATACCCAGCAGTGGTAATTAGTAACCACGCTTCGCTTGCAGACTGCTTTGTAATGCATCATCTTTCACGCATATCTACTGCACAGGATGGAGACTCATTCGTCGGTTATCACAACCAGAGCTTGAACTTGCCAATTGTGAACTTCTTTTCATGGTTCTTGGTATGGAGAGTGCCAACAATCAAAATACTACTCAACCTCCTCAAAAGTGATGAGAACTGGGAACTTGAAGAGAAATCAATCTTGTTTGTGTTTGCTAGGCTTTTAAGAAGCAAATTCTCAGAATGGATCATGCTATTCCCAGAAGTCAATATTTGGACACAAGAGAGCTTTGATTTACAAAGACAAATTGGTGAAAAATATTGCTTGCCGAGATTAGAACACTTGTTGTATCCGAGATACTCGGCCTTTTATAACGTGATAACTGCATTGCAAAGGTATAAACCGCACCCATACTCGAATTTGTACGATCTCACTATCCTATATTCCCGTGAAACAATTGATGGAAAAGTCGACTACACACCGCCAACTTTGCTCCAAGTGTTTTCCTCAGAAACACCAATTACCATATTAGTCTATATAAAAGTAAGATCAATTGCTAGGATTCCGCAAAAGAGAAAGAAGTTGGAAAGATACTTGGAGCACCTTTGGAAGCATAAGGATAAAATAATTACTCAAATAAAAAACGAAAATACCTTGTACCACACACGTCGCTTGGATGAAAGTTTTGCATCTTCATTAGTCGCCAACACCTCTAGAAGTTCAGCCCGCTGAATAAACACATATAACATATACTTATATATATATATATATCTATCAATGCTATTAAATATCTTGTATACGACTAATGGGTAAACTGTATATTCTCGATTTGCTATTTTCATCTCTTTGGATTTTATAAAAATGGTCAGTGAACCGATCACCTTGAATATGAGTCAAAAATTTCTCATCATGGGTAATAACAATCAATTGGAAATTCAGTTGTTGTTTTCTATACTCTATGATTCTATTCAAAGCCGAAGCTAATGCTTCAGCATTCTCGTTGTCCAAGTTTGTTGTTGGCTCATCTAGAGCAATCATCCCGCAATTTGCACCAAAACATTCCGCTAAAGCTAATCTGATTAGAATACTTGCCAATACTTTTTGGCCCGCTGAGCATCTGCCCCTCATATCTAATTCACTTGAATCTTTGATCATAACAACTCGATAATTATACGACCTGTTTCCCTTGGCTTGTAAGTTGACATCGCTTTTGATTGCTATTGTTGAGATATCTGATCCTTTGTACGTTTGCGACCATAGCTCGTTTAAGATTCTATTTATATCTTCCATTTTTATACCATGGTATTTCATAATCGCATTATCCAACGCTTTAGAGTAATTTTGAATATCATTTGAAACAAGAAGATTGGTTTGAAGTTTTATCCATTCAGCGTGATATAGTTCATTTACATCCTTGTATTCGCTTTCCAATTCCCTTTTCACGTTTTCAACTTGATCTTTGATTTGCTTTACTTCGCCTATTTTCCCAGCGTGCTGCGCTGTAAGTTCAGAAAGCTCTTCTCGTAATCGTCTTGATTGTTCTTGGTATTCTTGTTTTTTCAACTGAGCATTTTCAATGTCAAGAGAGTTGAGTTGGAAATCACATTCATCAAGACGATGTACTTGAGTTCGATAATCTATATTTGCCATTATATTGTGCTCAATTCGAGAGGCATCCATAACTTCTTTTTCCAAAATCTTAATTTCATTTGAGTTTTTGGTGATATCCTTTTTAATGAAATCACATTCTTCAAGAACATTCCTCATTTGCACACTATTCTCTTCAACTTTTGCCAAAACGTTTTGCTCAAAATCGGTTATCGCATTGTTTAAAAAATGGAATGAAGAAGACAAGTCAGATACTTGCTGAACTCTCTTCCTCAATTCCTCCTCTTTCTTGTTAATATCCTCTTGCATTTGTCGTAAGCTACTGCTTTCCAAATCTTTCTTAACTTGCAAGTTTTTCAACTCTTCTTTAGCAATGGTGCTTTTCTCCTCCGTCGCTTCCACACTAGATTGGATCTCCTTGATTGAACGTTTAGTATTCTGAACATCAGCTAAAGATCTTTCAAGATTACTAATCACCAATTTGGTATCCTTGAATCTATTTTCCAACTTTTGGATATCTTTTTGAACCTGATATTTCTCTTCCGTAAAATTATTCAATTCTTGTCTAATTTGTCTAATTTTATTATTCACATTTTGCTGTTGTTTTTGTAACTCGCTGGTGGAAGCAATTACATTAAAACCTCCCAAATCATCATTTAAATCATCGACTTGAAGTTCAAGATCTTGTGCTTCTAAATTTAATCTGGTTGCATCAGATAAAGGTTTCCTTAATGTGGCAGCCATATCAACAGACGCTTTCATTGTTTCGAGTTTCTTGGTTTCTGCTATAATGGACTCATTTAACTCTTTTATTTTGCTATCCAAAGCATCAACATCACAATCATACGTGGACTGAAGAGATAAGCACTCTCTATATGCAATAACCTTTAAACCTATTTGCCTTGTTTCCTTAAACTCTCTTTCGATTTCATTTGCCGTTTTCTTTACCTCCTCTATCTTTTTTTCATCAAACCCCATTCTCAAGTTTTTTAAAAAATCCTCCAACTCAGATTTACTAAACGCCCTCTTGCACAATAAGCAACAATTGTTCTTCTCCGCCACTTCAAGTGCAGAAGTACCATAACTTTTTGTTACTTCAGAAGTATTGACATCCTCCATGACATTTCGATAATCCTCCTCCAAATCTTGCACTATCGTTTCATAATCATTAATGGAATCCTCTGGGATCACTTGTAGAATATCTGTTTTCAAGTGATTAATTTTGGCATTGTTGTCATCCCTTACTCCTATTGCTGATTGTTTGGACCGTTTCGCAGACTCAAGTTCACTTTCCAAGCTGTAGACCTTTCTTTGTTGCTCCTCATAATTCGAACTGAGCTCAGAAAATTTTTCAATGAATTTTGTTTCTGCAAAATCAATATCTACATCACAACCCACTTGATCTTTATAGTCTGTGTTGATCTTCTTTAGGATTTTGCTCACTTCGGCATTTTTTGACTCAACGGATTTTTCAAGATATGTGAGTTTAGATCTGATTTCTGATTGTTTATTACTTATGACGAGTTTTTTTGCAATCTCATCCAGCTCAAATTCCAATTTAGAAATTTCTTCATTGGCACATATTATCTTTGTATCAAGATCCCTCACCTCATTCAAATTTCTTTTTGCAGTCAACGATTGTGTGATGACAAGCAAATCATCCTTCTTTGCCACCAATTCGGTCTCATTACTTGAACCAGCATCCAATTTCTTTTTTAATGTACTTAAACTTTGCTGGTGATTCTTTAGTTCGCTATCGAGGTATTCTAAAGTTTGTTCGCTTTTCAAGATGGAATTATTTACATTTTGAACTTTTTCTTGTTGCAAGGACTCCCTCTCTTTGTTTTTTGTGGTAACCTCTTTTTGCTCTTCTTTTGTGGAAATCAACTGTTTTTCAATTGTTTTTCCAAATTCAGAAATGCTTGATGCTTTTTGTGATGATGGTAAACCTACCAAGTCTCCATGTTTCTTCATGATATTATTGATTTTAGTCAAGTTTGTTTCGTACTCGGATTTCTTAGCCTTCAAAGACCCATCTAGTCGTATCAATTCATTATAGTTGTTGGTTTTCTCTTTCAACAGTGAATCTAACTTCTCAATGACATTTTGCAACTTCTCTACCAAGGCACTTTTCTCGGCATTTATAGAGGCAAAATTTTCCTGTTTATGGAACAATTCTTCGTCGGTATCTGGCAACATTGTAATAGTTGACTCTAGTCTCTCGATATTTTCTTCAAATGAGCTCCTTTTTAATACCAAATTTTCATAATCGCTTAATGTTTTTTGAAACTCTTGATTAGTGGCAAACAAATTTTCAGCCTCTTTTTCCTTTTGCTCAATCTTGATATTTAGATCGCTGATGATCTCTGTGTACTCGTCCACCAACTTATTCATTGAAACCGATTTATCCTTTACCTTCTGTGCTCTATCTTTATCGATCTTCAAATGGTTTACACTTTGCTCAATCAATTTGATATCAACCGACATATCCTTTTTAATGGTCTTTAAATTATCAAGCACTTTGGTGAACTTTGATGCTTCAAATATATCGTCAAATTTTTTTTTCAAAACCGAAGCTTCGCTTAATGGCCATAGACTTTCATCTTGATGACAAAAGATGACATTATCCAAGATGGCAGGTGACGCGCCTAAAAATATGGGAATTTGAGAATCCAATTCAGCATTTTTCGAAGATATGCTTGTTTTCTGCCCCTTTTCAATATACGCCAACTGACCTTCTAATGACTTGAATGTAATACCACCACCACCACTACTACTACCACTACCACCACCTGCTGCTGCTGCTACTGCTGCTGCTGCTGCTCCACCTCTCGCCATGCTTTTGCCCTTCTTCAACGACGCCTGAACCGTTCTCGTAGTAAGCATTGATTTCCCATTGGCATTCCTAAATGCTAATTTTACCTGGCCCGTTACAACTATACGAGAACTCAAGCTGGGATCATGAACAAACGCACCTCCTTTAGAATTTGGAGGTAAATTACCAGTAGTTGCATACTTCAAGCATTCTATAATAGTGGTCTTACCACATCCATTTTGACCACATATCAAAGTTAGCGGAGACCCAAACTGGATCGTCTCATCTGATTCAGGTTCAAATGCCCTTATACCTTTAATAGAGAGCTTATATATGCTCGACATCTATTAATAACCAATCGATAACTTTATCCTGTTTGAGATTTGATGAAAAATAAAATTATGGGGAGTTGTGCTACCAAGTGTCTATAGCGACACTAGCGAGCGAAGCGAGCTAGTGGAGCGTTAGAGTAGAGAGTACCGACAGTAGGGAGCGAAGCGAGCTAGTAGAGCGTTAGAGTAGAGAGTGGCGACTGTAGAGAGTAGCGCCACTAGGGAGCGAAGCGAGCTAGTGGAGCGTTAGAGTAGAGAGTACCGACAGTAGGGAGCGAAGCGAGCTAGTGGAGCGTTAGAGTAGAGAGTAGCGACTGTAGAGAGTAGCCACTGTAGAGAGCGAAGCGAGCTAGTGGAGCGTTAGAGTAGAGAGTAGCGACAGTAGGGAGCGAAGCGAGCTAGTGGAGCGTTAGAGTAGAGAGTAGCGACTGTAGAGAGTAGCCACTGTAGAGAGCGAAGCGAGCTAGTGGAGCGTTAGAGTAGAGAGTAGCGACAGTAGGGAGCGAAGCGAGCTAGTAGAGCGTTAGAGTAGAGAGTGGCGACTGTAGAGAGTAGCGCCACTAGGGAGCGAAGCGAGCTAGTGGAGCGTTAGAGTAGAGAGTACCGACAGTAGGGAGCGAAGCGAGCTAGTAGAGCGTTAGAGTAGAGAGTGGCGACTGTAGAGAGTAGCGCCACTAGGGAGCGAAGCGAGCTAGTGGAGCGTTAGAGTAGAGAGTACCGACAGTAGGGAGCGAAGCGAGCTAGTGGAGCGTTAGAGTAGAGAGTAGCGACTGTAGAGAGTAGCCACTGTAGAGAGCGAAGCGAGCTAGTGGAGCGTTAGAGTAGAGAGTAGCGACAGTAGGGAGTAGTGACAGTAGCGAGCGAAGAGAGCTAGTGGAGCGTTAAAGTAGAGAGTACCGACAGTAGAGTCTTAGAGAAGAGAGTAGCGATAGTAGAGAGTAGCGATAGTAGAGAGTAGCGATAGTAGAGAGTAGCGACACTAGCTCGCTTCGCTCGCTAGTGGTGCATTAGAGAAGAGAGTAGCGACTATAGAGAGTAATAAGTAGACAGTAGTGTATATCGACTAGCTCGCTTCGCTTGCGCTCCACTATCTCGCTCTGCTCGGTAGTGCAGAGCTAGTATTAATGACAGCTAGTGTACTCCACTATCTCGCTCTGCTCGATAGTGTCGTGCTCGATAGTGTCGTGCTCGATAGTGTCACGCTCGATAGTGTCACGCTCGATAGTGTCACGCTCGATAGCGTGTGAGTATGAATGAGTTTACATTAATTTCATCTATAAAAGTTGTTAGTTCAAGTGAGTCTTGGATAACTCAGCTGCAATATCGTCAACATTTTCATCTTTGTTTTCCATTGAAATACCAGCAAGTTCTTTTTCAAGTTGTTCCAAATCCAAGTCTTCTTCTAATGAGTCTTCTTCTTCTTCATCATGCACATTTTCCATGCCACCTTTTCCTTCCTCCTCTTCCTCCTCCTCCTCCTCCTCTTCTTCTTCTTCACTTTCAAGTTCTTCTAGTTCATCCAATTCGTCCAATTCTCCAAATCCTCGCTCTTTAAAGATTTCTCTAATCTTATCAATATGTTCGGATTCCTCTTCAAATCTATTACCATTTAATTCCAAGTATTTTAGGTTTGGCAAGTTTAAGCCAATAGTTTCAGCTAAAACTTGTAGACTATCTTGCTCTAATTCGTTATATTGTAATTTCAAAATTGTCAATTTTTCCTTTGTTTCTTTAGTTATTGCTCGAACGATTTCTAAGGACCCCTTGTTCTTCAACAATGAGTCATTCAAGTTCAATTCAATCAACTCTGGCCAGTTTTGTATGGAATCGGCTAATTTCATGGCGCCTCTAGTAGTAATGGTATTGTCTTGCAAGTCCAAAATCTTCAATTTTTTATTCCAGGATAATCCCTTTTCCACTAATTTGGCAATACCTGCTGGTCTAATTCCATTTTGGTACAATCTCACAACTTCCAAGTCCTTATGATTTCTCAACCCCACTGATAAGTAATTGATTGAGCCATTTTCTAATCTATTTCTTCCACAAACAAACGTCTTTAACGAAGGTTTGCCAGCTTTGGCTTTAGCAAGAGCCAACTTGAATAATGCGCCTCCGATTCTGGATCCGGCAAATGGACCCATACCGTTATTTGACAAGATCAAGTGTTCGATTGAAATGGCCTTGGCTATATAATCGTCTATTGGATCAATTGTTTGCAATCCAAATGCATTATCACTCAAATTGATTATTTTCAAATTGGGCAATTTCAACAAGCTTGGTAATAGATGTTGAAGCGACTGAGGAATCTCGGTGTTTAATCTACCAGTGTATAAATCAGAAAAGTCTATTTCAACAATAGAATCTTTGCCTAAAAGCGCCTCGCTTAATGCCTTAGAGGCTTCAATACCAATAGTGTTTCCTGAAAAATCAACCTTTCTAACATCGTGAAACTCATTGAGTTCCTTGACATAAGGGGCAATATCTTCAGCTGTGTCAAACTTTATTTGTTTACCAGCAACAGAAAAAGTTGTCTCTGGCGTAACTCCTAAACCCAAGTCCAAATCAACTAGCAACGATGTCATTATTCAATCAATAAAACAACAAACCCACCTTTGTTAAATGAAATCATCTATTTGTGAAAAATTATAAAAATTTGTGTGTAATAATTTCAAAAAGTGAAAAAAAAAAAAAAAAAAAAAATTTCAGTGTTGAAGCAAACGGGAAAATAAAAAATTGCACGTTTTGAGGTCATCATCAAGAAAGACAATATAAGTATTTGAGCAATGAACTTTCAGACTAGAATCGCACCAACTTCTAAGGAAGAGTCATACTTGGAGAAAATAAAAAAAACTCCTGCTTTTATTATTGGTTCACAAGTTGCTTTATTTGGTCTTGGAGTATTGTTTATCCAATCTCCATTGATGGATATGTTGGTACCACAATTATAGACTGACCGACACTATCGAGCAGAGCGACCAACACTATCGAGCAGAGCGACCAACACTATTGAGCAGAGCGAGATAGTGAAGTCGTATGGTATAGTAGCTATTGTTAGTATGGTATAGTAGCTATTAGTAAGGTGTAGTACCAATTAGTAGGCGTAGTACCAATTAGTAAGGTATAGTACCAATTGTTAGTGTGGTATATTACCTATATGGGTGTAAATAGACGAGTTAATAAAAGAAAAACAAAATACAATTTACTCTGTAGAAATCGACACTAGCAAACAGAGCAACCGACACTATCGAGCAGAGCGAGATAGTGGAGTCGTATGGTATAGTACCAATTGTTAGTATGGTATAGTACCAATTGGTATGGTATAGTAGCAATTGTTAGTATGGTATAGTAGCAATTGTTAGTATGGTATAGTACCAATTGGTATGGTATAGTACCAATTGTTAGTATGGTATATTACCAATTGCTATGGCATAGTACCAATTGCTATGGTGTAGTACCTGTTAGTAGGGCATAGTACCTATTAGTATGGTGTAGTACCTATTAGTAAGGTATAGTACCCATTGTCGCGATAGGTGCAAACCTTAAGAAATGGCCTATTTGGCAATGGGTGCAAACTCACTTTGTTTACACAAGTGAGAAGCGACACTATCGAGCAGTGACTAGCTTGTAACAACACTATCGAGCAGAGCGAGATAGTGAAGCAAAACTGACTAGCTTCCTGCAACACTATCGAGCAGAGCGAGCTAGTGGAGCAGCGGTACTGACTAGCTTGCTACAACACTATCGAGCAGAGCGAGATAGTGGAGCAGTACTAGCTTCCTACAACACTATCTCTTTCTGCTTGATAGTGGAGCAATATCGACTAGCTTCTTATAACACTATCTCGCTCTGCTCGATAGTGGAGCATTCAGTAGCTTGTTACCCCACTATCTCGCTGTGCTCGATAGTGTCATCTCTTTCCGCTCGATAGTGGAGCAGTACTAGCTTCTTACAACACTATCTCTTTCTGCTCAATAGTGTTTTTCGTCTTTTCTTATCAGGACAGAAAATAACATGCGCATCATTTAATAAAAAAGGATGCAATTATAGGAGATAAAGCTATCAATGCATTAAAAGCGAGATAAAACAGTGTAACATCAAAAAAGGGCTGTTTTTAAACAGTACATTATATGAAAAAAAGGGCTGTTTCTGGAAAAACGCACTAATTGCATTGAGCGCATTAAACGCTTTGATTGCGTTGGTTCTGAGTGTGTCGGTAGTCAAACCCATCAGTGCTCCAGAGAGCTGGTGTTCTGTTAGTGCTGCTCCACTAACGAGCACAGAGAGATGACACTATCGAGCACAGAGAGATGACACTATCGAGCAGAGCGAGATAGTGGGGTAACAAGCTACTGAGTGCTCCACTATCGAGCACAGAGAGCTGGTGTTTTGTTAGTGCTGCTCTACTAGCGAGCACAGCGAGCTAGTGGAGCTTGTCCCTTTTTTTTTTTCTGTCAACAACTCCGAAAGTTTTAAGACAATAGGCCCGAAAATGTGGGGTAACTACTGCGTTAGTATCTTTCTTGAGCATTTGATTTTAGAATTTTCTACTTGGGAGAAGTTACACGTCCCTTAAAAATGGCTTTATGAAAAAATATAACATGTCATATTTCTCATGTATGATTTGATGTATGATCTTTTGAGAAGAATCAGACCACCATAACCTATTGTAAAAAGATTGTTACCATATCTTGCAAAAAAAAAAAAAAGGGTTTTCTAAAGGATCCGCGGATTAGACCACTAGCAAGCACCACCACTAGCGAGCATCACCACTAGCGAGCAAAGCGAGCTAGTGGAGTAGCACTGACTGAACACTAGCGAGCTATAGCGAGTAGCACTGACTGAACACTAGCGAGCTATAGCGAGCAGCACTGACTGAACACTAGCGAGATATAGCGAGCAGCACTGACAGAACACTAGCGAGATATAGCGAGCAGCACTGACAGAACACTAGCGAGATATAGCGAGCAGCACTGACAGAACACTAGCGAGATATAGCGAGCAGCACTGACAGAACACTAGCGAGATATAGCGAGCAGCACTGACAGAACACTAGCGAGATATAGCGAGCAGCATTGACAGAACACTAGCGAGCAAAACCGAGCAGCATTGACAAAATTCTAGCTCGCTCTGCTCGCTAGTGGATCACAGTAGAATCTGTACTACCTTTTTTCTCTTTTTGAATAGTCACGTGCCTCTTCCATGCCTCGGGTAAACACCTAGAAAAAAAAAGAGTGCTCTAACCTCGGTAAAATAAGTCAAGGCACAAATAACTTGTGAGAACAAGAGGTATTTTTCTCCTAAATAGGCGATTTCACATTGTTTAATAATAACTCTCCTTAAAAGGCGAGAAAACGGATAAACTGTAATGACCTCTGTTGCATTCTTTGATTTTTTTTTTTTAGTATCGTATCCTAAATTCCAAATCAGAAGAGCAAAGAATGTGGGGAGTAGTACATCAAGTTAAACATCAGATGATAATGACGGAGTTTACCTAACTTAAAGCTCTTAAAGCATTATCTCGCTCTGCTCGATAGTGCTATAACAAGCAACTAAGCGACTCGCTCGATAGTGGAGCAGCACTGACTACACCGATACAGGATCCTCTTGTCTAACTCAACAACCATATAGCTTACTATAGCTTGCTCTGAGATCTGACCTTCTATATCAAACTCCGTTTGATATTGTTTGCTTAGTAAATTTTTCAGCCTTTTTGTGTGATTTCAATTTCAAAAATTTTGTGGAGTAAAAGAAATAGTGACAAATTGATAGATTCTTTTTTCTATTATGTAATTATAACCACTTAGTATTAGATCAGTATTATGTAACTCCCCACACATCTGCTTATGTAATTTTACCCCCTCCAATGCAAAGGTGATTTTTTTTTTTTGTTTCCCCCTTTGTGAAAGAGAGGATAAATTTTGCCTGTGAAGAAAGACACACCAGAAAGCTAGTAAGGTCCTTTATTATTTTTTTTTCGGGAAACAAATATATTAACCAGTAAATATCCCCCCCAAGTTTTGTATATCGAATCTCTTTTCTCTTTTTACTCATTACTTTTTTCTCCTGATCTTACTACACATCCTGGAAACACAGACACCCCTTTTACATATATCCTATTTTAACAGGTTTTTATTTTCCTCTTAAATATATTTATTTTGATTTTTTCACATTTACAGACACACACATTTTGAAAAGATGGTGGTAACAACAAAGAAAAATGTTAGTTTAAGTCAAGGTCCTGACCCCAAATCCTCGCTCCAGCTGGAGAGAGCCAAACAAAAGTTTGACCCTCAAGAAATGCAATACTTTTTAGAAGGTTCAAAAGAAAATGCCGAGTTGATCAAATCCTTGACTCAGCAAATGGAAAGAGATCCTATTTTGTGGACCGATGGTTCTTACTACGATTTGACCAAGGAAGAACTTAGAAAGTTCACTGCCGTCAAAATCAACAGAGTTTCTAGATACTTGGAATTTGACTCTATCCAGGTGTTCAATAGAAGATTGTCTTTGCTCGGTGTTTTCGACCCTGCTGTTTGTACGAGAATCGGTGTCAATTTGGGTTTGTTCATCTCGTGTATCAGAGGTAACGGTACTTATGACCAATTGAAATACTGGGCCTTGGATAAGGAAACTGCTCAAATTAAAGGTATATACGGTTGTTTTGGTATGACTGAATTGGCTCACGGTTCTAATGTCATGGGTATCGAAACTACGGCTACTTTTGACAAGGATAATGACGAATTCATCATTAATACTCCACACATTGGTGCTACAAAATGGTGGATTGGTGGTGCTGCTCACTCCTCAACTCATTGTGCTGTTTACGCAAGATTGATTGTCGATGGCGAAGACTATGGTGTAAAGACCTTTATCGTTCCATTGAGAGACTCAAACCATGATTTAATGCCAGGTATCTCCGTTGGTGATATTGGTGCTAAAATGGGTAGAGATGGTATCGATAATGGTTGGATCCAGTTTTCTTCGGTGAGAATTCCAAGATTCTTTATGTTGCAGAAATTCTGTAAAGTTTCCAGAACAGGTGATGTTATATTGCCACCATTGGAACAATTGTCATACTCGGCCTTGTTGGGCGGAAGAGTTATGATGGTGTTGGACTCTTATAGAATGTTGGCTAGAGTATCAACCATTGCTTTAAGATATGCTATCGGTAGAAGACAATTCAAAGGTGACAATGTCGACCCTGATGATGAAGAGGCTTTGGAAACTCAATTGATTGATTACCCATTACATCAAAAGAGATTGTTCCCATACTTGGCAGCAGCCTATATTGTTTCTGCAGGTGCCTTGAAGATTGAAGAAACCATCCAAGACACCTTGTTGGTGTTGGACGATGCTGTTGATGATAACGACGAAGAAGGTATAATGAAGGCTATCGATGCTATGAAGTCTTTATTCATTGACTCTGGTTCATTGAAATCCACATGCACTTGGTTAGCTGCTGAAGCAATTGACGAGTGTAGACAATCTTGTGGTGGTCATGGTTATTCAGCTTATAACGGTTTCGGTAAAGCTTATAACGATTGGGTTGTCCAGTGTACTTGGGAAGGTGACAACAATGTCTTGGGTATCAATATTGGTAAACCATTGGTTAAGCACGTTATGGCTATTGAAGATGACGGTAAAGTTGTTAAGGGATCATCTGATTTCTTGAACCAATTGAAGCAATATACTGGTAAAAACTTGGAAACACCTGTTTTGGACAATGCAAGTGATATCCAAGATGTCAAGAAACTTATCAAGGCAATTGAAGTTGCTATCATCAGATCTTGTTATGTAACCGGTAAAACTGTTAGAGAAAAATCATTTGATTACGTTGGCGCTGAATTGGTTACCATCTCCAAACTTAAAGCACACCACTATTTGTTGTCTGAATTCATTAGAAGAGTCGAGATCTTTGACCAAGCAGATAAGAAACCATACTTGTACACTTTGGCTAGATTGTATGGTGCAACCATTGTATTGGATAAATACGCAGGAACCTTTTTGGCATATAGCATCATCTCACCAAAGGCTGTTGCAGATTTGAGAAGCGTTGTTATTCCAAAATTATGTTCAGAAGTTCGTCCAAATGTTGTTGCTCTTACTGACTCCTTCCAACAATCAGACATGATGATTAATGCTCCAATTGGTAAGTATGATGGTGATATCTACGAAAACTACTTTGACCTTGTCAAGAGTTTGAATTCGCCTGCAAACCACAAGGCACCATATTCTGCTGCTCTTGAAGGAATGTTGAACAGACCTTCATTGACAGAAAGAGAAAGATTTGAGAAGACTCTCGAAGCTGGTGAAATTTTATCAAAGTAAAAAGTATAGGAAGTTAGTATATATCTTCTAATTTCTTTTTTTTTTATTGATTTCGACTTTGGTTGGTTTTGTATAGTATATAATGATTTTTAAAAAAAAAAATATGGTTAAGTATTTGTTAATTTGAAAAAGAAGTGTATTTTTCAAGATTGATATACATTTTATGAAGGATGCTTCTCTGTTGTTTTAATACAGACCTGCAATAATATATGTATGTATATATGTATATGTGTGAGTTTGTGAGGTGATTGTGATTACTAGCTGTTATGTCATGTATTGGTCTCAGGGTTTTTGAAAAGGTCTCCTCCCCTCGCACCAGTGATGATCTTTCCTTTGTCAAAGATAACAGATAGATTTGGTTCAAGTACAATGTGAAAAAAAAAAATTTATTAATAAAGGTATGAAATCACGTCATTCCTGTGAACATCAACACCTATAATCCTGTTGCTGAGCGGTTCAATTAGTTGAAAGTGAAGTAACCACCATTTATTAGTGGTTTATAGCATAGCAAATCGGAGATAAAGAGATTGAGGTATAAAAATGTCTTGGAGGAGGGTATCGTTGAAGTTAATTGGTTATAGTGCTACAGCCACAGTAGTAGTTTCATCAATTGCGTACAAGTACGGACAACGCAATTGCTCAATCAACATACCACAGGGTGACTCCTTCCCCAATGGCTCCACCACCAGATTAACTGATTTAAAACCACCAAAGTATTGCTCAGATGTATCAAAATTTATTCCAGAATTGAAAAATTGTGGAATACAAATTGTGAATAGTAAACCTGAAATCGAGCACCATACTGGTAACGACTTTACTACTCACAAACCTTTGGCAAACGAGGTTCCAGAGTATGTAGCATATCCCAAGACCACTGAAGAAGTATCTCAGTTGTTAAAGATATGTAATAGAGAGAAAATACCAGTGGTACCATTTTCAGGGGGGTCAAGTTTAGAAGGACACTTCCACTCAACAAGACCAGGTAGTATTGTAGTGGATACCAGCAAAATGAATAAAATTTTGGCAATTAATGAGAATGATTTGGATGTAGTTGTTCAAGCTGGTGTTAATTGGCAACAACTTAATTCGGCGTTGCAACCATATGAGTTATTTTTTGGCACAGATTGCGGGCCTCAAGGTTTGATCTCCGGTATGATTGGTACCAATGCATCGGGAATAAACGCTTCAAGATATGGGGCAATGTCAGCGAATGTCATATCCATCACTGCAGTGTTGGCGGATGGAACAATTGTGAAGACGCGTCAGAGGCCACGCAAATCAAGTGCTGGGTACAATCTCACAAATTTATTTATTGGCAGTGAAGGCACTTTGGCAATTGTTACTGAAGCCGTTTGCAAGGTTTACCCAAAGCCCAGAAGTGAGACTGTTGTTGTTGTGCAATTCCCGCTGATTCTTGAAGCGACAAAAACGGTGGCTCGTGTGTTTAGAGTTGGCATACAACCAAGTGCTATAGAGTTGTTGGATGGAGACATGATGCATTGTTTGAATTACAGTGGGTATATTACGCGACCTTGGTTAGAGCTTCCCACTGTATTTTTCAAAATTGGTGGAATCAATGATGTTGTTGTTAAGGAGAATGTGAGCGTATTGGAAGAAATCACTAAAGAGAACCAAGCCAAAAGCTTCACTTTTGCCGAGAACAAACAAGAGCAAGAGGAATTATTTTCTGCTAGGAAGAATGCCTTTTATGCCATGATCAATTGGGGAAAGAATGAGATTGACGAGGATGTGCGAATATGGGTGACGGATATTGCCGTGCCCTTGTCTCGTTTATCATCTGTGCTCCATGAAATCAACAAGATGATCAAAGCATCTAAATTCCGGTCCATCATATTGGCGCATGCAGGTGACGGCAATTTCCACGCGGATATTTTTTACAAGGAAAATGAAAAAGTACAAGTTGAGGCTCTTGTTGATCAGATGATTAAGTTGGGGTTGAGAAATGAAGGCACAGCGACTGGAGAACACGGAATTGGGAATGCCAAGAGACGATTCCTCGAATTGGAGCTAGGAAATGATACGATAAATATGATGAGGAAGATTAAGGTGAGTTTAGATCCAAATAGAATTTTGAATCCAGATAAAATATTCAAAATTGATCCAAATGATAAAGGGGAATACTAGCGACACTACCTAGTATCTACTACACTATCGACACTATTGAGCGAAGCGAGATAGCGGAGCAACACTTGCTGCCACAGACACTGACTACACCGACACTTGCTGCCACAGACACTATCTCGCTTCGCTCAATAGTGTCTCAAAAACTCTTTTTTCTCCTGATCATTACACACGACATTTAGACTATGTAAAACTCTTTTTTCTCCTGATCCAGCGCGCACGACATTTAGATCTCGTCAAAATTCAAAATTTACGAAATTATCAGCGTTAAACGAGGAGAAGCAAAAGATAAGAGAGAAAAAATTTATCAATAGAGGAAGATATACAAAAGATTACTTGTTTGGATATACTGTTTCTGTTGTGTCATAACTTTTACTGGCCCTTTTTGGCATGTCCTTTGGTTCTATAAGTCCACCAGAACGTCTAGAAAGCTACGTCAATAACCTTTCAATCAGTGAGAAGCTTTCGCCGGAGACAAAAAAGGCATTTATACCTTGTGACAGAAGCATTAATAGTAATCGAGATATAAGAAGTTCAAGGCGACCCATCTTGTCGTCAAGTCTATCTTCAGATACTCATCAGCAGCATCCTGCACAGTATTTGCAGCAGCATCAGACACTGTATTTGCAACATCGCCCCATTTTTCATATCAATGAATGCAAGAATGACGATACAAATGAGATTAGTAGTAGTAGTAACAGCAATGTTGTACATTTAATGGACCATCCCGAACCGCAACTACTAGCCAGCTCAGTTGGTAAAGGTATAAATGGGAGGATAATTCCATCGTCGTCAACCATTTCCTTGTTGTCCCTTAATCAGGAGTTTCCGCCAAAGTTTATCCATCCAAATAATCAAACTGCTGCACAACTGCTGCAACCGGCAACTCTGCTAGCCAAGAACTTGGAAACAAGATCCTACCTCAATCTACAAAGACTACAACAGTACAGCAAAACAGCGACAACACCAACAACAACAGCAGCGACCACCTGCAGCAGCAGTAGCGGCTCTTTGCTCGCTTATCTTAATCACCCCAACTCAGTAGAATATGTGACAATTCAGCCATTGCAAGTGTCGAGCTCTGTAGCGAACTCGATGCCGAGCTCGCCTAATCTAGACCCAACATCAATAGGAGGCTCGCCATCGAGGTTTTGGCTTTCTTCTCAAACTCCGCCTATTGGTGGAATCAATAGCAACAATAAAAAGCCAGCACATCAGTTTCAAACTCAAACTGCAAAGCGATGGGGTGGCAATGGGGACATAACTGGAGACGACTCGCCTATTTTGAATCCAGTTCAAACGCCTCTTGACGATCCTCCAATGACTCCCTTACTTTTAACTAACAAATCAATGGATTATTTTGGACATTACTACTCGCATAACTTACAAGATCTAGGCGAAAGGGAAAGAGACGATACTTTTGCCGGTGATGATGGGCAATACGAAGAAAGAATAAATTTGACAATAAACAGATAAAGAACCAACCAGCAATTATCAGATAAATAGCCAACCAGTAATTATCAGATAAATAGCCAACCAGCAATAAACCTGAGCTACTCATCAGACGATCTATATGACGTTTGTAATGAAAAGTTCATTTGCCGCTGTAATACAAAAAAAATATATATGTTTGAAAATACAAGTGAGTGAAAAAAAAAAAGGGAATCTACATACATTGATATTAAGAATTGGAATTTTACTAAGATTTCTCTGCAGACCTCTAAGGGAATGTCTAACTACGAAGGTAAGTAGTGTTTTTTATTTTAACCCTTGTAGATATTTGATAAACTAACTGCTGATTTAGAGGAGCACAATATTTCGCTGGAACAGCAGCTGCAGCAACAGCAACAGCAACAGCTGGGGACATCTGAGCGCGGGCGAAATCATGAAACTTTGAGTAATATAATTGATGCTTTCATACATCGAAGAGGTAACCAGGCTTCTACTACTCCGTCAGAAGTTGATTTTGTATCTCCTGACTCACTAGATGCACTTTCTGCAGCTTTGAATCAACTTCGTACCATGGATAACTCTGAGTTAGCTGAGTCATTGATTGATATATTGGGCAATCAAAGTTCAAAAGAGAAGGGTGTCACGCCAGAGTTTTTAGATACTTTAATACGAATACCGGTAACTAGTAATTTAGGTGACAACGATTTTTGTCCGATTTGTACTAATAAGTTCAAAGATGACAAGTACCCCTTGATTGTGAAATTGCCATGCGGTGGAGCCACAAAGCACTATTTCGACTTGGAATGTATTGGGCCGTGGCTAAGTATGAATCCAACTTGTCCTATGTGTAGAACTAATGTTTTGGAAATTGAGCAAAATAGAAGAAAAGCGATAGAGGAGGAACTTAGAAGGGCTAAAGAAGAGGATTCTGAAGAGGACCCCGAGGATGGTTGGGACGTATACGGGTGATCTAATAAAAGACTCAAGTTTTGCATCTTTTTTACTTACATCTTGATGGCAGCATCTTATTTACATCTTCGCATCTTCTTTACATCTTATTCGCACCTTTTCAATCTTATTCGCATCTTTTTTACAAGTGATTTTTAAATTCTTCAGATTGCAACAACTCCTTAACCTTTAATGCAACTGGATCCTCTATACCCTCGTAGGCCAGTGGGAGCTCCAAATTCTCCACTTGTGCAATCTGCTCACTATAATCCAATCCTTCATACGAGGATATAGTAGCTTTCAATTCAACATTCTGGAAATTGTATTTGTTGACATAACTCAACCACAAATCAACAATTTCTGGGTTAGCATCGTAAGCAACAACTTTCTTGTTATACGTGGTTCTATGAAAATTCTGCTTCGTCTTGGCTTGCGCAAATGGCGATTTTATCACTGTGTATAGTCTTTTTTCAGTCTTTAAATTTAAAAGGTTCGACATGGGTATTCCCAAGTAATAAGCTGCTCTTAAAGCAAACTCCCCAATTCTTGTTAGATCATCATTATCGTAGCCACGCAAGGTCAAAGTGCAAACTTCGTCACCATGAGTTCTTGGTAATCTAAGCGGTACATATTTTAATAGCTCCACGTTCAAAGGAACTGGTCTCTTACTATTACTTGCTGCTCGTAAACTATGTGAGCTCAAAGTCTTTGGCTCATACTTAATCTGATCGTTTAACAATTGTTGATGAAATTGTTCCTTCTCTAGATATTCTTTTTGGCTCTTTTCTATAAGCTTCTTTGGCGTAAGAAATTTTTGTGATTTTAGGCTTTGCGATGAAAACGTTCTTTTGCTAACTCGCAAATATAACATCGACAAGCCCCTCATGGTAACTGAAGGCATAATAAATGATGCTGAAGAACCGTTTTAAAAAAATTTTTCAACTTCAACTCCTACCTTCAATCTTTTTCATTTTTTCATTTTTTTTTTTTTTTTTTTTCATCATTTTAATTTTTCATTCAAGTGTAAGGTTTTGACTATGGGAAAGACAAACAAGGATAAGAGAGATTTGTATTATAGACGAGCGAAGGAAGAAGGTTGGCGAGCTCGTTCGGCTTATAAGTTGCTTCAGATTGACCAACAATTCGATATACTAAGTGGTGTCACACGTGCAGTTGATCTTTGTGCAGCGCCAGGATCATGGTCTCAGGTGCTAAGCTCAAAATTAAATCTGTCCACTACTTCATCTGCCAAAATAGTTGCCGTTGATTTGCAGCCTATGACGCCGATAGAAGGGGTTACTACAATACAAGCCGATATAACCCACCCCAGCACGCTTCAACAAATTCTTGATTGTTTCGAAAACGAATTGGCAGACTTTGTCTGTAGTGATGGAGCACCAGATGTTACAGGTCTACACGATTTGGACGAGTATGTACAACACCAATTGGTATGGTCTGCATTACAGCTAGCCACTTGTATACTCAGACCTGGTGGCACTTTAATTGCCAAGATTTTTAGAGGTAAGGACATTGATATAATATATGCGCAATTTGCAAAGTTTTTTGAAAGAGTAGTTTGTGCAAAACCCCGAAGCTCAAGAGGGACAAGTTTAGAAGCGTTTCTAGTTTGTTTAAATTATAAGCCTATTCTTCATTGGACACCAAAGCTAATCAATAATCAGTCAACAAGTGAATTTTTTGCCGGGGCAAACTTAATGGGTGCTGCTACAAAGACTGCTACAACAGTTGGGGCTAATCATGAAGAAAGAGCAATTGTTGAATTTATCGCTTGTGGCGATGTCAACGATATTGACTCAGACGCATCTTATGCCATTGATGGCGATTTCAAGAGGCTAGATCCGGTGCAGAAACCAACTGCTCCGCCGTACAAGACGGCGCTAGAAATGAAGCGTAGAGGCGAGTTGGCAAGGCGATGAATGAATTAGAATATAGTAAAAGAAGAAGAAGAAGGGGAAGAGAAAAAAAGAAACACCACCACCTTCTATACACTGTTTTACTGCTCCTCTTTTAAAGGTTCTTCTCCTTTCAACACTAAAGCATCTGGCTTCAAAGTAGGGAACAACAAAACTTCTCTAATTGTGTTGGAATCAGTCAAAAACATGGCCAATCTATCAATACCACATCCCCATCCGGCGGTTGGAGGTAATCCATACTCTAGAGCATTACAGAAAGTTTCATCAACCATTTGTGCTTCGTCGTCTCCTTGAGCCTTTTGTCTAGCTTGCTCTTCAAATCTTGCTCTTTGATCAAATGGATCATTCAATTCTGTGTAAGCATTACAAATCTCTTTAGTAGCAACAAACACTTCAAATCTTTCACACAAGCCTTGGATGTTTCTATCCCTCTTGGCTAATGGCGACATCATTTGGGGATGGCCAAAGATGAACGTTGGGTTAATTGATGCGTCTTCTAATTCGCCAACTAACTTGTCCAACATTCTTGCATTAGTTAATGGCGGCGTGCAGTCCAAATTGTTATCCTTTAACACTTTTTGCAAAAACTCCCCTGTCTCGGCTGTATGTAATTGATCACCAGATGGGAATTTGACATTGTACACTTTTTCCAATTCTTCCATCATGTTAATCCTTTTCCAAGGTCTCGAAAAGTCCAATGTCAATTCTTTACCTTGTGGTCCTTCTGGATGATATTTAACAACGTACTCACCAGTAATTTCTTTTACCATCTCTGAAAACATCATCTCCGTGGTATCCATTAAATCATAAACATCTGCATAAGCTTGATAAAATTCACATGTGGTAAACTCGGGATTGTGCGTCATGTCTATACCCTCGTTTCTAAACTGTCTACCAATCTCATAAACTCTATCCATTCCACCAACAACCAACTCTTTCAAAAACAATTCAGGGGCAATTCTCATAAACATTTCCATGTTCAAGTCGTTGTGATGAGTAGTGAATGGTTTAGCCGTGGCACCACCAGCAATGACATTCAAGATTGGTGTCTCAACCTCAACAAAGTCTCTGTCGTCTAAAAATTTTCTAATAAACTGAATAATTTTTGATCTAACTCTAAACCTCTCTCTGCTTGCGTCGTTCATAATCAAGTCCAAATAACGTTTTCTGTACCTAGCTTCTTGATCTTTGAATCCGTAATGTTCGGTGGGTAACATATGTAAACAAGGTGTCAATAATTGCACTTTAGTTGCAAACACCGACAATTCACCATCACCACCTTTGGCTGGCGCGGTTTTTCCTGGGTACCCAACAACACCGATAATGTCACCTCTTCTTAAAATTTCGTGCTCCTTCTCGTAAATCTCGGGTGACTCTGCATCCTGGGCTTGTGCCATGATTTGCACCTCAACACCATCACCTTTCAAAACGTAAAATTTCAATTTGGAACCAGCTTCTCTTTTGGTCATGATTCTACCAGCTACACAAACGGTAATATCCTGCAATGTTTCTCCTCTTTTCAAGTGTCCAAATTCCTTGGTGAAATCTGATAAGTTCTTGGTAACTTCGAATTTGTGAGGATACGGGTTGAAAGCTGAAGCATCAGCATAATTTTTCTCCCTCAATTCGGAGATTTGACGTGACCTTATTTCGTAAAACTGGTTTGGATTTAAGTCGGCTAATTCATCTTTCTTTTTGCTGGGCTCTGGTGCTGCTGCTGCTGCTGCTGCTGCTTTTTGAGCCTTCTTAGCTTCAATAGCCCTTTGCTTTTGTCTCCTTTTTAATTCGGTCTTAGAGACTTGCTCTCCAGTAACATCGTCCAAGTAAGTTTTCTGGACCTGTTCAGCAACTTTATCAACTTCTGACATCTCTTCAGGTGGTAGGTGGTAGGTGGTAATAATGAACTATGAGATGGAATAATCTTCTTCTTCTTCTTCTTTAGTAAATTTTTTTTTTTTTTCAATTAAGCTCATTACTCATTCTGGTTTTTCTGATGTGGGTGAAAAATTTTCAATAGTAGCAGAAGGTATTTTTTGTACAGCAAGAGATATCAAAAGGGCAAGGTAATAAAAGTTGGAACACCAAACAGCGAACACCAATGCCGAGTAAGTACGAACCGTCCTCCATTGATACAGTGAGTATTTCCTCATCTGTCTTGTTGTCTTTACTTAGACACACAGCAGAACATCATCCGGCATTATTTTCGGGAGCATTATTAGGATTTGATGATGAGGAGTCGCTTGATATAACGCATGCATTCCCATACCCTTATCCGGACCAGTATGAAGGGGGCTCCTTCAAGTCTAGAAGCGGAGGTCAATATCAAAGGGATTTACTTGAGAGTTACAAAAAACTCGGATATGGAGTTGAATTGCAAGGTTGGTTTCAATCATCAATCTCGGGTAACTTTGTCACTACGCAGTTGATTGAAGGGTTAGCTCAACAACAGTTGCTTAATCCCAACATGTTTATCCTTGTACACAACATGTCGAGTATAGGTCAAGAGGTTGATTTGAAAGCGTTGAGATTATCCCCTGGGTTCATGTCTGCATATATGGATGGTCGGTGGAAGTCCAAGGATTTGGACAAGCATGAAATTTCATACTTGAGCATTTTTGAGCAATTGGAAATAGATGTACAAAACCAAGCATTAGTTGATTTATTCTTGTCAAATACATCAGTGCCCAAGACTACAGAGTCGGAATTGAAGGTTCTTAATCTTTTGTCGCACTCAAGTTCAATAACCCATTTATTGGAATCGTTATGTGGTCAAGTTGACTCCTTCAACTATGATCAGAATAATTTTAATTATTACCAAAGGCAGTATCTGAAAGAGCTGTCCAAGATCCAGCAATGGAAACAACAAAGAAAGTATGATAATTTAGAAAGAGCCAAAATTGGTGAGAAGGAGTTGGACCCAGAAGAATGGAAGTCACTTTTTAGGTTGCCTGTTGAGCCATCAAGATATAATAACTTATTGCAGAGTCATTCAATCAATGCATTAGCTGATGATGTTTTGAAGAAATGCGATGAGGAATTGCAAAAGAGTTTTGTGATAAAGGAAAAATTGACACTGGCGTAGACACTAGCGAGCAGAGCGAGCTAGTGGAGCAGTACTGACTAATACTATCGAGCAACACTTGACACTAGCGAGCAAAGCGAGCTAGTGAATCGGCAACACTTTGTAGTAACACTATCGAGCAGAGCGAGAGAGAGAGAAGGAGAAAAAGGGAGAGAGAGAAGGAGAAAAGGGGAGAGAGAGAGAGAGAGAGTGTGTGTGTGTGTGTGTGTGTGTGTGTGAGAGATAGAAAGAGAGAGGGAGAGGGAGAAGGTGGGTAGGTGTTCTTTCCTTCTTCTTCTAATCAATTGAATTGAAAAAATGACCCAGTAGAAATCTAAAACTCTTTATATTTCATCTCTAATAAATTGTCATTCTTCAAGTCTAAACTTTGTTTTACCTCTCCAAAAGGGTGAGACAGAAAATGGGCTAAGGGGGTTAGGTGAGACGGGAAGTAGGCTCATGGGCTATGGGGGGTAGGTGAGACGGGAAGTAGGCTTATGGGCTGTATGCGTGACCAAAGTATTCCCGTCCATCATCTGATGTAACCGATTAGAATGCGAAAACTTGAACATAGAGAGAGAAAAAAAAGGCTAAAACCATTACCAAAGAAGAAACCTTTAACTTTGAACTTCTTGCAACTGATATAGATACATATATCTTAGCACTAGATGGGTAAGCCTACGGTATGTTTCTAGCCATTTGTCCATTGATATGATAGTCTTGGGAATCTCAGAAAGCTAACATTTTCTTTCTTCTTTTCATTTTTTGTTTATCTCAGTATATATTAATAGTAAGACATGGAGAATCTGAAGGGAATCGTGACAAGTCTGTAAACTCTTATACACCAAATCATTTGGTTCCATTGACCAAAAAGGGACATTGCCAATCTCTTCAAGCAGGCGAAGTGCTAGCGGGTTTTCTACAAAATGGTGTTATTAAAGACTGCAACAATAGTAAGCGAAGTAAGAGATCGATTATGTTCTATACATCACCCTACTTGAGAACTAGACAAACATGTGAAAACATTATATCGCGTATAAAGGGGATTCCCAATGTTGATTTTAACGTGCGAGAAGAGCCGCGTATGAGGGAGCAAGATTTTGGCAACTTTCAGCAGTCGGCGCAAGAGATGGAAAAGATTTGGGAAGAGCGTGCTGACTATGGACATTTTTTTTACCGAATACCACACGGGGAAAGTGCAGCTGATGTATACGACAGAGTTGCCAGTTTCAATGAGAGTTTATATAGACAATTCAAAAATGACGATTTCCCAAATATACTAGTCTTGGTTTCGCATGGTATATGGTCAAGGGTATTTTTGATGAAATGGTTCAAGTGGACATATGAAGAGTTTGAGACACTAAAGAATATACCGCATTGTCAATTTTTGATAATGAAGAGGAACCGAGAAAGTTTGAGGTATGAGTTGAAAACAAAGTTACAAACATGGAGCGTTTGGTGTGTGAAGGAGGGGGGGAAGAAGAAGAAGAACGTGGACGATGAGCTGGACGGTGAGCTGGACGATGAGCTGGATGCAAAGAAGGGAAATTCCCAAAGATTTATTCTCTGTCAATTGCCCGAAGATAACGAAGTAGTACAGATGATTGAGGCACAGAAACCAGCAGCAGAATCTACAAGGGAAAAGGACAAGAAAATTGCAGAAATGTATAGAAATATTCACTCCTCAGAAGCAAAGAGACTCTATGAGAATCAATTGGTTACGACGTTGAAGATGGGAAACCAAAGTGAGAACAATAGTAGTATCGAGAGTCTTAACGAACCGAGATGAAATAATACCAACTACCAATAATACTAATTAGCACCAATTTAGTGGCCCTCAAAATAGACCAATACAAGACGATATCACCTCTCTCTCTCTCCTTCCTTCTTCCTTCCTTCCTCTTTCCCTCTCTTTGTTTGCTTCCCTTTGTTCTAACTACTTTAGTTCTGCCCCGGACAAGGTTCAAGCGAAATTTTTCAACATTTACACGGTACACTACTTTCCACCTTGGCTAATTCAAATTGATCCTTAATTCCAACATTTTCAAACTTGAATAGCTTACTTTTTTCTTTCATTCTTGTTTAAGAGTAAAAGAGTTGTATCAATTGACTCAGTTCTATAAGTAGAGATAAAGCAAACAATGGCACGTCAATTTTTTGTTGGAGGTAATTTCAAAGCCAACGGTACCAAATCCAGTATTACTCAAATTGTTGAAAACTTAAACACTCAAGATTTGCCCAAGGAAGTTGAGGTTGTTGTCTGTCCTCCTTCCTTGTACATTGACTTGGTAGTCAAAGAGAACAAACAGCCAACTGTTCAAGTAGGTGCACAAAACGTTTTCAACAAGCCATGTGGTGCTTTCACTGGAGAATTGTGTGCTGAGCAAATTCTTGATGCTGGTGCTAAATGGACCTTAACCGGTCACTCGGAAAGAAGAACCATTATCAAGGAAAGCGATGAGTTCATTGCTGAAAAAACCAAGTACGCATTGGATCACGGTTTGAGCGTTATCTTGTGTATCGGTGAAACCTTGGAAGAGAGAAAGAGCGGTATTACCTTGCAGGTATGTGCTAGACAGTTGGATGCTGTTTCCAAAATTGTTTCCGACTGGTCTAAGGTTGTTGTTGCTTACGAGCCAGTCTGGGCTATTGGTACTGGTTTAGCTGCTACTCCAGATGACGCACAAGAGACTCACAAGGAAATCAGAGAACACTTGGTTAAGACAATCGGTAAGGATCAAGCCGAAGCTACCAGAATTTTATATGGTGGTTCAGTCAATGGTAAGAACGCCGTTGAATTCAAAGACAAACCAGACATTGATGGGTTCTTGGTTGGTGGTGCTTCATTGAAACCAGAATTTGTCAACATCATCAAGTCAAGATTATAGGTAAAGTAGCTAGCTAGCTTGTTTCTAGTTTTATATTGCGTTTATTGACGTTAGCATGTTGGCTTTGACCTGCAAAGAGTCAAAGTCTATATACTGGTTTAATTTTTGATAAATACCTAACAAGTGATTCAAGTATTCTTCTCGTTTGTTTTGAATGAAAAGCTTGTCTACGTAAATATCGCTTTCTGTCAAGATTTGACGGGCATCTAATTCATTGATCAATAATTTTAAAGATTCTTCTCTTTCGCCATTGATCCAATTGGAAAATGAAAAGAATAGCTTATCTCGAGGATACGTTCTTATCCATAACTTAGCTTGGTCTATTGAGCCGGTGTAAGAATGTAGGAGCACTCGTAGTAATGGGTATTTTTTCACCTCATCAAATAATGCTCCATGCGCTTTCACGCAATGTATTGACACTTGTTTCTGTACCCTATTGGCAAAATCCAACTGGTGCCTGAATATCTCCTTCTGGTGAGCCAAGGTCACTTTTGATGGTGAGAGCTTCTCCTCTTTTTCTGGTTGTTCTTTTTCTAGTTGTTGTTCCTTTTCTTCTTCTTTACAGTTGGGGTTGCCCAAAAAACCGGTTTTAGGGACTCGGAACAACTTGTCCAAACCGATTTCTCCAATACCGTACTTTTGTAAATCGTATTTTGCAACGAGTTCTAAAATCCTATTAAACCGTTCAAGTAGACTCAATGGCTCGGGGAGTTGTGATAACAACTCTTTTGTTGGAGGCGGTTTCAATACCAGATTGTAATGATCTATTTTACTTGGTTTTTCGGACCCCAAGTAGAACAAATGACTAAACCAAGGATGAACACCAAAATATGGCACTATAAGGTTTTTCTCCTTCAAATTCTCTAATAGAATATCCATGCATTCAAGATCTATATGCTGAGTAGTCATCAAGTGGAAAAAGTATTTTGAAGAATTGCTATTGTTTAGAATAGCGGCAAATTTGTGTGCATCTTCAAAGGTTGCTTCCGGGTGGAAATGGCAGTGGCTATCTGACAAGTCAATCAATGGTTTCTCCTCCATGTATTTGCAATATAGCTTGCGTCACAAACCTATTGAAAAGTTTGTATAAATGAAATATCCATCTTTGTATACTTTCTCGTATACTTTCTCGTATACTTTGCTTTTCTTTTTTTTTCCTTACGCTTTTAAGGGGCTTTAAATGGTGGCCCCTCAATTGATAATAAAAAGCAAACCCGTAAGACCTTTAATTTGTAGGGGTCAGCTCTAATCGAGGTTCACGAGACCCCCAACTTGCAAGTAGGGGTCAGCTCTAAAATCGAGGTTCACGAGACCTCCAACTTGCAAGTAGGGGTCAGCTCTCAACTTATTTAAAGCTTCACATTGGAAAATTATATAGTCTTAACCTATAATACACCAACTATCAACCCTAATCTGTCCGCCACTATTCTTCTACCTCACTTAGTAGCTTGTTTCAACACTATTGAGCAAAGCGAGATAGTGACACTCAGTAGCTTGTTTCAACACTATTGAGCAGAGCCTTATTACAACACTATCTCGCTCTGCTCGATAGTGTTGTTCGACATTTCAACGCCGATTTCCTGGATAAACCCGTCCATTAAAACCACCAACTTTTTTCTTCCTTCCCTAACTCCACCCCGTTTGTCTTAACCAACCTTCTACACACTTATAACTAGGTCAAAGTATGTCTTCTAACTCAAATAAAGCAAAACTCAACTGTGGGAATCATTTTACAATTTTCAATCAGCAGAAAAAAAAAAGCGGCTTATAGAAAATGAAAACAAAAGGATTTGAAAAGCTGCTATTACTTTCTTTTGCCCATCCGAAACAAAATACCAAGTATCACGAGTCCCTATAGGGAGTATCACATATATGGTGAGACCAATATTTAATTCCTACTCGACTATTTTATAGATATTTGCTGATTTTTCGAGCACAAGCACAAGCACAAGCACAATTCCCCCCCCCCCGGACCCGACCCCTTTTTATTATATACAGCGCGATGACAGAACTGATGACTGCTATTAAACTACCTGTCTCGCTACCCTTCCCAGTAATAATCTCCTCGATACTATGTAAACAGGGAGACTCGATCGAGAAACACAAGGAGATCTTCAATTATAAGTACTGGACCTACCAGGACGATCCTCACTCAAAAGAGGAGCCTCCCAAAAAAATTCGTGTTGAATGTATAGGCACTTTTGAAAGCCCTATTGAAGGCGAGGTTAAAAAAATAAACGTAAGGGCCAATGAGGAGATCACTCATAGCGATATCGATATCTTGCATATAAAGGAAGCCTGTGCCCACACGGTGCAGTATGGTGGTCTCTGCGCGTTATGCGGCAAATCCCTTGACGAGGAAAAAGATTATTCCGGCTACGATTATGAAGAGAGGGCTACTATTGCCATGTCTCATGACAACACCGATTTGAAGATAAGCTTTGATGAAGCAGCAAAGATCGAACACGGTACAACCGACAGGTTGAACAATGAGAAGAAATTAATTTTAGTTGTTGATTTGGATCAGACTGTGATTCATGCAACCGTTGATCCTACAGTTGGAGAATGGCAGCTGGATCCCTCAAACCCAAACTACCCGGCGGTGAAAGATGTCAAAACTTTTTGCTTGGAGGAGGATCCAGTTGTTCCTGCAGGTTGGACGGGTCCAAAATTAGCACCAACAAAATGTTGGTACTATGTCAAGGTACGTCCCGGTCTAGCTGAGTTTTTGGAAAAAATGGATGAGAAATATGAGATGCATATATATACTATGGCGACAAGGAATTATGCTTTGGAGATTGCTAAAATTATAGATCCCGATGGCAAATATTTTGGTGATAGGATATTGAGTCGTGATGAGAGCGGATCTTTAACCCATAAGAATTTAAAGAGATTGTTCCCTGTTGATCAATCAATGGTTGTGATTATCGATGATAGAGGAGACGTGTGGCAGTGGGAAAGCAATTTGATCAAAGTAGTACCATATGACTTTTTTGTTGGTATTGGCGATATCAATTCAAGTTTCTTACCGAAAAAGAGTGGGCAGCTCACAGGGCCAATAAAGAAGAGAAAATCCATTGCCAAACTAGAAGCTGCTGCGGAATCAAAAATGAATAAAGAAAAACAAAGACAAAGACAAAGACAAAGACAACTGGGTGAAGGGAAAGAGTGTGATGGTGAAAGAGAAGGTGAAGATCAAGGTGATGATGAAAAATGTGAAGAAACAGAAGAAACAGAAGAAACAGAAGTAATAGGAGGAATAGGAGGAACAGGAGGAACAGAAGGAACAGAAGGAAGAGAAGGAGACAGAGACAAAGATGAAGACCTAGAAGGGGAAGGTTACACTGCAGACACTGAAGCTAAGCCTGATGTGCCAGCGAATCCCGTTGATAGAATTCTTGAGTTGGGCGGCGGCGAAGATAATACGAATCTTCTACTAGCACAGTCACTCACGCGAAATCAATCTATTGAGCAACAACAGCACGACCGACCATTGGCTAAGCTACAGCATGACCTCGAGCAGATGCACGAAAAACATTCAGATGGAAGCAAATCGGTTGAGTCGCTGGATGATGCAGATGATAGCGATGAAGAGGATAATTTATTGTATGATGATGACAATGAACTCATTGCATTGAATAAGGTACTACAAGATGTGCATCGGGCATATTATGAAATTTTTGATAAGAATTTGGACCCAAAGCCTAATTTGACTGAGATAATACCCCAAATGAAGAGTAAATGTTTAGCAGGAATTACGATATTATTTTCCGGGATAATTCCTCTTGGAGTCAATTTAGATTCCGCGGATATAGTGATATGGTGTAAGCAGTTTGGTGTGAATGTTGTTAATGAAGTATACCCAGAAGTCACGCACGTTATATGCAAAGATGTCAGTGAAGACTGTGGGCCTACATTCAAGGCGAGAGCAGCGCTTAAATTGTATGGTGATTCTATAAAGATGGTTAATCCCGATTGGTTATTTTCTTGTTTGAGCACATGGAGTAAAGTTGATGAAAAGGATTATTTGATAGCAACTAGTAATCCAAAATTGTGGGCTGTAAAAGAAAGTGAAGTTGACCGTTATAAAAAGAGACTAGAGGAAGCAAGGTCGTCATTTTCATCATCATCATCATCAATTGGAGGGAATGGAGAAAATGAAGGGCAAAAACTAGGGTTGATTAACTCTTTTGAAGATTACAATTTAGATGAAGCCAATCAGGAAGTTGATGATTTCTTAGCTGGATTAAGCGAAGATGAAGAAGAAGGTGATGATGATGATGATGATGATGATGATGAAGGAGAAGACGAAGAAGGCGGTGTTGGTAAAGAAGGAAAAGACGAAGAAGATGGTGGTAAAGAAGGAAAAGACTCGAATGGATTGAAAACAAGCATAGTCAGTGAAAACGATGGAAATATGGACCTTGAAGAAAAAGATAATAAAGAGGAAAATGAGGAAACCAGCATAAATAATCATGATTCATTTATCAAAGATATTTACAACAAAAAGAGGAAAGTGATGAGCAATGAAGAACTCGATACTAAAAAACAAAAAACTGAAAATATACCAGAGCTCAATGATGAGTTAGACGATTTGGAGCAAGAACTCTTAGATGGATTCAACGATTTAGAAGATTGAAGGAAAATATCAAGGGAAGTTGTTTTGTTGTTATTTTTTTTTCTGATATTATTTAATCATTGATGTGTAATAAATAAGCCCCTACTGTAATTGTAAAAAAAAACAAAAAAAAAAGTGGTACTGAAAAAGAGGAGGAATGGTGATTTTTGAAAAAAAAAAGGAGGAAATGGTGAATTTTGAAAAAAGTGGTGCAAAGAGATACAGGATGTTATCTATAACATCTATTGATGGTTTTTGGTTTGTAGAGAAAAGTTTCTTCTCTATAAGCAAATCCTGATAACAGATCAAGGAGATGAAGATGGCTTGCTTTTTGATGAACAAAAAAAAAAATTTAAATCAATAAGCATGCAACATTTCAACCAGCCTCTTTTTTTTCTTTTTTTTTTTTTAACGGTTATGAATCACATATAGGGCCGCAGTAGTAAAAGATTTCTAAATATTGATTTGCATAGCCACTACTGCTACTGCTGCTGCTACTGCTACTACTGCTGCTACTACTGCTGCTACTACTGCTGCTTCCATTTTCACCGACATTGTCACTGCCACTACTACTGCCACTGTTACTGATAAATTCTTTTTTTTTCCCCAGCCTTTTCCCGTTTAGTTGCCGACATTTCTTTTTCTTTTCCCCTGTAGACATTTCTTTTCTCCCTGTAGACATTTTCTTTTGGTGCTAAAAATAAACACACGAAAACTAATCTGATTTTGAGTAAGTTTAAGCTGATTCATTAAATCAATCACTAGTCATTCTTGTCATTCTTTGGGCACACACAATTTGTAACAAACAACAAGCTGCGGCAGGGACAAGCAGACATCACAGGCAAAGATTTTCAAAGTGACCCTCAACACTTTAACTAATCTAAGCCATGTAATGAATTTTACACTACCAACTAGTAACAACCAACATTATTGTTTCATATAAAAACTCGTGTCGTTTTGTTTTTTCTTATTCATTCGTTACAGGTAATAATAATTTTTTTTTTTTTCAGCTTATATATATATATATATTCTATAGTTAGGTAGAGCTACTACTACTCTATTATCACCTTGCTATAAGGGCTATCCACCATGTTATACGGTTGTTTCAGGTTAATACTAATATTCTTTTCTTTAGCGTGTTTAATACTTACTTGTTTTGCAGTGACTGGCTCATATGAAAATAAGTCGTATTTAACACCAACTTATTTGATTAATTTTCATTTAAACGGGTTGGACTTGAAGAAAATAATTGACGACTCTGTGGGCTCATTTGGGAAGAGACAACACCCGGATTTGAAGAGAGGAGATGTGGATTTAAAAAGAGAAGACACAACTGCAACACCTACAATTGCAATACCAACGGGTTTGGCTGCTGCTGCTACTAGTTTAATCAATCAGCCAGGATTCACTTCGAATTTAGCTAATGTCGCATCATCTGTAGGAATTTCTATCCCTTCGAGTGTCCCAACATCAACTGGAGAAATTGTCTCGACTGTTCAAGCCGCTATTGCCGACTTACTAAATAATGTGACACCTGCAGAGTTGGGTATTGCTGATGTTTATTCCACAAGTTTTTGGGGTTACTGCCGTGGTGAGAGAATCTCCAATGGTACCACCACGTTTGACAATGCGTTGGGAAGATTTATTGACCAAAACTTTGACAACTCAAAAGTCAACTATACTTGGTGCTCTCCACCAAAAGCTGGTTTTTTCTTTGATCCCGTGGAGATTTTTAAGCAGGAAATGAATAGAACAATCGATGGAGTTGCTGTTGATACACAATCTCAAGTAGTTAATCAATTATCTGCTCAATATAAAAATGAACTAAAGGTGCTTATTGGTAATCTTACAAACGAGGATTTGCATTTACCAGGTGATCTTCAAAAGAATTTAGAGACATTGAATAATCTAACATTAGCTGGATTTGCGTTGATGGTCATTGCTGCTTGCTTGTCATTTATTTCTATTATTTTCCAACTTTTGGCATTTTGCTTATCTCCAGATAGCTGTTGTCTATCCTTCTTGAATTTCATGTTTCAATTTGCAATTTTCATCATATCGATCTTGGGTGCTGCTTTAATCACTGGCTGTTATGCTTATGTTCGAAGACTAGTGAATGAGAATGTTGGTGATTTCGGAATAAAATCGTTTTTGTCGATAAATTTTTATGCGTTTGCTTGGTCTGCAGCTGTGGCCGCTCTATTGGTTGTGATATTCAACTTGTTGGGTCATTGCTGTGGATGCTTTGGAACTGGAAGGAGGAGATATAGACGGGTGGAAACAGTCGCTTATGAACATCATGGTGAAAAATATTGATAGACAGTGAACAAGAAATTAATAAATTTTGACACAATCAGCTCTCTCTCTCTCTCTCTCTCTCTCTCTTTTTCTCCGACTAACAGGATGTAAAGATGTATACCAAGTCCAATATTGCATACCTCAATCAGAGCAAGTCCATCTACACATGTATTAGAGCCCTTCTTTTCATCAAGCACTACCATTTCTATGCTGAAAAAAATGAAAAAAAAAAAAACAGTCAGATACTTTAACTGATATAAGTTTAAGCTTGTTGTTCAGATTAGATAGATTTTCTCAATTGGTAACACTCAATTGATAACATGATATGTGCCCTTTCCGGTGAGGTGGTTAAAGATCCTATAGTGTCACCAAAAAGCGGTGCGGTATTTGAACGAAGATATATTGAAAAATATGTTTCAACAAGTGGAACTGATCCCATAAATAATCAACCATTGACATTAGATGAATTAATACCAATTAAGTTGGATTCGGCACAATCACTGTCACCTCATATAGTCCCACCTAACCCGTCTGCAGCTACATCTATACCTAGCTTGTTGGCCACATTTCAAAATGAGTGGGATTCAACAGTTTTGGAAATATTCACACTCCGAAAGAATATACAGAAGTTGAAAGAGGAATTGAGCGCGGCGCTATATAGACAAGATGCTGCGATGAATGTTGCCGCAAAGGCGATACGAGAACGAGATGAAGCAAGGGAGGCCTTGGAGAAGTTGGCTCTTTCTTTAGAGGTAAAGAGTGAAGAAGAACAAGAACAAGAAGAAGAAGAAGAAGAAGTAAAAAAATTGAAGTTGAAAGATATTGAAATCGCGAGAGATGCATTGTTTAAACTACACAAGTCGCAAAAGGTGAAGTTTCCCTATGCCAGTGATAAGTTTGAAACTGTGATTCAGGACACTTTTGAAAAAGTGTTTGGAGAAAACAAAGAAGAAAAAATAGAGAATGTAAAATTAGTTTGTTTTAATAACGAAATCAAGGGAGTAGTAGGTGTAAATGGAAGTAAAGTGATATTGAATACCCTATCGAGCGGGACAAATGTATGGGACACAGGATTTGAGTCGGTTGATTTAGTATGTGTGAATAACAACAAGACTATTGCCGTTGCTTCTAAGAATAGACTAAAATTTTCCACCAGCAAAACCGAATTGAAATTGAATGAGGATCCCGAGCAAGCTCTGGAGCTGAATCTGGAAGTAGGAAGTATCACTCAAATTATAGCCCACCCTACTTTAGACCTTTTCATTGTTTTCACTCAAAAATCATGGTTCATAACTGATACTCAATCTATACTATCAAAAAATTCTGTTGCCAAGCCTTTACTGTTCCCTGCCATTCATGGTGATGGAGAGATATTTGCTGCTTTTGACGGCAACGAAGTGAAACTTTCAAGTCTTGTACAAAAGGATACTTTAGCCGTTTTCAAACCAGCTCATAAACGGTTGACTCAGTTGAGTTTTGCGTCGAATGGATATTGGTTACTTTTATTGTCAGTCACGGCTAAACTTAGCACTATACAAGTTTTTGATTTGAGAAAAGACATTGAAGCTAATAAATTAGAGTTCAACTACGTGGTTGACTCTTTCTTTATGGACCCAACTTCAAGTATGATTATTGTGAAACATGGAAACCGCTTTACCAGTTGTGTTTATCAAAAGAAGACTCGAAGTTGGAAAAATCCAGAAAAAATAGATACCCTGGAAGATAACCTACAGCTTTACTCAACTAAAAATAATGTGGAAAAAGACGGTGTAGTATATTTAATGTCATACCACTCCAAAAGTGACACTTTAAGTACATTCAAGTTGGTTAGCAAATAGCATTTTAATAGACTCTGTGGTATTTCTTATGTATATATACATTTGCTGGTATAAACTCTTTGCTTATAAATAAATAGTTGCGAAAAAAAAAAAACTATACGAGAGAAGAATTACTATAGTGAAACCGAATTTTGATGGAATCATCTCATATACATATATACATATATATCTATAGATGAACACTGTTAGTAGGGCACAATTGGACAATTTAGTACAAGATTGGCTATCAATTGATCCTAATCCCCAAACAAGGGCCGAAATCCAACAATTACAGCAAGAACAAGATTATGAGAAGCTAGTACGAAAGCTTTATCCACGAATTACTTTTGGTACTGCTGGATTGAGATCCTCTATGGAATCTGGTTTTGCTCATATGAACGATGTAACCGTGTTGCAAGCCTCTCAGGGATTAGTTCAGTTTCTTTGTACAAAGTTTGACAATCCGTCTATTGTGATTGGGTATGATCACAGATATCATTCACAAAGGTATGCTGAGCTTTTAGCAAGTGTGGCGTTAATCAAGGGCATAACTGTTTACTATTTGGGATCAGCTAAAAATCTCTCTTTGGAGTCCTTGAGATTGTCCAAGGGGGACTTTCCAAACAATAGTGATGGAGCAGCAGCAGCAGCAGATAGAGGTTATGTTCATACGCCAATTGTACCATTTGCAATTAACCAATTACATGCTTCGGGTGGAGTTATGATAACTGCATCACATAACCCAGCAATGGACAATGGCTACAAAGTGTATTATTCGAACGGATGTCAAATCATTCCTCCTATTGATCATGAAATCTCCGAGTCGATCAACGCGAACTTGAAACCATGGAGTGAGAATGTTTGGGATGTAACGGGGAATATGTCGCAAGGTTTGAAAAATGGACAACTAAAGCCATCAAGAGAAGAGATTGTAAAAAAATATGTTGATCTGGTGAAGAGTAAGTTAGTTAAGGATACGGATAAGAATCTTGGCTTTAATTTTGTATACACGCCCATGCACGGAGTTGGTTTGGAGATATTTGAGAAATGTTTACAGCTCTTTGATATTGATAAATATGAGGTTGTGTCTAAGCAGGCAGTCCCTGATCCTGCATTCCCCACTGTCAGCTTCCCCAATCCTGAGGAGAAAGGAGCATTAGATTTAGCTATTGCCACTGCCAAAAAATTGGGGTATAAATTAGTTTTAGCTAATGATCCTGATGCCGATAGGTTCAGTGTTGCAGCTGAAAACAAAAATGGTGAGTTCAAACAACTCACTGGTAATGAGATTGGGTTTTTATTTGCAATGTATGTCCTTGAGAATATTGGCAGCAGTGAAAACGATTTATCCAAAGTATGCATGTTAAATTCGACCGTTTCGTCGCAGATTTTGAAAGCCATGGCTGAAAAGGATGGATTTCATTATGCTGATACTTTAACTGGTTTCAAATGGATTGGAAACAAAGCGATAGATATGGAGAAGGAAGGATTTTTTGTACCATTTGCATTTGAAGAAGCGATTGGGTTTATGTTTAATATAGTGCATGACAAAGATGGAGTTTCTGCAGCAGTTGTCTTTTTGCAATTGTTTCAACAGTGGTTCTCAAGCGGGGAAATTGATGTCTTTGATAAATTAGAAGATGGGTATAAGAAATATGGATGGTTTAAAGATTTAAATGGATACTATCGAATAAAAGATTTGGAGGTTACGGATAGAGTGTTTGGAGAGATTAGAAAATCGTACAAGGGGCAAAACTTTCCCCAGCAAATTGGAGATTTCAAAGTGGTTTATTGGAGAGATTTGACGGTAGGTTATGACTCTTGTACTAACGATCATAAACCTACCTTATTGGTGGATGCAAAATCACAAATGATTACTGGTGTGCTTGAACCTGTTTTCGATGGAATTATGGAGAAAGATGCAAAGTTATCTGTAAGGTTCACTTGTAGAGGTTCAGGTACCGAGCCCAAATTGAAAGTATATATCGAGGGTACTTCAACAAAAAGCGAAGCAGATGCAACAAGTATTGCAGACAAGTGCTGGGAGACGTTAAAAGCAAATTGGTTTAAACCTGATTTTTACAAGTTGCAAGAGATAAAGCCATGAAAAAGTAGAAAGTAGAAAGTAGAAAGAAAAAAGAAAGGGAAGAAATAAAAATAAAGAATACGTTCCTTTTCTTTTGGTTATACTCTTTTTTAGCCTTCTGTTCTCTCTCTCTCTATCTCTCTCTCTCTCTCTATATCTCTCTCTCTCTATCTCTCTCTCTAATCAATACAATCTATCTGTTTCGTAAAATCATTACCAGTTTAGTCAATATTACTATTTCTTCATTGTGCTACCAAATAATATCTTATTAGCCTGTTTCATTTCGAATAAATAAATAAAAAAAAAATAAAAAAAAAATTTATATACTTTGGAGAAAGGAAGTAAGTTCATTTCTAGTAGAGAATTGCTTTGAGTGCCACCAACAACGTTCATATTTAGCCTGAGGCCCCATTACCAATTGATACAACGGGAGCCATGTCATTTCGCACTTTGACGCCTGAACTATACGGCTCTCAAAAGAAGTCTGATCTTCCTATGTATGTGTTTTACTTATTTGGTGCTTTTCCATATACACGGTTGTTTTTTTTGGGGTTTTATTTTTTTTTTTTTTTCATAAGTACTAACTTTTCAAGATTCAACAAGTTATCGCCAAAGAAACATTCTAATCGAATATTGTTCAAAAGGGTGTTTTATGCGTTGGTTGTGGTGTTAGTAGTTTATACCTTGTATGTCAAAATTATTCTTTCACCGAGTCCGAATCTGCCGAACTTTCTACAACAAAAGAAGAAGCAGGATGTTGTGAATGAAGATATGCAACATGATTTGGAATTTCAGCGACAGCAACAGGAAAAGGATTTGAATGATCAGGATCATGAAGTTTACCAGGTGACAAAAGATGGTGTGGAGAAGCAACAACTGGAAGGCGGTGCAGTTGACAACGGCAGCGGTAGAACCAGCGGCAGCACCAGCGGTAGCATCAGCGGCACTTTTGACGACGACGACCCGAATCAAAGCGTTGTGGAGTATTTTGACTTGAACGATTACCAAGGTTCCCCAAATGGTAATCAACAAGGTGATGTTGTTTTATTTTTGATGCCCTTGAGAAATGCTGAGCATGTTTTACCAATGGCTTTTTACAACTTGATGAATTTGACATATGATCACCTGTTGATAGATATAGCATTTTTAGTCTCTGATTGTTCACCGGATGATACCACATTGGAAACTGTTTTCAGATACTCTGTTGCTCTTCAAAATGGCACTTTAATTGATTTATTGAAACTGGAAGAGGAACTGAAACGTGGTGCTAAGGTTAAGGGGTCTAATGATTTGTATCAATCTTATATGGAACCATTATATATGGAAAGTGTGAAAAAGGCATATAGTAATCCAGAGCATCATAAGGGGTACCGAACTCCATTTAGGTCCGTCACGATTTTCAAAAAGGATTTTGGTCAGAATATAGGGCAAGGATTTAGTGATCGTCATGCAGTTAAGGTTCAAGGGATAAGAAGAAAATTGATGGGACGAGCTAGAAATTGGCTTACATCCAGTGCCTTGAAAGCCGATCATTCATGGGTGTACTGGAGAGATGTCGATATTGAAACGTGTCCCGGGAATGTTATTGAAGAATTGATGCTGCACGATTATGATGTAATGGTGCCCAATGTATGGCGCCCATTGCCTACATTTTTAGGTAATGAGCAGCCATACGATTTGAATTCATGGATCGAGTCCGATGCAGCATTGGATTTGGCCAAGACATTAGATGAAGATGATGTTATAGTTGAAGGGTATGCAGAATATCCCACCTGGCGTGCCCATTTGGCATACATCAGAGATCCAAATGGGGATCCGCGAGAAATTGTTGACCTAGATGGTGTTGGAGGGGTTTCGATATTGGCCAGAGCCAAAATATTTAAACAAGGAGTTCATTTCCCAGCATTTACATTTTTGAATCATGCTGAAACTGAGGCATTCGGTAAAATGGCAAAAACTATGGGGTTCAAGGTTGGTGGATTACCTCATTACACAATATGGCATATTTACGAACCCAGTGAGGATGATTTACAAAAGATTTCCAAATTAGAAAGAAGTCGAAGAAGAAAGCAAAAGAATTAACGTAGAGAACGAGTTAAAAAAAAATAGAGAACGAGTTTTGTAGAATAGAAAATAAAGATTGAACTGAGGGAAGAGAGAACCTACAGTGGTAAAAGAATAGGTCTGGTTTTTTCTAGTATATCAGTAGGAAGGCAGGGTTTTTTAATCCATGCAAAATATATAGTTTATATATTTTACGTTCAGAGATTGTTCACGCATCCATAGTTAATCATCACATTAGAAGAAAAAACATATTTATTTTTATGTCATTAAGCGATATTCGAACTCTAGTAACTTTGAAAAATAGGGCATTTTTCAAATTTAATACGCCGAGTATGCCAAATGGCACGAAAATTATTTCATTTGTTAATGCAATATTATTGTTATTATACAACCAGGTAACACTATTGACACTCCACTATCGAGCCAAGCGAGATAGTGGAGCAGCATTGACTAGTGACACTATTGAGCGACACTTAATGGGGAGCTAGACCTTATTTAATAAGGAAAGAATTATAGAGGTGGTAAGTCGCTTTCACTCATTAGCGATATAGTGTCGTAACTAGTCAATGTGCCCCACTGTCTCGCTCTGCTCGATAGTGTCGATTCAATGTGTGTTTATGTAAACTTTTTTTTGATTCATTTTGCAGCCAAATTTTCTACAAAAAAAAAGGACTAGACACTGTCGGTGACAGCTAATGGGTTTAGTAGATTACGTAAATTGTCTATTTAAATTTATAACTGTCTGTAATCAGAAGAAGGTCAAACAAGTTACAAACAAGAGACTTTAGAATTACAACTTTTTGCACATAGAAAATGATGAGGTGGTAAGATGATGAGGTGGTAAGATGATAAGATGATATGATGATGGGGTGATAAGATCTTGTTAAAAGCTGCAGATCAATTGAATCTTAAAATCTCCTTCCCTGAAATCCTCCTTTTTTTTTATTTTTTTGAGATTTTTTCCTTGAAACCTCCTTCCCAGTTTGTAGTAGTTGCATCAATTAGAGTAGGAGGAAAAATTACCTATTCGCAACTACGAATCTTGAATTAATAGTTGCACTAAAGAAAATTGGCAACTCAGCACAAAAAAAAAGGAAAGAAAATAGAGAGAAATGGAAGTAGAGAATTAGACGCGTGTAACCCCCCACGACAAACAAGCTGTGAACTATAGAAAAGTATTGTGTGGCTAGCTTATTTTTGGGTCTACTGTAATAATGTTGTGCTAATTTGTTACCTACAGTGTAGTCCAATGGTGTGCTAATTTGTTACCTACAGTGGGTAGTCCAATGGTGTGCTAATTTGTTACCTACAGTGTAGTCCAATGGTATGGTGGCCAGGCTATGAAAAAATGGCGCTTTTTCAGGAAATAAAAAGCAAATTTCAAATTCAAATTGTTATTACTTTACAATAAAAAGAAATGAAACGGGAAAGATTAGTTGTTTTTTTTGGGTTGAGAAACGTGCTCTAAGCTTTTACCCCTGTGCATTGACAATTTGCATTCTCTTCACTGCTCCCCGCCTGCACTCCACCTGCACTCTTACACACGAGTTTGGTTGCACATTGATCTATTAAAAGCAGGGACAGTCAATGTCGGTGTAGTCAATGTCGGTGTAGTCGATGAGAGCTAGTGTCGGATCACATCACCACATTCTTTTGAAGAGAAAAGCGTTTTGGATGTAAGATAATTGCATAGTAATATCAATAAAACAAAAAGTAAAGTGGTAATAAAAACAGGTACCATTTTATGTTGGTACCTCTTGCAAAATATCATGTCATGTCATCGGAATAATACAAGCTCTTTGTTTAGCCTAGTAGTCAATCTACACTACAATAATTTCTTAAACACTGCTTAACTATTTTTTGCACGACCGATTTTGCAAAAGTAAATTCTTTTAGCCTTACTTTTACAACTAATGCCTTATGTACTGGTTATATGCACCACGGCACAACAACAACAACAACAAAAAAAAAAAGGAAGTACGTGTTGATAAAAAGAGAGTCGACACATAAGAAATTATTTATTTCTTTCTACGTGAGCGTTTTTTTCTATTTTTTTTTCTAAAAAATTGACAATAAACGCCAACAAAAGTCGACACTGTCGAGCAGAGCGAGACAGTGTTGCAACAAGCTATAAAGTGCTCGCTTCTTGTATGGCATGTATCGGTACATAGGTGGAAAACACACGAGTCAGTGTTTTAGCCAGTGTTGTAGCCAGTGTTTTAGCCAGTGTTGTAGCCAGTGTTGTAGCCAGTGTTGTAGTCAGTGTTGTAGTCAGTGTTGTATTCAGTGTCGATGTAGTCAGTGTCGATGTAGTCAGTGTCAGTGTAGTCAGTGCCGGTGTAGTCAGTGCCGGTGTAGTCAGTGTCCTCCACTATTTCGCTCTGCTCGATAGTGTCGCACTGCTCGATAGTGTCGCATTAAAGTCGTCTGTTTATTAATCCGCGTATCCATCAGGCGTGCGTGTTAACCGAATTGCACACGGTAGCACTTAAACCCCCTGAAGAGATGTCGTGTCTCAAAAAAACCGTACACACTAAAGAGGCGGTAGTGTAAAGTGAGAATATTATAATCTTTTTATATTTTCTGTTTTTATATAAAGATCGATCTCGTAGTCGAAAAAAAAAAAAACAATCAAAAAAAAAACAACACTATTTGAAAGAGCTTAATTTTTTCGACTTTCAAAAGAGACAAATACTGAGAACTGTTATAAGAGGCGGGCTAACAAAAAGTTGGTTATTAAGAACAGTTTTTTTTTCTCTTCCCCCACCCCTTCCCATCACAGCGCACGGTTTATTTTCTTTATTTCTTTAGCATATAATGAAAGGGTTAATTTTAGTAGGTGGTTATGGTACTAGGTTGAGACCATTAACTTTGACTTTACCTAAACCATTGGTTGAGTTTGGTAATAGGCCAATGATTTTGCATCAGATTGAAGCATTGGCTGCCGCTGGGGTAACAGATATCGTCTTGGCTGTCAACTATAGACCAGAAGTTATGGTTTCGACATTGAAAAAGTATGAAGAAGAATATGGTGTGTCAATTACGTTTAGTGTTGAAGAGGAACCTTTGGGAACCGCAGGACCTTTGAAGTTGGCTGAAAAAGTTTTGAAAAAAGACGATACTCCATTTTTTGTTTTGAATTCAGATATTATTTGTGAATATCCATTCCAAGAATTGGCTGAGTTCCATAAAGCACATGGTGCAGCAGGTACAATCGTGGCTACTAAAGTTGACGAACCAAGCAAATATGGTGTTATTGTCCATGATAGAGACACCCCCAACTTGATTGACCGATTTGTAGAAAAACCAGTTGAATTTGTTGGTAATAGAATTAATGCTGGTATATACATCTTAAACCCATCTGTGATTGATTTGATTGAAATGAGACCAACTTCAATTGAAAAGGAAACTTTTCCATTATTGGTTGATCAAAAACAACTTTATTCATTTGACTTGGATGGATTTTGGATGGATGTCGGTCAACCAAAGGACTTCCTTAGTGGTACCGTGTTATACTTGACTTCATTAACAAAGAAATCTCCAGAGAAGTTATCAAATGAAAAATTCGTGCATAAAGACGGTAACGTGTTGATTGACCCTACGGCAAAGATTCATCCTTCGGCATTGATTGGTCCAAATGTTACTATTGGTCCAAATGTAGTGGTTGGTGAAGGTGCAAGAATTCAAAGATCAGTGTTGTTGGCAAACTCTGAAGTTAAAGATCACGCTTGGGTCAAATCCACAATTGTGGGATGGAACTCAAGAATAGGTAAATGGGCAAGAACAGAAGGTGTTACCGTGTTAGGTGACGATGTTGAAGTGAAGAATGAAATCTATGTAAACGGTGCCAAAGTCTTACCACATAAGTCGATTTCTGCTAATGTCGAACAGGAATCAATTATCATGTAAGGCTAGAAAAAGAAAAAAAGAAGACGAGGACGAAGAAGAAGAAAAAGAGAATAAAAAGAGGTTCATGTAGTTTTTTTAATGATACTGCTATTATAAATTATTACTTAAAAGAGAGACAACAGTTTTTTTTTTCCATCAACACTTAGCAGCTTTTATATATTAACATTCTCTTAATAAGACTGCATCTGTAAATGTGCGATGAATTTGATGTCATATTTACATATTAAATATAAGTATTAAAAGAGGAGGAGGAGGAGGAGGAGGAGGAGGAAAAAAAAGTAGTAGAAGAAGTCAAATATCTTAGTTATTTTTCCCCAATCTCAACTAATCCATCCATACAACTTTTTTTCAAAGAGTCACTAAGTGGTTTTTTCCCACTAAGGTACAGCAATAATAATGTTCTTGCAACTAATGGTTCATGAACAATGCCCATTTTCCTGACAATTAAGCTGTTTTTATCCTTCTCCTTCTCCTCATTGCCATCTTTGTCTTTCTTTTTCTTATGTCCAACGTAAGCAATCGCCAATTCTCCATTTTGTAATTGTTCCATTACTAACAAATCGTCCTTAGGAACAGACCCTCTAGTCTTGCCAAAACAATCTCTTAATTCATCTAGTCCCTTGCTCAACTCTTGTTTCTTCTCTTCAGAGGCCTCTTTAATCGTTGAATGAGCTAATATACTTTTAATCAATCCATCTTTTAAATGGTTAAAATCAGTGTTTCTCACCGGTGACAAACGAAGAAGGAAACGGATATTATGGGATAAAAGCAATGATACGACTTCTTCTGAATGCACGGGGTTTGCAAGGGATTCAGTTAAACTTGATTGAACTAGAGAAGATGCCGTGTCCGATGGTGTTGGTGCTGGTGAAGGAGGAGAAGGATGTGCTTTCGCATAAGACCTAAGAATCTCACGAGCTTGAGGAATATCGGATTCTGCAATATATATTGCAATTCCATAAACTTTGAAACTTACAAAAGTAACTGATCTAACTCCGTGTCCCAAAAGTGCAAAATTCTGGGAAACGTTGCTTGATTTGGGAATACGTGTAGGGAATGGCGAAATTGAATCGTCTACTTTGACCTCGTTAGCTGCAATGCTGGAATCTAATAGAATCTTTTTACTGGAAAATGGTAAGTTGAAAATTCCATTATTGCGAAAATCAGTAATAATATCATTTGTATAAAATGTATTCCTATTGTAGATGTGATACGACGCTGCTGCTGCTGCTAGAGTTGACGTTAGTGCGACTGCAGGAAACAACCCTCTCAATGGTTTGGTTCTTAATGTTCTGAACATCCTTTTTTTCTTCAAAGGGGGCCGTTTTGAAAACCTATGGTTCGAGGCTTTTTATTTGTTTAAGTAGGTTGAGAAAAAAAAAATGGTACGGTACTGCTGATGATTGTCGGTAAACTCTAAGCGCGCTTACGACCGAAAATCTTCTCTCTCTCTCTCTTTTTTTTTCGTCCGCTTTTCTGTCGGGGAAATGGAATAAAATTTCCCAGAAAAAGAAAAAAAAAAATCAATTTATACTACGGGCCTATAACTTTCGCCCAAAAGGGAAAACAAATTGAATTCAAAAACTCGTGCATATTGCTCAAAATATTTTGCAACCTTTTGAAAAAAGTTGCAAAATCTATTGCAAATTGAGATTCCACATATACATTGATGATTAAATTCAGATTAAATGATACTTGACAACACAAGCAAACAGTTTCGGAAGAATACAATGTTGACGAAACCTAGGGCGGACGACACTTTGAAAGTTGAGAGGCGGAAATGCCAAAAAAACAAAGGCGAGAAAAAATATACAAGAAGATGCAAAATTCTACTAATCAAACCCGTGTGTAGAGTTACCCAAAATTATAGTAAGTACTACTTTAATCATAATGTTTCAAACAAACATACAAACAAACAAAAAAAAAAAAAAAAGAGAATATGATTCTGGAAATCTAAAGTTTTGCTATATCCTCACTAACGGATTTTAAGCACTTCAAAGTCATACCGCTAGCTAATTGTGCCTTGTAAATATTTTCCCACTTCTTCCAAACTTGTTCGCTTGATTTTATTTCATGATCTAACCAATTACCACTGAGTTCATTGTTTGATAAGGACTCAGCCATTTTACCAGCTAGGAACCCAACTAATGTATCGCCTGCCCCCGTCACATTCACGATTTTCAAATTTTCATTCTCTTTTGGAGCGGGATAGTATTCGATAAGTATACCAATTTTACTGTCAACATCATTAGTTATTGTAATCATTGGTTTATATTTGGATGTTGTTGGAATGCTTTTCAAGTCTTGCAAGTTTGTCACTAGACTAACAAGTAACACGCCTCGAGAACCCAATTTGACAATAATGTTTTGGAAATAAGGTAGTAAATGGAAACATTGCTGAAACACACCTGAGCTTTGAAAATTGAATTTATTCTTACTATCAAATCTCATGAGCTTTTCTCTCATTTGGAAGTCTATATTCATTGCATCAATAATAGGAAACCAATTCTCTAAACAATTGAATTTACCTTGTTGAGACATTGACTCAAATATACTCTTGAGCTCCTCAATGGTTGGGGTTACTAGTTTGACTTGATTGTAAGGGAAAACCGACAAGTCCAAAGCCCCTATTCTTTTAGCTTTTACATGTGAAGTGGGCTCAATGATATATTGTTGTTGATACAGACTCAGACTCGAATTCAGATCCAAATTCAGATTCAGATACAGGACTATATTGTTCATCAGTTGTGCCGATAAGTTACAATCGAGAATCACAATCTTGGGTTTATCCTGTTGAATTGTTTCAATAACTTGCTCCAGGAACTTTGGCTCTTCAATGATCGACATGTCTGCACATGCAATGTTCAAATCTCCTTTATCATTGTCATGTATACTTACATACTGGGCAGTGTTTTTATCACCAATGGTTAATCTAGATGATAGTTGATTTTTAAGATAGTTGGATATTGTTTCACCAGCAAAATCGTTTCCGATTCTCGATATAAATTTGGTATCGTTGTGGATGTAGCTACTTGCTAATGCAATGTTGTAGCCTACACCACCTACTGAATTTGTGATTGTGCCAATATTCGAATCGTGTTTTCTGTAATTGGTTGATAGTGCAGCAGCAGTATCAAGAGCAACTGACCCAACAACTAAAAGATTGTTTCTATTATTCTTCCTTGTTGTTGTTGTTGTTGAGGAACTAGACGTATATGCACTTACTGATTGATTTACCGTACCTAGCCTATGGTATGCTTTTACAATTTCAGCAGCTGCTTTCGCATTATTCTTGACTAGACTCACATTACAAGCAATAGATTTACCTTTAGTCCTTTCTGCAATTTGACCTAATAAAAAGGGGGTCAATTGCTTCCCCGATATTCCTCTTTCTCGTGCTTCTTTATCTGCATGATCAATGACTTTCGATATGAAATCATTATCTAATGCAGTTTCCTTTGGTGGAGGGATACAAAAGACATTGCCACTTTGCAATCCCAAAAGATTCTGATTAAACACAATCTTGGCAGCTTCTTCAAAAGTATTAAATCCAAATGGCGAGGAAACTTTGGATTCTCGACAGTAAAAACCGGGAATCTTTAACTTATTCAAAGGTCGATTATCCTCATTATACGTACCAACGAAAACACCCTGGGTTTCTAGGAATTCCAATGTTTTCGAAATATCCAAGATCGACTTAGGACCAGCGCATATCACACTCACTGGAGTTCGTCCCAATTCAGTCAAGTCGGCCGAAATATCCATCGATAATTCTCCCGGCATATCTCGATGAACACCACCTAATCCACCGGTTGCGAAAAACTTTATTCCTGCATAATGCGAAAGAATCATTGTCAGCGCAATTGTAGTACCACCGTTCAACTTGTTGGCCATTACATAGCCGATATCTCTTCTTGACACCTTAGTCACTTTACCCAGTTGCGAAGATTCGGCAAATTGTAGCAATTCAGATTGCGTCATACCGATATGTGGCTGTCCATTGAGGAAAGCACATGTTGCTGGCACAACGCCGCAGTCTCGTAAGGTCGCTTCAACTTCATTAGCCATGTTAATATTCTGCGGGTATGGAAGTCCGTGGGAAATTATAGTGGACTCTAGCGATACCACTGGTCTCTTGGAGTTAAGTGCATCTTTTACTTCTTTTGCAATGCGTAAAACGTTCCTCTTCATTGAAACCCCCCTTGTTAAAAAGCCCCATCTCATCACAAGAAAAATTCAACTAAGAAACTCTTTCCTCTTCTTTTTTCTGCTGAGAAGCCCGCCCATGTTAAGCGAAGAGGGTTCATAGGAGATGTTGGTTGAAGAGGTTGCAGAGGCTGCAGAGGTCAAAGGTTCGAAGGATATTGAGAAAGCTGTGGCAAACTTAACGAGCTTGCACCAACCAGCAGAGCGGTATTATCGGGATCTTCAAACTATAAAATCACTTCATTTCATTAATTATGAAATAGTTGTAGCCTTATCATTCCATTCCAATCCCAATCTTGATTGGTGTTCATTAGAGAATGCACAATTAGTCTCTTCAATCATACAGGCAAATGATCTTCGACCGTATTTGCTGGAATACGTTAATCAGGAATTTAAGCCCAATTTGAGGAAAATTGAGAACCAAGTTAAGCTGGGTTTAGGACGACTGGGATTAAGGCCGAGACTTATTTTCCAAGATCAAAAATTCGACCCTGTGCCGTTGGCTCAAGCATGGTTTTTGATTGAAGTTACCAAGAATAAGAAGAATGTGAGAGGGGAAAAAAAAGACGACAAAGACCATAATGATGATGGTGACGACGCTGAAATTAATCTACTTGTGTTGTTACTCTTGATTGATTGCTTTCAATTCGATATCCAAGGGAAGATACAGGCTTGTAAAGTATTGGCTCAGCTAAAGATATTGACACCAAAATTGGTACCTCAATTGAGAGAATGTTTGGCAAAGTGTCTTGTACATATACCTCCAGTCACACCTGAGGAATCGGAGTCTCTACCGTTGCTAACAGTTGCGCTTCCCAATCTATATCGAGTCGATGATGAGTTTGGGACAAACTTGAACTATATTGATACAATAGCTACGATCCTTTCCTCATTGACCTATGTCACCAATTATCCCAAAACGATGATATTTCTTTTACAGCAATTGCTGGTCTGTATCAATCGTATTGGGATCGATGTGCTTATTAGTGTTTCCAAGATTTTTTATATTTTGAATCAAATCATCACTAATTACGCGATGCTCGATAAACCGGAAGTGGTTCAAACAGCTTTGAAAGTTGAAAATGACATATTGCAAGTTCAATCGCCTCTTGTTTATACATTTGTCTTTGATTTGATCAGTGCTTATGCTGTCCTTGAAAAGAGAATAGGAAACCACAAAATAGAGCAAGTAAACGAGCAAAAGGAGAAAGTAAACCACAAGATAGAGCAAGTAAACGAGCAAAAGGAGAAAGTAAACGAGCAAATTGAGAAGGTAAAAGAGCAAATTGAGATTAATTTGACTTCTTTGAAGGGATTGGCTAAGGTGTGTGATAAGGTATCCGAATTCGAGGATCTATGTACATATATACCAAGTTAAAAAATGCCCTTTTTTTAAAAAAAAATATTGTTTCAAGGTCTGTGTTCTTACTTGTTCTGTAATGCCTCCACTACTTTAATATGAGTATCTAGAAATCTATTCAAACAGTTCATCAAACATTGCTCCTCCTGCAAATCCAACTTCGCCGAAGTGATGGGCTTGTCTTTATTACATTTCTTAAAACACAAGTCGGTATAGCCATGTATAGCGGTTTGCACTTTTGACTTGGCTTGTTCAGCCTGAACAAAGGACATCAACTCATTTCTTGTTTTATCATCTATACTGGATAACGCTGCACTATTGAGTGACGACGACATCATTATCTCTTGTTAATTCTATAGTAATAACAAGAGATTTTTTTTTTTTCCCTCTATAATTTTTTTTATTTTTTTAATTCACCTGGTAAACCAACTTCGAGACAAGATGGAGGTACAAGCTGATAAGGAGATTACTCAAGGCAGGGATGAGGTATACCTAAGCCGATTACGGAAGGATATAAAACGGGTGGAAGAACATCTTAAACAAGCAGATGCTGCAATTGGATCCTTTGATGAAACGTTGCACGAATCAAGTCCAATTGAAAAACAAATAATTGCATTGTATAGAACGTATAAATGTATACCATACAAACCAGACAAAAATGACTCTATATCAACATCAACCACTACGGTTGTACTAGAAAAAATGATTCAAGAGAAAAAAGGCCAACTAGCCAAGGCCAAGAATGATAAGACACTAGAGAAAAAAGACGAGTTTGATTTTGCAGCCATGGTAAATGAGTTGCAAACGATTCGAGACGAAAAGTTAGAGGCAAAGGAAGTATTGAGTAAAATATTGAGTAGAGAATTTGAGTCTTTGTTGAATGAAAAACTTCAAGAATCAAATAATATCCAGGTACAGCTTAAAGGATTTTTGAGAAAAGTCTTGATCAAATACCTTGCATTGTCTGATTTAGCCAGGGGACAAGTTAGTGATCGAGACAAGATGAAATCTGATCTTTTGCAATTGAGTAAATTTTTCAACATTTTAACCCATGAAGAATGGATTGAGGTGCCGAGTGGTTTCAAAGGGGTTGTTGAGATATTAGAGGATAGTAATCTTTTCGAGTTTCGGGATAGTTTCATCAGATTGAAAAAAGGATAGGATAAATTGTTGTTAATTTACCGTTGATATGCTGATGTTTACAAAAACAAAGTGTTTAACTTGTGATGAAGGGCTAGCTCTGGTTTATCTTCCAATAGCAGAATACAAAGGGCAACATCGCTACTTTTCAATAAGGACGATTTTGTGCTTTTTAAAGTGACGCATTTAGATATTTCAATAACTCCATTACAAGAGCACAATAGGATTTGCAAAATCAAGTGTCTATTTAAAATTCTATTGTCCATGTACTCTCTTCACGAGAGTTTTGTCACACAAACTGTCCCCGTCTATACCAAACTCTACACGCAACCAACACCAAAATACTACTAATAAATAGTGAAAAAGATGTGATTTGGAAATAAAAAATCATCCCATTTTTATCCAGATCAGCGATTCTCCCATAGAATAAAGAATAAGCAATCGATCCTATAGCTGGTGCAACCATGAATGAACCCCACGTTGAGCCCATTATATCTATGCCCCACACAGATGCAATTATCGTTGGATATACTGTGAATAATCCACCATATGCTATTCCGTTTAATGCAACGTTATTAAACCATTGACCAAGTGCTCCCATAAGTATAATGAGCACCAAAAGCCATACTATACCTATTTTTCTCAGTTGGAGAAAATCGATGGACACACCAAGGACTAAACGGGAAATCGTTGATGATGTAGCTAAAAGGCTAACCTTGTTTGGAAGATCTGATGATACTGTTGCTATTGATTTATTGTTGGGATTCATGAGCGATATTATCGAGCTCAAATTGTTTTGGTAACTTTCCAATGGTCCAGTGTTTAAAATCAAAGATACCAAAAGAATCCATGCTGATACGTCTTTGAGAAATTTTATATATCTTTGTTTATGATTTGGCGGATCAATTGATCTTTGGATCGTTAACTCATTAGATAGGAGTGAGGAGTTCTCATTGTTGTAAGCAGTCTCCATCATATCCTCAATATTGGCAAATATTGCATCTTGCTCAACTATGACAATTGAGCTCGATATGAAACTGAGTATACCAACAATCAAGTAAAGAATAGCAAAAAATTTAAACACTTTGACCAAGTTCAATAAACTGTCACTGCTACTGCTAATGCTGAGAACATCAACAGCAGGAGAATCTTTATAAATTTCTCTACCCATATGAAAATAATCTAATTTCAACAACTGAGATCCCAATAAAGCACTCAATCCATAACAAGTAATAGGCAATGATATAGCTAAACCTTTATGCTGGGGAAATATCTTTGCACAAGTCAACAAGTTCGAGAAATACAAGGAAGAAGTAGCTAATCCAATCATACCGAATGCAATACTATAGTAAATGACTTGAGAGCTATTTTCCGCCGCGAGCCAACTGATGAAACTATAACTAGGTACAAAAAACCATACTGATAAAAATGATAATGCCGAAGGACCATAACAATCTGATAGATAACCAAGTGCAGGCAAAACTAAATACATCCCGCCTGCCGAAATGGAGGCAATAAAATTAATTTGTAGATATGAAAGACCGATGCATTTATGGAATGTTGGTACAAATAGTGTGAATAGTAAAATCGAGCCCAGTACAAGACACGATAGCAATGATATTATGAATGCCAGTATCCGTAAGTTTGAGAGAGATGCGTGTTTGGATAAGTAGGATTTTATCCCTCGAGACGCATTCTGAACATAGATCATGATTAGAATGGATGTGATGATGTGTCTTGTGGGGGAAGCCTATGGATGAGTTCCTCTGCTTTTGGCTACTACTACTACTACTACTACTCTTTTTGTTTTTTTTAATAAACTTAGTAGCCTCCCCTTGAATGGTTATAGCAAAACTAACACGATACTATAGCAGAGCACTAATGTTCTATGGGCTTCAAATAAACAGCTTTTATCTCTTTACAAGCAAACACCATTTTTGACTCATTGCCATTTTTATTTTCTCTTGTGCAAAGAAACACTTTTTTTTTTAACTCATCACTGTAAGTCTAAAAAGAAATGAAGCAGAGGGAGGAGAACAGAGGGAGGAGAGCAGAGGGAGGAGAGCAGAGGGACAACGGTTTAAGAAAACGATTTTTAAATACAAAACTTTTTCATTGTTGAGCAACTTATCTTACTCCTTTTTATACTTTTTCTTTTCCATTTTTCTACTTTGGAATGTACGTGATATACTTTTCAATTTCACCTGTTGAGCCTAACCAGATACCCGACTTGTCATGTATTCCCTTTGGCAAGATTTCCAAGATTCTTTCACCTTTGTCATTTATAGCTTTACCGCCGGCTTGTTCCAATAACATAGCCATTGGAAAACATTCGTATAATATTCTCAATTTACCATTCTTGGACTTTGTGTCAGCGGGATAACTGAAAACACCTCCGTACAATAGAGTTCTATGAATATCAGCCACCATAGAACCAACGTATCTTGCGCTGTATGGCTTTCCCTTTAACTTCTCCTGTGGTTTTTTCAAATCTTCAATATACTTTTTAACGTAGTCTGGCCAGTAGTAAGAATTACCTTCATTGACTGAATATATGGCTTTTTCATAAGGAATTTTTAAGGATGGTTGTGTTAATATAAATTCGCCCAACTGTGTATCCAAAGTGAAACCATTAACACCATTACCTGTAGTCAACATTAAATGAGCCGATGCACCATACATTGTATAGCCAGCGGCAACCATTTCAGTGCCTCTTCTCAACACATCGTTAATTGAGCCTTCTGAGCCTTCTCTTAATTTGTAAATACCAAAAATAGTACCAACGGAAACACCAGCATCAATGTTTGAACTACCATCAATAGGATCGGTGCAAACGGCATATTTCCCACTACCATCGAATATGATCAAATCCTCTTGCTCTTCACTAACTAACACTTTGACGTTATTTGAAGATTTCATTGCATTAATGAAAATCTCATCGCCAATAACATCCAATTTCTTTTGAACGTCACCGGTGCTATTAGCAGTACCCGAAACACCAATCAAATTGACCAATTCGGCTCTTCTGATATTATGTGCTATAAACTTAAAAGCAAACTGCATCGAGTTCAATAATAAACTCAACTCTCCAGTAGCATTTGGTGCTAATTTCTGTTGTTCTTGTAAAATGAACCTTGTTAACGTGATAATATCAGTTTCAACGTCCATTTGCTTGGACACTGTATCATGAGGTTGCTGATCTACCATTGTTAATTATCACCTAAAAGCTATGCTACGCTACTTGTTATACAAGTCAAAAAAGAAAAACTATGTTAAAGGTATAGAAAGAGAAAAACCGGCTACTTTGAAAAACATTTACCCCATATTTGAAGTTTTTTAGATTTGTAAATTATTACACATGACAAGAGAGGCGTAATGGGTGGTGTCAGGGGGGGCGGGAGGCGGCGGGGCGAGAGAAGGGGGGGGCAAGAAAAACAGAGGTACGACGAGGCAGAGGTCGGACACTTGCGGAAAGGTTATTTTCGGGATGGGGAAGCGAATCAAAGGAAACGAATTATAAAATTTCACTTACCCGGAGTCTTACGGGCCAACTTTCAATCTGCAGGATTTTTGGCACCATTATCATTATCCTCAGCTGTACCAGTTAGTTGCGATTATTCCATGGTGGAAATAATCTGGGCGGGGTGAAAGGGTCGAGAGGAAGCGCAAAAAAAGAAAATGAAAAAAAAAAGAAAGAGAATGAAAACTCCGGGGTCAGAAACTTTTGTTACATTAGAAAGCTTGCTATTAGTTTATGGGGTTTAATTTCCGAAAGCGTACGAGTTAAATAAGTCCACCTTAACGAGCACTATCGAGCACTGTCGAGCACTATAGAACACTATCGAGCAAAGCGAGATAGTGTTATAACGAGCTAGTCAGTGTTATAACGAGCTAGTCAGTTATAACGAGCTAGTCAGTGTTATAACGAGCTAGTCAGTTATAACGAGCTAGTCAGTGTTATAACGAGCTAGTCAGTTATAACGAGCTAGTCAGTGTTATAACGAGCTAGTCAGTTATAACGAGCTAGTCAGTGTTATAACAAGCTAGTCAGTTATAACGAGCTAGTCAGTGTTATAACAAGCTAGTCAGTGTTATAACAAGCTAGTCAGTGTTATCACGAGCTAGTCAGTTATAACGAGCTAGTCAGTGTTATAACAAGCTAGTCAGTGTTATAACAAGCTAGTCAGTGTTATCACGAGCTAGTCAGTGTTATAACAAGCTAGTCAGTGTTATCACGAGCTAGTCAGTTATAACGAGCTAGTCAGTGTTATAACGAGCTAGTCAGTTATAACGAGCTAGTCAGTACTGCTCCACTATCGAGCAAAGCGAGTAGTGAATTGTGAATAGTGATTAGTGACTAACGAGTGATGAGTCAGTTGTTATCAACTATTTTGCGAGTGCAGCTGTGATTGAGTTCTTTGTTGGTATATAGATCGGTTGAGCTCAAATAGAATATCAACCGTATTGACATTTGGCCCATTAAATCCATTCTCTGATGAATGGTAGGAATCCTTTTTCTCACCATTATTTTTACTATTTCTAAACACATTCTTGGGCCCAAAGTTTTTATTTAAATTCAGTGATAATTTTGTTGTCCATTGGTTTGAAGATTCCAAGGACTTGTAGATCTTGTAAACTTCACCATCTTTATCCTTCTTGGCTTCATTGAGATACCTTTTGTATTCGGAATCGAAATATTCTAGCAATTCCTTTGAATTGAATTCGCATGACTCGACATTTGTGGGTGTGGTTGAACGCATGCCAGTGAGTAATGAGGATTTGGTAGGAGTAGAGGAGCTTGTAGAGGGAGATGGCGATTTCGCCGTCGCTCTTGTCATCATTGTTGTACCTATTGCTGCTGTTGCTGTTGTTGTCGATGGTGGTGGTGTAAGCGATGCATTTTTCTTTTTGGTGTGACTCTTTTCTAATTTAGAGAGTTTATCTGTAGATGGCGGAACTACATTAGCCAATTTGGCTGCCCAGTCAGAACTCATCTCTCAATAACCTTTATTCTATATAATCTCAAACTAATCTTTCTCTCTTGTATTATTACCAATACAAATTTTTCGCCTTGTACACATTGCGCGAGACAAAAATCCAATCTTCTTTATACACAGGAACAGCTCATATGACTGCAGCACTAGGGAGCGAAGCGAACTAGCGGAGCAGCACAACTAGCTCGCTCTGCTCGATAGCGGAGCAGCACAACTAGCTCGCTCTGCTCGATAGCGGAGCAGCACTGACTAGGTTCCTCCTCTAGGTTCCTCCTCTTGGTTCCTCCTCTTGGTTCCTCCTCTTCACCTTAAATTATACCATTCTTGGAATAAGTGCATAGTAAACAGTTTTTAGGATACATTACCTCCTCGGAATCTCCAATCAGAATATACCAGAACCTTCTACAATAATACACCAGAGAATCAAGACAGTTGAAAAAAATGGAGTTTAGTATTTTATTTATCTTTTTTTTTTATTTTATTTTTTTGCAGCAATTGCAATAAAGATTTGCAACTTTGCAAAACCTATACACTTGTATCTTTCTTTACAGAATTATCCTGTTTCATTATCTAATAATAATAATTTGTAGTAGGGGTGCTATCTCCATTTATTCCACCATTATTGCCATAACTATTATTAGATTTGTCCAAGGATACAGCACTAGAAGGCATGATATGAGCACCACCAACTGGGAAGTTCGACTGTTGCTGCAGTTGTAGTTGTTGGTGTTGCCGCAGTTGCAGTTGTTAGTGTTGCCGCAGTTGCAGTTGTTAGTGTTGCCGCAGTTGCAGTTGTTGGTGTTGCTGCAGTTGTTGTGGATATAAGTGTAAGTGTTGAGGTAATTGTGGATGTGGAAGCGGAAGTGAATCCAATCTTCTTTTTTCTTTTTATACACGCGAACAGCTCATATATACGTATTGCCCCATTAGGAAATCAAGCGAACATAACAAGTGTCTTTGCATTGTTCTCCTTCTTTTCATTACTAGAGGAGGTCGTAGAGGGAGATGGCGATTTCGCAGTCGCTCCTGTCACCGTTGTTGCCGCTGTTGCTGCAGCAGCCGTTGTACCTGCTGCAGCAGTAAGCATCTTTCTTTTTGGTGTGGAGTTTATCTTCTTTTTTTTTTATGAACAGGAACAGCTCATATATACTTATTGCCCCATTAGGAAATCGAGCGAACATAACAAGTGTCTTTGCATTGTTCTCCTTCTTTTCACTTCTGACGTGTTACCAAAGTCAACGCTCTTTTTTTTTTTCATCTCAACGACCGATGTATATATATATATATTTTTTTTCACTTTTCTTCTTGATATAGGAAGCTTGTTAAAGCTCTTAAAAGCACACTTATTTCATAGGTAAGAGAACCTTCTTTAGTACTGTACACATTTTTTACGAGTTTAACAAGAAGAGACTATTTTTTATATCTTTGTAGGAGTCACCCAGCTGTTATCTATTCACCGCCTCAGTTTTACTCATCTCGTTTTTTTTTTTTCATCCCGTTAACCGACGATACTTACTAGTATAGATAATAATAATCAACAGCAATGAGTGGATTTCGTGTATTGGACTTGGTTAAGCCTTTCAGTTCGTTTTTGCCGCAGGTGATAGCACCCGAACGCAAAGTCCAGTTCCAACAGCGAGTAATGTGGACAATCATCACATTGATGATTTTCTTGGTAATGTCGGAAATTCCACTTTACGGTATAGCTTCGTCAGACTCTAGTGATCCGTTATTATGGTTGAGAATGATGTTGGCCTCAAATAGAGGTACACTAATGGAATTGGGTATTTCGCCAATTGTATCTTCAGGAATGTTGTTTCAATTGTTACAGGGTACCAAGTTAATACATGTCGATATGCTGAATAAGGATGACCGTGAAACTTTTCAAGTTGCCCAGAAATTGTTGGCAATATTGTTAGCTATTGGGCAAGCTACTGTTTATGTTTTGACCGGAATGTATGGGCCTCCCAAGTCACTTGGTGTTGGGCTTTGCCTTTTATTGATTTTGCAATTGGTTTTCGCTAGTATTATTGTTATCTTGTTGGATGAATTGTTACAAAAGGGGTACGGTTTAGGTAGCGGTGTTTCCTTGTTCACTGCTACAAATACTTGTGAGCAAGTGTTTTGGAAAGCTTTTGCGCCAACTACTTCCACATCAGCTAGAGGTACCGAATTTGACGGTGCAGTTGTTTCTATGTTTCATTTGTTAGGATCAAGGAAGGATAAGAGAAGAGCTTTGATTGAGTCCTTCTACAGACCAAACTTGCCAAACATGTTTCAATTACTAGCAACTATTTTGGTATTTTTCACTGTGGTTTATTTGCAAGGATTTAGAATTGAGTTGCCCATGAAGTCAACAAGACAAAGAGGTCCCTATGGATTATACCCAATTAGATTGTTTTACACATCAAACATTCCTATCATGTTAGAAAGCGCCTTGGCTTCAAACATCTTTATTATGTCTCAATTGTTATTTATTAGATGGCCAAATAATATGCTTGTTAAGGTATTGGGTACCTGGGATGCAAGACCCGGGTCTGCGCAATTATATGCCAACGGAGGAATAGCTTACTACATTCAGCCCCCATTCAGTTGGACTGAAGCTTTATTGGATCCAATTAAAACAACAGTTTACATCATCTTTGTATTGGGTTCGTGTGCTGTTTTTTCTACAACCTGGATTGAAATTAGTGGTAGTTCACCAAGAGAAGTTGCCAAACAGTTCAAAGAACAAGGGTTAGTCATTGCTGGTCATAGAGACACCTCAGCTTACAAAGAATTAAAGAAGATTATTCCTACTGCTGCTGCTTTTGGTGGTGCTACTATTGGTGCCTTGTCTGTTGTTTGTGATTTAATGGGCACTTTGGGAAGCGGCACTGCTATTTTATTGGCTGTTACTACCATTTATGGATATTATGAGTTGGCCGTTAAAGAAGGTGGTTTTAACAAGTCGTTGATCACAAGTGGGTATGCTGACTAAATGCAAGAGAAAAAAGAGAACCAAAAAAGGAAAAGAAGAAAAGAAAAGAAAAGAAAATAACAAGAAGAAAATGAGTCTATGTGTATTATAGATGGAATATATTAGTATATACTAGAAAAAATAAGAAAATTTACTAGCATTGTTGAATTGTTGAAATAAGAAAATCTACTAGCATTATTAATAATGATGAGGGTAGACAGCAAACATGTAAAGACTTTGGTTTATCGTTTTTACATGGTGCTTTCAACTGCAATTCAATCTTCTCTCAATCTATAAAACAAAATTGACACGCTACCAAGCGTTGACTCTCCGATGCGATGAGCCGATGGGAGGAGGAAAAAAAAATAATAATAATAATAGTCAAGTGAATTAACACTGAAGGTGTTAAAGACTTTGTTGAAGACTTTGTCAAAGATTTTGTTAAAAACTTTGTTGTGTCATCAGGTATCTTACTAAGCAAGATGGTTCAGCATAAGCAGCATGAGCCAACGATAATGGAAAGCTCTGAAACAGAGTCCTTTACATCAGAGAAACACCATTTTGACAGTAAGAAAGAAGAAGTGACAGAAGAAGATGACATCTCGTTGGATTCATTGTTTGCTGAGTTGAAGAAAGAAGTAGGGAATGAGTTGAATAAGGAAAATGATAACTCACTGCTGAATGTTCATCTAGAAGATTACAAATCGATTCGAAAATCGATTAGTAACTTACCTGAAATACAGTCCAAATGGGAGTCTCGTGTCGAGACTACGACGGCGGCATCATCTAGACCTATAAGGATATACGATCCAATCGAGGCACGAACAGCAAAGGATAAAAATCGGTCTAAAGAAGCAACAGACGAAAGGTGGTTTCATATGAAGAGACCCGAACTCACGCCGGAGATCCAGCGTGATTTATCAATAATCAAACAAAGACAAGCACTAGATCCCAAGAGACATTATAAGCGTGAGAAATGGCAAGTGCCTAAATACTTTGAAATGGGGACTATTATAGAAAGCAATACTGGGTATTATAACAAATTGACTCGACGCGAGAGAGGCACTAATTTAGTTCATGAGTTGTTGAATGATGATAATACAAAGAAATATTTCAAAAGAAAGTATCACGAGATTCAGGATGCAAAGACCAGTGGACGTAAAGCTCATTATAAGAAAGTCAAGAGCCAGAGAAAGAAGTTTTAATGTAACCGAAGCAGGTATGAGGGGTATGCAAAGTTGTCGGTGTGGGTTAAAGCATGAATGAAAATGACTTATAACTATTAATACACAAGTTGTTATGTAACTGAACTATAAATATGATTTTTTTGAAGAGCATGCTCCTCCTCTTCTTTCTCTCTCTCTCTCTCTCTCTCTCTCTCTCTCTCTCTCTCTCTCTCTCTCTCTCTCTCTCTCTCCCTCTCTCTCTCTTTCTCTCTTCTTTCTAATTCACAACTATTGGAAACTATGCACTAATTCATCTCACAATATTTTTTGCAACCTCTACCAGTTTCTTCTTCACTACTCTTCTAATCCTGCTCTTTTAAACACATCCAGTCTAACCTGTTCCCATAATTGTTTCTTCTCCTCTTTACTCAATTTTGTACTCCTCTTTACTCCATTTGACTGTAAATTTTTCACCTTCAATGATTTCTTAATCTCATCCATTTTCAATTTGTATTCATGAGCAGTTGTTGCAGCAGCGGCCAAATTGATCAAATAATTTCTAACAGCAATTTCTTTAAACTTAAATTTCAAAAAATCATGATTCTCGTTGATGTTGGTATTTATCATTTGAGGATTGTTCTTCAGTCGTACAGAATTGATTTGTAGTAGCCTGCTTTGTTTTACTGATATTTCAGCAACCAGCTTTTTAAATGCTAAATCTAGATCATGCTCTTGATATATGTCAGATTGAACTAAGGTAAAGATGAGTTCCTTATCTGTGATATGTGGTTGTATCATTAGTGGATGGCACGATTGTGCCAAGTCACCAATTAATAGTGGCTGAAAATGCTGGCTGTAAGGTTGATCTAGGGATGATGAGATCATCGGTAGACTGATCAAAATTAATTTACACCTTGTAACGTTTAAATTCCAGTCTATTAAAAAACTGTTTTCGTCATTGTTTACATAAGTGAGGTTCGATCCTAGCGATATTTTGTATGACTCTTCTGGATCAGATGATGCACTTGTAATATATGGATTAAGGTTAGGATTTGTGTTGGAGTTTTGTTTTGCTTGGTATTCTTGGTAAAAGTGTTGTTCATGCAATGCAATATCATTAATTAGTTGTTCAACTGTTGTAGTGACAGGTTCCAGATCTTCAGGTATAGTTGCAGTTGAACAGGAATAAATCGAAGGTGCAGAACGTACCGATCTTTTCCCGCTATTTGTTATCGAGGAAAAAATCGAAGATGAAGAAGAGGTAGACCTATGCAGTGGCAGTTTATATGTGTTTTTGATATATTGCGAAGGAGCCGACCTAACGGATGCCGATGAAGACGGCTTTATTTGTTTTTGATACTGTTGAAGCTGTGACGCTGGTGTTGATAGTAATACATCATTGATACTATTAGTGATATTGTTGTTTATTGTAGATGGTAATTGACTATAAATGGCATTTCTGGCATTTTCCTTAAACTGTGAAGGTGCTTTCTGGTGCAAGTTGTTTGCAAATGGTGACCCATACATTTTGTACCTCTTTTCAAAACCGCTTTAGCTGGGGGGAAAGGGAAGGGATCTTGGTTAGCTGGGGGGAAAGGGAAGGGATCTTGGTTAGCTGGGGGGAAAGGGAAGGGATCTTGGTTAGCTGGGGGGAAAGGGAAGGGATCTTGGTTAGCTGGGGGGAAAGGGAAGGGATCTTGGTTAGCTGGGGGGAAAGGGAAGGGATCTTGGTTAGCTGGGGAAAGGGAAGGGGGATATTGGTTAGCTGGGGAAAGGGAAGGGGGACCTTGGTTAGCTGGAGAAAGGGAAGAGGGGTTCTTGGTTAGCTGGGGGGAAGGGAAGAGGGGAGGGTCTTGGCTAGGTTTAGGTCAAATGGTGAAAATTGGCTTGCAAAACTAGTCTTGCAACTATTGTTTCATATGCTTAATGGGGCAAGAATTAATCCTAAGCTTAATCTATCCTTTTGGTTTTCAAATATCGTCTTCTACAAAAAAAGTAACCTGTCTTTTACACGGATTTGATGATCAATGGTTTGATGAAATTTAAAAAAAATTAAAAAAAAAAAAGGAAAAAAGAATTAACGCATAAACTTCCACCGGGAGGGCGGAGAAGGAAAATTTCTAGGTTCAATCAATATAAGATTTTTTTTTAGTAGGTTCAATTTACTGAAGAGTTTCTCCACTTTGGTTGGAATGTTGTAGTGGAGTAGTGGAGTAATGGTAATAATGGAGTAGTAGAGTAGTGGAGTAATAGAGTAGTGGAATAATAGAGTAGTGGAGTAGTGGTAATAGTAGTAGTAGTAATAGTAGTATTCGTGGTGGTAGTGATGGAGGTATGGTTTCTAACTAGAACCACCAGTAAAATCCGTTCTAAATACTACTATTTTTGATTGAAAAGAAACTCTATTATAAGGCGTCATCAGTTGGTGAATGGAAAAAAACAAATAATTTAATTTTCTTTACATAAATTTTTCCAGCTTGAAAAGAACAAGTTATTTCCAGCTTGAAAAGAATAAGTTAATCAAACCCGTAAGTGAGATTCACAGTTTGATCATGACTAGATAGTATAATTATTACTGTATTGACTTACTAGAGCCTACTCCTAAAAGACTACTCTTTTAGGAGTAGAACTCAACTACACGAAATCTTACTTTGAACCTTATACCAGAATAACGGAAAAAGAGACATTGCAGCGCAATTTCTTCCTGGTTTTTTTTTTTTTTTTTTTTACAAAATCTCAATATATGACATGATAGTCAATCCATACACATGACATGATTTAGTCAATCCATATACATTGCAAGTATGCGGTGTCGCTAGTCGACACCTCGCTCTGTTTGATAGTGTTAAGAGAAAGTGTCACACCCCTATTTTTCATTCTCTCTATTGTGATTGAAACAATAAAAAGAAAGAGGTATGAGGCAATATTTTTCCGGGAAAAGCCTTTTATTTTTTTTTTATTTTATTATTATTTTTTTTTTTTGTCCCGCGCTTTTAGAGAACCATGTTAAAATTTATATCAACTGGGAATTTTGTGACAAGTTAAACCGGAATTAGTGACAACTTACCCCAAACTCGAAAAAATCTAAATTTTATAATGTCAACTTAAAACTCAGCTTCAAATATCTCAAATTTATAACCAACCTCAAATATCTCAGATTCATAACCAACATCACCTATAGAGGTCAGCCCCTATAGGTGATTTATTCCTTTTTCTTCCACCACCCTTCTCTTTTTTTTTTTTTACATTTGTCTCAATATATGACATGATTTAGTCAATCCATATACATTGAAAGTATGAAGTGTCGCTAGCCGTTCTGCTCGATAACGTTAAGAGCTAGCGTTGAGATAGTATTGAGAGCTAGTTTTGAGAGCATTAAGAGCTAGTTTTGAGAGCGTTAAGAGCTAGTATTGAGCTAGTGTGCTCCACTATCGAGCAGAGCGAGATAGTGGAGCTTTGTTGTTTTTTTTTATTTTTTTTTTTTTTTTTTTTATGCTCCCAATTCTTTCCTTTTTTTTCCTTTTTTTTTTTTTTTTTTTTTTTTTTTTTTCCAAACAAAAAGGAAAAACAGTTCTTCCGAATAACACCCCAACTAACATGCACGTACACATAAAGCACACACACATAAGTTTGTTTAGCATCTTGCATACATAGAGCTTCATATTCCGAAAAAAAATATATAGCGCCAAAATAAATAATGTCTCGCCTCAACGGTTGACTCAGAAACATTTGCAACATTTACTCTGATCAATTAAGTAACAATTGTGGATTAACACTAAGCTATTGCCACTCTCCAATTTAGTCGATCGTCCCCACTACCTTGTCGTATACCCTCCGGCTAAACTTTCGAATTCTATCATAGTGATTTTTCTCTATTTCTATATTTATTTGACTCTTTTATTTATTCAAGGGACAACTAATTGTTTTTGATTTGCGTTGTCTGGATTACCTCACTGGTGTAATGAACATTCCAAACAGATTGTTTTCGTTATCGTACAAGAGCTACCAACATGGACACGTGACACAGATACTCAATACTATCACGTGACTACATTTGAGCAGAGTCGCACTACCTTGAAAAAGATATACCAGTGAAGAAGTTTTCCAAAAGGTTGAAATCCCCCCCCCCCCCTCGGCTTTGTTGCCTCTATACCATAGAATTATCCAGCTTTGTTTGCTCCTATATCATATAATTATCGGAGGAAGCCCCTAATGTCGTTTGTAGAGGAACAAGTGTCTGAAGATATTGGCTTTAAACTAGATACATCCGATGAGAGAAAGCTATATGACGCACTAGACTTGTCATCTTCTGAGTTGGAAAACAAACCACTCAATTTACTAGCCATACATGATAATCTACGATTATTAGCAGCTTCAAATTACAAAACATTGCAATTGATTCCCTTGGATGATTTCGACAAGATCGACTATATAAGTGGAGAGTTTGAGATTACGCAATTATACTTTACAGAGTCATTTTTGTATATATTAAATGGTTCTACTATACAAGTATTGACCGTTGAACAAATCAAGCAAAAAGATTACAGCTTTAAAAGTATTGATGGCGGAAAATTCACCAGTCTATTACCATTGGATTCAGAAGAAGAATATGAATATCTCGCGTTGAATGATAAAAATGAGCTTTTCCACAATGGGAAATTGATTGCATCGCATGTCACTTGTTTCGCTTGGAATAAACATACTCCTGTATACACCGTTAAGGATAAGAAATTTGAATTGATGGGAACTGAAATAAAAGTTAATGATAAAGAGAGATTAAACGAGCACAATGTCATATCGATTATCCCCGTTGGTGCTTATATTTTCATTGCTTATGATAGAGAAGATGCCGAGGAAGAGCATTTTCATGATATTGTCACATACATATTGCATTTACAAAATGATTGTTATATATCTCTGGAAATTGAAATTGCACCTGCATTTGGTACTGCTAACAGGAAAGGCTTATTTTACAACGACACAATCAAAAATTGGATAAACTCAAATTTTTTTTCAATAATTACTTCTTCACTATCTACCGATATTGGGTTATTAGATACTTCACCATCATTGGAAACTGTAAATACAATTATGCCGTCAGAAGATTCTAACAGGGCACAATTCCCTATCAACGAGGAAACAGGTGACGATGTATCTTGTTTAGGGTTATGTTTATCCTTAAACGAACTCGAAACAAATGTCGATGAACCATGTATGGGAGTCAGCGAAGTGAGAGGCAAATTGCCCAAATTGTATTGTTTGATGGATAACGGAAGTTTGGTGTCATGGTGGTTGTTTCATAAAAGTGGTATTTTGAAAAATGAACTATCGTTGGAAAATGCCTTACAGGAAAAAACCGTAAAGAGTGGCAGTGGTGAGAGTAGCGGTGCGCTGAAGATTGAGACAACAATAGCAGAACAACCCTTGAAGGAACCAGCGCAACTGAATGAACCAGCGCAACTGAATGAACCAGCGCAACTGAATGAACCAGCGCAACTGAATGAACCAGCGCAACTGAATGAACCAGCGCAACTGAAGGATCCAGCGCAATCTTTGTTTCAATCGTCATCTGATAATCCATTTGGGCCTACCAAACCAAATGCATTTAAAAATCATCAAACTACCACTACCGGTAGCACTAGTCTGATTAACATGACTCCACCAACACTGGGCGGCTTAGGATTTGGATCTTTTGATACGACAAAACCAAGTGCTTTTGGATCATCTGGATTTGGTCAGACTGGATTTGGTGCACAGCAAAAAACGTCTACTGGAGGTGGATTTGGTCAGACTGGATTTGGTGCACAGCAAAAAACGTCTACTGGAGGTGGATTTGGTCAGACTGGATTTGGTGCACAGCAAAAAACGTCTACTGGAGGTGGATTTGGTCAGACTGGATTTGGTGCACAGCAAAAAACGTCTACTGGAAGTGGATTTGGAACCACTAGCTTTGGCCAACAACCTACTCAAGACAGCAACAATAAAGCTCTGAACTTTAGTTCGGGCTTTGCCAAGTTCAGCAACACCAATAATAAAACAACTTCCGGCTTTGGCAGTATCAAAGGAGACTCAATTTTCGGTACCAAATCCAGTACTGCGTCACCGTTTAGTAATTTAAGCTCATCAGCATCTCCCTTTGGCAATGTGTCTACAGATGAAAATCATCAACCGTCACCTTTTGCCAATTTGGACTCAAGTGCTTCTCCATCTGAAAATGAGGATGCAAAGAATAAACAATTTTCAATATTCACTCAACTGAAAGAGACTAAACCACTTTTTGATAAACCCTCAGATATCAAATCGCCTCCGATTTTATTTGATAAACTGCAAAAATCAAAGTTACTGCTGCTGCTGCTGCTGCCACATCCACCACCACAATCGAATGTTTCAACCAAGGTAACACCCTTTGCAGAAGTTGCAGAAAGCTCGAAAGAGACTTCACTAGAATCCATGTCTCTTCCACGGGATACAAATTTATCATCCTTGCCACTGCAGCTTGAACAGAAGTCAATATTTGGAGAAAAATCACCATTGTCAAATGTTTCATCTGGTTTTGGAGATCTTAAAATGACCGAGAAACAAGATTCTGTTCAAGGTCAAGATCAGGCTTTAGCAGCCAAACAAACAGAAGCTAACAAGCCAACATATTCATCTCCTTTTGGAGATATAAAGAGACCCATTGGTCCTTCTCCATTTGCCAAATTTAATGCTGCTATACCCAAGTCGGATGTAAAGGTGAAAACTTCAGAAGTACTGGCTGGTAAGGAAAAGGCAAAAGACGACGAGAGCGAAAAACCTATGAGAGCCATAATAGAACAACCTTTGCCCGGAACTTCCCAATCTTCAGTTAAGCCTGGTGAGATTCTAGTATTTGACGGCTTTAACAAGCAACGTGAGAAAACGTCTAACCCAATAAAGGACAAGATGTTGGACATTGTTGAAGACACCGAGGGGAACTTGGAAATTTTAGATCAGAATGTTAAATTGCTTTTACAGTATATAGATGCACATGCTGAAAAAGGACTAGATTTGTATAAAGCTTCCGGGATGGACCTTTTGAATATGGATTACAGTAAATACGATTTTGCAGGGAAACTTCATTTCTTGCAAGAAGAAAATGAAAAGGTGGAAGAATTAACAAAAATTGTACAAGAGTCCCAGAAGAATAGAATCAGATTGGATAAACTGTTTAGTCAATTAGCATTACTTGAAAAGGGTGTATTGAAAAACCTGTCACTTTTGAAAAACCGTCCACTTGAAATCAAAAATGAAATAATGCAAACTAAACTAAGGGAGAAATTGGCAAAGGTTAAGAAATTGGAAGAGTTGCTTGTTTCTTTATTGATGCCTATCAAGGCTCAAAAATCAATGAATGCCACAACCGTGGCCAATATTGAAAAAGTGTTGTACCAACTAAATGACCAAATTCTCGAGAAAAGGACTTGTATGAACGAATTAATCACTAGAGTCGACAAGTTAAAAATAGACTGCAGTGAAAAGAGCAACTCGAGCAACTCGAGCAACTCCTTGGTTCTTACAAAACCAGCACACTCGGCAAAACTAGAGTTGAGAAGAAAGTTGAGACAACTGAATATGAAGAACCTGAGCACAATAAAACTGATCACATGTTGAACCTATTGTCACTATCTAATAGCTTGATAGATAGAGGTGTTGAACCTATTACCATCCAATAGCTTGATAGATAGAGGTGTTGAACCTATTACCATCTAATAGCTTAATATATAGAGGTCTTCTCGTGTGGGTTTGGTTCTTCTTCTACTGACTCATCTTTCCTAATCAGTGCCGCTCCACTATCTCGCTCTGCTTGATAGTGCTGCTAGTGTTACTTGTGTTGTAGTCTAGCTGCTTCAAGTTCGTTTCTCATCACGTGACACACTATATAACTAAACGAAGCGATTTTGTTTTTGCATTTTGTTTTTCTTTTTGAAACACTCGAGTAGAGGTTGAAGTTAGTTGGTTGTAAGTGGAAAGGTGCTTTTACCAGGAGGAAAACTATATGGCCGACCTAATAGGAACCAAAGTGAATGTACCTGGTGCATCTGGATATGCTGTGATACGGTATGTTGGCACCATCATAGGCAAGAATGGTATATTTGTTGGGCTTGAGTTATTAGGAACATTGGCAACCACACGAGGTAAGAATTCTGGAGCGGTAGGTAATGTACAATATTTCACAGTAGAGATACCCAAGAGTGGGTTGTTTCTACCTTATGAGAGGTTAAAGAGTGTTAATCCCAAGCTACCAGAGGTCACGAGATACTTACCGAGTGTTGCACCACCACCACCACCAAATACAAAGGCGCCAGGATCTTCTGGTGGTGAACCTGTTACTTTAGCTTCATCTCCATTTTCCAATTCCCATTTTATTGCTTCCACTGCTGCTACCTTCAACACCGGTACTACTTACACCACAACGGTTCCTACCGACTACAACAATTCTAATTCTACTAGTGCCACAACGAATCATTATTTTATGAGGTCTCCACTAAGTCCTGCAAATCAAGGCTCCTACTCCAATTCTAGATTGAACATGATGAATGAGAACTTGTACAAATCTGAACCACCTAAACAGGATATGATTGTTCAATACGAGATGGAGATTAAAGAGTTACGAAAAATGGTCAAGGACAAGGATCGTAGGATTGAGAGTTTCGCAAAACAAAGAGAAGAGTGGCATAATGCCATTGATAATCTAATGGCGGTACAACAAGACGGAATGCAAGTTTTTGAAGAAAAAATTCAAGAATTGGAAATGATCAATGACAAGCAAGCAAGCGAGATAAAGCGGTTGACTAATAAACTTGTTTCATCAAACTCTAAGATTGAAAAGTTAGAGTTGGAATTACAAAAGATGAAAAAAAAGGGGAATGAGGAGAAACCAGGTAGAACTAATGTTGAAACTACTGTTTTAGAGTTGGAAAAAGCCAATAGTGAGCAATTGAACGAAATTGGCGAGTTCTTGACAAAACCATCAGAATCATCGAGACTTAAAATCCACAAACAGGAAAGTTTGGATTCAATGTTAGCGGCAGATATAAAGAGTGTTAATTTATTAGGTAGTTTCACCACAATCAGCCGCGACAATGTTGAACCTGCAGCAATACAACAGCAACAACAGCAACAGCAGCAACAACAGCAACAGCAACAGCAACAAAGCAAAACAGCTTTAGCAAAACCCAACTATACCACTTCTGCATCGTTATCATCAACAAGTGACCTTTTACAAGGATCAGTTAATGAGCAATTTATCAATGACATACCTATAGACCTACCTATCTATAAAGCAAGTAATACAATAGATCCATCGCTGGGTAAAGTTGATTGGTGTGGATTATGCGAACGAGATGGTCACAGTAGTATCAATTGTCCTTTTGAGAATGATATATTTTAACCCAAGTTTTATATTAACTTTGCATTACCTTGCATATTGACCTTGCATATACCTATATATCTATATCTATATATATAAAGCTTACAGTATATGTCATAATTTATATATTACAAAATGAGCTATTTTTCAATCCCTTAATTTATACCCTAATGATGTTAACCCTGTTCATGTCCTTCTTTGTCAGTTTCTTTGTACTTTTCTCACAGGTACTCTCTCCCATTCGTTCCCTCCGTTACTCTCACCGTTACTCTCACCGTTACTCACACCGTTACTCACACCTGTTGATCTATCCCATTACTCGCACCTGATGATCTCATCCCATTAATCTTATCCCATTACTCTCCTCGTTTAATATGATCCCGTATATATCTTTTCGTCCGATCCCCACTCCTTGACCAAACACATTTTTTCTCATGTGATACATCCCATTATCTCGTCAATCTTCCCCATACAATTAAACCCACTGTATGGCTGATGAGAATACACACAGAATAATTTGATATAAAAGGCACTTCTTTTCCCACTTCTTTTCCTTCTTCTTTTCTTCTTCTTTTACTTGGTGGTTTTCTCTTGATAGATATCTCTCAATACTTTTCTTTTTATGAGTGCCGATCAACTTGAGATCAAGCTTCATAATGAGGCAAGGGAATTTACTACATTGAGTAATCTTCCCTTACTGGAGATAACCAATGAGAAATATGACCGAGTTATATTTTTGCTTCATGGGTTTCCTGATTTGAACACTACATTTAATAAAGCATGGCCGTATTTGTTAGATCACTACAAAAGTCGAAATGAGGTTGTATTGCTACTTGCACCTAAATTGAGAGGATACGAGAGATCGAGTATTGGTCCTGAGCATGAGTATATGTTACCGTATTTAGCAAGCGATGTTAAAGCTTGGATTTTGGAAATTAACCCTAATTTGAATAAACCTGTACATTTGTTAGGACACGATTGGGGGGCCATAATAGCATTCAAAGTTGCCAACCTATACCCCGAGCTAATCACTTCAATGGTCAATTTAGCAATTCCCTATTTGGCTAATATACACATTTGGGAGTTGTTGTGGTATGCACCTGAACAATTTTATTTGTCGACATATTTCCTTACTATGCAATATGGACTTGTTTATAAATCTAAATTGACCGATTCAAACGATTATTTAACAAAACTATGGAAATACTGGTCGCCAGGGTATGATGTTTCAAAACAGGAGATTTCTGAGATTAGAGATGCGTTTGCAAAAGACGGTGTTGTTGATGCTGTAACCGCATATTACCGTCATTTATTGAGACCAATATCCCTTTTCAAATCCAGATGGCCGGTTGATTTTGACAAAGTGCCTGCTCTTATCATGATTGGCAAAGATGATGGATGCATGTCGAATAGAATTGCTGAGTATGAGGAGAAAAAATTGAAATCAAAATATCCAAAAGCCCAAGTGAAAGTATTGCCAAACTCAGGCCATTTCTTGCATCGAGAACAACCTGAAACTGTAGCCAAGATTGTTACAGATTTCTTTGACTCTTTTGCTTAAAAAGAGAAGAGAAAAATGCGTTTTATACTATGGAATTATAAGTTTAAAAGGACACTTGCGACACTATCGAGCAAAGCGAGATAGTGGAGCACACTGACTAATGACACTATCGAGCAGAGTTTTGTTCTATGATAGGGGAAGGAAAGGAAAGGGGGAGTGTGAGTGAGAGTGAGAGTGAGTGAGAGTGAGTGAGTGGGTGAGTGAGTGAGTGNGGGGGGGGGGGGGGGGGGGGGTTGAGCAGCTATTCTAGTCTTGTTGGTTCCCTTATTGAATAAGAGCAAAAGTATCATCAACTTCACCATTGGCATACAAAATACTCTCATTTTCAACAGTTGTTGAAATATAATCATCTCCAAGAGACGTATTCGATCGAAGTTGAGATTGTAATTGTAAAAGTTCAAGTTTCCCTTTAATTGCATATAAATGCGGCATTATCTTTAAGCCAGATTGTAGTTGATTTTGTAAATTTTTAACTGAAACAGATGATATATGAGCTAAGGCACCACCGTGGAGTAAAAGTATCCATTGAAGCCATAGACTAGCCTCATGATTCTCATTGACGTTTTTGGCTACTTCTTCGCTTATTATCGTGTATAATTTTTCACTCTGTTCATGTGTTAACGACGATATAATTTGCTTAATTGCTTCAGTGTCTATTATCGATGAGCATGTATATTGTATGACTTTGTTCTTGTCCAAGCTAGGCTCACATAAAAGAATGTGTAAGCCTTTCAAGATTGCAATTGTATCCATACCTGATATCTTTTTCACGTCTGGTAAATCAATTACACTCGCACTATCATTATTCGGTTCCAAAGACTTTCCAGTACCGTTTTTTAACTCGATTGTTTCATTTTGGGTTATTGAAAAGGCCTTGAAATGCAAAGTATTTTCGACTTGCCAACTTATGAATGGGACATTACCCAAGCTGAATACATGGTCAATTGGTTGGTCTGTCATTTGATCCATATTGATTGAATTGATGCATGAACCATCACTGGCAAAAATTGTCAATCCTTGATGCATTACTCCTATTATATACTTCTCCTCACCCAAATGCAATACTTGTATCTTCTCCACTTCCTCCTGACATTCGAGCTGTTTCAATTTTTCCGTTTCAGTAGATAGTATATACACTTTTTGTGACAAAGTGAGAATGACAAAATAATGTTGACATAGTGGTTCAACACTCTTTATTTCTTGTGGTAAATCAATCTCTTTGACTTTTGAATATTTGCTTTTTAGCAATTTTCCAATTTCCAATCTAAAGTCTGTCGTCGATGCTGTGCCAAAACAAACCTCAGAGTTTTTGGTAATGCATATCGCAGTGTATTTCGGTACGTTGAATTTACTAATCTTGTTATCTGCATTGGTGGAGATTTTCAAGAGATATTCTTGCGATTCGGTACTTGCCCATATAGTATCGTTCTGATAGCTCACAACAGCAATAGCTTTGTTTTTGGATTTATCAATGTTTATCTTCCTCACTATCGAATTTGAGAGTGGAGAAATAATCACAATAGATTTATCTTCTAGAAGCACTGCCAATAGCGACTCCTTTGCATCGCCATTCAATATTGTTTCATCTCCGTTCATTGTCCTTTTCTTGGAGTTCTTAGTATTGCTGGTATCGCCTTTATTGTCGTCATCAGATTTGAATTTGAAATCCAACACTGGTTTGTCTAAAAACACAGATCCCGTTAATGCATATTCACCAGAACTCGAAAGCTCATAGAACTGGATCTCATTCTTCTCGTTTCTGGAAACAACCTTGGCTATCCGCTCTCCATGAATACAATAGTCCATGGCTCTTCTCCTACGAGATCTTATTGCAAATTTATATATTTCGTATAGTTCTTTTTTTTTTTTTCTTTTTTTTTTTTCACTTTATCAAAAGAGGAGATGAGATGAGATGAGCTCCCCAAAGAGCACGCACGACCAGTCCGTTAGAAATGAAAGAAAGCTTCAATGCACACGGGTGTTTAGCTGCTGCATTGGCGTCTATAAGGGAGAGAGATATATATATCAAGTAAAGCACGTAGTCAGTATTTTTCTTTTTTTGTCTATGAACAATACTATAATCCTTGAAGCTCTATCATTTGTTGAACTTGAGATCGACAAATTTCCTTCAAGTCCATCACATCAGCTTGTAATTCACTAACTTGTTCGGATTTTTCTCCAATAAGTTCCAACATTGTTTTCTCTTTTTCATTTTTCTCCTCTATGGTTTCTTCAAGCTCCTTGATCTTTAGTGTTAAACTATTTACTTGTTCATTAATCTTCATTGCATTTAATAGTTCTTGTTCTCTTGCTTCTTTTTCATCTAATAATTTCGAATACTCATCTTTCAAAGTGTGTAGTTCTATTTCAAGTCTGCGAATGTTTGAGCTCATTTTGTTCACCAAATGTAGATTATTATTGTTGTTCTGGTTAGATGTGGGCACACCAAAGTTAAGTGAACTTTCCCCCGTACCGCCCCCTACTACTACTCCACCACCTCCTACTCCTACTCCTACTTGACTCGAGTATGAGGATTGTTCCCTATCATACATATCGTCGCCAATTTCAGTAAAAGATGCCAGTGAGTGGTTATGACTGCTGTTATTAAAAAAAATTGAATATTCCTTATTCAATGCAGGTGTGGTTGAGGATTCGCCTAGTCGTATATCATTCCAGCTCAAGTTTGCGTTAGACAAATTGTCTCGATTTGATTTCGTATCGAGTCTTAGTGGTTCTGGATGCTTTTGCTCATTGCTCTTTTCAATAACCTCGGTTAAGTTCAGGATCTTCAAGTTGAGATTTATTCTTTCTTGGTTATATACTGATTTCAATTTCTCAAGCTTTTCATCAAGTTCTTGTATACTGCTATCTTTTGATTCAAGGGCTAGTTCTAAATCATTGATTTTTGAAATATGTTGTTTGATTTGATCCTTTAATTTTAGCAGTTCTGTCATTTGAGTTTGAATCGTTTTGGTAGCTTTTGCAATATCATTGGATAATTTTGTCTTTGTCATTTTAGCCGATTCCAAAGAAGATTTCAAAGTTTCTACTTTTAGCAATAAGTTTGATTCCTTGATGTTCCAATTCTCTTGGGCCGATAAGTATTGTTTCTGTTGTAAATGATGCGCATCTGATAACTTTTTAAAATCTTCAAAATTCACTAGATCTTTAGTATCCTTTTGAGTAGTTGAGTTGTGATTATCAATTTCAGCATCTAATCGAAGTTGTTCAATTTTTTCTTCAAGACGAGTCACCTCCTGGCTATAATTTTGTTTAGCCAAAACCAAGTCATTCTTGATCAGCATTATTTTCTTTTCTTTACTTGCAATTTCAAGTCTGTTTTGTTCTTTCTTCATATCAAATTCAATTTTCAAATTAGCCAACGATTTCTCAGTATCTTGCTTGGCAAGTTTAGTCTCTTCATGTGATGCTAATAATTCAGAGTACTTTATCTTTGTCAATTTTAACAGTTCGTTTTCCTCTTTCAAATTCTTTAACTTATCATTCAACTCGGCGTACTTGGAAATAAACATTTCAACAGTTTTAAACTTCTTTGTTCTCAAAAAATCTTGTAATTCCTCCTGTTTTACCAATGACTCATCATGTTTTTTGGAAAAATTGGCCAAATCTTCCTCGAGGGCCTGATTGGCAGATTTCAATTTCTTGATTGTTTCATTCAATTTAAGCTCCTTGTGTGATAATACCTCGCCTTCTTTTAGCAATTGTTGGATCGTATCATCCTTTGCGGCAATTGTGGCTAAAAACTTGTTTTTATCCTCATCAAAGGGTTTATTCTTTTTCAATTGGTTTTTGAGCTTGGTATTCTCTGTACGTAATTTTTCCAACTCATCCCCATCTTCATCGTCTACTGGTTCTTGATTACTTGTGCTTACATCGGATGAAACTTGTGAAGATACAGAGGAGGGGGAGGTGGCAATGAATTCCTTTGCACCTTTCTCACTTGCAACTCTTTTCTTGCCCTTTGCCGCAAGTGCTAGTCTTTCTTGTAAAGTTAATCTCTTTTTCACTGGTAGCATCTCCTTGGTCATTGCATTAGCGCCATTACCCAAATCTTTCAAAGACTCGTACATCTTATCTTCTCCTGCCTCCTGCATCTTGCCAGTGTGCTCCAATATCTCGCTCTGCTCGATAGTGTCGTCATCATTCTTGGTAGACTCCTCTGCTTTCGAAGTCGTGGCATCTACATCTATATCTAGATCCAACTTTACCCCTTGTGAATTACTCGTCATGAAAGATGAGTCGGGCCAGCAGCTTTGAGGGAGTAACAATTATGACAAATAGGAATAAATCAATCTCTATCACCGTAATGCTATAGTCCTATAAGCGCGCACACACACACATATACATACACCCTCTCCAGTGTCACTCTTGAAGCTTTACCAAAATTAAGCGATATTCGTAGGACCGAAAAAAAGATCAACAGAAGAAAACCCACAAAAATCAAACGGCTGACGACACTAGACCGACACTATCGAGCGAAGCGAGATAGTGGAGCAATACTTAGCAGATACTATCGAGCAGAGCGAGATAGTGGAGCACACTGACCGATACTATCGACATAGTAAGACAAAAAGACTCAAATTACTCCGACACTATCGAGCGAAGCGAGATAGTGGAGCAATACTTAGTAGATACTATCGAGCAGAGCGAGATAGTGGAGCACACTGACCGATACTATCGACATAGTAAGACAAAAAGACTCAAATTACTCCGACACTATCGAGCGAAGCGAGATAGTGGAGCAATACTTAGTAGATACTATCGAGCAGAGCGAGATAGTGGAGCAATACTTAGTAGATACTATCGAGCAGAGCGAGATAGTGGAGCAATACTTAGCAGATACTATCTCGCTCTGCTCGATAGTGTCGATAGTGTCGGTGGCAGCTAGTGTGCTCCACTATCTCGCTCTGCTCGATAGTGTCGATAGTGTCGATACTTTATTTGAAATCAAATGGCATAAATTAAAAAAAGTATGGAAAATCTATATATTAATACAAAAAAAAAATAATGATTGAGTAGCCAACTGAGTAAATTGATTGAGTTAACTGAGTAATTGAGTTAGCTGAGTAAATAAGTTAACTGAGTAAATTGAGTTAGCTGAGTAAATTGAGTTAACTGAGTAAATTGAGTTAGCTGAGTAAATTGAGTTAACTGAGTAATCGAGTTAGCTGAGTAATTGAGTTAACTGAGTAACCTGATTGATTTGCTATCTTTATTTTTCTTTCTTTCTTTTCCTTGAAAAGGCATTCAGCTTGTGTATGTACGTGTGAGGAAGGTGCGCAAAAATGGATTACAACTTATTAATAAAACAAAGATAATACACGAGATGGAAAAATTCTCTAAAAAGTGTTTGTTTGTTTGTTTTTTTTGTTTTGAAAACGTACTTAACTTATAGTATTTGCCTCATAGGGGTAAGGGTTCACTGATGGGACTGTTGAGTGTGTTGTTGACTCAAGTGAAATGTTGGCGTTTGCTGTTGCGGCAGGTGTTGTTGACCGTATTGCTGTGATTGTGTTGATGCCTGATAATAGGATTGTTGTAAATGTCCCGGCAGAGAACTTTGTCCTTGGTAATATTGAGCATGCGCACCGGATGTACCGCCACCATGTACAGAGACTCTTTGTTGAGTTGTAGTTGTTGGTGCTCCGAGTATTCCTGTTGCCGCTGTTGCCGCTGTTGCCGCTGTTGCTGATGGTTGAAAGCCCGGATAATACAAATTTCCAGCTGCTACTGCTGTTGTTGATTGTTGTTGAGGTAATTGTGTACCAAAATTTTCTACTGTTAGTGATGTTCCTGGTCGTAAATTTGGAGGTGCATAGCCATACCAGTAATTCCCCGAATTGTATTCATTTACAGGATGAGACACATATTGAGACTGCTGTTGGTGTTGTTGTTGTTGCAGCTGCAGTTGCTGCAGCTGCTGCAGCTGCTGTTGTGCATATGTCTGTTGTTGTTGGGATAGCTGCTGTTGTGGTATTTGCAGTTGTTGGTGCTGCAGGTGAAGGTGCTGCAGAGGTTGAGGTTGAGGTTGCTGAGGTTGCTGAGGTTGTTGTTGCAATTGCAGAGTTTCCGCTGAATAGGATAAATCCACTTTCTCATCCTTATTCGAACCAAAACCTTGAAAATCTGCCTTTGATTTTCGATGGCCATGTTTTTTAGTAACAATATGTGTATTTAAGTGATTTAAAGAACCATAGCTTTTCAGACATCCGGGAAACGAACATGGATATTTTCTTACAATTTGATTATATCTTCTTCTGAATCTTCTCCCCCTTTTACCTTCATGTAAGCTATGGTCCAATTCACTTGGAGGCACTGGATTAGAAGCCTGCAATGTATTCAAGGATTGACTAAGGCCAATTGAAGGGGGGTATTGATATCGTATCCCTGAACTAGTTTGATATTGATTATTATTGGCAGTATTATTATTATTATTATTATTATTATTAGCAGTATTAATGTTATTATTATTATTATTATTATTATTATTATTGTTAGAATACTGGGGCATTAGGGCATAGGTGGCTGAAGGTTGAGAAGAAGAAGGCGTTTGCCGTTGTTGATAAGTGTCATAAGTTGGTTGTTGATACGCTGAATACATTGAAGACTGGTTTGAAGAAGAAAAGTCATAAAGCTGTTGTTGTTGTTGTTGTTGTTGCTGCTGTTGCTGCAGCTGCAGCTGTTGATAGGTGTGAGACTGCTTTTGAGAGTCTGACTGATCGGGCTTTATAGTTGTGCCCAAAGGTGGTAGCATTGTTTTGTTATCGGTGATAGAAGACGAAGACGAGCCAAGAATCAGACTTACAGGGACATTTTTCACTTTTGCTTTATATTGGTCTTCTTGCTCATTACTTAGTTTCTCATTTTCCGATACCATGATGGATACAATAGCACTAGAAAAAAGATTTTCAATGGAATATAATATTTTCTCCTTGAAAATGCAAGTAAGTGATTTGGATGGAAGGGAGAAATCAAATTGGATGGAAGGGTGAAGGGGGATGGGGGGGAAAAAAAGGAAGGAAAAGGGAATTAATAATTATAGTACATCAAACCCTTGTGCAAACCCGTGGTTGTTTCGAAAATTTCAGTTGTTTATACCCTTTGTTTGATGGTCTTTTTAAACTTTTCAATCTTAACCCAAACTGAAAAGTTTCTCAATTAACTTTTTTTCTTCCTCTATTGAGACAGAAAGGTTGTCGCTTAAATAATTTCTCTGTCTGGAAAAAATAAAAATGAAATAAAAATAATAATAATAAAATTTTTTTTTCTTGACTATGTGCTATGGGGAAGGATCTTTTTACCTCTTAAGAAACTACGCAGTAAAAGGTAGTTACACGTGACTTGGTTGAGGCTAATGAGAACCCGGTAAAGGTAAAATACAGATGGGAAAAAAGACAAATGGGAAACCAGCAGTAAAAGTAAAGATAAACCCAGTAGTAAAGGCAAACGGGTATAGAATATTGGTATGGGTATAGGATATTGGTATGGGTATAGGATATTGGTATGGTAGTTATTGGTATGGAATAGTTATGGGTATAGGATATTGGTATTTGGTTTGGAGTAGTTATGGGTATGGTTGATGTCTATAAGTAATTGTTTGCAAATAGTCGGTTATCAATAGAATTGATTGATAGGTAGACAATAGACAACAATAGATAAGTTGTAGGTAGATTGAGTATGGTCAATTGTAGTTGACTAGTAATCAATTCTAGTCAAGCTGAGTATGGTCAATTGTAGGTAGACTGTATGGTCAATTTGTAGTTAAGCTGACTAGTAATCAATTTGTAGTTAAGCTGACTAGTAATCAATTCTAATTAAGCTGACTAGTAATCAATTCTAGTTAAGTTGACAAGTAATCAATTCTAGTTAAGTTGACAAGTTCTTGGTTAACGCTTCCGCTTGTCGGTTTATTAGGTGACGATAAAACAAATTCAGCGGTGGACTTAGTATCAAGTACTACTGCTCACACTGAATCTTCACTATTTGGTGATCTTCTCAAATTGATTCAATGGAATAAAAAAGTCCAGTTGTACTTTATAAAAGTATAATGTACTTTATAGAAGGTTTTATATTACGACACACAAAGAATGATTAGTTTCTAATAAAATAATACCATTATTATTATTAGTAAAGTAATTAAATATAATAAAAGTGTCGTAGTTAATTATGAGCAACAACCAGTTTTTAGTTTAACAGAAAAACGCAAGGTGCATTTTTTTTTTTTTAGAGTGTATTAGAATAGACTAAACCATTACCACCAACTACCAACTACCACCACCAATCTATATTGACCCACCAATTCGCTCCTACTCACCAATCGTTACTACATTATTACCACCGCTACCGGGAAATATCACCATCTACCCGTAAATACCACCACCTACCCGTAAATACCTTTTTGTTTTTTTTATTTTTTTCTTTTTTTTTCTATTTTTTTATTTTTATTTTATTCATTTGCTCATAGGTTTTTAGTGCAATTTCCGAAACCCAAACAAATTTTTCTATTTCCATAACACAAGTGTCTTAAAAGCGTAGGAATTAGAGACCGAGAATAGAAGGTGAGTGGAGGTAAAAGGTAAGTGAAGGTACATCTAGGAGATACAGCTATAGTAGAAATATTGTTTCTGATTCTTTTCCCTCTTTCTCGTGCATCATCAATAATATAAAACCTGTTCATAAATTTTGAATTTAAACTTAAAGTTAGACAGAGATAGTCAAAAGATAAACTCTGTATGTAGATATGGAATTAGATAGAGTTAGACTTTTGGAGTTTAAGTTTAGCCCTAACTTTGTTTTTTTTTATTTGTTTTTTTTTAGTTGAAATAGACATGGAAGGTAAGTTGGCTAGAATTGTATATTGGTTTTTGTTGGTTTTTGTTTAATTAGGTGGTTTTCTTTTTCTTCAGCGCTTTTTTATTTTCATTTTTTTTTTTTTGTTTTGGTTATATCATGCGCAATGCAAAAGAATTGCAAACCTTTTTAGTCAACTTTTTAAATTTTGAATGAAAAATCATATTGCTTGTTATATTTGCATGATGTGTAATTTGGGTGTGGGTACCACAAAATGAGGCAATTTTTAATTTCGAGGTCTACCTCATTAACTTCATTGGGTGGACATCCATTTTCAGTTGGTGTTATCCACGGTTTTTTTTTTGTTTTTTTTTTTTTGTTTTTTTTTTTGGAGTCATTAACATTCCGGGTGCAGATAAAAAAAGACCTTTTATTTCATTAAAATGTGGATTTTCAATCCACAAACATCGGTGTAACCTTTAGTCAACTACAACTCTAGACATATACTAAATGTTACCGGTTCACCAAAAATGCTCTTTCCACTTATAAAAAGTCAGTTAGTCCAGGACTGAATAAAATGAAACGGACTTAGAGGAATTCCGCTTGTCTTCGCTGCACACCGAAACCGGGTTCCTGCGTAGGTAGATTTATGAAATATTTTTTATCGTGAAACAATATGGATCTTAAGTTTTAATTTTTGAGGTATATTCATACATTACTTGCTTACTCACGTACTTTTCGTAGTAACTCACTTTACAGTTAGTGCTTCAACGATAATGTTCAAATTTCGCATTTTCAATCTATAGTGCGCGCATGAACAAGAATTTTGAAACAACTACTGGAGGGGAATAACACTCTATACTTTGTCTATTACGTACTGCCATATTACAGTTACCTATTACGTATTTCCATATTACAGTTATCTATTACGTATTGCCATATTACAATTATCTATCAAGTGTTGTTTAATTACTCTTACACTCGCGATATCACAAATGCTAGACGAAATCCAGCCAAAACACCCTTTCTTTTTCATCTTTTCACCTCTTTGATCTCAAGACTGATCAAAATCAATCAAAAAGTGTAGTTTGTCAACTCCATACCATAGAGGATTATACTCGCACTAGTCATAATTATAATTACTAGTCTCAACTATCTTCATTAGTCAATAATTAGGGACTACGTTGGAACATGTACTGAATGTGTGGGTATGAGAAAGAAACCAGCTGTGATGGTTTTATCGTTTTCATTTTTAGAATCCCATCGGTTGAACTTGCACCATTAATCATGGGGTTTAATTAGTTATTTTTTTTTTTAGAAAAGAAAAAGCACGGTTTACTTGAAAGGCTGATAACTGTACCTGACTAGCGAGACTTCCAGTGATTTAGAAACTTTTCCAGAGATTTAGGGACAAACTTCGCCAGTAATGAAAAGGATTAACAATCATCTACTAGAAGATTGACAACTCTTTCAATTGTATTCTCAACAAGTTTACCTAAATTATTGGAAAAGCAAAATTGAATTGTTGCGAAATTCCTTAATCAATACTTTTTTTTTTCTCCTCCACCAAACAAAGTTGCAAGTGCTCCACTATCGAGCAGAGCGAGATAGTGTCGGCGGAGCTAGGAGTAAAAAACAAACTCACGGCATGAGGTCTTATTCAATTCATCAGAATAGGACCAATACTAAACGAATGTCAAGATTCTCAAAACCAGATATATTTCCCTACATCAATACGTGGCGGCCACTTGAAGAATCTATTATTATCTAAAACGTAGTTTAATTCTTTTAAGCTTCTAAAGTGTTCTTTTAATAAAACACTAATTTTATCAAACCATATTTCTTCGTAAATTGTTTTGAGATCTTACTAGTAAACTCTAGTTTAACTCGAGGGAGGGGGGTAGGGAGGGGAGGCAAAGGAGGAGGATACAAAAAAGAGAAGACAGTGAGAACTCCTTTGGAGAGGAAATTGTTGATGTAAATGATGGAGTTTATATCTCGCTTTTCCTAATTGTCCTCATAAGAGGGGGGTATTGATTTAACACCAATATGCCAACATTCTTTAATCAAATGAAAGGGGGGGGGGTGATTTACTGAGTAGATATCAAATCTTTTTTTGTTATTTAACATTGTTTTCTACACGATGCAAATAAAAGCACAAGAAAGCAAAGAAAACGCCTTAAATGCACATGTATTCCCCTATCTCTAACCAATCTTGGTAAACCATGCACATAAGAAGGACTAAACCTTTTTTAAATGGAGAAACAAAAGTTAGGCATGTGAGTAAGGACTTACAAGAAAGCAATGTCTAAAAACAAAAAAGACAACAACCAATAGTTTCAGAAACAACCCCATTCACATTATGTTTACTGTTTCCCTCGTCTTACATCTTCTCACCTTATCCTGGGTCTATTTTTTTTTAGAGCAAAAAAAAAAAAGCTTGCATATAAATGCTTACTACCCAATGTTAAAAGTTTTGGTCTACAACATTTAGTCTAGTGTTTTACCTTCCATCTGTTAGCACAAATTGGTTTTTAACACTAAAGCCATGAGGGATGCCCCCCTCATGAAATTGAACTAAAAAGCAAAGGTCTAAGGTGCTTGTTTTTTTTTAAAAAAAATACAATTCAAAAAAAGTGAGTTGATAAATAATTAGAAGAAAAAATTTACGCCTTGATTGATTAATTTGTACCCATAATCATAGACAATATAGTAATTACAATTATGGATTTTTTGTACCATGAATGACTGTAACATCAAATCTTAAGTAGCAAACTTCTCTTTAGAGTTCCTTTTCAGAATTATGGGGAGTTTTCCAAGTAATTTCTATGTAAATTTGTCTAGTATATATTTGCAGTTTTGAGGCATAGGATTTTGAATGCGCTTGGAAGTGAAAAAGAAAGAAAAAAACAAAAAAACTTACGTTATGAGGTTATGAACTGAAGAAAAACCTCAACTGGGAAACTTTCAATTAGCAATTAGTTAATCACATCAATTCAAGTCGTCAAAACTGGGTTCAAATTATGCATTATTAGTTTCATTACGTGTTTTAGTTTTTGAGGTAAGTTGTGAAACTACGATTCAGAAAAAGAAAGAAAAACTGCCAAAAAAAAAGAACCTTGCAAAAGGAATGGCTTAAGATGGGGCCTAGTAGTGGGGCCCAATAGTGGGGGTCTAATGGTCAAAGTCTAACGGCGGTGACCTAAATATTGACGCCTAATGGTAGTGGTGGTGATGAAGGTTTGATGTGTTACATTTGTTCTTTTTTTTTTTTTTTGCAGTAGAACACACTGGCTGCGAAAACATAATCAAAAAAATCAAAAAAAAAAAAAAAAAAAGTATTTTTGTCACTTTTAGAAGATTTTTGGAGTTGACAAAATAGCAAGTATTCGAATTAAAAATACTCTGCAAATTTGCAAGAAAAGAAGGTGAGAGAGATATGGTGAAGGCATTGGGGAGAAATGTAAGACCTGCCTTTTTGGATAGTGAAAAGTTTCTAAACTAACTTCTTTGTGTAATTCTTCTCCTTTTCACAAACATACTCTCATGACCTGTATATCTTATTTTTTATTAGCCCCCCCCAACACCCAATGACTCCTTCGCCCGCCCCCCGCGCCCCCGAGGGGGTGAAGGGGTCATTGAGACATGGAATTTTGGGTCTTAAAGTCTGGTGGTTATTCGGTTATGGAACATGGATTTCGAGACATGTGACATGGGACATTCTCTTTAATATACATTAAATACATTTCTTCAATTTGCAGTATCAGAGTAACACTGGGGTTTGTTGCAACAAACCTGGGAAAAACTACCACCTATTTCTAATACGAGCATCTCTATCATCTTTGTTCAACTTTGAGATATTGACTATTTTACATTGTTAAAAAAAAAAAAAAGTTGCAAAGAATGAGACGCGTTGTTTTCATAGAATAGAATAAAGCAACAACTAAACATTCTAATGTAGTTCTTTGTTGCCTTTTTGAAACCTACTCTTGGCAATCTCCAGCCACGAAATAGCGATATCAAATGAAGGCTTTTGATGTGGACAATAATGATAGATACTGACTGAAGAAAGGTATAGGTAATAAGACAAGATTGTTGAAATCCAATTACACAGATACTAAAAGACTCAATTTACCTCAATAGGAAGAAGGCGTCTAAAACACAAATAAAACAGGCGCTTTTGCTTCTCCCTTTCTAGATATAAAAAAAAAATTTGCGAAAGTTTTTGACAACTTTGGAAAAGCTTGTAATGTTACGAACACAATCTTGTACTTTGTGGGTTGTTGCAGTTAATTCTCTTGAAAGAATCACCAGTTTTTTGTTCTATTTTTTTTAGGATAAGATTAGCTTTCATTATGGGATAAAACACAAAAGCATTTTGCAATACAGAGCCATAAAGCTCATTCCAATTTTGGAAAGAAAAACGGATAACCGGAAAAGGGATTTATTGGTTATGGTAAAAAAAAGCGGAGTAAAAAAATTCCAATGGGTTGTTGAATAATCAAGTTGGCAATGACTTGATTGGGAAAATAAGAGTTGCAAAAATGCTAGGAAGGTGGAATTATCGATTTGTTTGAATTCAAAGCCATCTGTCTATTTTGAATTTTTCATGATGTGATACAGGAAAATCGAATATTCATATTTAGCAATATTGATCATGGTATAACAATACTCAATGAACTTGATGATTAATCAGCTATGTTTTTCAGTAAAACAAAGAAAAACATGTAAAAACCTATAGTATTGATAATGCCCTATCCAATTGGATTGGGCATTATCGGGTTCCAAGTTTCGAAAAGCGCGTCTATCAATATTCAGTTTTATATTCCGAGAATCACAAATCCCGTTGTCAAGACCGGATTTCAAATCCAGAATCCCGAATTTCGATTTACGAATTCCGAGGCACCAATTCAAGTTACCTTTTTCATGTTAATCACCACAATTAAGCAGGACATTCTATCAATAACATCTGATGCGTCTCTTTACTGACAATCTCTCTTTCCTTTCTTATTCTAGGCACTTTTTTTTTAACCTCTTTACTGCTGATCTTTCACGGTGAGGGAGTAAAGTACACAAAAAACTCTTATGATCTGATCGATGCTGTAAGTACTTCTCGATATGGTTTTATATCCGTCGGAAAATTACTTACCCGAAAAGAATTTGTAAAAAAGTATAATCTGTTCAACAGATTTGCCCTGTGAACCACAGGATCTTGTATTATATTGTATGTTTGTCATATTAGGCGCTTCACTGGAGGAGGTCACGGATAAATGACTTTGCTACGTACCAACTACGAAATTTTGCGGTTAAAGTCCTTGAAAAAAGGAAATCCACATTTTGAAAAGAGAGGTTTCTATACCCAAACGGAAATACACATTTAGCCCATACTCATTTGGATTTCTACCCTTGTTATATTGAACTAAATCTCAACTGCAAAAAGGAAAAAAAAAACAAAAAAAAAGAAACGTCAAGTTTTGAGAATCGATATACTGCGTATATGTGTGTGTTTCACAAGCTATAGTACTTTTTTAAACACAAATCCAATATAGAACCCAACGGCTTCTTTCTCCTCCCCCTCTGCACCATACTTCCCATCGCTTCGTTTTAATCCTTCAACCAAATTCTTATTCAACTTACCAAAATACTTGGGAATCTCTTGATTGAATATATCTATGAAATTCTTTTTATACTTCAATGTCAAATTATACTCTTCGCAAAGTGCTCTCAAAGTCTCGAATGGAACAACATACTCAGGAACGTTATCAACGGCATCTTTCAACCAATATGTGTACCGATTACCAAAAGGCGGCCTAAATAGACCATCCACTAACGGCTCTTTGTCGAATGTTACCGAATATAAAGAGTTTCCAAATTTAACCTTGTTATCTGCATCTCTACGATAATCCCCCGCTATGATTTTTGACTTGATGAAATCAGATGAAGGAATCGTACCTACAAACACGCCCCCAACTTTTAGGGATTTCGCCACATTTGTTAATAAAGTCCTGACTTTCTCCTCTGTCTCAAATGCATAGTGCAACGCAAATTGCGTCGAAACTGCATCAACTGGAAATGTTTTTTCAATGATCCCAGGAAAGTTAGGCTCTAATATTTCAGGCACAGATTCGGTAAAACAATCTCCTGTGGCAAAACATGCTTCAAAATTATACTTGCCAGAGCTCCTCTGGCCCGAATGTGTCTTGAACATTGCCTTTTGTCGAGAATACCTTTGAAATGCTTCCCGTACAGATAAGTCAGATATATCAATACCAATATATTGGTCAATCTCAATAAACTCACACTTGTTCAAATCGCCACCTTTACCGCAGCACAAGTCTAGTATGGAAAACATTGATGGCGATCCTTCAGAAATATACTTGACCCAATTACCTAATAGAATATATTTAATTGTGTTGTTGAAATTTCTCAATTTGTAAATAGGCGAGTCAGTTCTCTTACCCTGTTTTCTAGATTGCTGGGTTCGTTGGTTATAATGTTGTCTCACAATACTATTGATGTCTCGGCTTTCTTTGTTGAAGATTTTACTTTGAAATGTTTGGTAGTTTGACTCTTTTTGTAAATGGTTTACAGACGGATTTGCAATATCCAAGTGTAAATATGGATTGATTCCCATCTCCTGCTCATCACCTTTGTGACCGTTGGTGATCATTTCTTCATCTTTTTCCTCCACTTTCCCCTCTGTTTCCTTCTTTTCTTGCTCCTCGTCTTTGTTATTACGTGTGGAGGATAGACTTTGCTCTAGCCGCTGCCTATTCCTTTTCATCCTATCCATTCGCGAATCATCTACTGCACTATACTTTTGGTATAATGACGATGTCGTGGACACCGCTGGTTCATTGCTTATCCACGAAGAATTACCATGATTCGATCTTGGCGCATATTTCTCGTACTTGAGGTTTTTGCTATCATTTTTCTTTAACCATGCTGGCGTCTTCTCCTTCACATTACTATAGATTGAAGATGGCTGTGCATCGAAATTTTTCTCTCTAGCAGCATCAAAATGATGGGAATCCCCAACTCGACGTTTCTTTAGCCCCAGATTCTCATCACTATTTTTAGACACCGGAATATACGTATTATCCGACATCAAATGGTCTACGGTTATCCAATCTGGTTAAGCAAACTAACAAGTTGGCTTTTCTTTTTAATTTTTCATTGTGTATTTTGTAGTCACGTGACTAACTCTAATTCTCTACAATAACTATTGGACACTAGGAAGTATAGGGAGCTAGTGCTATAACAAGCTAGTCAGTACTGCTCCACTATCGAGCAGAGCGAGATAGTGTTGTAACAAGCTAGTCAATACTATATAAGCTACTTTGACCATCCACATTATCTCCACCTCTTTCACCTCTCTCACCTTCTTTCCTCGTATGCAGCTAGTCAGTACTGCTCCACTATCGAGCAGAGCGGGATAGTGTTGTAACAAGCTAGTCAATACTGCTCCACTATCTCGGTCTGCTCGATAGTGTTGAAACAAGCTAGTCAGTACTGCTCGATAGTGTTGAAACAAGCTAGTGAATACTGCTCGATAGTGTTGAAACAAGCTAGTCAATACTGCTCCACTATCTCGCTTCGCTCGATAGTATCGCTGCTTTTACAATTTCCCAGTCAAGGCTTTATCAAACAAATCAGCTATTGGCTTAACAAAAGCTTTCTGGTTTGGTAACAAATGTGCTCCCTCGTGTGCGAATATGTGGACATTCTTTTTATACAAGCCAGCGACATACTGAGATCTAATTGGTAACACGATACTATCGTTCTTGCCGTAAACGATGAGTATCTCTGTATTAAAATTATCAGGGTCTTGTAATTGTGTATATTTTGCCGCATCGGGAGCAATCTCTACCTTGGACTGGTACTCTTTCAAGTTGGTAATTTTTTCAATTCCTTCAAAGGTCTCTCCCAGCTTGGGTACCGTAAGACAAAACCCAGAAACAAACAAGCCAATTTTGAAATCTGGATGCGATGGCAACATTTTCCTCAAGGAGTTGGTAACCATAATCGCCATAGCTGCACCTTGTGAAAATCCAATAACGCCGTCGTAAGGACCATTCTTCTCAATATGTTTCATAATAAACTCCATTGATTCCTCTAACCCGTGGTTATCACTAGGTCCTCTATGGTCAAACCACCTACAATTGTTTTCGTTGGCAACAATCGTGTCCCATACTTTATCGCTCTCCTCCTCTGTTGCCGCTAAGGGAAAGCCTAGTTCATATCTCGATTTTATCGGCTGACATGGACTAATAAAATCTAGCTCAATATTTAGCTGTTTACTTAGAATCTTGCGAAGTCCTGATGCCTTTTTGGCAAATGTACTTCCACTTTGCAAGTATCCGGGGAGACAAAGCACTTTTGATATCGTTGACATCTTTCCTCTCTGGAAGAAATAACGCTTCGGGAAAACGGAGAAACGAGATGAGATGAGATGAGATGAGATGAAATGGGTGCGAAAAAAACTGAAAAATTTATAAAAATAGTACAACTAGCCTAGTCACATTGCTAGAAGATCAAGTTGAATTGAGAATGCTGGAGTTGGATCAGTTTTTTGCAGAAATTAGCGAGGAAATTGCAAAAGAGTATGTAAATTCATGTTCAATTCACTTGCTATAAGATACTAACTCTCCATATCTCAAAGTGTTAACAAGAAATCTTTATTGCAAGATTTTGAGCATCGGTTTGATTTATCGATAATTCCGTACCAATTGGAAATTAATACATGGGTATCTGTGAGCCCAGATAAACTCCATGAAGTATTTAGAGACACTTCTAGCTTTGAAGGTGATCTAGAGAGAAATCTCGCCAGTTTTAATCAAGAATTGACTGCTTTAGAATGCAAATCAAGTCAGAAAGAGCGATTATCGAATAAATTCATTGAAGATTCAATTTATATTCTCTTGGCCAATCGTTATTTCTGGGTCCTTTCAACCGCATATACGAATGAAGATTCAATAAATATAGATTTGGTTACTAGTGGGAACAAGTATGGCATAATCGCCACGCCCAAAGAAATCAATACCGTGTTAAAATTGGACGAGATGAACTATCAACTATACTTGTTATCTCTTTTGAAATTAATAGATACCATTGTTGACTATACAACCACTACGGTGATCAATCAATCTATAGGACACTCAAACACTCCTTCTGCGAATTATACAATTGGCCTCATAAACCTGCAATTGGTCTCCAAAATACAAAATGGCTTTCTGCTATTAGATTTGAAGAATGACCTTCTTAGGAAGAAATACGATAGTTTGAAATATAGTTGCCAGAGATTGAACAAAATTGTATATGATTTGTCGCTTCGAAACTTGATCACTACAACTGCTGAACTACACTGAAAATGTACATTTTCTGTTTTTGTTTTTTTTTTCAATTGCCATCTTTAAGCTTTTTCATCGCTGGTTGATCCGAAATAGACTCTTGATTTAAATCTCCATCTTCTATAATCGCAGTGTTTGTACTATCACCAGTTAGTGGTTGTTCCTGGGATTCCGCTGGTCTTTTTCGAGATTGGTCCTTTTCCAACACAGATTCGTCATCACCTATAGCATCCCGACGCGTCACCATTCGCTCATCTACTTTATCAGAATTTGATTCTGCATTGACTTTTGATTTGATCTCGAAGGAGTCACCCTCTCCACCATCACCATTATCTTCACCTACGGGTAGTATAGTTTGCTCATCCATATTCTCTAATCCACTAGTTTTTGATTCTACTTCAAAAGCAGATGTTCCGGTTCCACTTACTAACGACTTCGACGGCAGAGCTTCCGAATCATCCTCAACAACACTGGGTGTTCGAGTTATAGTAGAAGTGGAGTTCTCATCGTTCGCCTGCATTATGACTGACGGGCTCAAAGTTTTCTCAACAATCTCGTCTTTAATAATAACGTTATTAGATTTTGGAGTAATAGGTCTGGGCATACTTTCACCATCAGCATCGCCAAGTTTTGGGGTACTTGGTCTAGCAACATCAGTTGTGGTCTCTGATGTAGTAGAGGGTTTTGCTATCTCGCCATCTTCATCATTTACATCTTTAATCAACTTGGTGTCAGCAATTTCCTCATCTTTTTTTTTACTCAGCAGCTTTGACTCCAACTCCTTCATCATATAATTGTAAATATCAGGTATTTCCTTTGCTTTCTCTTCAACATCTCTTCGTGTAATTTTCAAAAGATCAGTGGCAATCGGAAAAATGTCCTTCTTTGCGATTTTTCTTTTTGAATTCGGGGAGTTCTGGTAGGTATGGGAATTAACATCTTTGAAAAAGTGCTCATAAATCTTGAAATAGATACTCACAAAAGTATCGTCAATCAATGAAGTTGGACCGTACCCATTGTTTGATTTCCTCATATCGTTACTGGCAAACAAAAAGCACAAGTGAGGTTCCAACTCTTTGGGAATTCCCTTTTCCTGTATTGCATCGGATATGTGCTTGGTATTAGCAAGGAAAATCAGGAACGGCAAATTGTTGATAAAGTTGTCAGTGAATTCAAAACTATCCCCAAGATCAAAAGACGTTCGAATTATCCTGCAACTCGAGGAACAAAGAAGTTCCCATGCATTGTAAAGATTAATCATGATCGAGCTTGATCTTCTTAGTTTTGGCATCATCACAAGCAAGCTGTTGATGTCTTTCTTTCTTTTTAAAAGCTCAATGTAGAACCGTATATACTGGTAAGTATAAAGAAAATGTTTTCCTGGTCTTTCAAACTCTGGTTTCCATATCAGCACCAATTGCTTATTTACGGATTTTAAACATATAAAGTCAGACATGATATCTATGGCACCTTGCACATCGTCAAACTGCTCGTATAATACTCGTGATAGTCGATACTTGGCCTTGTGTTGCCAATTCTTCTTATCAGCAGCATCAACTTGTTTAAGTGATGAAATTACTATATCATAAAAATCACCCTCTAAAGCTTTTTCGTTAAATTTCAAAAGGGGATTACTTCTTAAGTAAGCAACAGCTTCGCTTGGAGTAATTTCTTTGCTTTTGACATATTTCATACACAAAGAAACCAAGCAGTAGTGTGGCTCGACAATACTCTCACTCAATTTTAACGTTGCAGCTTTCTTGCATGCACGACTCATAGTGTTTAAAACTAGAGATGGAGGATCCCCACACTTTCTTTGAACTTTGGAAAGATAGTAGTAATCCGTCCACTCCCTGCCACCTGATTTTAAAGACAAATGAAAAGCTTGCTTAATCAACTTGAAACAAAAATTTTTGGAAACTACACTTTTTTCAGTAGCGCTGGCAAAAGAAGCACCAGAAGGTCCATTAACAAATCTAGGTTGAGATTGAACTTTCAAGGCCAACATATCCATGGGTGCAGACACGCAACTAAAAAGTTCTTTTGCAAAGTAAGACATAAGATATCCCACTATATGTTTTGCTTGCTCCTTAATCGATGGATCAAGCGTGCAATTAATTGCCATTAAATAACAAACTAGGGACTTGCGTTGCAAATTGGCAGTGCCGACTTTCCTATCAAACACGGTCAATTTATCTGACGTCCAAATCAAATCATCTTCAACAAGATATCCATAAGCTTGTGCTATTAGGAACCAACTTTCTAGCCTATTACTGCCATAAAGTAAATCATATGTGAATAAAGATATAGCGGTTTCAATTTCAACAGCTCTGCCTTGCATATTCTTCTTGCGCGACTTGTACGATGAAAAAATTAGTAGTCCTTGTAAATAGTAAAGACCACTAGATGCAATCTTATTTTGGGTTTCATCAATATCTAGTTTCACCAAACCATGAAACGAGTTGCGAATAAACCTGGGAGTGAGACACGTAGTATCTAAGAAATGATCAATGGATGCTTTGTTCCTGCTCAAATGTGCATCATTGTCAAAATCGGGGTTTCCTACAACCTCGTATATTTCTTCAATAAGCACTTTCATATCCTGCTTTGGCACATTTTTTATCGTATTAGTTTTAAAACATAGTGGCAAAACAAATTTAGCCAATTCCTCACAATCAGCAATACGCAACTCTTCTTTCTTTTGTGATTCATGTTCAAATGGGAGAAAGTCTTCAAATCCAATGTTGTAATGATACCGACATTTGATTACCTGGGCAATATCCTTTTCGGCCGAGTCCAACTTGTTCAAGTATTCTTGTGCAGCTCTCAAAAATATTCCATTAGCAGAAGAACAAATACCGCTGGCACCTAACTGAGCATGAAATAGTTTAATAGAATCATGTAAAGTCTTAGCATCACCTAGCGAGCTCTGTATGTTTGCTAAAATAAGAACAACCGTTTTGAGAAACATATCTTTTAATAAGTTGTACGACGCAGGTGAAAATTTCTTAACCGAAGTTTTTAGTGACGAAATGCTGCAAGCTTCCTCGTGAATCTCAAATAATAAGCATATTTCAAACAAGGGCACTAATGATTGAAATGGAATGGTTCCTTTCAATTGCCAATCCGTTTCTGCAAGGTGTTCAATTACTAAACTCAAGCTACTGTTATAAAATCCCAAAACTTTGCATAACGAGTCAAATCTACTTCTCTCGTCCATTGTTGCATACGCCAAACTCTTCAACATTTTATTGAAAACATCCAAACTCTCCACAAACCCACTCACTAAGTTTCCGTATAATTTCGCCAGTTTATAAAATTGAAGTAAAACATTCCACAAGCTCAAACTCAAATCAACAGAGTTGGTTTTCAAAAACTCCTTTATTGACAAAATTGCTTCATTCTTTTCTCTACTACTCAGGCACATTAATATATCTTCTAGTAAATGCATCGCCCTTGTATTGTCCTCCATATTGGATGCAAACAAAATCTCGGAAAAAATCGTCAACACCGATACAATCGTTAATTGAGTCTTTAAATTACTTATAGTCAATGATGGGAAATTTTTGCAATTTGGGTAATGAATGTTTAATGGGAGATCCGATGACTCTGCATATGCCAATACCTCCTCTAGAGATGATTTAATTATACAGTCTTCGTTCCAAGCCACTGTCTGAGCTTTTTGTTTGAGAATTTGACACCACTTGAATCTAGCAAAAAGAATCCACCGTTCATATGATTCAACTTTATTGCACACAAATGCCTCTTGCAAAAATTGCAACCACTTTGAAATCTTATCCTCAAGCTTAATCAAATCTTGACACAACCCATTCACAATGGTCTTATTTACCCTTTTAGAATCTATTGAATTCTTTACTTGAACTTGTAGATTTATCAAGTTGTCAACAAGAATCTCTAGTACGCCAACTGCAAGAGTCAAGTTCGAGTACAGTTTGGATATCGAGTTGAACAAATACCCTTCAAACTGAAAAACCCATTCGCTCATTTTAATAATCAAGCTATCTCCCCATTTCGAGTTTAAATATAAAGCAGCCTTATCATCAGCTAACAAATGCTTTATAATTTTGGTTTTTAGTTCCACGTAGTCAAGATTCCCAGACAAGTGAGTAACAATCGTTTCGCCATTTTCTAGCTCATTCAACAGTGCGATGTGAGACACTTGTGCTTCACTTTGCAATTTATTGCTAAAACTGTTTAACAACTCTACCAATTTCAGATTGTTGTTGGTTGATTTTGCGTCAATAGAACAGAAACTACTATAAGCATCCAGGTATGAGCTTTTCCAACTAGTGACTATACTTAGAAAGTCCTTTACATATTGCTCTGTCTCAACCTCTTCAAAGTATACCCCTGGTATATCACATACCTTAAAATCACCAATAAGATTTCGTAAATTTTTCACAAAATAGTCCAATCCTGCAAAGTGAGATTTTTGCACCACTACTTCTGGTTTGGAAAACTCTGATGACTCAACTCTCGCTAGACGTTTGGATGCCCTGTGTATTTGCTGTTTATTTTCAAGCATGTCATTCAGTGTCGTCGTCGTCGTCGTCGTCGTAGTCTCTTCTGGCAGTTGCCGTTCTTCATCCTTTGCCAAAATTTGCTCGTTTTGAATTTTGTCTGTATTGGAGTTTGCATCTTCCTTCTCCTTAACTTCAGTCGTCAAAGTAGATTCAACTTGAGTTGGAGTTACAGCCAATTCGTACTCGATAATAACATTTTCTATGGGTTCTTCGCTGAGTTGATAAGGATCCACGTAGCGAAGTTTTGGTTTATGAATGTCTTCTACTTTTGAGTGGTCTTGGAGTTCAACAATCGTGTCATTTAATGAACAAATCACATTTTCCCATGACAATGTATCACTTTTACCTTTTAGTTTCAAGAATAGTTTGTTTTTCTGTTTCTGTCGAAGTTCCTGAGTTTCAAAATCTTGCTTGAACTGGTCAAGAAATTGCAAATTTGGTGGGCTTGACATTCGAATGTTATTTCGATTAGATTTGGGCTGGGTGTAATTGAGCATAGATTTCAAAACGTTTAATCTGCTTTCAATTGCTGAGTCGACTGGTAACAACCCGGCCAAGTCATCACTTTCAATAGCGCTGCTTGTCGCGTACTCTAAAGTAAACCTAGACAATTTCAAGCTTCCAATATAGGTGAATAGATGATATAGCACGTTGACCAACTTTTCATCGGCCTCATTATACAAAAGAGCCACGCAAAAATCATCAATCATGGAGTAAAAAATGTCCCTTGCCTTTTTCTCCCAACTAGAACCTGGTTCTACTATTGAGTCAAGCTTTTTCCCCAGCTTGAGTATATTCAAATAAAGCATGCCTCTGTTTCTGAAAATGAGATACCTCAACGATTTCACGCTCGGCGACAACAGCGATAGATCATCAACAACAGTATTGGCTGCTCCATTCTGTATGCCTCGTATGTACTCAACTTCTTCGTAGTAATAGTTTGCTATAATATCTAGGAGAAACAATTGGTGATGAATGTTATAAGCACTCTCATATTCGCCGTCCCGTTGAAATTTCAACGCTTTCTGGAATAACACAAACGCCTGTTCTACTTGTAGTTCTCTGGTGTGTTCCTCTTCTAGATCCTTCTTGGCAGTCTGGTCCTCTATTATATTTAACGGTTTAAATGAAGACATCCCCCCCGTTTGATAAAGAGGAAATAGATTTATATAGACTGAACAAAAAAAAAAGAGAGAGAAGATTTATTATTGAAAGTTTGCAATGATTAAAAGCACAAGGATGGAGATGATAATTACAATAAGAAGCTTGTAAGAAGTAAAGAAGCTTGTAAGAAGTATAAGAAGCTTGTAAGCTTGTAAGAAGTATAAGAAGCTTGTAAGCTTGTAAGAAGTATAAGAAGCTTGTAAGCTTGTAAGAAGTATAAGAAGCTTGTAAGCTTGTAAGAAGTATAAGAAGCTTGTAAGCTTGTAAGAAGTATAAGAAGCTTGTAAGCTTGTAAGAAGCTGAGGTTTATTAGTTAAAGTTTGTTATTTCATATAGTCTATAAGTGGTATATCGGCTCTCTCTCTCTCCTTTTTTAGCTATCAAAGGAGAACTTTCTTTTGTAAATTTCAACAGTATTTGTTGATGTATTCTCCTCCTCGAGTTGCTCTTCTAGGTCCTCCTCCTCCTCTTGTAAAGCATCATTGTTTCTTCCGAATCTCAACCACCATATAAAGTGGCTGGTAAATATACCGAGCTCCAAAGCAATAACAATCGCATACAAGACTACACTCATAATATCCATGTGTCCCACAACGACGCTTAATAAGGAAAATATCGCACCCAACGAATCCACGGTTAAAAAGACGAAATTGATGCCAATAACGCGTCCCTTTCTCTTTGCCAATTCAAAGTAAGGAGGGATCAATCCAACTGCAAGCAATATCGATGCAATAATACCGATTATCAACATGGGCCATTCTATGCCTCTTCTGTGAAGAGGTCTTAACCATAAGATAAAGCCAACTTCCAAACCAACTGAAACCAATACAAAACTGGTCAAAAATAACACCATCCTTTTCCTGGAAATTGCATGCGGCGGATAGTACAATGTTTGTGCCCAAGTAACAATACAAAAAAACGTAAACAACTGCGGTTGGATCCTCAAGGGGATCGATCCGTCTATACCAAAGAAATACACCGAAAAGGGAATTCCACTAGCTGCCCATAAAAACATCATCAAGGGCGGTAACCCATCACAATTCTTTACCTTGTAATTTCTAATAATCTGGGGTATAAGTTGAATGCACCAGAAAATGGTACCAATGGTACCTAAAACATTCTCTGCTACCGCGTTGTACATCCGGTTATCTTCTGCTTCAGAGGCATATAAAGCATATAGAGGAAATAACGAAGGAAAAGAGTAGTTTTATGGGAATTTGCAATTGCTTTTATAATTTTACCAATCTCTGAAACATTCCTTTATTTCTTTTTTTTTTTTTTTTTTTTATTGTATACGGCGCCATTCGATCTAGCTCCTTGAAAAAGCATGCTATGGCAATGAATCATTTCTATTTGTAATAACTAGAAGAGAGTCATTTTCTATTTGTAATAGGAATAAGAAGAAGCTCAAAGAGGGAAAGAAATACCGTCATGTTCTATGGCAGAAATTGGCGCGAATGGTATTTGGAGTTTGGCATATTTGTACATCTCGTAAATAACTAGGTCAGAATTCGCTTTTGCGCTTTGTTCCCATATAGAAAATGGCGGTCTCTCCTTCTACCTCTCTGCATCTCAACCTCTCCTTCTACCTCTCTACATCTCTCTCTCCCTCTTTCTCTCTCTTTGCCTCTTTCTTTCTCTCTCTCTCTCTCTCTCTTCCTTTCTATTCCTTTCTTCCTTTCTTCCTGCTAAGCTCATCGCATGAAAATATTTCCAACGTTCGATGTTTTAGGAACTTTTTTCCGCACTTAGATTCGCTTTGAGATTCTCAATTGGGAAATATTGCGTAGAAGAAAATTTGTGTCATTTCTGATAAAGTGAGTGTGTTTTTTTTTTGATGCAACCAATTGCGCTATTGCGTCTTTTCCCTCGTCTCGGCTCAAACGGTGTATTATAATTATTCCCTCGTGCTACTGTCATCTATAGTATTAGTTTCGTTATTATATATGTTAAAATCTGTATACATATGTGTTAAACTGTGTGTATATGTGGTTAACACTGGAGATGTGCTTAACACTGGGGATGTGCTCAACACTGTAGATGCGCTCGACACTGGGGATGTGCTCAACACTGTAGATGCGCTCAACACTGTGGATATGTACATCACTGTAGATGCGCTCAACACTGTGGATATGTGCATCACTGTAGATGTGCTCAACACTGTAGATATTTAGGTCAAAGTTAACCTGTTTTACGATTACGCAGCTGATCAGGCACGATTCTCAAGAAAAATTTTTAAACATGCTTAAAATAAGACGCTAGTGAAGACGCAAGTAAAAAGACGTTAGTAAAAAGACGTTAGTAAAAAGATTTTAGTGAAGACGCTAGTGAAGACGCTAGTGAAGAAACCCACTAGCTTGTTAGTTCCAGTGGCAATTAATGCAATCAAAGCCCACACGGGTTTGACAGTCAATCGTACTCCACTATCTCGGTCTTCTCGATAGTTTCGCCTAGTAATTAATAATAAAAATATGAGCTAATGTTTCATTGAAAAAAGGCGGGAAAAAGAGGCACAAAAAGAGTGAGTCATGCAATGCTTCTATTGAAAGCGAAAATGTCTGAAATAGGCAATCGTTTGCTCGCTATAAAAAATCAGGTGCTTTTCGCTAAAAGATTAAAGGGTGGTTTCCATTACTTGATTGAGAAGGTGAGAGCACTATCCAGGAGAGCAAGCAACTATCGAGCAATACTGAGTAGCTTGTTATCACACTATCGACACTAGCGAGCAGAGCGAGATAGTGGAGCAATACCGACTAGCTTGTTACAACAAGCAACACTATCGAGCAGAGCGAGATAATAGTAACTAGTATCTAGTATCTAGTTAATAGTAATTAGTCAGTGTTCTCCACTATCGAGCAGAGCGTGATAATAGTAACTAGATTATAGTAATTAGCCAGTGTGCTCCACTATCGAGCAGAGCGTGATAATAGTAACTAGATTATAGTAATTAGTCAGTGTGCTCCACTATCTCGCACTGCTCGATAGTGTCGCTTTGCTGGATAGTGGAGATAATCAATCACTATCATAATCAAACTCTAAACTACTCTCATTGCTGTTGTCATTCTCTTTTTCCAGTTGTATACCAAGATCTACCTCCGACAGCGAGCTTACACGAATAGTTGTTGGCCCTCTTAATGACTCAGTTGAATTTTCATTTTCATTTTTATAGTGCCCCGTCTTGAAATGTTTGGTAAGCCTTGTATTTGCAATCCTTTTCAGCCTCCTGTGAGATATCTCATCACCGTCATCAGCAATAACTTCACATTCTTGCGCTCCCTCGACTGATTTTGAGGAATCTTCAGTCATAAAGCCGCCACCTACTTCACTATCATCCTCTTCATCATCCTCTTCATCTTCATCTTCAGAGCTCTCAAATCTATTGTTATCTTTTGTATCATTAGCCAAAAATCCGCCATCTTGGAAAGAATCTCCCTCACTTGTTGAATCATCCTCCACCTCCACTTCCCCCTTCGATTCCACTTCTTCATCTACAAAACCATGTGATTTATTAAGACGGTCCTTTAATCGCAATTTGAGTAAAAAATAATTCCAGTTTTGTAATGCATTGGATTCAACCATCAACCGTCGCTCATTTGCCTCCATTTCAATAACATGCTCTAAAGAGACTCCCATAGCTTCTTCGTGATCTTTCAAAATCACAATTCCTCCTTCCTTCGCATTAGGTACGCCTCGGTTTCTCTTTGTAAAGTCAAAAGAAACTATCGCCGTTGCATAATCTATATTCAACAAAGATGCCGTTTTTTGAAGCATCTTTACAGTTATCGTGTCATTCACCTTTACCAATACACAATTTCCCGGTATCATGGAGTCCGTATAGATGTCAATATTTCCAAAAAGATTTTTGGGAACTTTCCCATCTTCAACAACTGGAGGAACATACAACTTTGTTTGAAACTCAGCATAAAGCCGCACTTCTTCTTCCCCATTGATGCTGGAACCTTTCTTGTACTTCATTGGCATAGCACCAACTTTCAACACCCTTCCTCTCATATACCATGCCTTTGCAGATCTTAGCCTTTTAACACAAGACCTCTTGTAAACGTCCAACAATTTTCCAGAGGAGTTTTTTGGTCTAAAGGTACCACACACGCTTGTTTTGTCCTTGGGGTATATCACTTCATTTTGCTTTAGCTGTGACTCTAGCGCATATATTGGATGGTTCCTAAATGCCTGAATATTATTAGGCATTCCTTCTGACAAGTCGCGTTCGTGGAATTCTTTCAATTCGTAGATATCGCTAATAGTACGGGACTCCCTTTTCTTATAATTCAATACTCTATCATACCACTCCTTGTCTTCCTCCGACCTAAACTCTATTCTCTTTTTAATTGTACGTGCATTGTAGTTAAAGCTGTAGCGCCTAGTAACATCACGTACTCTGCCACGTTTATCCACGGCCAACACGTACAGTAATTGATTTCGCACATCTGTTGCAGGCGGTTCAAAAAGCGATTTTTTCTTTTTTGGACAAACATCAATTGTTTTCATGACTATAGGGTCGATACTTATCCATGTGTTTTTATACCTATCAAAAACCTCTGCCCAGAATATTGGATAAGGTGAATCTTCGAATTTCACATCTTTATGAGCAACTTGAAGATTTTTGGATTGAACTCCAAAAATGTTTTCTTGGGGGTGAGGCAGTGAATTTATCGTAGCCGTTTCCGTCACCAATGTGTAATCAGGTGGTTGCAAAGAAAACACCAACCTCGCGTTTAGCCCCAAACTTCTTAAAAGAGTCACAAACCCTTGCGCTGCAACATCCCTGCTTCCGCGGAAATGGGCTACCAATCTTTTAAACGTTTTCCTGGTTACAATATCCGAGTCCTGGGCAATCTTTAGTTCATGCCACTCTTTTCGTATGAGTCCTTGGCTAGTTACTCTATACTTTGAAGCAAAAATCGTCAATAGCTTCTTCAACCCGTCTAGTAATCTTCGAGAGCCAACAGCCGACAGAATATCATGCCGAAACTCGAGCAGTTGTGCTATTTGTCGAGTCAAGCACGCTCGTTTCAAAGTAGCGCCCAATTCCTTATCATTGCACCATCTATTTCTTACAATTAAATGAGTCACCATCAATACAAGATACAACTTGTGAACAAGTATCCGCTTTTGTCGCTCTTCACGACTTATGAAATTTACCCTACCCTTTTTGCTGCTGATGCAGCTATGTTCATCTTTACTTTGAAGCCTTATTGTTAAAACGTCGTCCTTTGCTTGTTCTTCCTTTTCATTGTGGAAGAAACGAGGTGCATCAGCTACCATGGTGAAGTCCACATTTTCAAAATCCTCGGACTCCCCCGAATTTGAGTCTGATCTAAAGATATCTTGCCTTGCCGTTAGGTCTGACCCTACAATATCCTGCCTCGCCGCTAAGTCTGACCCTACAATATCCTGCCTTGCCGCTAAGTCTGACCCTACAATATCCTGCCTTGCCGTTAAATCTACATCTTCAAAATCATCATCCAAATCACTGCTATCCTCGTCTGACGCGTCAACATCTATAATTTCTGGTTGAATTTTCCTCCTTTTCCGCGTTAATGTGGATGAGGTTTCGTTTGAAGCTGAGCCTGCCTCTCGTAACAATTGCTGATGATGAACACTTGGGAACTCCCTTGCCATCTACAACAATTTCTCTATTCCTCTGTATAGCTATAAACTCAACTACGCTGCTTTCATCTGGTATATTATCCGTCTAAACTGGTCTATGAATCACAATTGAATATATATTGCTCTCTCTTTTTGCTTCTCTCAGCGGAAAAAAGGATCCTGAGATGAGATGAGATGATTTGAAAAATTCAACCTTGGTTATCGGAAATAGGAAAGAAGGTTAAAATCTAAACTGGCAAAAAGGTGGGGTTTGAGACTCGAGTGGGCAAGGTATGGAAAGGATATGGGATTATGTTGGGGAGCGCGACAATATAATAGCGTGGTATACAACACGGTGATACGACCCAGAGCAAAACTATTTCATCAAGAGGCTCTCAGATTATTTCATCAAGAGTCACTTTTGGCTCAAAAAGTGAACGAAAGGGTTTCTGTTAAGCTTTATGAAAAGTTAACCAAGCATGGACAAACAACTGTCAAATTGCGGCCTATGATTGAATATGCGCCATTGTACTCCAAAATGTTAACCAGCGGCATGGAATTTCGTATTAGCGATTCAATTCGTATCAAGGGCTCAAAGGAAAGTTTATTACTTTTACTAGAAACTGCGACATTTCATATCTTATGCGTTATAGAATGCTTGCAACGTAAACAGCATATTCCAGAGGTGCATCGACTATTCTTTGATCGTGTAGTAACAAAGCTTGGAAAGCCTTTAAACGGATCTCTGGATCTAAATAGCCTAGCAAGAGAATTCGCGATAGCTGTTGCGCCGGCATTAGAGGAAGGAGTTCAATGCTTTAGTGCAATAACACTGCGCTTGGAAAAGTTCCAAAACATCGATGATCTTACAAACTGGATCAAAATCATAACGGCAAAATCTTTATTTAGTGGTTTTTCGTTAGTGAAGGATGATATTCCTGCTTTCGTAATGTATTATTTGATTACTCGCTCCCCTTTTTTCAAAGAGGATTATTTACTACAATTCGATATGTGGATAAATAACATTGAGTATATTGCTATGCAAAAAAGGCATCAAGTATCTGCTATCAAAACGGTCATTGAGCATTTGGTTCGTCATAGTTTTGTGTTTGAACCGGCGTGTCTTATTCCATTGATAAAACACACATTCCAAGTTTTCCACTCAAAAAGGGCTGGTATTCAAATCAAGTTGGGATCTTCTTACTTTAATGATTTGATTTGGAGTCTAGCAATCTCCTCTATCAGGCATCAAAGTGTAAATCCAATGCATATTGCAGACGCTCAAAAGTTATTAATGGCATATACCAACATCGCAAGTAAACAAGGGCAAGGACAAGCGCAAGGACAAGCGCAAGGACAAGGTGCAAATGAAAATTTAAGCTACAGAGCCTATTTGGGTATATCCATTGTTATGTCAAGAATCTCTCGCGAAAAGGGAGAGAAGATTTTTGAGGCGGCACAAACGAAATTTGCAAAAGATTCAAAGTCAAATAGGGATATGGTTGCTTATTATATATCGCTTATTTGGCATTCAAAAACACTAGAAGAAGCTGTGAAAAACTTCCAGATAGGGGTGGTCAAGTATGAGCAGTCCTCTAAGTTGTGGCTTGCATTTGTTCAAAAATTAAAGTCTTTAAACGCAATGACTGAGAACGGTGCCATTGCCATTTTCCGAAAGATTATAGCCTCAAAAGCAAATGTGACTAGCGACTTGGTTACCGAGCTTCTACATCCTATTAGCGATTTTCGTAATTTTCAGGAAATCTACAATGCTACGCAACAAGTTTTCAAGGGTAAAGATTATTTGTTCTTGGTGAAATACATGCAATTATTACAAGATAATCCCCAAGCAATTTACAATTTCAATTTTCCTTGGAACTCAGAAATAAGTTGTTTACAAAAAAGCTTTGCTTGTAGTGACCAACATCTAGCGCACTTGAATGGTTCAATTTTCTGCAAGTCGATCCAATTAACGAGCTCATACCTCAAGAGTATTTTCAAAATCAATCCAAAGCTAGTTTTTCGAGCATACTACCTGGAGATTTTAGAAAAAGGTCATATACCGAATGCATCGTGCTTGGGAACTTTGATAGATACTGCCATCGATCTCCATGACCGTATAGTAGAAAGCGAGGAACCAATACAACAAACAGCAATTGGAGAGTTTCAAAGAAACGTTAAAACCAGTCATGAGTCATTTGGGATTTTTCCTAGCGACGCATTATGGGTCAAGTATATAAACTTATTGGCAAAACACAACTACGTTTCCGAACTCTCAAAAATTATGAAATGGTGGTTAGACATCAAATTCGAGCCCAAGAAGCATACCCTTTTGCAACTCTTGGCAGTATTACCTACGGATTTCGCCGAGAGACACATCCGCCACCACGAGCAAGCCAATCTGAAAAAAGACTGGGACTGGCCATCGATGGTAGAGTTTGAAAAGCATATACATAATAGGCGAGATACCTCCGCATATAGGCATACCGCCCCGTCGCTGCTACATTGAATACCAGCATCCAACTCTGTATACCAGCATCCAACTACCAGCATCCAACTCTGTATACCAGCATCCAACTCTGTATACCAGCATCCAACTCTGTATATCAGCATCCAACTCTTATTTTTTATGAGGTAGATTTTGCCTATGGGTATGTTGCCTATGGGTATGTTGCCTATGAGTAGAGATTGCCTATGAGTAGAGATTGCCTATGACTCAGATACGTCGCTCATCTAGTTTCTACATCTTCGCTCAACTAGTCTCAGAAGCATAGACATCTCTATTCAACTAGTCTCTACATCTCCTCTATTCAACTAGTCGAGCAGAGCGAGACTCAGAAACACAGAGGTCTTTACTATTCAACTAGTCTCAAAAGCTTAGAGGTCTCTGCTAGACTAGTTTCAGAAGCTTAGAGGTCTCTGCTCAACTAGCCTCAGAAGCATAGAGGTCTCTGCTATTCAACTAGCCTCAGAAGCTTAGAGGTCTCTGCTATTCAACTAGTCTCAGAAGTTTAGAGGTCTCTGCTATTCAACTAGCCTCAGAAGCTTAGAGGTCTCTGCTATTCAACTAGCCTCAGAAGCTTAGAGGTCTCTGCTATTCAACTAGCCTCAGAAGCTTAGAGGTCTCTGCTATTCAACTAGCCTCAGAGGCTTAGAGGACTCTGCTCGACTAGTCTCAGAAGCTTAGAGGTCTCTGTTCAACTAGCCTCAAAAGCATAGAGGTCTCTGCTCAACTAGTTTCAGAAGCTTAGAGGTCTCATAGAGGTCAACCAATGAAAATAATTTGTTCAATGAAAAATTCCGACAAGGAGCGAGATGGTAGTTGGTGCAATACATAAATAAATTTTCCAATTTCCGAATCAATATTTTTCTTTTTTCAACCCCATATATATCACATATATTCATTTATATATCAACCAATCATGTTAAGGACAGTTGTTAGTAAAAGAACTTCTTTGAAGCTGGTTACTCATTTAAGAGCCTTTTCTTGCAGCTCATTATTACTGCAGGAAACACGAGTTGAGACGGATGCTTTTGGTCCAATTGATGTTCCCAATGACAAGTATTATGGTGCACAAACTGCAAGGTCCAAAATGAACTTTAAGATTGGAGGATCTGCAGCAAGGATGCCTACCCCTGTTATTCGAGCTTTTGGTGTTTTGAAAAAATCTGCTGCTAAAGTTAATGAAGAATTGGGACAACTCAATCCTAAATTGTCACAAGCTATTCAACAAGCAGCTACTGAAGTTGCCGAGGGTAAATTGGACGAGCATTTCCCATTGATTGTGTTTCAAACCGGGTCAGGTACTCAATCAAATATGAATGCCAACGAAGTGATTTCAAATAGAGCCATTGAGATTTTGGGTGGTGAATTAGGTTCGAAAAAACCCGTCCATCCAAACGACCACTGTAACATGTCACAATCGTCGAATGATACATTCCCCACCGTGATGCATATTGCTGCTGTAACTGAAATTAAAAACTCCTTGATCCCCGAATTGACCAAATTGCGCGACTCCTTGCATGCAAAGGCAGAAGAATTTAAGGATATCATCAAAATCGGTAGAACCCATTTGCAAGATGCTACTCCTTTGACCTTGGGCCAAGAATTCTCCGGGTATACACAACAGTTGACAAACGGTATTGAAAGAATTGAAAAAGTGTTACCAAATTTGTTATACTTGGCACAAGGTGGAACTGCAGTTGGAACCGGTCTCAACACTAAAAAAGGTTGGGATGTCAAGATTGCTGCAAAGGTTGCTGAATTGACCGGGTTCCCTTTCAAGACCGCTCCAAATAAATTCGAAGCATTGGCTGCACACGACGCTATTGTTGAAGCTTCAGGTGCTCTCAACACAGTGGCTGCATCTTTGTTTAAGATTGCCAACGATATCAGGTACTTGGGTTCTGGTCCAAGATGTGGATATGGAGAGTTGGCATTGCCAGAAAACGAGCCAGGATCTTCAATCATGCCTGGCAAAGTCAACCCTACTCAAAATGAAGCCTTGACAATGGTTGCATGCCAAGTTTTTGGTAACAATGCTGCTATTACATTTGCAGGCGCATCGGGTCAATTTGAATTGAATGTTTTCAAACCGGTTATGATTGCCAATTTGTTATCCTCGATCAGATTGATTGCTGATGGTGCATCTTCTTTTAGGGTCCATTGTGTTGATGGTATTGTCGCCAACAAAGATAAGATTGAAAAGACCTTGAACGAATCGTTGATGTTGGTTACTGCATTGAACCCAAAGATTGGATACGATGCTGCATCCAAGACTGCAAAGAATGCTCACAAAAAGGGTTTAACGTTGAAAGAATCGGCATTAGAGTTGGGTGTTTTGAGTGAGAAAGAGTTTGATGAATGGGTCAGACCAGAAAAAATGATTGGTCCAAAGGATTAGTAAATAGAAAATATGCTAAGCTACAACAACGACAACAACAACAATAGCAACAACAACAACAACAACAACAACAACAACAGCAACAACAACAATAGTAAAAGACGTATATATTCAAGTAAAAAGTTAGTTATTGTTCTCTTTCTGGCTTAAAATGATATTGAAATATAACAGCTGAGATGAGAGGAGGGAGAAAAAAAAAAGGAATAAAATGAAATATAAGAGCACCATCGCTTCGAGTTTAAAGCGCTATCGCTTCGAGTTTCAAGCACCATCGCTTTGAGTTTCAAGCACCATCGCTTCGAGTTTAAAGCGCTATCGCTTCGAGTTTCAAGCACCATCGCTTTGAGTTTAAAATCTCGAGAAACAATATTGTGCATATCTGGTTGATATTTGTATATATATATATATGGGATTATCGTCGATCCTACAACAAATTGATCGAAAAGGTAAGGTAGCTAGCAAGCCCCCTGTACAGACCTCCGATGCCGTGAAACAACAGGAGGATGCGAAAGTTTACAGTTTTTCCAAAAGACTGCTGAGTATTGACCGCCCGGTAGATCCAGTAATTGCTAGGTTAAAGGAGATTCGGCGACTAGAAAGGGAAAGAAGTGAGCAAGGAAAGCCAAAGAAACAGGATGGAAAACCTAGAAGACCTCGAGAGGGAAAGCTGAATCTCAAAAGGGTTCAAGCGCCTTCTTCTAATGCATCAACGCCAGCACCGCCAGCACCTCGGCAACAACAACAACAACAACAACAACAACAACCGGCAAGACCAAAAATGACTTTTAGTGCGCTCATGAAAAAGGCAGCTGAGATTGACCAGAATAAGTTTTCTTTGAGGTATCCTCAAAAATCGAATACTGCAGATGCAACATCCAAGCCCAAGAAACCTTTGCCAAACTCAACACCAAAGATTCCCGAGAGAGCTAACCATGTGAAACTGGGCTCCAAGATGGACAAGGTCACCGGTACAAAAGAAATATCACCACCTGTGAGTAAGAGAAAGAATGCAACCAAACTGGGTGAGGTGGTGACTAAAGCGAAACCTAAAGGAAGCACCCCCACAATGTTAAGACAAGCCAACGCAAAGATCCAAGAAATGCTAAAAAAGAAAAAGGAGAATACATCAAAAAGCTCAACTAGAAACCGGTACGGAGAATATGATGACGAGGAGGAGGATCTAAGTGATTTTGTAGCCTCTGATGAGGACGAAGTTGAAGAAAACTATAATAGAGATGAGATTTGGGCAATGTTTAACAAAGGGAAAAAGCGACAATACAACGATGCTTTTATTGATGACGATGTGTCTGACATGGAAGCTACTGGTGCAGAGGTCTTTGAAGAAGAACGCAGGTCAAAGATCAATGCCGAGAGAGAAGATCGTCTTGAACAAGAACGGTTGGAGAAGTTGGCTGCAATGAAAAGAAAGAAGTTGAAACAGTAAAGGACAATATTCACTATCCACATCTCTGCGGAAAACATTTCCTAGCATTTCATCTCATCTCATCTCATCTCATCTCATCTCATCTCATCTCATCTCATCTCATCTCATAATTGTTACGGTGGGCGGGAAAAAAAGATTAAAAATTCATTTCTTATAACTTAACAGTAAGACTTTGCTTTAGCGTTCGTTTGACCCTTTCTTTCGTCTGACTCCTCCGATTCTTCTGTTGATGGAACTCATTTTCAATAGGCAGAATGATATTAACGCCTTGAACAAAGAATTGAAAAAGTCCCTGCTTTCTTTTAAAAATCGATTACAATCTATTCTTTTTGATGCGAATTTTGTGATGTTGGTTCACAAAAGCTTAGAGTATCCCTTGGTTGCGAATGAAAGATGTGGACTTTGGTACGTTCCGCAAGAGGACCGAGAGGATACTTGTTATTTCAAATCTACAGACGGGCATACTAATGTGTGGTCGTTTTCACTTAGAAGATTGAATTTACATTTGTTACCTATTATTGAGAGAGCCGGCGGAGTCATTATTGTAGATTCTACACGTCGGGGCAAGCTGATGCCAGACGCCTTGTCAAAGACAATCCCAATTTGGTGTGCCGTAATAAACTCTGTATTGTTCAAAGAAGCGGACGATTTTTGGTTGAGAACTCCCGATGTTATTCCTGAGGAGGAACATAATGCTATACTTCACTTGATTCCCGAATTTGTTAAGCAGGTTAAAGAGATGAACTTGTTGGATGTAGAGGCTTACAAGTTGAAACGGCCTTTAGTTCCCAAATGGTTTTTTCCAGGTTGTCCATCACAAGAATTGGATGAGTCGGTGTATTCAGTATGCTGTGTTTCTTCATCCAAAAAAGTACTGGTTCACAAGGCGACAAGTGTAAGAGGCAAAGATGGACTGATGGTCAATTTTGAGTACATTCAAGGATCCGCAGACGACCATGAGTTGTGGGTTCCCAAATCGTTAGGTAGTTTTGGTGCAAATGAATTCTGGTCAATTGCTGATAAATTGGTGGAAAGTTCAACAGGTTATCTACCGGCGTGGGTAACTGACGAAAAACTAGAGGAGGATATAAAGTGTTATATCAGCAAAGCCTGTGGGTCAATTGATATCCGTCCTGTGGGGAAAACGGGTATAAAGTTTGGAAAAATTGGCAGGGATATTGAGTTCAAAGAATTGGAGTCAAATACTATTATCGTTACCTTTCATGAATCATTTAAGGTCATTAATGTGGATGAAACCCTGAAGGGAAAAGTATTTCAATTTCCCATACCAAACAACAAAAAGGGTTCCAACATGTTACGAACAATCATTCCAGAGTTGATGGCGCGTATGGATTTGCTGTTGCCGCTCGTGATTTTATGCGGTACAGGCCAAGATATCAGCGTCGGTTTGGTGTTGGCTTTATTATGTACTGGGTTCGATTTGGATTGGAATAAAGTTGAAAAGAAGCCCGAAATTTCCAAGGTATTAGTTAAGCAGCATTTGAGCAAACTTTCTAGTTTATACAAAGTAAATCCTAGTCGAAGTACTTTACAAAGCGTGAATAACTATCTATTTTCATGAGATGACAAAGCTTATTCTTAAATTCTATACATTGGTACTGCTATAATACACTGTGAAATCTTGCTTAACAGTTGAGTTGTATTTGTTCCAAGCATCAAAAATTTGTGTATTCTCATTAAACTCTGGTTCCATGCTGTCCAAAACAGTGGCAATCTTTTTGGATAATTTAATAATTGACTTTATTCTTTCTTGATGGTTCTCTGTTTCTTGGGATGATGCTTTCGCTGATAACTTTTTAGCCAATTGTTTGTTCAATCCCTCAATTAAAAGCCGAACCAATTCTATGTTACCTGTTTTAATCAACTCTTTGGCCTCGGGGTAATGATGCTCAAAGAAATTGGCCAAATTAGTACATGCTAAAACAACAACTTCTGGTTGTTCATCAAGCAACCCCTGTTCTATTATGTGCCTCCCAAGTAGTTGTATGTCGATGTTGTGCTTGAGAAGTGCATTACCGTTGGCAGCCATCACCGAGTATATGAACTCATAACATAGTTTTCTGATCTCTGCTCCTTGATCCAATACATACTTGTAGGGACCCATTGTGATTACCTTTTTAAATGCCTTTTCAGCTGTCAATTGTTTAATCAATTTTGGTAAAATGACTTGATTCAAGAGTGGGGCCATAATTAGCGGTTTGATGTGTATACCAGTTAATAAATTGCCCACAACAATTTGTCTGATATCAATGTCCACCACATCGAGCCACTCTACTGAGGCTTTTATCAAGTACGTCAATAATTTTTCATTTGTTTTTGATGCTTCAAGATTGCTTATCAAATATTTCGAAACAACCAAAATCAAGTATATGCTTTTGTTATCCGGCTGGCCCTCAACAATGCGTTCAATTTCACGCGCGTTGATAGACAAGGCAATTGCTCCCAATAGTTCTCCTGATTTTCTCAATTCTGGGATCAAATCTTGAGTAAACTCAATTTGTAAACCAAAGATTGCTTTCCAGATTTGTAGCTTTTGCTTTGAGTCGCATGCATCAACTGCAACTTTCAATGCCTCAATTAAGCAACCTCGTGTTTGAGTACTCTCTTCATTCGAATATGCAGATAGTATTGGTGAAATTGTGGTATCAGTACGCTTTTTGGCCAATAATCCCAAAGCAGTAGACACCGCTTGCTGGTTAGCTTGATTGGTAAATTTCTTTTTACGCAATAACTCGATTAACGTATTCACATTGAGTTCTGGGGTATCGATATCTGCGAAAGTTAGGAATAAAATGACGAGTGCAAGTCGAGGTTCATTGATGTTTGAGTTGGAGTATTGAGCAAACTCGCTCAATTTGGTATTGACTAGATCCTGCTTTTTGCTTTCATTAGCACAAACTGCCAAAATCTTGGCCGAAATGGGCAAGTCAGTGTTTAATGACTGGTATAGATGATCGTATATGGTTTCATCTAATTGACATGCGCTCCTGACTAAACTGAAAAACAGTACCTCATTCACCAGTATCTTGTCCTCATTTACTAATTTTACTATCGTTTCAAGTAAAATTGAAGCAGAAGTTTCATCTTGAAACAAAAATTCATACCAATACTCAAAGATCTGGAATATGTATTTATAATTGGTTGGATTTGTTACCTGAAGCAACAGTAATAAGCTTGTCATTATTTTGTCATATTTTCTAGGAGGTATCTGTAAAGCAATCTCATTTGTTAGTACTAATGCCGAAACCGAGGTGGAATCGTTACTGGAGAGGATATAAGGCTCGAGTTTCTCCAAAATGTACACCGAGTAATCCTCGGGTAGCTTCCTTGTTGCGTACACCTCTGTTAAAACATCCATCGTAGCTTTGTTTGTACCCTCGTAGGCAATAGACAGTTTAAACACGTTGAAAATGTCTCCATCTGACCTACTTAGATTATTAAACAACACTTCTCCAAGTGCTACAATTGCAAGTCGAATCAAATCACATGGGTATTGTTTGCTGTTTTCAACTTTCAGAACGAGTGATTTGACGATTTGGTCAATGTTGGAAATTTTATTGCTTTCTTTGTGTTTGAAGAGTACGGCTAAGCACCTTAATGACTCAGATACCATATTGAGTGATTTATCATCAATATTAGAAGCAATGTCGCTGGCGATGTGGTTGACTACTTTTGTGCTGAGATTATCATGGAATTTCAATACACTGGTGTAGAATTGTAAATAGTCCAAAGAATTTGCAGAGTTGATTTGTCGGTGTTGCAACACTGCAAAAGTCGAAGCAATCAAGGAAGCGTTGTCAAACCTATTCAAACTCTCTATAAGTCTGAGAAATAACGGTAACTGTTCCTCTTTGGCATCTTGCAATATATCGGTTACAATCTTTTCAAGCAATTGGATATTCTGTGCGTCGCGAGGCGAGGTTGCTTGGACAATAGCAATGCATGTTTTGACAGCTTCTGATACTACCTGATCATTGGAATCCTTGAATGGTAAAATTGGCAATATTTGGCTAGATATTAGCTCTAATGTATCAGGAAACGCTTTGAGTAAGCAGCGTGTTAAGATTGTCGCTTTAGCGCGCAATTTCCAGGACCCGTCATTATCTGCTTCCCCTGCCGTCTCTATCTCATCGTCACTGAAAACAATATCCTCGTCATCATCTTCATCAGAGTCACTGCTTTCTCCACAATTCAAAGGATCGAATTTCAAAAACGTCTTCATTATATCAAAAACTTCACTTTTGTACTCACTTGGCAAGAAGTTTCCACATACCAAGTCAATTAGACTTATAAAAGCCTCTTCTTTTATGGCATTTTGTTTTTCAAGCACATCAAAGTCAAAGTCCTCGCCATCTTTTTCAATGTCTGCTTTAATTTCAGCGCTAATGATTTTATAGATATCAGCTATTTGAGATGGTTTGATACCTCTTCGCAATATAACGGAAAACAATTGATACAACACGAATTTTCTATTGGCTAATCTCGACTCATTCTTGCCTTGTGACAAGATGTCATTTACTAGTGCAGAAATCAGCGCCTCTTTGTTAATGAGAGCAACAACGCGTTCAACTCCCACAATGGCCTTTTTTCCAATTATGCCTTGTTCGGTGAAACTGACAAAGATGAAAAAGCGTGCCAATTTAACCGCTTCTTTGCTATTTAAGATGTACCCAATCTCCGTGATCAAATTAATTAGCAACTCTATGTTATCAAAAGTAGTTTCGTTCTCAAGTATCAACGGAAGAATATAGTCCATAATGCTTCTGGCCAATTCTCGATCAAATTTGTAATTGGATTTGGATAACTTATCTGTGACAAAATCAGACTTGTCTCTTGAATTTGACTGTGCAAACAATGAAAGTAAGGCCATATTTGGAATGGAGATGGTGAAACTTCGAAAGTTTCGGTTCTCTTTTGATGATGACGAAGATGAGGACAACAAGTTTTTGGTATTACTAGCTTGAACTAATGTAAATAAACTTTTAACAAGCTGAAGTATAGAGTTGTTGTTCAAGTATCGTACCATTGGCTCAAACGACCTTATAGCCTGGTTCTGAACATCCGGGTTGGAGTCATCTAACATGTTTAGCAATGTGGGAAACAAGTTGGTCAAATGATAATTCAATGACGATCTTGTCGATACCGCTGTTTCATCTGATAAAAACTTTCGTAAATCTTCCAATGCCATAAACCTGATATCCGGATCAACATCCTTGGCTCGGTCGACCAAGAGATTGAAGTTTATATCAGGCATCCCCCCTGAGAATAGTCGTTGGAAAAAGAGCAAAGTAGAGAAGAAGAATAAAAGAAAAAGAAGATCAAGTGATTGAAAAGAATCAACTTTTTTTTTTTTTGCTTCGTTGTTTTTGGTAATTTTGGTTATAGAGGTGAAACATCAATTTCGTTGATTATGAGGTTTGATTGGCCATTGGCCTTTGAACTTTGGGTCTTTCTTTGGGTGTCTTTCTGTTTAGAGCCCTTTCCTTTCTCTAGTTGGTCGTGCTTATTCAAATGCTTCTTTTTTTTGGCTTGCTTGTGAGAAACTGTATCCCGAGACTCCTCTTGTTGGTGAGAAACTGTATCCCGAGACTCCTCTTGTTGGTGAGAAACTGTATCCCGAGACTCCTCTTGTTGGTGAGAAACTGTATCCCGAGACTCCTCTTGTTGGTGAGAAACTGTATCCCGAGACTCCTCTTGTTGGTGAGAAACTGTATCCCGAGACTCCTCTTGTTGGTGAGTTCTATTGGTTTCTGTATCCCGAGACTCCTCTTGTTGGTGAGTTCTATTGGTTTCTGTATCCCGAGACTCCTCTTGTTGGTGAGTTCTATTGGTTTCTGTATCCCGAGACTCCTCCTCTTCACCCTTCACCACTATTTTCTCATCCACCAAAGTCTCAAGAATGACTTTGAATCTCCGCACGCTTTCTACATTCAACTCTTCTTTAGCTTCATTCTGCGCCTTTACCTCTGTTGTCTTTGTCTCTTTCTCTGCCTCTTTCTCTGTCTCTTTCTCTGTCTCTATCTCTATCTCTTGTTTCTCATCTCCCTCCTCAGCAAGTAATTTTCTCTCCATTTCCTCATACTTTGTATTCCACCTCTCAATATTCCCCCTTAACTCTTCAACCAACCGGTCTCTTGACCCGCCTTGGATGCTTTCCAAGTACAACACCAATGCCAGCTCATAATCCTTGGGTATATTTTGAATATTTTTCAAAACCCAATTCTGCTTCAGCTTGCTAAATTTCCAATTAGACCTATCCAGCTCAAACTGTTTGAGATAGATAAGCTGATCCTTCACCGGTGGTGGTTTCCTCTCACTTTTAGGCAATTTTATCCTCTTTGGCGGTTTCTTATCCTTCTTATTCTTAGCATCATCTTGCAATTTGCGTTTATTACTTTCTCGTTTAATTTGTTTACTGGTTAGATCCGCAGTCTCTATTCTTTTGGTGACAAGTAAATCGCCTTCAGTGTCTTTATTTCGAACACTAAGACCAGCTCTCTTCCAAGCTGGAATCGAACTCATATTCTATCTAATCTACAACTTACTAAATGAAAGCCGCAATGGAAAATAAAGAAAATCTATTTCCAAAGAGAAGAGATGAGATGAGGAAGAAAAAAACTCTTTACATTTCAAAGGAATATCAGTTTAATCGACACTAGGGAACAAAGCGACTATATTGACACTGACGATGAAAGGTTGTCCAGTAAGGTTTTTATAGAGTTTCAATATACAAAATGTGTGTTTTGTTATAGATGTGGGAAAAGTGTAGATGATTTTATAGTAGCAATACGAATAACGGGCTTGGTTGTTTTTCCTTACCACAACTTATCCCGGGGATTCATGAAACAATACTTGTTTCGCATTGCAAGACCAAAAGAAAAGTACATGGTTTGAGTCTGTTATGGGGAAAAAGAGATAAACCTTATACCCGTAGTAGATATAAAGATTGTATACATCGAGCAACACTATAGAGCACCACTATCGAGCAGAGCGAGATGGTGGAGCACACTAGCTGCCACCGACACTTTCGACACTTTCGACACTTTCGACACTATCGAGCAGAGCGAGATGGTGGAGCACACTAGCTGCCACCGACACTTTCGACACTTTCGACACTATCTCGCTTTGTTCGATAGTGGAGCTGCGCTGACTAGTGACACTATCTACACTATCTCGCTCTGCTCGATAGTGTCTCTGCTCGATAGTGTCTCTGATTAGCCTAACTATATTAGTTATCTTGCCTCTTCTCTTCACTTTTCAATCTTTTCTCTTCCTCTTCTTTCTTTTTAGTTGCAGCCCAACTTTCGAATTTAGAAGTCAAGTCATCAGCAATCTCTTTGGCAGTGGCATCCCTGTCGTCTGTATCTTGCATTTTCTTCAATGCGTTGCCAATGTATGAAAATGTCGCCTTTATATATTCATTTGTCTGGGGATTCTCGCCATTTGGATTTAGAATCTTTTCAGTTATATTTTGAATCTTGTGTAAATCTTCTTGGTTCAATTCGGGAGAAGCAGAAGTATTCTCTTGTGGTGCCTTCTCGTTACCGCTACCGCTGTTGCTATTTTCTGCGCTCATCTTGTATAACAATACTATTGTGTTTCCTACTCTAAAGACAGTGGCGAAACTAGAGTTAATTAACTGGCGAAACTAGAGTTAATTAACTGGCCAAACTAGAGTTAATTAACTGACAATTTATAGTCGGATGCGGTGCAAAGGTGCCGCGATATAGCATTAAATATTTTCTTTTGGTTTTGTACCTTTTATCAATTTACAGTAATTAAAAACATTCATTTTAAATTACTTGCATATATTTTTTTTTCCCTAAAACAGAACAGTTTAGGTTGGTATACTTTAGTATACCAAGTATATAAATTAATGATTACTATTTAGAATAAAACACTAGGGATAACTATAGCTGATGATTATAATTGAAAAACCAAGAAATCAGCTTGCTACTTTCTTGTAGTATTTGTCTCATATTTTTCGTAAATTTTGAGCCAATTCTAGAGACTAAGGAAGCGACACTATCAACCAGAGCGACACAATCGAGCAGAGCGACACTATCAACCAGAGCGAGATAGTGGTGCGTTACTAGCTGCAATCGTATCGGGCTCAATTGTTTCTTCCTGTTCCAACTTGCCATCGTTCTCTACCTTGTCTTCTTCAACTTTGCCTTACTCACTTTTCAAGTTCCCAGCTTTATCTCCTTCAACTTTGCCGTAATCACCTTTCAAGTTCCCAGCTTTGTCTCCTTCAACTTTGCCATACTCACCTTTCAAGTTCCCAGCTTTGTCTCCTTCAACTTTGCCGTACTCACCTTTCAAGTTCCCAGCTTTGTCTCCTTCAACTTTGCCGTACTCACCTTTCAAGTTCCCAGCTTTGTCTCCTTCAACTTTGCCGTACTCACCTTTCAAGTTCCCAGCTTTGTCTCCTTCAACTTTGCCGTACTCACCTTTCAAGTTCCCAGCTTTGTCTCCTTCAACTTTGCCGTACTCACCTTTCAAGTTCCCAGCTTTATCTCCTTCAACTTTGCCGTACTCACCTTTCAAGTTCCCAGCTTTGTCTCCTGATTTCATATAATCACTAGATTCACTCAATTTTCCTCCTCTCGTCTCATTTCCAACATTTCCCAAATGGCCAAATTCATGCTTCTTAGAGTCCATTTCTGCAATCCAGTTAAAAACCTCCAAACAAACCACTACTTTTGAACTTTGCGTTCTTCTTTCTTCACTTTTTATTGCTTCTTTATCTGATTGAAAAAGAAAAAAAAACCCCTTATTTATATTTTTTTTCAGAGATTTTCTTCCTTTTCTTAAAGTTCACTAAACAATGTCTATGGGCAAGTTTCGACCGAATTTAGTCATTAGTGACTGGGACGAAACTATAACGGTACATGATACAATTCAAAATGTTGCACAGGTACCATACATAGCGAATCCCAATCTTGAGCCAAAGTTCAGTCATTATTCAAAGATATATATAGACAACTATGCTTCCTATGAATCGCAATTTGGTCCGCTTGAAAAATTGAATGATTATGTTCGTTTTCAAAAGGGAATGAGGCCAATTGAAATGAGCTCGATACTGGCTTTGGAGAAGGATCTCATTTTCAAAGGTTTGAAACCAGATCAGTTTCGAGAACAAGCCATAGATGTAGTATTACGACCTGGTGTGATTGAGTTTATTAAAATGTGTCAAGAAGAGAAAATACCATTCATTATACTTAGTGTCAACTGGACAAGCTTAATTATTGAGCAAGTATTGAAAATGCATGGTGTTGAAGAGATTAACATTATTACTAATGAGTTTGAGTTTCACGATGGAGAGACTACGGGATTTTGGTTGAGTGATCAAGTTGTTCGTACCTCGGAAGATAAGTTGAGATTTGTTAAGAAGTTAGCCAAGGGTGAGGACAAAGTGATGTATATTGGTGATAGTTTGACCGATTTGTTGCCCATCTTGTTTGTAAAATACCCCTGTGCCATTGAGAATACTAAATTGAACAACTTCTTATCTATTATGAAAATTGACCATGTTACTGGCAATTGGCTAGATTTTATAGAAAAAGTAGAAACAAAGTGACTTTTTTGCTTATTATAGGATAAGCAATCGTAAATAAAACTCTACATTATGCTAGATACTACATACACACACATACACGCACTTTCTTCTATTTTCTCCAGCTTGGAGATGATGAATACTGCAGTGGACCATTGTGTACTGGAGCTCCGGGCATTGGCAAATATTGGCCATACCCGGCAGGAGGTAAACTACTTCCTGCGCCTATAGGATAATGACCACCGGGTTGGCCTGAAATATTCGGAGCTAGCATGAGTGGATGTTGTGCAGATTGTTGTGGTGATTGCTGTTGGGACAAGGGTAGTGGTGGAGGTGGATGATGTTGTTGTTGTTGCTGATGATGAAGAGGAGGAGGGGGTGGCTGTTGTTGCTGTTGTGGCGGTGGTGGTGGTTGTGGGAGCACCGGATAGTAATATTGTTGTTGTTGTTGTGAATGTACAGGTGGATAATAATATTGAGGTTGAGCAGGAGCCATACTTCGGTAATTTTGTTGCGGTGTATTCTGAGGTTGTGATTGTTGTACTTGAGGCTGCCCTTGTTGAGATAATGGTGCACTTTGTCGTGGAGATGGATGGTAATGATTTGGAAGTTGCTGAGGCTGCTGCTGTTGTTGTTGTTGTTGTTGTTGTTGTTGTTGCTGCTGTTGTTGTTGTTGTTGCTGCTGCTGCTGTTGCTGTTGCTGTTGCTGCTGTTGCTGTTGTTGTTGCTGCTGTTGTTGCTGCTGTTGCTGCATTTGTTCTTGGTAATGAGGAGGTGGTGGAGGTCCTGATACTGAGGCATTTTCTGAGTTAACCGTTTGCGAGTGTGTATATTGTGTACCTAGTGGAGCTGAATGTTGCACAGATTCTTGTTTGATCGATGGTTGTTGTGGAATGTGTGGTTGTAGTTGTCTTTGAGTCTGTGTGTATGCTATTCTCTCGTTTGGTTCCAATGCAACTAAATCTCTCAACAAGAAACTAGGAACATCCGGAGGTTGCCTCAATTCGGGAATTGGTCCTTCCTTTTTAGCAGCTTTAGCTAAGGCATCTGCCCTAGTTTCGAAATAATCACTATTCTTTAAGTCTCCAATGGCCCTAAAACATGCGCCTGCTCTACTACAGGCATCAGAAGCGTCCATCAAATGATCGTCACATCTTTCGTAAACACAGCTCAAACCGTCCCATGCAGTTGCTGTACCTTGAGAGCCATCTTCCAACTGCAATTTAAGCGCTTGTGAATAAGCAGCTAAGGCATCTGGTAATTGTTTTAGTTCAAGATATAATTTACCTACTGCCAACCAGGTGATTGGGGAGTTGGATGCACACTTTAGGGCAACTTGACATGAATTGTAAGCTAATCTTGGTCTACCCATAAACGAATGGGCTCTGCCTAGCAAATACCAAGGTAGGAAATCTGTGGCCTCGTTGATCAAAGCTTCATCATCCAAATTGATAATCTTATTTAGTATATGTATAGCGTGATCGGCATTTTCTTTAGGATTTAGTAATAGTAGCAAATATGCGTTCGTTATGAGTATTCTTGGTGAATCTCCCACTGCTACTTTAGCTTCTTCACAAGTTTTTATAGCGCCAATTATGTCTCCAGCTCTTTCCTTTGCTGTCGATAATGCACACCATAAAGCAATATGTTCATCAATTCTTGATAACGGTGGTGGTGGTAAGGATAAAGTGGCACTCAACTCTGCAATTGATGTTTCTATATTGCCATCAGCAGCAGCAATTGCTGCTAGTTCAGCATGCGCGGCCCTGGCTGTTTCTATATCTTGAGCCGAGTATTTCGCAACAGTATCAGGTAACAAGGATAAGCAGTGAGCCAAGGATCCTGCAGCATGAGCTCTTGCGCCTACTCTAATCAAAGTTTGGGCACTCAATAGCCATAGTGATGCATCTGTGGGCGACAACAGTATAGCCGAGGAAATAGCTTGATGGGCTTGGTCATTCAAGCCTATTAACAAGTAGCATTCGCTTAGTTCTTTAAAGATATTGAAATTTTTTAATAGGTGAGGAAATGATTCCATCGACGAGTTCAATCGTTCTATTGCCCGTTGTGAACCAAAAGTTTCGTTATTCTGAATATCTTGAAGACGAAGCGATAAGCTTAGCCCACATAGTGCTGGTATATTTGAAGGATCGTGACTGACTGCATTTTCAAACGACTTTATCGCTGTTTCATTTATACCTAGTGTGTTTGCACATTCACCGCATTTCACCCAAGTTTCCGTAGCTGCTGCGTCATAGATACTCAATAGCGTAGGTTTCTTCAAATTGGGTGAAGCCTCAGCAGTATATGCTCTTTTTGGCATACTAGTGATGAAATGCTAGTAAGTAGTACAAGAGTAGTGCAGTATATGTGTAGTAAATGGTGTGAAGTTTCTATAAAATCTTTGTTGATGAGTAGATATAATTTGTCACCTAAAGATCAATAAAAGAAAGGAAAGAAAAGAAAGTTGTGAAAAAGAAGAAGGAAAAAAAAAAAATTGTGGTGGGAAGAAGTTGGTGATGTTGCTGTTATTGTAAAAAGGAGTATACAATGAAATTAATCCGTGTCTTACTTTCTTTCTCTCTCTCTTTCTCTCTCTCTCTTTCTCTGCCTCACTCTTTCTTACTGTTGTTAAATTGAAAAAAAAAAAAAATAGCACACAAAAAAAAAGATAAAGGACATATAGTTATTTGCTGTACTACTGCTTATATTACTAAATCGGTTACTAAATCATTTAGTACTGGTAACTCAAATATATATCACAAATCAACCTTTTTGTAATATATTTAAGCTTTTTAGACTATATTATTTGGGGGCTAGCTTATTTTTTAGACTATAGCCTTTTAGCACAAAAGCAATGCTAATTTCCTATCAATGTGGTGAAAATGATTTAGTGTATAGTACTAAACCTAATTTTTCACTTGTACGTGTGTGTAGCTTTTTAGTTGTACCCTTATGTGTGAGAGTTTAATCAAGAGCAAAATTCCCATCTAAGATTTGTTGAGTTTGGTGGCTGATACTACCATGTGTCGTAAAAGACTAATTTATATTCAAAGGGAAAGCAAAAGTAAAAGAGAACAAGACAGCAGGAAAAAAAAAAAAAAAAAAAAAGAGTAAGGACTTATGAATTTAGATGTAGTATAATGTGAAATACACATCATTGGTTATGAATTTCAACTAGGTTTGTTGCTTGTTGTGGATGCCGCTTTTGGAGAAGCAAAAAGAGTGGTATTGTTTAACAAAGTTTCATTTCTAGACAAATCACAAGATTTTCTCTTAATTATAATCTTTGTCACAATTCATATCCTTCGTTACCATCGCCAAAATTGTTACCATCGACATTGTTGTTACTTAATTCCCACCTTTGTTACTTTACACCTCAATGTACATAAGCTATTTCCTCAGGTGGCGATAAACAACTGCTCGTCTTTTTCTTTTTTATATATATAATTGTAAGAGAAAACCTTCATCTCACAAAATCCACATATGTAGTTTTGCTAATAGTTCGGATGACCTATGAATATCTTAGATCTACACAAAATATTCTAAGTGCATAAAACCTTAAACCATACCTATTATGTATGTGTATGTAGCTAGTGGAGAATAGTAACTAGGAACAAAACTTTATCATATGTAATATTTAATCATTAACAAGATTTTTGGCAATTTATTTTTTTTTTACTCAATGCAAGTCAAATTTTTAAACTGTATGCATGTAAAAATATAATCCTGAAGTCCATTTTTAGGTTTAACTTATTATTTTAAAACCTTGCTTGTAAATTATATATTGGCTTCTCTAATTTTGTGTTGATACTTTATTACTTTTGTGGCTTACTATTTATCATATTTTGGGGGGCTGTCCACGTCTGAAGGGAGGGGGGGTGAATTTATCGACGTATGAAAACGTACAGCAATCAAACCCTTGTGTATATAAGTTTGCATCTGCTGCGCCATCTACTGCTGCTGCATCTGCAGCAGCAAACGGTAGTACCATCATATTCAACTAAATACCAATCGATTAACATCCTAAAAGACAAACGGGCTTGGTAAAACTTTTGTTCGCTAAATGCTTCATGGCTAAACAATTTGTAAATTTGCTTCAAAGAAAAAGACTCTTTTTACTCTCACATGAGACTTGCTTTAGATGAGACTAAGTTTGATACAACCCGTACACACACGGGTATTCATTGTTTCAAATTCAACAATATTGAGCATCAGCAACAGCCAAAGATTCTTCTCTAGTGTGGGCCGGCATTGTTGTTTTGAACCAGAAATTTGGCAGCAACTAACAAATCCCAAGCCAATTACAAATCCCTTTGTAAGCTGGTAGAGTCAACTCTGCCTGTGAAACGGCGAGTCCTTTGGAATAGTTGTTGTTTTTGTTGTAGATAATTGCCTCAAAAGAGCAGCACGTTGTGCATTAAAGTGATTTACTTTGACATTTTCAAAATGGCGCGTCAAGACAAAAGGGGCCAGAAACAAATTTTGTGCTGCTGTTGACTCGAGTCCTTTTGTACTGCAGGTGCTACTATTTTCTCTCTTGTTTTTTCGTTTGTTCAAAAATTATTCCGATGCAACAACCAAAAGAGTCATTCAAAAAAAAATAAAAATAAAAATAAAAATTAAAATTAAAAAATAAAAATAAAAAAGAGAGAGAAAAAAGAGTCTGTGATGCAAAACATTCTCAGCAATCTCAACAAGCTACAAAAAGAGAAAGTTTGCTCTGAATATAGAAAGGATCCTCTATGTAGAATCTCCTACTAAAAAAGAAAAAAAAAAAGCAAGCTCCTACCTTAGCTCTAGTTATAGTTATAGTTTATAGTAGTACTTGTAGTTGTAGCTCCCAGTTATAGTTATAGTTATAGTTGTAGTTGTAATTTTATTGCACCCCACCTACCCGGCGTTTAGTATAAATATGCATAACTTATTAAATTATACTATTAAAATTTAGTTTTTACCTTATTTCTAATCTAAAAAAAAACTCATATGTAAAGTTATGTATTAAGTTATGATGCGGAATAAGAAGTGTACCCCTTCCACGTGACTTGTGTTTCAGCTCACCCAAATGATATTTCCCTCATCTTTCTTTCTCATGTCTTGCAATGTAAGTCTAAGTTTTGCAGCCGCTACAGTGGAAAAAAAAAAGCATGGCATTTCCCTAGCAAATATCTCACCTCAAACAGAAAATAAATACACAATATGAGTTATATTTTTTGGTTTTCTCAGCATTTCTCTTTGTTCTATAGCGTTAATACGAGAGCTTACTCAATGGATGTAAAGCTCCTTGAAAAAAAAAAACCTTATTCATAATAACTATCTTGTGTGCTTTGTATTGTTGAAACATGGGGTGAAATAAATATTACAAGCATTGATTTGGAGGAAAGAAAAAAAAAAATTTTATCAGAAAAAGTCTAAAATAAAGTTAAAATTTACGAAAGACTAAACTTTTCAAATACATTAATAATAAATCATTTCTAAGCTAAAAATGTGATTAAATTCTCTGATTTTAATGTAAGGTGCATCCTTATAACAGTTTTCTCAAATAATTGAATATAAATACGCTACATTATGCTAGAACAATCGACTGATCTTTTTCGGTGCCATTCAGTTCAAGGGAAACTCAAAACTACATAGTAAACCACAAAGTACACCCTCAAACCAAATTCTACATTCGAATCTCTCAATATGCGGATCCCTTCTACAACCCACCTTAATGAAGTTAGTTATTAGTAAAAGAGACTGAGTCGTTAGTTTTGTTTTTTTTCCCCTAAAATTTCTTTAACAAAAGGAGCAACACTTTCCTTTTGACAAATCCCTCTATCTTATATATGAAATAAAGCTTCTTTTTATTATTATCTTGTCTTTTCTTCTTTTCTTTTTTTTCTTCTTTTTCCGTTTACTGTTTCTCTCATTTTATTTAAAAAAAAAAAAAAAAAAAGACAAAGAAAAGCATAATCTTAAATATGCCAGTGGAGTGCAATAACTGTTCTGTCATTATGTTAACTTTGATCTACATTGATTGTCACAGGATAGGGCAGCGAGACAGAGAGAAGAGGCACACTAAAATATGCATCCTGTGACATGCAACATGTAACGTGCAATGCAAGGAAATATAAAGCAAAACAAAACAGAGAAGCTTAGGTAAAATCCAGAAGAGAAACTTAGGCAAACAATAGACGAGTTTTTGAAGATTTATACGTTCCACCTCATCTCTACTCTCTCTTTAGCAAGGCAAGTTAAAAAGAAAATTAATAAACAAATTTTCACTAAAAGCTTTTTTTCCACTAAAAGCTTTCTTAGAAATGAAAAAAAAAAAAAAAATCGCATTGAGATGCATAATGACGTAGAAACATAGCATTTGTAGTAATAATTCAACTCTTTTAGAGGGCTAGTGTAAAAGGAGTTATATATCGTAATTTTGTACATCAACCAAAGGTAGATTAGTCTTTTGATTCATATTTCTAACAAAGTGTCTACTACACGTGTACGACACTAGCGAGCGAAGCGAGCAAGTGGAGCACACTGTTGGGGGATTGTTATATATATACAAATTAATTTTAATTTTTACTCATCGAAAGAGGGAAAAGCTTATAGTATCTTCCCCGTGTCCTCATGTTGTATTCTTTAACACTATTTGCTATGGTTGAAAAATAGTATATTGACCCAGAGGTGCATCTTGACTCACATCCTTTCCAATAATGTCTCTTTTTTTTTTTAGTGTATAATTTGCCGGTTAATCCTTTATCTACAAATTTCATTAAACTTCACAGATTTACTCGTTTCATATTTTTTGGGGGGAGGGGGAGTTGATTTTGCATAATACTGTAACAGTGTGATGATTATTCTTTCTCTATTATCCCCGAAGATGAAAAAGAAAATTAAAATATAAACTTTTCAGGTCGGTCTCTATTATCAGTTGAAACCCAGTCCTTAATATCAATGGGAAGGGGGTTTATATATAGAAGTGGGGGAAATGTTTCAAGTGTACCTTTTTTCGCTTTTCTTTCTCCAAAAGCCGCCTAAGGTTTTCTTAAACCACTTAAACCAAAACTCAAACTATGCGATGAGGTTTTGAAAAAAAAAAAAAAAAAAAAATAGATTCGCTCCCAAAATTGCAAAGAGGATGGGTTCCATTCTCTTGATTCGTTTCTATTAATATAGGCAATGATAGTCCAATGGATACTCCTGGTATTGCTCTTAAGTATGTGCTTCTGGACTTACTTTTGAGAGAACTCCAGGGTGCAGTTTTAGTAGTATTCTGAGTGTGCTCTTAAAAGGACCTTTCTTCTTAAAAAAAAAAAAAAATGAAATGAAATGAAAAAAAAGAAAAAGTTTTATTCCATACCATACGTTATTCTTCATGATTGGACGACTACTCAGAACCAGATCGTGCCTAATAGGCGTGAGAAAAAACTCAAGTATAGCTTTACCCTATCTATACTCGGTCGATCAAAAATGTCGATCTTGCGGAGTCAAATTACAGGATGAAGACAAAGACAAACCAGGATACTTTATCAAGCCCTCGGCACATCTTGTTCACGCCAAGTTACCAAAGAGGCACGAAGACATAGTTTTTGATCGCCACTTACAAAGTTTGAGTAAAGAGAATCAAGAACTACTAATCAACAACTTTAACGTAAAAAAGGGATCTTTTTTACCGACTGATTCCCAAAACGAAACACCTCGTGAAATCCTCCAAAACATATATACTGTAAAATCAGACAAGGATAGTATGGATTGTATTCGGTGTCGCAACATCACCTTCCAAACGAGTTTCAAAATGAACCACGAACAATTTCCAATAAACGAGCTACATCAAGTGGTATCTCAAATCCCCAAAAGTGCACCTTTGGTTTATTTATTCAGTGCCCTAGATTTCCCAATGGGCATTAATCCGGAGATCTTTAAATTCAGAAACCCCAAGGATATTTACTTTATAATGACTAAAACTGATAACTTGGTTGAGAAACGGAATACAGCGGGACAAAAGTATGCGAGAACTTTTCTTTCCGACTATCTTGAAAGAGAATATGGAGTACCTTTTGAAAATATATTCATTGCATCAAGTAAAGAGAGTTGGAACGTTTCTGAGTTGTACCGATTCATACCTAATGGTTCATTCGTAATAGGGAACATAAATTGTGGGAAATCCTCTGCTATTAAAAGTTTGATGCTTGATGAAGAGTTGAGCAACAAAAAAGAGCAAGCAAGAGAGGTTGCATGTAAATTATTGTATAAACAAAAACAACGGTTTGTTGATTCATTTAATAAGAAAATCGGGCCAGGAATTTCGTTTTTGCCTGGTTTTACAAGAGACATTATACCAGTCAATATAGGATTAAAGACAGTGTATGATGTGCCTGGCTTCAGTTCAAATTCACAAATTCACCAACTATTCAAATCGTTTAAATCACCAAAGGATATTCACAGATTGATTGAATGCAATAAAGCTTATAAAAAGGGGACTTATAATTCTCGATACGAGTCCTTCAAGGGCCCACAAGTCTTATCATTTGGAGGGTTGGCTTATCTCCAACTACCAATGAATGCAATGTACCAAATTCGTAATGTTACGAATTTCAATATTCATCAGTTTTCTAATATAGCCAAAGTGAGGGAAATTGCAGAGAATATACCTGTATCGTTAGAAAATAAATTCGTCGTTTCCAATCATTCTATTGATAAGCAGTTCAATAGCTTTTTGGTACCGCCATTTTACGGGTCTATTGATTTGGTATTTGAGAATTTTGGTTATGTCAATATAAAACCCACTGGAGCCAAGCAAACCAATGAATTGATGAAATTATATTTGTATCCTGGTATGCAAGCAATCATTCGCCAGCCTATATCAAACTATGTTGCAAAGACATTTAGTGGGTACGACAAAAACGGCAACCCTTTAAGAAAGGAAAACATTTTCAAAAAGAGCACATTTAGATTGATTAGATATTCTGGGAAACAGCCACTATTTAGTAAATTGATTCCCTCGTTTTATAATGAATCTGGTTTCGCAGCAACAGGGGAGTCAGATAGGGATAAGGCGATAAGAAATCAAGAGTATTTGCAATTGAATAGTTACGTAAACCCTCGCAATTATTACAGTGACACTTTTGAGATGAGTGAGGGTAATAAGTATGATTTCTGGGTGAAGTGAAATTGAGAATGGACAGAAAAATAAAATAAAAAAAATAAAAAAACAAAATAAAATGATCGAGCAAGAGCTGGTGTGGGATAATTGATTCGTTCATTCGTTCCGCTCACATACTCTGTTTCCCGTAATCCGTCCTAGATACAACACGACACTATCGAGCAAAGTGAGATAGTGGAGCAGTACTGACTGTATTCCGTTCCAAGTCAGTGACCGTTGCTTAAACATAGTGTGTTATCAAGCCCCTATTTCTCCAGAAATTAAAATGAAAAACTCGATATCCTATTTCTCCAGAAATTAAAATGAAAAACTCGATATCCTATTTCCCCAGAAATTGTAGTATTTAAATAGTAGAGCCGTAATCTATCCCTTAGTAAAGTCTATCTATAAAGTCGCATATTATGAGACGGAAGTTATTCCTAAGTTGTATTTAAATACAAGTAGTAACGATTTCAGAGGAAAGCCTCTTATATCTACAAAAGTGATAGATATATTATTTCTACATGATAGTCTCCGTGTAGCAGAAGCAACTCTTGGGTTGGATATACTGAAAATTCACGGTTGATATATACTTTCATTACCAAATAGTGCTCTTTGTTTACAAATTAAAAAAAAAAAAGAAAAAAAAAAAAACGATTGCAAAAAGTCGAGTAACTAAAATGAAGAAGAAAAAAATTGAAAAATTCTCGCGTTTGAAAGAAGGGGGTGGAGATTCGAGGGGGGTGGAGAGAGGGAAACGTAGAAAGGAAAAAGAATAATTTGAAATATAAATAAATACATATCCTGCTAATTCCGTTGGACAAAAAAAAAAAAAGCGAGGAATAGACTCATTGTTGATAGAAGACGAGTGAAAGGAAAAAGGGGACGTCAATGTTAAAGAGCCAGAGTATATCAAATATTAATGAAAAAAGATTATCATCTACTTCAAAACTTTTTAATGCGTTTAGGAGACCAGTACATAATGATACTAATAATAGCAGCATCAGCACTACCAGTAATGCCGTAACAGCTACTACAGCTACTACAGCCAACAACCGTAATACCACCGCTTCTAAGAAAAAGGCTCGTCCATTGAGTACCTCCATATCAGCAATCAATTTAAAACTACCTCTGTCAAAATCCAATACAAGCTCAAAAAATCTAGATAAAGAGAATATCGAAGTAAAAACACGCGCCAGTTTCCCTGATTTGAAATCGAAACCAGTTAGAAGCTATATACCCACCACCACCACTACTAATAATAATACTAGTGAAGAAATAAGTCCTGTTACTGTCAATTCTCAATTTGATTTAAACAATATGAGCGATATTGATTCTGTCTCACTACATACTTGCGATTCCTTGACAAAAGCGGCGCTACCGTTTCCATCATCGCCAAAAAGATTACGTCGTACGACAAACTTGTACAATCTAAGTGATTTTATAAAGCAAATAAGTATTGATAACGAGATATCTGGGGGCGATGAAAAGCTACCTATTGTTAATAGAAAGTCGATTCAATGGGAAAACGAAGAGATTAGGAAATTGAATGAAAAGCTACAACTGAATGAAGAGTCTGTATTGAGTTCGGAAATACGCCTTATTGAAAATGTCATGTTCTTGACAACATCATGGAGTAAAAGCAGTAATGAGTGTGACGCGTTGAAGGATTTTAAAATGGCTCTCCAGGATACGGATTTTGTGCATTTGCTACAAAATGAAGAGTATCATAGTGAAGATGGTTTTTGCAAAATAGATGCTGATCAGATGATGGGTACATATGTATAAACGTAATTATAGATGAATAAGTAAAGTCCTCCTTTTAAAAGCAAGATTTAAAAAACTCACCTCATTTTTTTTCCTAACTTTTCCATTCAGGGTGGAAAAGTAGCGAGCTAGTGGAGTAGCACTGACGGGTTTGGTTACTATAATGCTCTTGAAACATCTGTAGGGTCTGTACTATAGAGTATTTGTTTGATTACCATAATGCTCTTGAAACATCTGTAGGATCTGTACTATAGAGTATTTGTAGAGGTAACAAGTGACAAAAAAAATGCGGCTTCTGTGGCTCGAACACAGTACCTCCAGATCTTCAGTCTGACGCTCTCCCAGGTGAGCTAAAGCCGCAAAGAATAAAACAAACCCACGCCGGGACTCGAACCCGGAATCCTTTGATTAGAAGTCAAAAGCGATAACCAATTTCGCCACACAGGCCAATTCGTGTCAAAGGTTCCTAGTTTGGGTTACAAGTGCCGATACTATTGACATTATCTCACTTTGTCTAATTAAATTGAATGAAAAAGTATTCTATCTTTGCTTCTGTGGAAAAAAAAAAAATTTTGCATTAAAAGTGATAGAAAATGATTAACAATAGATTACTGATAGGAGAAGTTAATTTACATACTTTGGGAACTCCTCCAAGAAAAAGCAAAGACTGCAAGATATAGTAACTTATCACCCATTGGCCAATGGTGGAAACAATAGGGCAACTGGCTGCAAAATTATACAGTCCTCCTAGGTTGAAATATTGAAGAAGACTTATAGAATGAGAATACCGCTAGCATTAATTACAACCCTCCACAAGTCGCATTATGGAAATTGGCATTGGTGTTTTTTTTTTTTTTTTCTTGACACTCTCGAATCTTTTTTTGTCCTCCCCCCCAGTACACTGATAACAAAAGATTGACTCATACAAAGCCGGCGTTTTTTTTTTGTAAGCGAGAGAAGCCGCAAATTTTGTATCATTTTGGAAAGATAACTTCCTATCCCGCTTTCCTATTGGGGAAAATGAAAAACTTGGAGTAATTGGACCTTTTTTTCCCCTTCATTTTTTTTCATTTTTTTCCATCATAATTTTTCACTTTCTTTTCTTTTTTTTTTATCCTAACGATATTGGTAGTTCAAAGTAAGTTAAACATGGTTAAAAAAGTTTTGTTATTGGGTTCGGGGTTTGTCGCTAAACCAACTGTTGATATCTTATCGCTGGATCCCAATATTGAAGTTACTGTAGCATGTAGAACATTGTCCAAAGCTAAAGCATTAGCCGCCGATAAGGCTAAGGCTATCTCCTTGGATGTCACCGATGCTGAGGCATTGGACAAAGAGTTGGCTAATTTCGACTTGGTGATATCTTTGATACCTTATACTCATCATGTTAATGTTGTTAAGTCAGCTATAAAGAATAAAAAACATGTTGTCACCACCTCCTATATAAATCCTCAATTGAAAGCGTTGGAAAAAGAAATAGAAGAGGCGGGAATTACAGTTATGAACGAAATAGGGTTGGATCCAGGTATTGATCATTTGTATGCCGTCAAAACCATTGAAGAAGTGCACAAGGATGGTGGAAAAATTAAATCATTTTTGTCCTATTGTGGTGGCTTACCGGCTCCAGAAAATTCTGATAATCCTTTGGGTTATAAATTTTCATGGAGCTCTAGAGGTGTATTGTTGGCTTTGAGAAACTCGGCTAGGTACTGGCAGCTGGGTAAGGTTGTTGATGTCAAATCTGAGGATTTGATGGCTAGTGCTAAACCCTACTTTATCTACCCAGGATTTGCTTTAGTATGCTATCCAAACAGAGACTCAACTACTTATAAGGAGTTGTACAACATTCCAGAGGCAGAGACTGTCATCAGAGGAACTTTGAGATTCCAAGGATTTCCAGAATTTGTCAAGGTTCTTGTTGATACCGGGTTCTTAAAAGATGAAGAAACTGAAATTTTCACAAGGGAAGGTCCATGGAATGAAGCAACAGCAAAGTTAATTGGAGCAAAATCCTCAGATCAGGAAGACTTGATCTCTAGAATTAAGGAGTTGACCACGTTTAAATCGAAAGAAGACGAGGAGCGTATAATTGATGGTTTCAAATGGTTAGGCTTGTTATCTGACAACAAGACTTTGAAGCCAAAGGGCAATCCATTGGACAGTTTATGTGCTACTTTGGAAGAGTTGATGCAATACGAGGAAGGGGAACGTGATTTGGTTATTTTGCAACACAAGTTTGGTATTGAGAATAAAGATGGAAGCCAAGAAACTAGAACTTCTACTTTGGTTGATTACGGTGATCCAAAAGGCTACTCATCCATGGCCAAGTTAGTTGGTGTTCCTTGTGCTGTTGCGGTTAAACAAATCTTGAATGGAACATTAAGCAAGAGAGGGTTACTAGCACCAATGACGTCAGAGATCAATGATCCTATCATGAAGGAGTTGAAAGATGATTATGGTATTTATTTGGTTGAAAAGACTGTCTAAAAAAGAAAAAAAAAAAAAAACAAAAGCTTAGTTATGAGTTATGTTATACTAATCGTAAAAATCGTCGTCGTCTTCAGAATCGAATCCGGATGAATAATTAGAAATAATATTATTTAAATCTTCAAATAACTCGCTCTTGTCGTCAACTATTTCTGTTAGTTCGATGCTACTTTTCGTTCTTTCAATAATGGTCCGATATTGTTTAAAAAAATCTTTTAAACCGCCGTGAACATTGAATTCTATGTGAAATTGAGAGCGCTTACCATTTGTTAGGATATCGGGAAAAGTATCGCTTTGCAAAATATTTTCTATCCAGGGATTCGAGTAAATGTTTGTTATGTTTTGGTCTAAAGTAGGTTCAACTGGATTTTTCATTATTGAATTTCGAGAGAAACACTTTTTGTTGGATCCAGATATACCCAAGTTTATGTTCTGGTTGTGCTTTGGCTGATTCAACTTGAACGCCCAGTCTTGCAAATTCGATAAATCAACATCCATCATATCTCTTATTTCGTTGTTGTTGCTATTGCTATTGATAATCTTAATTTCATTTACAATTTTCCTCGTTTTTTCTCCCCGAAGTAGATTATCTTGTAATTTTGTCATACTAACTTGGTCGACATATTGATTATTTATACCCCATATTGAATTGATGAACATCGCAGGTATGGCTGCCGTATGCCAAATAGAATCTGGATCCAAATTATGCAACATTGATGATGACGTCAACGACGAGAAATTGGGTTTTATAGGAAACAACAAGGTCAGATTATTGATTAGCTCAACAAATGTCTTAATTTCAGAAACCGCTCTCATTCTTGATTTGTTTTTGTTTTTGTTTTTGCTTTCTTGTCCAAATGATGCAAATATCCAAACGTTTTCTTTGTTATTGAAAAACTCGTCTTGTATTGATTGAATCATTGATGTTGAAAAGCCTCCCCAAGAATCATTCAAACTTGTGCCTATTTGAATACCTTGCAAAAAATCACACTTCTCAAGCCAATATCGAAAATTTTCTATCGCGTTTGCTTGGACATTTTTGAATTCGTTTTGGCCAGTATTGTAGGTTTCGAATTTCTGGTTGGCAAAATTATAATGTGACCCAGGCTGGTTGTGCTCATGTATATAGTTTGGTACTGTTGTAAGCGATTTGGGATTATAAACTAATTTATTGAAATCGGTCCAATATTTAGTATTTCCTGAGTTTAAGGGGGAATTTGGAGAAACAATTCCCTTGTCAAGGTTTTTTTGGTATTCATTTTTAACAAGGCATGTTGTAGCCGATGAGTTTAATACTGGCATGTCGAAATTGGGTATCGATTCTGAGTACTCATATTTTTTTAATGCACCCAACCCTCCTCTCAAATCAAAGAGTAATGCACGAGGACAATATTTAGAATTTGAGCCTGTTACTGCGGCACTGCTGGCATTTGTCTTGTGCAAGAATGTGTTCAAATCATGATTCAGCCGTTTTTTTTTAACATAGGATACTTCAGACTCTTGACAATTGAATAAATGAGTAATGGTGTTATTAGCGTACTGGCCAAAAGAAAGATTCAAGATTTCACTCATTGGAAGTAATTTTAAAAGATAATTTCTTGGCTATATTATGTGACTCTTGTACCCATTTGCAGTAGATTGTGAGGTAGTAAAGGCCATATAACTAGAGATGAAAAATCTCATCCCAATATCAAATTAAAACAATTTCCATTTAATGTGGGAATACCGAGGGTTTGTATCGAGTTCCGAGGGGCTATATCAGTTGGTAGCACAAGACTCAAAGAAGCACATTATTGACACTATCAACACTATCGAGACTATCGACACTATCGAGCAGAGCGAGATAGTGGAGCACTCTAGCTGCCACCGACACTATCGACACTATTGAGCAGAGCGAGATAGTGGAGCACACTAGTTGCCACCGACACTATCGACACTATGCTCGATAGTGGAGCACTCTAGCTGCCACCGACACTATCGACACTATTGAGCAGAGCGAGATAGTGGAGCACACTAGTTGCCACCGACACTATCGACACTATCTCGCTCTGCTCGATAGTGGAGCACACTAGTTGCAACCAAAGTGCAACACTATCTCGCTCTGCTCGATAGTGGGGTACAGTAGCTCTGCTCGATAACGGAGCATATTTTTAATGTTTGGTCTTTCAACTGGAAAGTGTAGCGGATGCAATCAAACCCGTGCTCCACTATCTCGCTTCGCTCGATAGTGTTGCATTGTAGCGTTTCTTTTTTTTTCTTTTTTTTTTTTTTTTTTTCTGTTTATTATTTTTTCATCTCATAGCGATCTGATGCTGTAAGTTTGAGTATATTATTTTTCTTGAAATCTCCATCTATCCAGAGAAAAAGAACCAAGAGAATAATAAGATGATACTGGAAAAGGTGCTGGCGATGATCAAAATTAAGCTTATAATGCCGGTAAAAAATGCTGGAAAAGCTTGTAATACATCAATAAAAATTAGTAAGCTTATAATGGATCAATAAAAACTAGCAAGTTAGTAACCACATTTCCAATAGGAAGTCAAGATCCTTTTTTTAATTCAAGCTTTTCTCGTAAATCTATTTTAAGTTTAACGTTAAAGTTACCGTTGATGATTTTGTTAATGATTTTGTTCCTAATTAGGAATAACTAGACGCGTATATTTTTCCTAAAATCAAAATGTCTTCTCATTTTGAGAAGGGAAATGAAAGGGAGGAAAAAAAAAAAAAAAGGAGGAAAGGAAAGGAAAGGAAAGGAAGGAAGGAGAGGAAGTACGCGCGGGAAATAGGATAGCGGGAACAAAACTCAAATTTAGAACCAGAACTAGAGACAGAACCAAGAAGGAGTTGTAAGCTATATTTTTCCAAGATGAATAGTACTGAGACTCAAACTCAAACTCATACTCAAACTCAAACTCAAACTCAAACTGCCACTAAATCGCCTTCAGTATCCTCAATATCCTCTATTGAGACAAATAACTCTACAGAACATTTGATTGCAAGCTTATCAAGTACACAGGTCAACAGCCAAATTTCAGAATCAAGTAAGATACCACAGTCTGAGGCAATCAAAGCAGACATTCTCAATAACTCTTTGTTGGATGCAAAAGCTAGACAAGAGTCTAAAACTCCAAAGAAAAAGGCTATAAAGTTCACTGTGCGCAAGGTGTCGCATGAGCCAATAAACGCTTCTACAGCAACGTCGCCCCATATTAGCCATAGCCATAGCCATAAAGATAAGGTTGTACTGGGTGAGCACGAGGATATTAGAAAATTGCAGAGCATCCAATCCAAATATGATCAATATGACGCGAGAATAATAAAGATTGACAAGGAAATCGAGTTTCTTATTCAATTATTACCTCCCTACAATGTGGAAATCGACTATGGCACGCGAGTCAAAATAAACAAGGCAATTGAGAAATTGAGAATGAAGAAGGATGAAATTGAAAAGAAAAAGTATACTTTAGGAATAACGATTAGTAGACTATGGAGAAGTTGCGAGGGAAGTGAAATTTGGGTTAGAAAGTTTGATAATTGGTGAGTGGCGTTGCTGACAAAACATTTTGTGAATTCCCTTTTCTTCGACACTATTGAGCAGAGCGAGATAGTGGAGCACACTAGCTGGAGCAACACTAGTTGCCACCGACAATCAAACCCCCGTTTTCTCTCGTGGAGATGGTACCAACCCCATTTTCTTTTGTGGAGATGGTACCAACCCTATTTTCTTTTGTGGAGATGGTACCAACCCCATTTTCTTTTGTGGAGATGGTACCAACCCCATTTTCTTTTGTGGAGATGGTACCAACCCCATTTTCTTTTGTGGAGATGGTACCAACCCCATTTTCTTTTGTGGAGATGGTACCAACCCCATTTTCTTTTGTGGAGATGGTACCAATCCCATTTTCTTTCGTGGAGATGGCAAGTGATGTACACAGTTAGTATTTTAGTTGTTAGATGGAACTATTTATATGTACATATCGGAATATGGGATAAGGTAATATTAGTTTATGTATACGAAAATTCGTAAAAGCTTTGTTAATTGTTTTTCACTGCAGGGCAACTGAGTTTATTCAATTGTATTGAATTTTCCCGTATCGTTAAGAGTAAGCAACTTGAAAAAGAAGGTTTTTTTTACTCATCAGGTTGATCTGATATTGTATTGTACTATGATTAGTCTTTTAATTAATAATTTTAGTACCAATAATTTTTTCAGTTGAAGAAATAAGGGGGTAGAAAAAACATTACCTCTTAATTACCGAAAATATACGTTTACTTTTGATCTAAAATGAAAAAGAATACAAATTTGAAAATGTTGAAGCTGTTTTAGAATACACAAGAAATGGTACATATGTAGATGAGGAAAAAAATGCAATTGAGTGGAACAGAAACACAGCTTGGATGATGATTTGATGAAACACAAATGGGCTTGATTGCATTATCGAGCGAAGCGGGATAGTGGAGCACTGACTGTCACCGACACACTGACATTATCGAACGAAGCGGGATAGTGAAGTACATTGACTATTTTAGCGACACACTGACACTATCTCGCTTCGCTCGATAGTGTCAGTGTGTCGCTGGGTCCTTTCTAGAAACAGAGTTGATTTTACCAACATATTACTCCGGACCAAATGGACCTAGAGAAAAAAAACAAAACTTTCATCATCAGCTAAAAACCTTTCATCATCAGCTAAAAACCTTTCATCAGTAGCTAACTCTGTAATAAGCTTTCATCAACACTATCGCAACACCGTGTCGGTCAGTGTGCTCCAACATCGAGCAAAGCGAGATAGTGTCAATAGCGTCGATATAGTCGATAGTGTCGATAGTGTCGATAGTGTCAGTGCCTTTATTTTTTCTTCTCCCATGTTAAAAAATGAGGCCCATTATGCTACCAAATGATTATACATACGTTATTGTTAAAATTTCTTGTCATTGTAGCATGTCATTTTGATGACCAGCTCAACATAACCGTAACCATCATTACTTGCACTAACCACGGCCCCTTCTTCATTATTCCCGACAGCTAGTACAATAGAGATTTATTGTGGAAAATTCCTACATCAAGCTCTTTAACAAAAAAATACTGCTACTACACTCAACGGAACAACCTTTTATTCTTGTCTTTTGTGTGATGTTTCATTGATACAAATCAATGTTGGACCTAGTTACTAGTTTGTAGATACAAGAGTTGAAGATTCCTTTACTTTTGTGTGTAACGTTTTATATTTTTTTTTTTCTCTTTATAGATTTATACCAAAGCAGCACATGGTGGAAAAATCGTTTCAGCCTCACTATAGAAAGTTTACCCTGAGACGACTCTATGCATATTTGTAGAAAAACCTTGAATAACATGGCCCACAAAAGGATCATCTCTCATCCTTTTTGTAATTCTTCAAACACTCTTCAAACCTCTAATCCTTAAAATGCCTAAACATTTAATTTAAGCTTTATGTTAGATTTCCCATCAAAAGAAAACAAATCCATCATCAAGAGTTAAGCCTTAAACAAGTCAAGTGCTTTTTTTTTTTTTTTTTTCTTCTAATTCAATAAATTATCATAGTACAAGTTCACAACTGATTTTTTATTAACCAAACTGGTTACCACAGACAAACACCTGTCACGAATTAACAAGAGCTAGACCAAGAAAAAAATTGAAATAAGATCTTTGGCAACAAGTAGAAGACGAAAATTCTTTCAACAAACGGGGTTTTTAATCATATCTATTCCATTCTATTATTGCTGAAATCTGTCCTATATTTTTTTCTCCCCTTCCTTCCTTCCTGAATGTCTGGCAGATTTAGAGTAGATACAAATGATCAGCAAAGGGTTCAGTCATCAACGCACAGAAATTTTGAGAAGGAGGAAGACATCGCTACGACAAGTGGAAAGGTGGATATCGGTAGCCTGGAAGAGGAGCATATCGGTAACAAGGAGCATATCGGTAGTCTAGAAAAGGTGCATATCGGTAGCCTGGAAGAGGAGCATATCGGTAGCCTGGAAAAGGAGGATATCGGTAACAAGGAGCACATCGATAACCTGGAAAAGGAGCACATTGATAACCTAGAAAAGGAGCACATTGATAACCTGGAAGAGGAGCACATTGATAACCTGGAAGAGGAGCATATGGGTGCCTTGGAGATGAAAACAGCAACAGTTATGTCCAGCAATCACCATCATCCAAAGCATCTAGATCTGACCAAAACTCTACCTCAAGAACCCCATGACAATATGATCACCGAGTCTGGAAGCGGGAATCGCGACTCAATACTGAAACCACACATAAATATCAAGATCCCCCCAGCTGAACATTTTGCTCCAGTATATGTACCGAAAGCTAAGAATGATGACGGGTCGCAACACACTAAATCCGCACAAACCGGTTTCAAAGACATACTAAAGTTCCCCAGTGAATCGTCTCATTCGTACTCCTACGCACATTTATCCCCAAACTCGCTAGCGCTAAGGTTGAACGTTTTGAAGCGTTGTTTAGAGATTTTAAAGGATAGACCTGATTTATTCAAATCAATTGCAACAAACCCAGACCAAGTCGAACAAAGCAATATCACAATGGGCTCAATCTATGAACAGGCCCCACCTTCGCGTTGCAGTATGTCTAGATCGAGTTTGTTCACACATTCTGACAACAGCGCCACGGACTTGATTCAGGAATCGACACCTCCTTCTCTGCACTTGGTGGAAAAGTCGAACAAAAAATATAAACTTCAGTCCAACGCATCCTCGGCAGCTTTGGCTGCTCTATTCAGACTGGATTTACAGACATCAGATGATATGGTATTGGACCAAACCAACAATAGCAGGAACAACAACAGCAACAGCAACAACAACAACAACAATTACATGAGAAAAAGCTCGTCCCCTTCGGCTCCTTCCAACTTGAAATGTGACAGCTTTGCACAAAGCACAATGAATTTATCTGTCAAAAATGATTTAAAAGACATTTTTAATCTACTCGAGAATGACATGGACTCTGTGATGAAAAACACCGAAATTGCATCAACCCTACATGATTTATCACTTTCTTCTGACGATGCACAGTACAGGCTAAAATACAACATGATAAAGAGGAAGCTCATTTATGCCTTGGCAATGCCATTTGTTGAGACAGCAGTTCAAACTTCATCTTTATTGGAAAGCGAAGTTGGCGGTTCATTAAGGTCAGCACCCGTTCGACCATCGACTACTGCTTTAAACTTACTTTACAATAACTATTCCAATCTGCCAACAACGCCGACATTCAACTTTAACGACGGTTCAAAAAATACTACCAACAACAATAACAGTGGCAATAATAAAAAGCGCCCATTTCAATCCATGCTAACCAGCAAATACTCAGCCCCTCAATCCGTATTTACTATCGAGTCAGACCTACCTTGGTCAATCAAAGCAGCGAATGATTTGGCATGTCTCATGTTTGGGATCTCAAAAAACACTATTAAATCTCTCACGCTAACGGATTTAATTGCACCCCAGTTTCGGGACTTTGTTTTGTCGAGGTTGACAAGATACACGTTTGAAAAGGGCCGGCTGGACTTTATCTTATTCGCAGGTGAAATTGTGGCTATAGTTAGACCAGGTGACCGTGGTTTTTCTTGGACCTCAATATGGGCCAAGAAGAAGGGAAATTTAATCTTTTTCATGTTTGATCAGATTCCTTGCGACGCTTTTGATGTTATTGTTCGGCGTGCTGAATCTGGCGCTTACACAGTAGACTCGGTTCGGGAAATAGCCGGAAACCTTGTTTGTGAGAATGGTTTAGACCGGATTGAGAATGTGAGTGATTTAAGCCATTCCTTGGGACAAGAGTTGGAAAAATTCAACGAGGAAGTGGGAAGCAACAAAGACTACAGAAATTGCAATGAAAGTGGTGTCATCAATAGAATAAGGTACTTCACTTTGCAGCTTGAGAATGGGAAAGAAAACATTCCATGCGCAATAACGTCAAGTACCTTACCATGTGAAGATGACGTTTTTCAAATGAAATTAAAGATTCACACTATGCCATATATTGCAGGAATCTTTGTTCTAGATGCTAAGAACTTTCATATACTTTCATGCAATAATGCCATTGCGAAAAATTTGTTTGGGAGATCTTCAGAGGAATTGCGCAATCAGTCAATTGATAAACTATTACCAAGATTTACAAACATTTTGAATGTGGGACTTGAAAAAAACGCAGAAGCGTTTCAATTAACAAATGGATTAGTTTTGCCAGAGCACTTTTTCAGAAAGTATGATGCTCTTATTAAATTTCAAAGTCAGACCCAACCGGGACACTCAAAAGAGGATTTATTTTTTAGGTCTCAAGGGATCGAAGGAAAACATCACGATGGTAAAATCATATTTGTTGATGTTCAAGCTCGCTCATCGAGTGAAAGTACCTTGATCCTCTGGGTGACATATTCCAGGAAGAGACGAGAACGTAATATTACAAAGGAGTTGGACAAACTTAGCTCGTCCACGTCTTCAATCTCCTTGGCTTCGAGCAATAAGTCTATTGCGTCTTTAAGCTCGCGAGCCAAATCCCACTCTAGTTACTTGAAGTTATCGGAGATGAAACAAATTTGTACACCTAAAGACGAGAAACCAACAGCAACATTAGCATCAACTAACACCAACACCAACACCAACACCAACACCAACAATAATATTAACACTAATACTGATATTAATACTAATACTACTACCAATACCACGAATGATTCGTTGTCTACACCTGGTCATCTTCCGTCTCAAATAAAATTATTTGACAACGAAAAGGAAAATGAGTTGTTGGAATTCTCTCCAAGAGAAATAACAAGGTCACTGAGCACCAGAATACTTGATAGGGTTGCTTATGCAATGCCCAGGGCGAGTTTGGATAGCTTCATTTTTAATGAGGAAATGAAGTCTGAGAAGGAGTTGGAGGAGGCTCTCAAGAATGAACGTCCAAAGACCAAGCGCGAAGCTACATACTATTCTGAGGCAGAGATACTAAAGTTGGAAAACGACTCACTAGCTGATATCCAGTCCAAATCTTTGAAATGGCCCTCGGAAGTTGGTTTGGCAAGAAGAACCAAGAAGTTTTCCGAATTTGATGTGGTAAAAGAGATGGGCGAAGGAGCGTATGGCAAAGTTCTTCTTGTGCAACATAAAGAGGATACACTATACAAAGTGATAGTCAAATGTATTGATAAGGAGAGAATACTTGTTGACACGTGGGTGCGAGACAGAAGATTGGGAACCATCCCAAGTGAAATCCAAATAATGGCCTTTTTGAATTCTGAACCCCATCCAAACATAATGCGAATAATTGATTTCTTTGAGGACCAAAAATGTTACTATCTCGAAACTCCAATATTTGGGGACCCACCGGCTATTGATTTGTTTGACTACATTGAGGTGAAAAAAGATATGACTGAGTTTGACTGCAAGTTCATATTCAAGCAAATAGTATCATCCATTTATCATTTACATAAGGAAGGAATAGTTCACCGGGACATAAAGGACGAGAATATCATAGTGGATGAAAAGGGGATCATTAAGTTGATTGATTTCGGGTCTGCAGGCTACGTCAAACAAGGGCCTTTCGATGTTTTTGTTGGTACTATTGATTACGCATCGCCAGAAGTCTTGCGTGGTGAAAAGTATGAAGGCAAACCTCAAGATATTTGGGCCTTGGGGATCCTATTATATACAATGTTGTATAAGGAGAACCCCTTCTACAATGTGGATGAGATTATGGAAGGTGATCTAAGAATACCTTACGTTGTAAGTGAAGCTAGCTTATCGTTGATAAAAAAGATTTTGGTTAGAGACGTTAGTACAAGACCTACAATCTCCGATATAATGGAAGAAGAATGGTTACAATTTTGAAAATGAACTGAAAGCCGAACTCGTCTATTTCTTTTCTTTTTGTTTTGGAAGAGGTTGGTCTCTTGAGGACGGTTCCAGTTAGTAAGGATGCAAATTGGCATTCAACATAAGACTTTTTATTTTATATAGAACTAAAAGCTTTACCTTTTCTTTTTTTTTTTTTTTTCACTTTTCTTTTTTGTTGCGCAATAGTTGAATAACTATAGCGACTATCAAGATTTTCTTTTGGTTTATGATATTTCATCTCTTTTTAACACATTGATTGATGTGATGGGGCCCAAGTTACGATGATTATTGAAGATGAAGTCACATTTACTATCTGTGACCAAAATCTACTTCAAATCCAAATCACTGCATTGCATACTGTTGATCTAAAATCCGTCCTTAAATATATTCCACTCAAAGCTTCATTTGAACAAGGGTGCAAATTGATGTCGGAAGGGTCCTCTACCATACATCTTTTCAGGGCTTCAAGTAGTAAAATACGACAGTGCTTATACTTGTGTAAATTGAAACTTACTACTAGCGACAAGGTAGAAAAATTTGGCATTTTGTATCCGGTGTTTGATGACATTTTTGCAGTATTCAGAATTCCTCGAGCAATTGATAAAACCGGTAGAGATTTAGAGCAATGCTGTAGTGTAAGGAAACAGGAGGATTTGACGGGAATTTTTGTACAATCTAGTGATCTTGTTGAGTCTAGTGTTTGCGATGTTGTCAATTTCTCAATGAAACCGCCCAACAGTGGGATCACTATTTCGGAAGAACAGCAGGACCCTTATTCATTCTTGCAAAGTAAATACTACCATTCCTTATATGCTTTGGGTGAGCCATTAAACTACTTCCCCAAAACCGCATTAACGAGATTTCGAAATTTGTGTCAAGACGAAAAGAAAATCGGCATTGTTTTGAAAAGCATGATTTTGACAATCGAGGACTTTGACAGGAGGTACGAGCCGCGTTTTATTGACATACTTGAAAACCCTCTGGCTACACAGTTTGAACGGAAAAGTATGGAAAAGCTAAAAGAAAAACTTGGCGTGAAGATTCAAGATGGAAGTCTTGTTGGCATAACCTCCGATTCTGTGCAAAAAGTTGTGCTTGAATTAAAAGTGAGGGAATCGCAATTGCAGATTGTGTTGTTGTTGGAGCTCTTGGAAACAATGAGGATCAAGGAGGCTACATTTCTCGAGGAAAACTTGAGAAAGCATAACAAACTTTTGAAGAAAACAAAGGCACTACAAAAAGTCACTCTAGTGAGATCGAAAAAGAAGAAACAGAAAAGAGTCGTCCCTACTCAGATAACCGGTGTTGGCGTTAGTGGTGATAATAGGGGTATTAGCACTGACACTCTGTCGGACTGGGAGTTCTCATTGTATTCTTATTTGAATAAGCTCATTGACCGGTTGAATTTGTGGGAGGTCTTGTTATCGAATAAAGATGCCAACAACAGCAACAACAATAACTCACATGGGTTTATGGCCTACGTATTAATACCTTATTACCACAAAAGGCTACCCTTAGTTATGAAGTATGTGATTGAAAATTTGAAAACAGTTAATATGAAGCTTACAAGCTCAAGGAAAAAGGTGGCGCAAGACAGTAAGGAAGCAAACCCAATTAAGAGACCAACTTTGAAACAGGATGAAAATGATATTACTACATCTCTTCTAGATGACATTTCTGTGAAACCGCTTAAACGGTCCATGTCTAATCTTGGACAGCCCAAAGATATGGATAGACGTCAAGTAGATTTGAATGTGAATGTGAATGCCAAACTGCTAGTGAAGCAGCAAAAACAAGCATTTCAAGAAGAGTCTACTTATATTTTCGGCCAAGTTAAACGTAGCAAAAGCATAGCTCATGCGCCCTCCGCCGAAATAATGAATACCCCAATGAAGGAGAAAGGGAAGAAGGCCAAGCTTCAAACATTATCCTTTTCGCAAGTTCAGGCAACACCAGCAAAAAGGCAATTAAACAATGAAACGGAAATATATACACCTGATAACCGTGAAATTACGGTTTTTTCTAGCCCGACAGACACTTTTGCAAAACCCGAGCTTTCAAGGTTTAGTATGATGACCAGGAAATTACAAAACGCTGCTGCGATAGAGAATGTGGTAGATGCGACGCCTAAAAAAAAAACAATGATTAAAGAAGACTATCTTAAGGAAAAAGGTGACAGAAGTTGAAGAAAACTAGATTACAAATAGGAAAACGGAAATGTTTTATGTTTGTTGTTCTTTGCATTTGAAAACTCAGGCTGGATGATGATCTCAAGCCGAGTGATCTCAAGCCGGGTGATCTCAAGCCGGGTGATCTCAACCCCCTCCTTTATTTGATTTGTAAAAAGGGAGAGGGGAGGGGAGGGGGGGTGGTCCATGTTAGACTTAGAAAAGAAAAAAAAAATAAACCAAAAATAGAAGAAAAAAACACCCTACGTTGATACTAATGAGAGGCGGTCATACCCTTAGAAATAAAGGGCACTTATATATATAACGACTTAATCGCTGTTAGTAAAAAAAAATACATTCAGCAGTTTCCTGCTATATTGAGGTTTCTCCAAAGAAAATACCTCTTACAATATCTTTTGCATCACTCTGGCCAAGAATAATTTCCGCTAATGGTTCTCCAATTCGATTGCGCAATTTTTCCTTTACATCCTCCTGTATTTCATCAGAATCTATTTGGTCTGATTCAACGGGAAGTTCAATTTTTAGTTTTCGTAATATATCAACCACTGTGTTAATCAAGATTCCCTTTTCATATTCAGACAGGTTTTCTTCAATTATTGACTTGTGCCAAACCTTCAAATTCCCAATAACAACCAACTTCAAAACTTCTGCTCCCATATTTTTTAGACCCAACAAAGCGCCAAAGTGAGTACCAATTGGTTTTGAGGAATCTAATAATGCTCTCAACAATGTTCTAGTCACCCTTGGCCGAAGCGTCGAATAAGAGGACCCGTATACTTTAATTATATGTTCTAATAAAATTGCAGCAAACTCCCGGATTGCTAATTGGCTTTTCAAACTTTCTTCGTAACCCTCGGAACTTTCTTTCACCACGGGTCCAATTCTCTTTGCTAAAAGTAATGTCAAGATACAAGGCATTAGCGCATGAACATAAGGATCTAAAAAGATTGTCTTGTTGTCAACCAAAGCAGATATCACTTCAAGCATTGACGACAAAATGTCCATATTTCTCAACTGGTTCGTAATTTGCTCAGCGACAAATTGAATAAAGTAGGGCACAAGCTGGTGTAATCCAGGGTCCGATTTAAGTGATGCCAAAGCAGCATTTCTCATACTTTCCTTCTCAGGGTCGGTGGATATCAACACCTCCACCACCTTGTCAAAATATAACTTCAACTCCTTGGATAAAACGTGCTTCACTAGAGGTCTAGTCTTAAAGTCCTTTTCGGTTATCTTTTTATTTTTGGCCAGTGTACCATCATCCGAGGTATCCTTTCCATCGCTCGATGTACCAAAAGCTAATATGTCATTACCCAACATGGCCGAAGTTGCACCCCGAATAGCAGGCGGTAGATTTTTAATCTCTGACGGAAGTGGGTTCTGGGGAACCATTGGTTGCACACCTTCTATAGCTAGCCAATGGGCAGTAAACGTAGTCTTTCTCGGTACTTTGGGAAGCTCTTGATTTATTAGTTTTTCAAATTCTATTTCATGGTCATCAACATAGTATAATGTTTGACCTCCGGCTCCAACCATTGTTTCCTTAAAAGTCACCGTTTGTGAGTTATCGTACCCATACAAAGGTTCCACATTCAACACCTTCAAAGCATAATCAATATCCGTAGTCATTAGCAATTTTCTTTTCGAATGACGCATAAATTTGATTGCAAGTTCAAGAATTTCGTGTATTCTATACTCAACATCCATGGCCAAATTCTTGGCAGCTTCGTCGGGAAGGTTAATCCCCAATGAGTCCGCAGCATCCTTAACAGTATCGTAAGGTGACCATAAGGAATGGGATAGCGGTACTCGTGAATCCATGATGATGATGATGGTGATGAATATCGGGGTCTTGAAAGAAACCCATAGTTCAAGGAAAACAAAAATTGAAAATAGTTTTTGTTTACACGACTTTGGTGGAAGCAGAAGAAAAAAGAATATATTAACAAATCACGTGACTATATCTGAAGCCAAAGAAATAGAATTTTCCCTCTCTCCAATTTGGTTCATCATGCTAGGAGGAGTTCTTTAACTAGAATAAAAAGTCGATTTCTGTTCAAAGCGGTTTATTAAAAGCTTTTCAAATTAAAATTGTAACTCTATTAATTTACTATATACACTCGGGAAAGGGAATTGGAAATAGGAACCAAAGGCGCGCAGAAAGCACACATACAAGGAGGTGTGTGTGTGTGGGGAAGGGGATATTCTAGTATTAATCTAGTAATCGAGGATTTGCATCGGTGACTACCTTTGTTGCTCGCCTGTAGTTTGTTGATTCTCTCAAATTCTTAAACTTAGGGGTTTCAATAACCACTTCATTTTCAAACTGCGGGTTTTCCTCAGTGGTGATTCTGGAAATAATCTTATACATATCAGCGTCTCTAATCCAGGCTCTTAAGAATTTGGTACATGCGTTATCATGTTGCATATAATTTTTATAGGTCTTCAATATGGAAAGATACAAACCTAACCTTTCTTTGGTGCTTGATTGTTCAGAAAGAACAGTGGCATTCATGAGCGCCGACCAATCGGCATTCGCAATATACTGATACCCTTCGTCGTCCAATTTTTGCAACAATTGATTCCATAATGCCAAAATTTCTTCAATGGAATAATCAGCGCTTCCTGTCTTCTTTAATATGATACGGTGGGAAATGACACTTTTGGGCACATTGAATTTATCAAAAGCATTAATAACGTCCTGAATCAAACTCTTATCTGTCCATACCATGTTTGAAGTCAATGTGTTTAAAAATAGTTCATCAATTTTCTCGCTCTTGCTGAAAATTAATTTCAAAAGGTGGAGAGACTCATCTGTTGGCTCGGGATACTTCTTGAAGAAAAGTTTAAACAAACCAGTATTCACAGTAGAAGCTCTTGCAGCAGTCTCTACAGATGAAATTGCATAGTGCCGACAAATACGGCTCCAAATATCAATAACTTCTTCCATGGGGTCCCCAGCTTCCACGCAATTTTCCAAAAATGAAACCATATATGGCGCCTTTAAAATTACCAGGTATGGCAAATCTTCATATTCTTCAACCGCTTTTTCGAAAAATCTTTTAGCAATTAGAGTATCTTTACACTTGCCGATAAAGACTAGGTGCAACTGCGATAATCCAGATTCAATGGGATAACGATTGGAAGGAGCAGCTTCGTATTGGGCCATCAATGCCTCCAACGCGTCTAATCCCCTAGCATGGTCCCCCTCCCGAATGGCAATTTGACCCATTCTTTCAATTAAATCAGGGTGTACTGAATCAGCTTCATTGACACTCATTTTGTAAATCAGCTTAATCTCGTCGTAAGTGAACCTTTTACTATCATAAGCAACTTGAAGCACCATGGACAAGACTTTATGGGTCAAAAACATGCGGCCAACTCCGCCGTTTCCATTCTCCTCTTCTGACCAACTAACACCAGTCTCCCAAAGATCCAAAATTTCATTATTCAATTTGAATTGTAACAAAGTACCAAATATCTTAAACAACATATCCGGATTCAAAAACTGCTTCCACTCACCAGCGGCAATTAATTCACTTAGATTGATTATCGCTGATTGGAATATGATATCTTCGTGGAAAGATGCCGCATTATCCTTGTCTCTATTTCGCGATGAGCCCAATCTCTCGCGTCTCAGAAGTATGGTTTCGCTGTACAAGGATGCCACGTACTTTGCCAAATCTCTACTGCTCATTTGGCGCCTGAATTCTTCATCCTGTATCTTTTTCAGAAACTCTTCAATAGTGTCAAAACGACGAATCGTAGAGCTCCATTTTGTAAAGTGGTTAGGCTTATGGTAGCACTTTGTGAATTTCTTAGCATATCCATTAGGTAATGGAAAATCCTGGTTAGCATTAGCAGTAGTAGGAGGGGGAGGAGCCACTTCCGCCACTGTTGAGTTTGTTCTTAAAAAGACTAGTTTCGAGTCAAAGTTGGAAGTAGTGGTTGTGTTTGTAGATGTAGAAGCTACTATTGGAGACGAAGCAGCAGCAGCTCCAGCTCCACCGGTATGCTTAAATTTCAGTATTAAGGCCGGCCTTATACTCTGCGAAGAGTTTATTATTCTAAACATTCTTGTTGTCTATTTACTGCCTGCTGTCTGTTACTATAGATGTTTTACCACTGATACTAACGCTAATATTATTTTGCAATAATTATCTATAAGTTTCCTCCCTTACCAGAAGCTGTTACTAGAGATGGAAAAAGGGATCAACTCTGTAAGCTTCTTGCTAGGATTATATAGCTTGACTAACTATGAAAAAAAAAATAATCAGATGAGGCGGCGGAAAAAAGAAAACGGAATGCGAAAGAGAGCGAGCGAGAAAAAAAAAAAAAAAAACCACTAACGGAAGAAACCATACCACGGATCAAGTTTACTAACCATCTGTTTATCATCTGTTTATCATCACCTATAATCATCTGCTAAGCCTTGTGCTGACCAACAAATTTTTATGTATAAAATAAAGGGGGCGCGCAGCATTGATCACACAATACAGAAATGTATGTACCTAAAAGTGGATAGGATGTAATAGAGAAGAAACTTTCCCTTAATGGTTCTATACGGTTACCCTTAATGGCTCTATACGGTTACTCTTAATGGCTCTATACGGTTACTCTTCAATATACACCATCATATGTATAACATGTTTGTATATTATATATCACCAGTTTGTGTAAAAAAGTTTTCTCGTACTATTGACTCTATACGACGAAAAAGAAAAAAAAAAGAAAATGCAAATATGGTTTAGATTAGCGACTCCGGTCTTCAGTGTACCACTACAACAAATGTTTATAACTGGGATCATCACACTGAGAACGTAGTGTAACTCACCATCCCCCTATTATTGATTTTTTTTTTTTGGTGGTTGGTATTGGTGTAGACACACACCAGAATGATTCTGTTGGCTGAGCCAAGGTGGGCCCCATCCGCGGTACCAATATAATACGAACGCACATGGTAGCAACATAACATCAACGCACATGGTAGCACCATTTCTTAGTGCGGCTTGAAAATTGGAAGGGCATCTTTCTTTACCAGTAAAGGTAAAGGTCATCTGTCATCATCTAGGAGTGAGTTGTAGGGGAAACTGAGCATTTGAGGTAGGAGAGATTAAGCATAGAGCTAAGAGAGAAAGAGAGAGAGAGATAGACCAAAAAAGAGGTGTGGTGTGTGTAGATTATGACGTCAACTACGGGATTTAACTCTAGCAAACTTACTAACCAAGCAAGCGATAATGATGAGAAACAACGGAAACGAAGAGAGCAGTTAGCTGCCTGGCGACAGAAGAAGCAGCAAGCTCTACTTGATAAAAAACAGGCGGTGCTGAAAGTAGAAACAGAACCGGAAGATGAAGATGGAGAAAAAAAGCGACTTAGACAACAGAGAATTGAAGAGTGGAAAAGGGCTCGATTACAAAAGGAAAAGGAAAAGGAAAGCACCATCTTGGAGTCGCAGCCGCGTTTGAGGACGTCCATTACGTTGTTAAAAAAGCCTTCTTCTTTCGGTAAAGGAAAGACCAACTTGCAGAGGAAGAGAGTAATATTAGCAGATAATGAAGAAGAAACTGAAGTTTTGAAGAAGAAGATTCCACGGTTTTCAAATGGCAGTTTTGAAAAGAGTTCAAACGGAAAAATTGAGACTCTTGATAACGACGATAATAACGCTGATGAACTTGATAATTTTATGGGATTGCTAAATAATGAAGAAAAAGGGCAGCATTCTCGCGGTATAGATAATGACATGATTGCAGACGAAGACGAAGATGAAGGTGAAGATGTATACGAAAAAGAAGTTCTCGATAATGAAGACGAGATTGATAAAATTCTCAGCACAAAGTTGACCAAGTTGCGGAACGTTGGGAAAGAGTTGAAAGAGATTGACCATGCTTCTATTGATTACCCGCTGTTTAGCAAAAACTTTTATCAAGAACCATTTGAAATAAGAAATATGAGCCAACAAGAAATTGATATGGTGAGATTAGAACTCGATAATATCAAAGTAAGAGGAAAACATATTCCAGCACCATTCACAAAATGGTCCCAGTTATTAGTTCCAGAGAACCTTTCATCAACGGTCAATGAAGATTTTGGGTTTGTCAAACCATCTCCTATACAAAGTCAAGCTATTCCAATAATACTTTCTGGGCGAGACATGATTGGTGTTGCCAAGACTGGGTCCGGAAAAACATTAGCATATGTAATCCCGATGTTACGACATGTGCAAGATAGACAAATTTTGAATTCTGGGGACGGTCCAACTGCATTGGTACTAAGTCCAACAAGAGAGCTTGCCTTACAAATCGAACAAGAAGTTACTAGATTCAAAAGGAATTTAAATTTCAAAGTGTGCTGTTGCTATGGTGGAGCTAATATTGAGAGCCAAATAACTGAACTAAAACGAGGGGTTGATGTAATAGTTGCTACTCCAGGTAGATTGATAGATTTGTTAGTAGCAAACAGTGGCAGAGTCACCTCTTTGCGAGGAACAACTTTTGTTGTTTTGGATGAGGCGGACCGAATGTTTGATATGGGGTTTGAACCACAGATTCAAAAAATCTTTTCGCAAATAAGACCTGATAAGCAAACCGTATTATTTTCGGCAACGTTCCCGAGAAAATTGGAGACGCTTGCTAAGAGATGGCTTCAAGATCCAATTGAAGTGATTGTCGGAGGAGTGGGTGTTGTTGCAACGGAAATTACGCAGAATGTTGTTATGCTTGAAGGACCAAATGAAAAGATGGCAAAACTTCAAGAGCTTCTTACTGAACATTCTGATGAAAAAGTACTTGTTTTTGTTGAGAAACAAATTGATGCAGACAAGTTAGTGTCTAGTCTTTTGAGAATGGGATTTCCATGTTTGGCCATTCATGGAGGTAAAGATCAGATTGATCGGCAACATGCCGTAAAAGAATTTGCTGATGAAAGTAGTGGGGTCAGTATATTGGTAGCAACTTCGATTGCAGCTCGCGGACTAGATGTCAAGAATTTAAGCTTAGTTGTCAATTTTGATCCACCTAGCCATCTTGAAGACTACGTGCACAGAGTTGGAAGAACTGGTCGAGCTGGTGCGAGAGGGGAGGCATTCACATTTGTAACGAAATCACAAGAGAAAGAAATCAGCATCATAGTCAAGGCTCTAAAGATGAGTTCAATTAAGGTGGAAACTGAATTACAGAGTATTGCCGACCTGTTTGGTAAAAAGCTTGAAACAGGCGAAGAAAAGAGGTCGTTTGGATTCGGGGGCAAGGGATTGGATAAGTTACAAAGCATACGAGACACCAAGATTCAAATGCAAAAGAAAATGTATGGAACTTTTGACCGTGATGAAACTGAGAAAAACAATGAGACTGAGCTGGGCACGGCAACCGCTGCCGCTACCGCTGCTACCGCTGCTGCCGTCGCTGCTACAGTAATGCCATCTTTCGAAGTAATTGAGGGAAACTCACCTGAAACATCGGGTCCTGATAAGTGCAAATTTTACAGTAGAATCACAATCAATGATCTACCGCAAAAAGTTAGATGGAAGATTGTTCAAAGAGAAAGCTTGTCTAAAATCATTGACACAACAAAGACTTCAATTACTACGAGGGGCCAGTATTACTCGCCTCTGTGCAAGCAACTTCCTACGAGTGATAAACCAAAACTTTACTTATTAGTTGAAGGTCTAACGCGACAAGCAGTTGAAGATGCAATCGCGATAATCAGGGAAAAAATGATTCAAGGCATACAAAATATGAGCTTGGAAGATCAAACAGGAAGGTATGTTGTTTGAAAAAAAAAGAGAAAGTAAGAAAAGTAAGAAAAGTAAAGAAAGTAAGAAAAGTAAGAAAAGTAAGAAAAGTAAAGAAAGTAAGAAAAGTAAAGAAAGTAAAGAAAGTAAAAAAAGAAAAAGAGTTTTGATGCTCGGTTCAACTATCTTTATTTTTTCCCCACATTTACTTTAGTAGATAAATCTTCTCATGATAAAATCCCTGAAATCACTTTTTCTTTTGAGTTTCTTTCAAGTGCCCAGTTGCTCTTTGTAATACAACAATGCCATTTGATCCTAAGCTGTATGAGAAGTACGAATACTACACGGTTACTCAATTGGAGGAAGGATTTATCCATGTTCAGTATACCAACCCCAAGACCTTAAACGCATTTACAGATCAAAATTGGAAAGATTATGGAGAGATTTTTACTAGATTAGATAAGGAAGAAGATGTCATTTTGATTGTGTTTTCATCCGGGGTGTCCAAAGCGTTTTCTTCAGGGTTGAATTTGAAAACCGCTATGGAAGCCATGAGCAATTTCGGTGAAGCTAGTGAAGAAGAAAGGATTGCTCATTTGCATAAACATATTGTTGATTTCCAAAACGCAATTAGTGTTCCCGCGCGCATAAGCACGCCTACAATTGGTGTTTTGAACGGTATTAATTACGGATTGGCACTTGATATTTCAAGTGCCTTTAGCATTAGGATTGCTGTTGAAGGAGCACGTTTCTCAATAGCCGAAGTAAATATCGGAATTGCTGCTGATATCGGCTCTTTGCAGAGATTGCCAGCACTTGTTAACAACAAGTCAAGACTCATGCAACATGCTTTATTGGGTGATATCTTTGATGATAGAGAAGCTCTAGAACTTGGATATGTAAGTATTATACATCCCTCAGTTGAGCATGGTATTGAGCAAGCAAAAGAGTGGGCAGAAAAAATCCTTCAAACTCCACAATGGGCTATTAAAGGTACTAAAAAACATATTCAAGATATGTTGAATGGACAAAACATGGAAAAGGGCTTAAAGGATATTGCTCATTATAATTCTGTTTATATTTCCGGCTCTAAGTTGAAGTTGTAAGCCTTTAAAGGGACAAGACTTGGTCATTTACAACTTGGTTAAACCTATGTAGAAATTTTACGTATCATTGAAAGCAGCCGCTTCTTAATGCCCTCTCTCTCTCTCTCTCTCTCTCTCTCTCTCTCTCTCTCTCTCTTTCTTTCTTTCTCTGTAGACTCACCTTTTTCAGTAATTAACATTAACAGGAGAAAAAAAAAAAATCCATCGATCCATCGATATGAATTTTTCAAGATCATTGGGATGCAGGTGCATATTGTAAGAGGTGGGTCTAACCCGAAGAGGATACCAATTAGGCTAGTACGTCCCTATACATCATGTAGCATTCCTACGGGCAATATTCTAGCGCGGAGCTTTCTGGAAGATTCAGACATTAGATTACGAGAACGAGAAGGAGAAGGAGAAGGAGAACACCAGCAGCAGCAGTTTGAGTCATTAACGGTGAAAGATACGCTTTCCCGTGCGCCATCGAGAAAGCTTAAGTACTCGTACAGACATAGTTCTGTGTTTGCATCTACAGTAAAAGAGTTTCATGGCTCGCAAATTAAAACCGAGCTAGTCAAGTCGTTGGATCAAAGTGAATTTACAAAATTGGCAACTGTGCTAGAAGCATGGTCTTATAATGACGTGAATGCAATGATTACGACGTTGGGCAGGGAAACCATATCCGAATATATAAGTCTAATTATTGGTCAAAATAGGGGTCAGGTTGTTAAACCTTTGCTGTTTATTCCACTCGAAAGAGCCCCAACACGAACACGAACACGAACATCGTCTAGTTCCAAAAACAGTTTTATTACCCAGATTCGAAATATATACAAAAACATATTATACAAAAACAAACAGGATCATTTTTACGATTACGAGAGAAGACACGATATATACAACAGCGAACATTTGACGGGACATCGATTGATTACCAGTGATTTTGAAAATTTAATGGAATTAGAATTGATCTATTTTAAGCCCGATCTAGCATCTAAATGGTTCAGATCGTTTAGAAACGAGCACGGGATAAATTGGAAGAAGGCAATGACACCTAAACTATGGACTTTAGCATTTAGAGTGGATGGTTTTGGAGAGAATAGATTGTGGACTATACCACGCAGCGAGCTCTCTAGTTATTTTAAAAAACCGGCAAAGTCCAATTTCATTGGGCTAAATAGAAAACCGAAATTGATGTTGCAAGACGTGGTAGATGACTTGAGTGAGTTTGATTTGGATTTTCACAGTGCTGCATTACAACATATGGCATATGCGGGTCAGATGTCCAGTTTCAAAGAATATATCAAGTCAGTGTGGGGGATAGGCCCAAATGGAGACTTGGTTTCCGACAAGGTTGATGTAATGAGCCATTTGTATCCCAATGATAAACTCTTGATTGATATATTTGTCTCATTATCGTTTTGTGGTGAATTTTATACTGGAATCAAGTATATAAATGGGTTCCAAACAGCATACGACCAAATGGAAAGTAAAACAGGCAGCAAAGCGTTTTGGGAACAAGTGTTCAAGTGGGCAGATATATCTACCAGGTATGAGAACGATATAGCATTAAACTATTTCTTGCGGAAAAGTAACTGTTCCAAAGAAATGTCCTTGGAAGATGCCAAACAGGATGTAAATTTCGACTATGAGGGGTTTTTGCAGTTTCTAGAGAAATTAAAGAATGAGCGCATAAACACTTGTGAGCAAATTTGGAAAGGGGTTCACGACCAAAAAACCTCTCCTGTTCCTTTTTCAAACCTGATCTATAAGACATATTTGGATATCTTGAAAGAAAATCCTGATGAAAATAAACTATATGAATACATGACTTGTTTATTAAAAGAGTTTCACAGATACCATACTGACGATCAAGATTCATTTACAAGACGGCTGGGTATGGGATTTCATCGCGAAAATTCAAAGTCTGAATCCGTATGGATTTTATACTTGGAAGCAATGAAGATGCTTATCGATTTGAAGGGATTTTCTCCAAGTCTTTGGCAAGTCTCGGTGCTTATTGACAAATGGAGTATAGACAAGAAAATGAAAAAGGAGTTATCACAATGGGTACAAAAGGATAGAATGAAGAGATACAAAGAGGAATTGGAAATACAGCGAGAGAAGTTTATGGCTAATTTGGCAAAGGATGACGAGTCACTACTTGAGTTGATGTAAATAGATTACTACTGAGACGCTAATTGACTTTATGCCATCTAATCAAAAATGGCGTGTAATTTTGTCCCAAAAGAACAAAAAAAAAAAAAGAAGAAGAATCAAAAGTTGTTACCACGTAGAATTAAGTGGAAAAAAAAAAAAAAAAAGTTCAAAATCAACTTAACAAAGGAGTACAAGCTACTAAGGACGATCAAGACTACTAAGAGCAATTAGGAGCAAACCGCTTTGGTATCATTTAACTTACCTTTTCAGCTTGCAAAATACCTTATACGACATACACGTTTTATTTTCTTGTTTTCTTTTTCATTAGATAGAAATGGCTGCTGAGGGTATAGAAAAATTGACGGAAGTGCCATTGGAATTTTTCAAGGATGGTAATGCGTTTATCAGGAAATGTCAGAAACCAGACCAAAGGGAATACCTCAAAATAATCAGAGCCGTGGGGATTGGTTTTCTTATGATGGGAGTTGTTGGCTATGTTGTCAAATTAATACATATACCAATTAGATACTTGATTGTTTAAGTAAGATTATTATACACACTATTTTTCAACTTGATACAAATGTCGTAAATTTATCTCTCGGTTTTTTGCGACTAATATTTTACGACACCATCTCTCTACCTCATCACACAAATTTATAATTTTCTTTTTCAGTTTTAAGAGGAAGTTTTAGCTTGAGGAGGAGTTTTGTTTCAAGCTTCAAGAAGAGTTTTGTTCCAAGCTTGAGGAAAAGTTTTATTCCAAGCTTCACGATATGTCACAGACATCGGCATTTGTCAAGAAATTGGCCTCGAACAACAAAACGACCAGAGATGCTGCTCTTGAAAGCTTGCGGAAATATCTAGCGTCTAAAACGACATTAACATTACTAGATATGGAAAAAATATGGCGAGGTTTATACTTTTCAATGTGGTTCTGTGATAGACCCAAGGCTCAAGAACGCTTAGCAGAGAGTTTAGGCCAATTGTACTCGGAATCGATCAAGTCTAAGAAAGCCTTTTTGTTATTTGTAAAAGCTTTCAATTTGATAATGATTAAAGAGTGGACCGATATAGATCAGTGGAGAATAGACAAGTTTTATTTACTAATCAGGCGTGTGTTGAGGCATAACTTCATATACATGAAAAAAAACGATTGGAATGAGAAGTTGGTTGATAGCTGGATTGAAGTGATGGAAGAGACTATACTAAGCGGTGATAGTAAAGTCCCGGTCGCGTTGCCTTACCATTTGTGTGACATTTATCTAGACGAACTTGAATTAGTTGTGTTTGGAGAGGAGAATATACAAGTGTCTGCTGATGATATTCCTATACAGAAACTAATAGAACCATTTACAATTTTAAACAAGAGTGCCAAACTCAAGACATTGAGGGAGAAAACGAAAGAAGACGTGTTGGATGATAAGAGGTTGGTGGAATGGAAAGTTGTAGAAAACAAAATCCTGGACACCGAAGATGGTGAAGAGGAGGAATGGAATGGATTTTAAGATGATCAAAAAAGTTTATACAATTTATTTTATTTTTTTTTTTTTTTTTTTTTTTTAATTCTCTTATTTTTTTGCTATCTCTAACAACCAATGCCCAAAGCAAACAAATCGAAACTGAACAACTCGAAACCAAACGAGCTCAACCCATATATCCCAAAATATATAATTTCAAAACCATGGTATCAGGGGAAATCAGGTTCAGCGGATGAGGATTATTTATCTCATCAGAGAAAAACAGGGGAGATTATTGATCATAGTTTGCCACAGACAGGTCAAGGGATCAAAGATGACTTTGATGGGAGTGTACGAAAAGAGACGCAGGACGAAAACTATGACGCCAAGCGAGATAGGTGGTATGGGTTCTCGACTGAGGAGTGGTTAGAACAAGTAAAGAGACAGCGACAGAAAGAGAGAGAAGGAGAAGGAGAGGAAGGCATTAGGGATCGCAATGATGACTCCGATGATACAGATTATGAATTGGAGTTACAGGAACTTGAATTAGAGAGGGCCCAAGTGATCAAGAATATAAAGGAGGATCCAATGGAGAAAATGTTGCGCGATAGACAAGATGTGCCAGTATATATTCAGAATATAACTAGTCGACGAGATGGCAAGATTCGGATTGATTATGATCCCAAGTCTAGATTAGCAAAAGATTTAACAAAAGGGTTTTTTAATGATAGAAAACAATTTGTAAAGAAATTGGAAGGTAAGGCTCAAGAATTGAAAAACTTGCAATCGTTTGCTTGGGAGACAAAGCAAGGGGAGGAGGAAAATCTTGGTTTCGAGGCAAACCCAACTTTAGTGATGATGAAAGCTAAACAGACTGCTGAGCAAAATGCCATAGCGAAAAGGAAGAAAATCATTGATATGTATCAATCCTCCCCTTAAGAGTTTAGGCCTGTGGAGGCTGTGTTTTTCTTTTTGTTTTTGTTTTTGTTTTTGTTTTGTTCCTTCTTCATCCAGAAACCACCCATTGCTCCCAATTTTTCAAGCGGAGATAGCTGGCATCTTCGTATACATACAAACAAGGAATTTCCTGGGCAGCCTCCACTAACAAATCAACATATTTACCATTTTGAGTTAAAATTTTAAGTCTATTAAATGCCATTAATTTGTTTACTTCTACTTTCCCATCCAGTTTGTCAAACAAGGATCTCAAATAAGTGTCTTTGCAAAGGTTTTCAGTGGAAAAGTAGTACTCCAATTGCCTTTTGATATTTGCCTTTTTAGTCTCTCGTTTTAGATTCTGTGATGCAGAAGATACTTCATTGTTGATTGAAGGATAGGAAATTCGGGGAAGCCCGTATACAATCATTGGAGTAGGTATAGGAAAAATTGGTGGTGACTGTGATGTTTGAGAAAAATAGGGAGAATTTGCCGATGGAATAAGTAGAGGTGTTGGCAAGTTACTTGTTGTGAGCAGTGACGAAGATTCCAAAGCCATCATTGGACTTGAATTGAGGGACCAAATCCTGGTGCTTGGTGGAGATCCATCAACGCACTTGTATCTGAAATGGCCACTTCCACCTTTTATTTCCTTTGGTTTTGGGAAATTGGGTTTTTTAATTTTGAGGTTTTTTCCAACAGTAATTAGCATTTCTTGTTTGTTAAGTCGTCTGGATGATGAAGAAGAAGAAGAAGGTGGTGGTGGTTGGAGTTGTAGTAGTAGTGGTGGTGGTGGTGGGGGTGGCAGTGGCAGTGGTGGCAGTGATAATGGTGATACCTGCTGTAACTCTAATGACGATGTCTGTAGTGGTGGGGATGGTGGTGGTAATGGTGGTGTTGAAGCTGAAGCTGAAGGTGGTGGCGGTGGTGGCGGTGGTGGTGGTGATGATGATGAAATGTTATTGCTTGACGGCGTAGCAGCACGTATGTCTATATCATTTTCTTTGGTCTTTGGTTTGTCAGATAACACCAATGTGTTTATTGTCCATGCATTTGTCTTTGGTGGTGGGGCTGGTATTAAACGTTTTACATTGGACATTTGCCAACTAGTTTATCAAAAGCAAATCCTTTTGGATAGAGCCCTGGAATCAAAAAAATTTTGGTTGTAAAATTGCAATTTGGTTGCCAAAAAAAAAATATTCATATATAGAGCTCTTTATGTTTGAGATATTGAGATTTGTAGCTCTTTGAATCTATCTATTGAGGGTGAAGTAGGTGTAGTAAATTTTTTTTGTGCTAGATCAGGGTTAGAGAATGGGTAATAAGCAATGTACGAAACGTATAGTAGGAGTAGAGTAGAATGGAGGTAGAGTAGAATGGGTAAGCAATGTACGAAACGTATAGTAGGAGTAAAGTAGAATGGGTAAGCAATGTACGAAACGTATAGTAGGAGTAAAGTAGAATGGAGGTAGAGTAGAATGGAGGTAGAATAGAATGGAGGTAGAGTAGAATGGAGGGAGAGTAGAATAGAGATAGAGATATAGTAGAATAGAGATAGAGATATAGTAGAATAGAGATATAGTAGAATATGGCTATATAGAGGATTGGAATAAATTAATAGAGTAAGACTATACAACTACAGACAATAGAGTTTTAGGCTATAGAGTTTTCGATTTTAAAGCCACGCGATACTTTATGTATACAAGTTTTATACAATTCAGCCTCATTTTTTGAATTGGTAAGAGAGAGGTGGATGCGGGAAAAAACTACTAGAAAGAGATAGATGCGAGAGAGGTGCAAAAAAGATAGATGCTAGAGAGATGTAAGATAGATGCGAGAGAGGTGTAAGATAGATGCGAGAGAGGTATAAGAAGGAAGTAAGGGGATGCAACGAATTATTTCACAACCACAATAATGATTGAAATATACAATATCTGATACAAAAGCTTCTTGCTACTTCCCCCCTGCTAAGATAAGATGTACATATTTGTAGGGCCACATGGGTATTATGTGAAATCAACAAAATCAAAATCCGCATTAAAAGAAATTAGTTAGCGCACTTTTCACTATTGTGTAATATCTAATTTCATTAGCCCTCGTGGGACATTAAATATATATAGAGAGAGAGACATTGTATATATAGGGACTATTGTATATGAAGAAAATTGTATATATAGGGACTATTGTATATGAAGAAAATTGTATATATTGTATATATTGTATCAAGTTTGACGTAGAAAGACGAGTAATACTGACTCTACAGACAAGATGACTTTACCTTCACCACCTGTTCTTAAAACGACAATTATTCAACTCAACAAGGAGTTGAATACCTGGGGCTATGAGATTTTGACCAACGAGTATAACAATCCCACTGAAAGTGAGAAATTTATCCAAATTAGTTCACCAGAATCAATACCGAATAAGAAAAAAAGAAGAAGGTGCACTGCTAATATAAACTCGGAAGAGTTGGCCAAGCGCAAGAATGAAACCAAGCAATTACATTCAATTATTGAAAAGAGAAGAAGGATCAAAATTAATCGCGAATTTGAAGCTTTAAAGTATTTGATACCCGCTTGTCGCTATTGCAATGATAGTCCATCTTCCAAAAAACCTGCCGCTGCCAACAACAACAACAACAACAACAAAATAGACGGTATGTACAAACTAACCATTTTGAAAAGTTCAGTTGAATATATCTTGTATTTGCATCACATTATACAAAAACAGCATGAACTATTATCAAGTGAAAATTTAGAAAAAGTGAAAAATTTTGACATTGGTTTTGCTAAAGTGCCACTCGATGTTAATCAGTATAGAAATATTGACATCGACTTTAATTTCAAAGACTTGATGAAAAATGAGGTAAAAGACGAAACAAGAGGCGATAGGCAATCAAAAGAAGTAAAGCAATTGCAAAAACAACTGCAAAAACAACTCGATGATAATAAACCACTGCTACCAACTCCAGAATTTACTCCCGATATGGCACCAATATTAACCTTGTTGAATACATACACAGGTGAAAATCATTATCCAACAAGGAACAATTCGTATGCCGTCTCGCCACATACAATAGTTTCCAAATCGGGAACTCCTAATAATAAGGCTACCAGATTCACTCTACCGGATCCAGCTATCAACCCTTTGAGCGAGGTGCCCCGAAACACATTTTCTAAAATAGATGAGACAATAAAGGAGGTAGAAGAAAAAGAATCAACAACTCTATCCGATCGATATGCCTCAAAGACCTTACTTGCCTTGAGGAAATCAAGTATCGACAGCTTATTGAATTAGTTCTTATTTTGTTCCCCAACTTATAAATTTATATTTTGCTTCTATAGCTTCACATTTACCAGTAACAAACTCGCTTCTCACTTGCTGCAGTAACTAAACTCGCTTCTCACTTGCTACGATAACAAAATTCGCTTTTCACTTGCTACGATAACAAAACTCGCTTCTCACTTGCTACAGTAGGAAATTGTTATCATATAAATATTCAACATATTCGTCGATTTTACTTGGCCATGCCGCCATTTCATCATAGTTGGATAATTTGTAAGGATCAGTAATTATTACCTCTTGAAAAAACGGCAAAAACATCGACCAAGTATCAAACGATATTACCTTTTTTGGTTTTGCGTTTAAATAATCAAACCAATTTGATATTCTTTCATTGATCTTAGATCGTAGACTTTCATTGCCATTGGGAAAACCAGGGACCAAAGGAAGCAACAATTGCCAGTAGCTAACGGCAAGGGCAACATCCAACACCTTCTGATTTTCCGCTTCAAGGAGGAAACGGAATGTAAAATTGTATAATCTTTTAAAAGTTACAGGCTCACCATCGATATCTTTGAGATTCACGCCTTGTAAAATGTCCCTATGGAAATTAGCAACAAATTGAGACATCTCTTTTAGTGAAGTAATATTGTAAAACTGCCAGCTATTAATAAACGAATCTCGTTGGAATTCCCCAACTTTAGGCGCCTTCAACAAAAATGCCAATGTCAATGATTTGGGATCATCTGGATCAATCTTCAAATCTTCAAGATACCTTATAGTACCATCTATATCAATTATATCGGGATTATTGCTATCCTTGTAACTGTCAAAGATAGCAACCAATTTCGGATCAACAGAATCATGTTTCTCACCAGGATGTTTCGAGTAGTAAAGATCAACAGCTCTTGCTATATCATAATTACCAGATTCCAAATATCTCCCTGCCGTGGTTATCGACGTTCCGGTTAACTCGCAAAACTGATTCTTAAGGGCACTCTTCTAAAAAGGAAAACAAAACAGTCAGTTACATCTAGTCTCTAAAGCCAAAAGTAGAAGAAAATTCCTGTAGATCACATACCATCATGGATTTCTGTATATCTTCCAAATCAGTTCCTTCTCTTCTTTTCTTTGTTCAAGCCTTTTGTTTATTTCTCTCTCTCTCTCTTTAACTTTTTTATTTTAAATGCCTATTTGAGAAGTCCAACTTTTTGATAAAATGGTAACGACTGGTCAAATACAAGCCATTATTCCGTATCCGGTGTTGGATGATTTGGCGACGATAGAGTCTGATATTGATAATGATATCCAGATTGTTTTGGACTGGATGAGCCCGACAATTCCACTGACGTTTGACCCCAAATTTTCGTTACCCAAATATAAGGAGCCTTCACATCGTGTTAGGCTGGCGATTAAGAGCTGTTTAAAGGACCAAGAGGATCAATTCCGGTTTATGAACATATACTTGAACTCGGTTAACTTGAAACTTTGGGAGTTTACACCAAAAGATTTTACATTTGTCGATTATATCGACTTCATCAAGCTTTTAGCACATCATCTTGATCAAGTCAATTTGAACAAAACAAGCCTTTTTAATGATAAATTCCAAACAATACTAACGCTATATCTATCTAAAAAGACGGATTTTTTTCAACATCTTAGGGAATTCTTTGACAAGTCGCTATTTCAAAATCATGCGCCAACAGCATTAAACCTCCATGATGTGGTTTCAACTTTAGTTTCGGTTGGATTGTCTGATTACTTGAATGAGATTGTCGTGGAGCTAGCGATTACCAAAATACGGAACTTCACTTTGCAAGTGTGCACTGGCAACTGGGAAAGACCCCTACTACACACAATCAATTCATATATCGAAAATGAAATATATCCCAGCTTTTCACTTGTTACAGAATCAAACTTGACTCAGGAACTAGTGAAGCTAGCTCATGGCGTATTAGTCACTCAAAGAATAAAAGAAATATACCCATTAGTTGCCGCATACCCTTATAGCGAGAATGCACTTGTGGAGCTACAAATTTGCTTGCTGGAAGCGAACCGCGAGCCGGCATCGTCTAGAAGCGAGCTAGTAAAGCATTTTATTGAAGGATGTCAAAAAAACCTTTTGCATGCCGGTGTGAACACCGTGGATGTAATCATCACCTACACCAAAACCATCAAGTCGTTTTTGTTGATTGATCCTAGAGGCGTGCTATTGGATAAGGTAGTGAGGCCAATACGTAAATATTTGAAATCAAGAGAAGATATTTTCACCAAATTAGTCCACGGATTGTTGGATACATCGCCGTCTAACAAATTGATAGAGTTGGCGCAACAGTTGAATAACTCGGGTCGCTCAGAGAAGCAAAAGTGTGCCTACCATGATTTGTCATGGATACCAGATCCATTTGACGCCTTGCCTGATTTCAAGAGAGAAAAAGTCAGCGATATAATAGAGTCACTCCTTTCCATTTTCGAATCAAAGGAAATATTCATTCAAGAGTTTACAAATTTATTTGGAAAGCAACTAATCGAGTCCAGACATGTGAATGAAATTGATTCAAAATTGGATGTTTTAAAATTGAGATTTGGTAAGAATAGCTTTACCACTTTGGATATCATGATTCGCGACTTCAAAAATAGTCCATCGCAATTTGGCATCTTGTCTCATTTGTACTGGACAACTCTTTTAGATGGTACGGACTTTAAAGTTCCAAAAGAAATGGAATCGGTTTTCCAAGACTTTCAAGAAAAGCACAAAAAGGAAGGAAGGATTTTGAAGCTCGTGCCGAGTTTGGGTACCGTTAAATTAAAACTTGATTTGAAAAACGGAGAAAGTCGCTTGTTTGAAGTGAGTCCAGAGAAAGCTGCTATTGTCTTACAATTCAATGAAAAAGAAAATGAACGTTCTGTCTATCAAATTGCCGAAACTTTGAATATGCCTCTGTTCATGGTAAATGAGGGATTGGCGTACTGGGTGAAAGAAGGGATTCTAATTGCCCTAACCCCAAGCTTGTACATTGCTGAGTAAAAGAAAAGGTGAAAATAAAAAAAGAAAAGAATACTTTACTTTCTCACTGTTTTCTTCTGCCATCTCTTTATATCATCATTCATATACCCAGGTACTTTTATTCCCCAATTTCTTTCAAGAGTCAACTGTACATTCCCAATATCGACTTTGTCCAATTTCCTGTGCTTTGCTAACCTACATGAAAATTCCATGACGTTTCGGACAAACTCGTCAGCCAAATCTAGGAATAGTTCCTCAACATCGTTGTCTATCGTTGTTTTAACGTCTCCTTGATCTATCGAGATGTTGTTTATTAGTTCATTCAATTTTCTTTTTGTCAATACTCTGCCATCATTGAGAATTAAACCAGGGCGCGGTTGTGGTGGGGGTATAGGTGCAGGTGCAGACACTACCAGCACCAGCAGTGGTCGGGGTGGTGGTGGTAGCGTCTGCTCCAACTGTGGTGTCTGCTGTGACAGTTGTGCTTGCAGTGCTTTTAGCGCTTGTTGTGCCTGTTGTACTTTCTGTGCTTGTTGTATCAGTTGCATCGGTTGCATCAGTTGCATCAGTTGCATCGGTTGCATCAGTTGCATCAGTTGCATCAGTTGCACCGGTTGCACCGGTTGCACCAGTTGTGTTTGTAGAGTCTGCTGTGGTTGTTGTGGTTGTAGTGGTTGTTGTGGTTGCTGTGGTTGCTGTGACTGCTGTGGTTGCTGTGACTGCTGTGACTGCTGTGACTGCTGTGACTGCTGTGACTGCATTGACTGTTCCTGCGCCTGCTGCAAATTTGTCGAACTCACGGGTGTTGCGTTAGCTGATAGTCTCCCCGTGTCAACCAACACTTTCCGCATATATAATGCTCCTTTATGGCATTGCTGTAGCTGATTTCTGGCATCTGATATTGATTTCTCTAGTGCTTCTCTCTTTTCTGGATCTGTTGCTTCATTTCGAGAAGTTTCTAAGCCTTGAATCTTTTCCAATAAACTCTTTAATATGTCTCTTACTTGGTTGTATTTTTCCAACGTAACATTGACTCTTTGAGGTGCCGGTGATTGTATTTGTGGGAACTCCTGTTGCTGCTGCTGCTGCTGCTGCCGTGGTTGCTGAGGTTGCTGAGGTTGCTGAGGTTGCGGTTGCTGCTGCAATTGCTGTTGCTGCTGTGGTTGCTGTTGCTGCTGCTGTTGCTTGAACTTTACAAGAACCCGTTTGATTTTTTCAACCACTGCAAGATGTGCTTTTACTTTAGCTGGGTCAGTTTCAACTTGACTCGCCGCCAATTCGTCCTTTAGACGTTGCGCTAAAACCCTTACCCTTTGAGGATTCAATTCGGGCTCCGGAGTCGTGGTAGCTGACTCTCCTCCTTGCCCTTCCATTACCTTATAGCTTAATGAAAGAAATCACCAAACAAAGCCTAAATAATCTGAAATGTATTTGATTAGCTTGTTCTGTTTTTTTTTTCAAGTCGTGTCTACTTCGACAAAAAAGAGTCGTGTCTATCTCAGTAGAAAAAAAAACTTTCTTCTATAAATTTACTACCTTTTCAATCACCTTCAATATAGCTCCGTGAGTACTACAGTTAAGACTGGAAAGTTTTTCTTCGATATAGTTGTCGAGTAGCTTTCGAAGTTGTTTGATTAAGACGCCATTCTTGCACCAGGTTTTGACTGGAACCCAGCCGTCAACCACAATCCCGTCTGCCTCATACTCGAAATTTCCGCCAAACAATAATGTCGCTAACATGCTAGATGGAGTCACTCTACGTATAAATAACTTTGACGTCATGTGCGATGAGCTGTAACTTATAAATGCGGATCTTAGAGTATTGTCGGATTTGGGTAACTGTGGCGGCGTTGGTGTTGGTGTTGGTGTTGGCATTGGCGTTGGTGTTGGCGTTGGCGATGGTGTTGTCGTTGGCATTGGCGTTGGTGTATACCGTTCGACTTCAACTTGCGTTTCATCTCTAGTGTTAAAAAAGACCGAACTTGGATGAAGAAAAGCTCTTGTTTTTGTTGAGGACTCTTCAGGGTTTTCCAGCTTAATCCAAAATTTGATCTCTCTGGCATCTGGATCAACAGCAATTGAGCCCAGCAAGGATTTCAGAAATTTCTGATTAGGATACAGAACTCTGGCTATTTTGGGGTAAAATGAACCTGCAATAATGGCTTGAACCATAGAGTAATTGATTTTTGTTTCACCTGCACCGTAGTCTCTTGCAACAAATCCCATTTCAAATAATAACTGATAGTATTGAGTCTTTGTTGTTCTCACCTCGCTAAGTGCCGTGTACGACAAGTTATTATCCTCGATAAAACGCTTGTTAGTACTGCTACTATTGTTGCAATAAGCATGATAAACGTTGGCTTCTCCAATGAAATCTCCATTGCCTTTCGAATATCTGGTCAATATCAGTTTGACCTTGTCTCTATCTTCAGCTCGAAAAATAGAGCCAACTGAGTTAATTGCAGCTAATGTCACACAGAAATCAATACATTCCAAAATGCAACCCAATATTAGAAGCTTTCCGGTATGAGGATCCATGGGTAAAAAGGACAAGTATTTACCCAAATTGGTCAATTGGTCCCTATTCAAAGCACCCACATCTTCTAAAAGCTTTTTAGCGGACGCTAAAGCTAAGCTATCCGGAGCATCTAACCCACTAGTAATAAACTTTTCAACATTACTAACGCCCATGGACTTTACAATAAGATACAAATTCTCAAGCCTTGCTCTTTTAATTTCGGGAACTGGTTGCTCTAGCATGCAATTCTCGCTGTCTTTTGTATATAGGTGATAGCAAATCCCATTCGTCACACGACCCGCCCTACCTCTCCGTTGACGAACTTCCGCTTGCGAACACCATTCCTCAATTAACTTTGTGGCATTGAGCTTTGTATCAAAAAGCATATTTTTAACCCGACCCGTGTCAATAACCGCAACACAATCGGGAATTGTAATTGAGGTTTCTGCAATATTGGTTGCAAAAATAACCTTCCTTATTCCTGGTGACGATTTAAATACTTTCTTTTGTTCTTTTGGGTTTAAAGAAGAATGGAGGGGTAATGCCAAGAATCTGTTGTTGCTGTCGTTGTTGTTGTTGCAGTCACTAATCGCGCGATTGATCTCGCCTACTCCAGGTAAAAACACAAGAATAGAACCATCATTTTGGGCAAGTTCTTTATCAATATAAATTATTAGCTTTTGAAGTAAATCGTAGTTGATTTTCCCCATCTTGAAAAACGCTGAGTCAGCCCGCGGTTTTATCATTTCTCCACCAACTTCCATACTATAATCCAATTTCACTAAAATATCGTTTAGATAATAATCCTCTACGGGGAAGGTTCTCCCTTCTACGTGTACATGCTTGATCTCTTTCTTGAAAAAATTGGTAAAGATATCTTTTTTGATAGTTGCAGACATTAAAATTACCTTTACGCTAGATTTCTTTATAAGGTCCCTCAATATAATTAATAAAAAATCACCATCAACAGATCTTTCGTGTACTTCATCGATGAAAATGTAGCCAAGGTTTGTGAAAACCAGATTGTCCCTTTGTTGAAGCATTCTTAAAAGAATACCTGTTGTCAAAAAAGTAATACGAGTGTGAGCATTTGTCTTGTTCTCTCCTCTAATAATGTACCCCGTTTCACCGCCAACTTTAGCATCTCTTTCCTCGGATATTCTACTTGCCAATCCCATGGTCGAAATACGACGCGGCTGAGTACAAAAAATTGTGGTGGAAAAATCCCCCACCAGGTTTAGATGATCAAGTACAAATTGTACAATTTGCGTGGACTTACCCGAACCAGTTTCCCCTGTAATTAAAGTAATCTGGTTTGTATTTATTACATCTATTAAAACACTTTTCTTTTGCCACACCGGAAGAGGCGTTAATGGGGGAGGTCTTGCTGCTGTAACTGTTGTTGTCATCGTCGGTTTCAACAAAGAAGCTCTGGACAGGGCAGCTCGTGGCGGTCTTGGCTGAGGGGATCTAGCTGGTGATAAGTTCTTCTTTTCCTCCTTCTCTACGCTTAAAGGTCCCGGAACGTCAATCACCTTTTTCATATTAACTTCCAACCAGTCCACAATTGAATACAACAGATACTCCTCTAAATTGTTGAGTAATTCTCTCAATATTGACAACTTGACATAATTGGCAATTCTATAGTTGTCGTTAACTACGAGTTGGATTCCAGGCATCTCATTGGGGTACTTTTCACTTTTAAATACCCTAACGCTGACCATCCCATCCTCAATACCTTCTGGATTCAACGAAATTGTAACAATCTTGGGATCATCCACTGTTATATTTTTGGCAAAGGTCAAAACCTCAAGTTCCTGATCCCACATATCCTCTTCCACACTCTCTTTTGTTACTTCTCTCGAGTACAACAACTTGGTTAGCGCTATACTTGTTGCAAATTCGTCCTCCTCATTGTCTTTATAAAAAGCAAGAATCACGTCTTCTGAAAATCCTGAATGTTTCAACTCTTTTATTGCCAACTCCGTCTTTAATGGTCGCGAAACTCTCAACGTAATATCCAAGTCTTTCTTTGCAAATCTCTCAGGCAAATCATCTTCAGGAAGATGAAAAATCAACCATTCTAAAGCGTCTGTGAATGTTGTCGCATGTTGAAAGGATTCCACTACGTGACTTTCCCTAAATCCTAAGGAAACCAACTTGTCTATATCTTTTTTGTTTGCCATTGTCTTGTTGCCGTTACCCCAATCCAAATATTTTCTAACGGAAAACTCAATATCAGTTCTCACTTCGGAAGGAATATCAAGAGATAAGGGGGGTCTTTTTTTCTTACTAGCAGGCTGCTGCTCCTTCTTTTTGGGAGGAGATGCAATTTTTTCAAATGGGTTCGCTCTATACCTCATATCATGTATTTGCTTATCCTTTATTTCGAGCCTCTCTTTCTCCAACTGCGTCCAGTAATCTCTAAACACTAAAGGAAGCACCATTTTCATGTTTAGTCTGAGGCGATGTAGTACAAAGGTTGCCGCCATATGCCTCGCCTCGTTGGCAGTTGCACTTGGCGCACATGAAGGTACAAACTTAACTGCCACCACTTCCTTAGTCTTTGGATTCTCCCACGATAATGTGACAATACAAACAAGTCCCGTTGATTTCTTTTGCATGCTGTAATCGCACTTGTTCCATTTTTGTTTTTGGCAGTGCTCATTGAGAAGCGTAACAGGAAGCTTCCCTGTCCATCCAAAGTTTTCTCCTATCACCAACCCTCGCACAGGCTTCTTGTCTCCTAAAGCATTTTTGTCTTCTGAAGCCTTCTTGTCTTCTGAAGCCTTCTTATCTCCTGGGGCCTTCTTGTCTCCTGGGGCCTTCTTGTCTCCTGGAGCCTTCTTGTCTCCTGGGGCCTTCTTATTTCCTTTTACCATAAAGAATTCTTTAAGTGAAAAAAATTTATTTTTTTTTTTTTTTTTTTTCCTCAAAGATCAAACTGCAGAGTTCTCTTCCATAAAAGGGTTCTTCTCTTGATACTTCAGACAGAGAGAACTTATTCACCACCACACTGCTTTTAGTGGGGGAAAAAAAAAAGATGTACTGACGGGTCACTGCAAAAGTTGGGGCGAGACTATCAAAACATGTCCATGTTCAGACCATGCCAACTTGATTTACTGCAAAAGAGCTTTGTCAAACAAACATACTTGTCAAAAGAACTTGTTGCATTTTGTCTTGCCCAGTTCTTCAAATAGTTTTAGCCCAGGCGAAACTTAGAATTAACTGGGAAATAGAGAACATGGACCGGCTAATATTGACTTGACGTTGAACCCTCTTGATTGGCCAAGTAGGTCATAAAATTCTTGAAGAACCACTGAGGAAGTTTGGTCAAATTGATCTACCCTCTTTCGGATGGTGTATTCAGCATTTACTGACTCTACATAGTAAAAACAAAGTTTTTTTTGCAAAAACATTGATCAACTTCCGTCACTTGCATAGGTACTCCCTCTCTCTCCCTCTCTCTCACATTCCGCATGAACAATGATCGAAAGTTGCAAGCGGCAATATCTGTACAGAACAATTTCCAAAGTTAACTGAGATGAACAAAGGTGACCCTAAGAAAGAACAACCGATATGCGTGATGCATATGGTAGCATTGTTTCGATAAAACCGTAATAGTTATATATATATATAAAATAGCAATATTACACAAAAGAAATTGAATTAAAAAAAAAAAATTGAAGACAACAAAATTCAAGGTTTGTTTTCTGGTACTTATTAGCGAGCACATATAATCAAAGACATTTGCAAGTAGCAAAGAAATGATCAGCAAAAACCGCCTTACTCATTATTGTACTTGAATTATATAAAATATAGTGTTATGCAATAAGGGTAATGTAAATATGTAATCTGCAATCTTATTTGGAAAATCCCGCTTTTTTTCTGCATATGTTGTAAGTATCACTTTACTGCCGATTTTGTAACGATGCTGCCTGTATGATTCCAGAGAGATACAACATAGTAAAAATAACATGAGCTGACAATTGGTAGTATAAAACCATTATGGATAAATCTTTAGATGCGACGGAGCTACCATGTGCGCCAGTTGGGTAGCGAATCTTTATCAATTGAACAAAACTATGTTAAAAAATAAATCTATATTCCATGTGTACAGCTAATAAATAGAAAAAAACAATTATTTTTATCAAAGAAGTATAGTTACTAAAAAGATATTGGTACCATATGGGCTAAGATATCATTTTTGATAATCGCCTTTTATTAGTAAATCAAAATGAATCGATGGCCAAAACCTTGCATGGTATCGCCAACAATACTTACTATTAGATTTGGGGAGATAAGTAATAGATAAATGATGTAGAATAGAGAAGAATTTCAATAAAGAAGGTTTGTGTGTCTGTATCATATAGTTAGAGTTAGAGTTGATGCTATCCTATCTTACATTTCCAAGTTATTTTCCAGACTCTTTATGTAATTTGTTATTTACCAGTAGTGCAGTCCTGATTTTTTTTTTTGATCACCAGAGTTTGAAAACAGACAGACAGTTATTTCTAACAATTTTAATCTCCATTTTTTATACCTCAAACTACTAATAATTTACAACAACATGGGGCTGTAGCTCAGTGGTTTAGAGTAGGAAATTCCAATAGTACCGAATTCGGGAGGTTAACAATTTCTTGGTCGCAGGTTCGATTCCTGTCAGCCTCATTTTTTTTATATATCAAGATATTTGAAAAATTTCATTTTTTTTTTTTTCTATAGAAGGCATTACCCACTTTAAATAGCCAGGTCGCCATGTTGTCATTATCAACCTCTCCGTGCTATTATTTAATGTACCATTATTATCCACTACTTCCTTCTACTCGTAACTTTTCTTTTTTACCCTCAATATGACCGCGTTTCTCATTGTTTTTAGTCACCAGGTTAAATTCAATAGAGTAATACTTTGGACGTGGTAGCTTTCTGGTCCCCTTTAGTCAATATCTTTTTGCATCAATTTCATGCAAAAATACGGTAACAACGTTTCTAATGGTACATGTTCACTTCAAAAAGACAAGATAACATCATTTAAATAGTACTTGCTTCACTTTTCAAACAGTAATACAATTAACGAGGGCCCCAAAAAAGAGGATAATCAATGGAGCAGAGCAAATAATAATAATAACAATAATGAAAAAAAAAAAAAAAAAAAGATAGACTCTATACATATACAAATTCCAAGTCGTGCTTTCTACCTTACCTCTTATTCTTTTGCTTAATTTCTACTTCCTTCGTCGCATGTAGTTTCACAAAGTTAGGGTAGTCTGGCCTGTTCCCCATATACCCTAAGGACCAGTCGTAACTAACGACATATGCAAAAATAGAACCATTTTTGTTAAAAGCGGTCGCCAGAATGCTTCCCGGTAACTCAGGAAACAGCTTTAGCCTCTGTTTCGCGTCCTTGTCCCAAAAGCAAAAAGTGCCGTCGGAGCCTGCGGTACTGAAAGTGCCAAATATTGGATGGAAAGAGATTGCATTGACTGGGTATGCTTGGGACTCATTTGCGCGAGCACCAGTACCACCACTAGCACTACCACCGCTTGCACTGCCCGTACCCCCCTTTCTATGACACTTGAAAGAAAAACCAAACTTCTTTTGCTCACTTTCAGTGATATATTGAATTGCGCACCGGCCCTCAATAGAACCTATAGCAAATCCGTTTGCCTGGGGGTAGCACGCAACAGTACGTGTTTGCCATTTCAAGGGCGACTGACTTGTTTTGAATACTTGCTGTGGGTTGTTCAAGTCAATTATACTAATATGTCTCTCGGCACAGCCAACAACCAACAATTTCTGAGCTGAGTCCATGGCGTAGCATCTCTCGGGTAACGAAATTGTGCTAACGGGATTCGGCGTCCTCATATCCCAATATTTCAACGTTTTATCCCACGACCCACTCGCTACTACTGGTGTATTTGACGGACCGCATTCGACATAGCGCACAGACCTGACTGGAGCATCATGTTGTCCAATTTGTTGTTGTTGTTGCGAGGTAAGGTCAAAAATTTTCACTTGGTTATCTGCTCCACCACTAACCACCTTTGTACCATCCGATGACCATCGGGACGAAAATACAGGCGCGTTATGTTCATACATCGCCTTGCCCTGGTTGTTGCCTGTGTTTGTGTCGATCTCATAGATCCTCACCTTCTTGTCCCAGCTCGCTACTGCCAAAAGATCCTGTTGTGGGGAAAACGAGAGATCCTCAATTGAATCCTCTGGCGGGTTATTAAGAGTTATATCGTTGAGGAGCTCCTGCCCCGTCGCGGCACTCGAAGAGGAGGAAGTGGAAGAACCAAGAAATGACATTTGGGTTAGAAAAAGGGCTGTTGGCTTGTATATGCTTTTTGCTCTTTTTTTTTTTTTTTAATTTTTTTTTTTTAGTTTTTTAAATTTTAGTTTTGTTATTTTATTCATCACACACTCTCTAAACAACATCTATAATATAAGAACACCTAGACATAGCACCATCACAGTGAGACCCCATACGGCCAATACCAATCCACCGTATTTACAAAATGCCTCTAATTTGGTCAACTTTGTACGCGGCTCCAATGGCGTGATCAAGATGTACCCGAACAATCCAGGTAGAATAAAGGCAATGGACGTGGACCCTGTGCTTCCAACGAATGCCAACACTTTGGCGAGTGAAGTAACAGACAACGCCACCACATAGCTGAGCACGACGATAACAGTTGTTATGGTATAGAACCTGCGGCTGGTTAATGGGACATTAATGGGAGCGTGGCCAAGAGTATCGTGCGCGCCTTCCACAGGCGTTGTAGAAATAAATGATTCCTCTAACAAGCTGGGCACAGCATCTGAATTCAAACTCTCAGCATCGGAATACATCGAGGAACGGCTGCTGCTATTGACGGACCCATATTGGTTAGTCTTGGCAACGCTGTGTCTCAACCTAGTAGATTCCACTCCTTTCTTGATAAAATAAATGACATGGTTTATAGAACCTCTGCAGGGGTGACACTGCAAGGGAAAGGATAAACTCGACATAACAACAATAGACAAGTTTCCTACTAGCGTGCTGACAGATCCCGAAGGGTACATAGTGATGATATCAGCATCCACTTCATCGCCAAATGTCAAGTATCCAAATACAGCTACAAGCAAGTAGCTGACCAGCGCTGTGAGTAAGGCATTCCATATAATAAAGTTCGACTGCCGTGTCTGCGATCCATCCTTGGCATCTGGTTGTAACTCGTTTATTATGGCAAACATGTTCTGGTGACAGGTGTAGGAAAAGACAAACATGGGGAAAGAGCCCAAGGTTCGTCCCCAGCTCAAGGGTCCATACCACTCAATCTTTTCAGCAGGTATAAGGATACCGTGTCTCAGCTTAGCAATATAGTTTCCAATTACCAAAAAGATCAAGTATGCAACAGAAAACAATGCCAAGACGCTCGTGTACCGCAAGCTACTCAATTTTTTCAAGTATGACAATGGTGCAACCACTACCCACATAAACACGGTGATCCAAAAGTTTCTGTTCATCAAGATAGAGTCGGCGTCTACAGTTTTCAAACTTTCCATAATCTTTGGCATCAAGTCTCCAATGACCACCAAGTACGATACTCCAACTCCAAAACACTTGATCAGGATCGCAGAATCGAAGACTATGGATAAATTAGGATACGTGATCTGGGCCAAACTAAAGTAGGAAACAGAGCCACGCTGGCCCGTATACCTTGCAACCTTGTTTTGAAGGTATAAACCAAAGGACGACGTACATGCAGACCATATAATCAATATACATCCAAACAATAGACCATTCTGGCGTAGGCCATAGGGCATTGCGAGTATTCCCGCGCCGATAACGGTGTTGAGAATGTTGATTGTCCCCGACTTTATGGTAGCCCTCGTCATTAGTCTTTAGTAGAAGTGGATATCTTTGCTCTCAATCTTTACCCTTGTTCTTCTTTTCTTTTCTATTTTTTTTTTTTTTTTTTTTTTACTAGTGAGAAAAAAAAAAGAAAAGATAAAATAGATAAACGATAGCGGGTGCATTGCTCCATCAACGGCGGTAGAAGTAAGGGGGGGGGGAGGAGAGGGTAGAATACTCGATGCTCGGCTGTTGTTCTTAGGTATTATAATGTAGAGTTACAACTTCCAGTAGTTTGAGCCTATGAGCGGGGGAGGAAAGGAAGGAAGGCATCTTCCTTTCAACCGCCTCCATCACGTAACCGTTTTTATCCATTAGCTTCAATCCTTGGAGTGAGTTATGAGTTTTTTTTTGTTTTTGTTTTTTTTTCTTATCTGACATCGCTATAATACTAGAACTAACTTTATGTTATTACCCAAAAGAATGGAGTCTTGGTAATCCTTGGCCAAATTCATTTGGCATTTCTTCTTAGGTAATTTTGCAACTCGGCTTTTATTGCTGTCTGGACTTTTTTAATTGATAGTTCTCTTGTTCTTTTGTGACGCAGCACCAAAAAGATTCTCTGTTGCAACCAGCCCCGAACAAACAAGCGACAATGCTTAGCACGGGAGGTCCCTTCAACAATAAAAGAGAAAAATGTTCGACCGGACTTATTAGAATAAGTTGAAAAAGTTCATTACACTTGGAAATCTTATTACCCTCTTGCTATTACGCAATTTGTAGGGCCACAGCTGTCTTTCTTTCCACAGAATTCGTTAAAATTAAATTTTAGAAGATAAGATCCAAATTTGCTTTTTTGTGTGTCATACAATCCGCTCTATTTTCTCACGGATTGTGTGTTTGGTGGGAATTTTGGCCCCCACCCCCTCCCACCTCGGTTAGTACTCTTTAGGAACGAAAAATTCACAAATCTGCAAAAGAGTTGTCTAACCTGCAAATTCAAAGCCACGGAGAGTGGCTAGTGATATACCTTTTAGATAGGATATCCCCCCCCCCCCTTTTTTTTTTTTCCGTTGTTTCTCTAAAGAAGAACTGGTGGATGAATGAACACCGCCTTTGTCAAATGTTCTAGAAGTTATTCAACTAAAAGAGGTTTACTCTCTCTTGTTTCTTTTTGTGTAATCGCACTAGCCACTAAACCCCCCCTCCACCGAAAGAAAGTAAAAAAAAAGTACTCTACAACCGATACTCCTAACAGTTGTCTTTGAAAAAGAGTAGTCAGATGGCTTTGGAAAGTGCACCACAATCAAATGGGATGCTTTTGGAAATCGTTAGGTCCAAAATCTCTCATCCATATCATCCGAAAAGAAGCCACGCCTAAAAATTCTGTTGAAAACTATAAGAGTTTCGACTAACTAACTAACTCAAATCCTACAGTGCAGTGTGATCACAACTAAACCCATGTGTGTCACTCAGTTTCCTTATCCCTAAAAGAGATTTTGCGAGAACAAAAAAAAATACTCGATTTAACACTTGCATAGATACTGACTTCTTCCATAAATCCAGACAAAATATCTGCACTAATATTTGAAAGTCTCTAAATTTTTGTGGGCTTTTATACACACCACATTGAAAAACTGTCAACTTTTGAGCACTGATATTTCTATCAGTTATTATCATCTTTGCCAACCAGCACACTCAAGAGCAAACAGCAAACAGCAATCTGCATTCGGCATCAACAGCAGCGGCAGAAGCAGCAGGAAAATGCAATTTCTTAAACAAATTTGCGGTGAACAGCCTCATCAATTAGTTATGAAGCAAGTCTTATAGTTAAAAGATATAAATTTTTTTTGCTCGCTTACATGTACACTACCAATTCTACTTTTTTTTTTTTTTTTTGGATTTTCTCTCGCACTATCCTGATTTTGGAAAGGTGCCAGAAACTGAATAATTTATTACTAATCTTATTTAATTTAGTTTGCAATATCTTGATACATTGTAAAATAATATTTTTACTTTAACTCCTACAGGATTACCTGATACATGCGGCAAAGAACCACCTTATTTTCGGGGAAAGTAAAGTCCCTCTGGAAAAATGCTAGGAGATATTGCTTTTCTTCCTTTTTTTTTCTTTGTTTCCCTAATCAAACAATCAAACAGTATACCCTCATTTGTAAGAAAACTATGCAAAGTTAAGCCCTGAGACATAATTCTACCAAAGCCTGTTTGTACTGAATATAAACTCGTTCAAAACTAAAAGAAAGAAAAGAAAATAAAAAAAATAAAAAAAAACCAAAAAAACCTTCTATTCTAAAGAGATGAAGCAAACAAAAAAGAATCATCTTATTCAAAGTGGTATAAATCTAAGCGTGACATGCGCACTGGGGTAAAGCCTTTGTCGGAAGTAAGCACTATCAAGGATATAAGAGTATAAATACACATACATCCTCCCATTAGACATTTTTACAACACGAGTCGTACAAGTTTGATGGAGCGGCTTTTCTTGTCAACTGATATTACTGGTTCCTGTGTTACTGATCAACCCCCATCTGTCAACTTACTCCAAACAAACAAAAACTAATATCTATTTATTATTTTTTTTTTCTTTTCTTGGAAGATCTTAGTCGGTTATCTCAGCGGATCTACACACGGATTTTCCACGGGTTTCATAGATATTCCACGGGTTTCATAGATATTCCACAGGCTCTGATAGACATTATAGGCAATACAGTAAGGTTTGTACCCGAGGTTCCACAGGTGGAAAAGACTTGTACCATACCTATACTCCAGGGTCTGTTTTTTTATTAAGAGGTATTTTTTTTTGTATTTTTTTTTTTCTTATTATTATTTTTTTATTACCGAGCTTTTAATCCCCGATAACAATGTCATTGAGTCAGACAGAAGATCATTACCATTCACATCTGACACATGTCAAAAAGAAGAGGGTAGGAAAGGCTTGCGATTCATGTCGTATCAAGAAAACCAAATGCGATGGTAAGAAACCATGCAATCGTTGTTTGTTAGACAATAAAATATGTGTATTCACAGAAAAGAAGAAATTAAAGGAGAAAAATCATCCTACCGGATATATTGATTTGTTGGAGACGAGATTGGATATATTATCCAAGCTGTTTGAAAAGTTGATTGAGTTATCTAGACCTTATTTACCTGAGATTGATCAAATTGTGCTGCAACGACATATTAACTCCGACTTATCTTCAGACGAAGAGTATGATCAACACAGAGATTATGATGTCGTTCCTATAAACAGAGTGGTCTCTTATTTAATTAAACAAAAAGGCTTGTTGAGAAATTTGCCAATGGAATGGGAACAAGGAGCTATGATTGCCGCTAATTACGACTCAAGGAAAAATTTGCAATTGGCTTCAAAATTATTTGCAAACCACAAGTTTGGAAATAATTCTGGTGAAACTGCTTCTTTACCGGGTGATTCATCTAGTTTGAGAATAAATACAAAAGTAAAGCAAGAGCCCGAATCCCCGTGCTTGTCGCGTGCCAGCTCTACAGATAATTTGGTTCATTCTACTACCAATGCTACTGCTGATGATGATGCTGCTGCTAATGCTGCTGCCGCTGCTGTGAAGGCAACAACCGCAACTGCGACTGCGACATCTAGTCTCGATTCAGATTATGGGAACAAATATTCCAACGATGGAGTGCTATCCGATTTGAACAGTGATGATAATCAAAGTTCAATTTCACCTCCATATATGTTTGGCCAATCCAGTAATACTGCACCAGCGGCTTCCTTATTCGCATATAACAGCTTCACATCATCGAGTAAAAACTCGTCCATGACATCGTTGAGCAACAAATACGAAAACCATTCGCTATCCACTGCACCAGCAACCACGCTTAGAAGATCGTCGTCGTCCACATGCCAAGCTGGTTTAACGAACCAAAAGGTAAAGAGTAATAATGGTTGCAATGGTCACGTTCACAAACCAGTGCACCATAGTCGTATACCATCCTTGGATACAAAAAGAAGAAATAGTTGCTTATCGTCGCCAGCTTCGCTGGTACATAATGTTTTGCTTTCGCAACCACCATCAGCAGTTTTAATGCCTGATGATTATGAATCCGTTGACGAGTCTACAATTATCAATAACCCTAGCACGCAACTTCACCTACATTTTCCGGAATCAAGTTTTTATATCAATGGTAGTGGTGGTGCAGATGTACACCCGCAAACAACAACAGCTTTTGATGGCCTATCAGGTGTTTGTGACCCTTTTATGAATAACAAGAACCCATTTGCCGAGAGATATTAGAAGGTGATTTATCAAATTTCCGTCCCCCTTCATCCACCCTTTTTCATTCAATTCTTGCAATGTTCCTGTATATGCAGTTATAGATTACCTTCTTTTCTTGAGGTTTTTTTTTTTTTTTTTGCATTTTTTTTAAAAACATAGACTGATACCATGGAAACGATTTGATCAGAAATAATAACGGAATCTCTATAAAAACACGTTCTCTCTCATCACTCTCTGTTACTTACTCTTTTAGAAGTACAGGAGATTAGCCAAAAGAAGGAGCCATTATCTCACTTCCCTTCAAAGGCGGAATTATTAAACTAGTCTTTCGAGACTGGCTTAAGATCCATCAAGAGCTTGCCCCCTCCCCCCCCCCCCCAAAAAAAAAAAAAAAAAAAAAAAAAAAAATCATATATATATATATAAATATTTNGCAATATTTGCTGCTGTAATCCACTTTGCTACTTGATAGTTTAGAAAGATCTGTCAAACTACTTTTTTTTTTTTTTTTTTTTTGTTTAAAGATAAACAACTATAAGACAAAGAAAATAGGCCACTAATTATTTTGTATAAGGGCCCTCTAATCAAGTATGGTACCTAATAGAGCGGAAAAAGGGCGAGGGAGATACAAAGCAAACAAACTGTAGACTAAATTTTCCTTGAAGAAGTAGGTTATTTGCATTGTTCTTTCTTGGTTACATGTCCTTCATATTCAAGAGAAAAATACTCAAAAACACTCAAAAAAATGTGTATTCTAGAACAATATTTACATCACATAAACCTTTTTCTAAGAAGTAAAATGAAAGATACTGGAAAAGAGAAAAAGAGTTTGATGTATAATGCTTAGCAAGCTGCAGGAATTACCAGAGCGTCAAAAAATCATCCTTTTCGAAATTATTTGAATGACTTGAGAAAACAGCTCTTTTGAACATTTCTCATCTTTAGTAAAGGACATTCAGTCACCACTCATTTGCACTTATCCTATAGATCATTGGCCATTACCTATAGCACATCCTCCTTCCTGTTGACGACAATTTTAGTCAAAACACACACTTGGTAGAGATTTACTTTGTCTACAGAAATGTTCAAGAATTTTTTTTTTTTTCAGAAGAAACAAAAAAAAAACTCATACATATTTCTAATTTTGTAAAAACTATTTCAGTTTTTTGTTAGTGACCTCTATGGTTTTTGCAATACATGATAGAACCATATCACGAGTTTTTGATGTTTCACCATGTTATGCATCTTACTACCCAAACCTAAGTTCAATTATTATTTCAATGGCAATGAATTACATGATGTATTTTTCTGGAGGGATCTAGTTTGCTTTCTTATTGTAAGATGCATTTATTCCCGATAAGACAAACTTCATGATTTTCGGTTTTTTTTTTAAAAAAGTAAGAACGTCATTAATCCGTTCAAATGGGATGCTTTTTTTTTTTTTTTTTTTTTTTTTTTTTTTTTTTTTTTGAGGAATTTATTATTCGGCTTTAAATTGCGATATTCTTTTCTTGGGCTACATAATTAAGAAAAATGGGGGAGAGAGAGAGCAAAGGGGAAAGGAAGTATTGGAAGAAAAGTTTGAAGTACTATAGCACGGCTACTTTATCAAATCCTACAGGGTAATCATTACAATAATTCTTCCAAAAAAGAAAAAAAAAGCCCAAAAAAAATGAACTTGCTACAGGAGCCTAAATCATAGATAATGCTGATTCTCCAAACACATGGTTCTTTAGTTTCAAAGATGCATTTGGCGCAGCATGGGTATTGGATGTACCTAATATAAAATTTCCCAAAAAAACAAAGAAAAAAAAAAGCAAGAAAAAAAAAACGATATGGGTTTGGCGATAACTATATGTGGAGAAAAAAGATCATAACCCCCCCGTATTGGTACTAAAGAAAGCCAACACTTTCTGTAAAAGTGCTCGCAATTATCTCAATAATCGAGTTAAAGATAATCACCATCATTACCACCATATTTTCTCATTCTCTCAATGTCTCATTTCTTCATTTTCTCATTCTTTCAATGCCTCATTTCTTCATTTTCTCATTCTCTCATTTTCTCATTTTCATGGGGCATCTGTACATTCCCAATCGGTTGGTTCATAAGCATCTGGTTGGTCAATAATTTTCATCTCTTCCGCAGTCAATTCAAAGTCATTTACTGAAATATTCGATATCAATCTTGATGGTGTTTTGGTCTTTGGTAATGGAATATATCCCTTTTCCAATGACCATTTGATCAAAATTTGAGCAGCAGATTTGTTATATTTTGTCATAATCTTTTTGAGCTCAGCAGGCGGAGACTCCAATTTGTAACCATGAGTCAATGGTGCATAGGCTTCAACTTGGATATCGTTCTTCAAACACCATTGTGCCAATTCCTGACGCATACACCAGGGACTTATCTCGATTTGATTGACTGCTGGTGGGATTTTTAATTGTGACCAGTTGAACAATTCCTCAATATGGTGTTTACCGTAATTTGATACACCAATGTTTTTGATCTTGCCTTGTTGTACAGCCTCCTGCATGACCCCCCAACTTTCTAATCGACGTTGCTGGCCAGGTAAGGGAGAATGAATCAATAGCAAGTCAATATATTTCAAGTCTCCAATTTGGTCCATCATGGTGTCAATTGCTTTCTCAGTAGCTTTTTTGCCCAATTGATTATTCCATAGCTTCGTTGTGTAGAAAATTTGCGACCTTTCTACTTGAGGATTATCTCTAAGGAATAGGCTAATTCCCTTGATAACTTGACTCTCGTTTCCATAAAGCACAGCGGTATCGAAATGACGATACCCAACTTTTAAGGCTTCATAAACTAAGCTGCTAGTTTGAGAGGTGGGGATATTATAGCACCCTAACCCAATTGAGGGAATAGTGTTGCCTGAGTTTAGCGTGATTGATCTATATGACATTAGAAATGGTAAAGAAAAGAAAAGGAGTATTATGAAAAATCATGAAAAATCATGAAAAATCATGAAAAATCATAAAAGTGACAAGTGATAAAAATCAGCTTTATTATTGCTCAAGAATGGGGTAGCAATTATATTCTATTAACAACTTGTATTAGTTGCAATTGAAAACGATAGATAGACATTTCACTCAAATGCGAGTATGCGCGTAGTTAAGGTAAGGAGTCGATATCTGCAGTCGAGGCATTGAGTCGATATCTGTAGTCGAGGCATTGAGTCGATATCTGCAGTCGAGGCATTGAGTCGATATCTGCAGTCGAGGCATTGAGTCGATATCTCATTGGAGCTGAGACATATAGGCATAAGCAGTATCTATGGTGCTAGCCATTGAGTAATGAAATGAGGAGCAAAAAAAGGTTTTTATCATTATTTACCAACAACCCACCAAAAGCCGGACAAAGATCCGATTCTTGGTTTGGTGTGTGTTACTCTAATGTATCCCGATTGCTACCGGAGAGAAATATTGCGCATCAATTGGAACACTAGCGTCCTTTAAATGTAATTTCCTCGTCGTTAGTTAAATCGAACCATATTCTCTGACTACAGTAAGCCGACCGGGAAACACTATAATGTTTCCGTAAAAAGAGCGCGTGGTATATAAATTATTTTTACAATGTCATCTAAGTGGACCATAAACACCCGGGGGCTCAAAAAAAAAAAAAAAAAAAAAGAACCATAAAGAATAAAGCAAACTTTCACTGCGAGAAACTTAAATGGGTTAATTATACAAGGAGGTAACAATGCTTATGTAAGCCATAACCCAATACCTGATACATATTCGATTCCATTTTGAATTCCATTTTGGATTATATATAAAAACTCTTTTCATTTCAACAAGATTGAAATTCTTTTTCCACCTCTTCTTTTTTTTCCTTTTTAACATCAATTGATTTTTTTTCTTCTTTACAAAAGGGAATCAGAACAACAAAAGGGACAAGTACTACTCTATAACAATGGCTATTAAAATTGGTATTAACGGTTTCGGTAGAATCGGACGTTTAGTCTTGAGAGTTGCTTTGCAAAGAAAGGACATTGAAGTTGTCGCTGTCAATGATCCATTCATTGCTCCAGACTATGCTGCTTACATGTTCAAATACGACTCCACCCACGGTACTTACAAGGGTGATGTCAAATCCGAAGGAGACAACTTGATCATTGATGGTCAAAAGATTGAAGTTTTCCAATGCAAAGACCCAGCTGAAATCCCATGGGGAAAAGTTGGTGTTGAATACGTTATTGAATCAACTGGTGTTTTCACCAAGATTGAAGGTGCTAAGAAACACATTGAAGCAGGTGCTAAAAAAGTCATTATTACTGCTCCATCAGCTGACGCTCCAATGTTTGTTGTTGGTGTCAATGAAGACACCTACACCCCAGACTTGGACATTATCTCAAATGCTTCATGTACCACTAACTGTTTAGCCCCATTGGCCAAGATCATTAATGACAGCTTTGGTATTGAAGAAGGTTTGATGACCACTGTCCACTCAATGACCGCTACCCAAAAGACCGTTGACGGTCCATCCCACAAGGACTGGAGAGGTGGTAGAACTGCTTCTGGTAACATTATCCCATCCTCAACCGGTGCTGCTAAAGCTGTTGGTAAGGTTATTCCAGCTTTGAATGGAAAATTGACCGGTATGTCCTTGAGAGTGCCAACTGTTGATGTTTCAGTTGTTGACTTGACTGTCAGATTGAAGAAACCAGCTACATACGAAGAAATTGCTCAAGCCGTCAAAAAGGCTTCAGAAGGTTCAATGAAGGGAATTATGGGTTACACTGAAGAAGCTGTTGTCTCAACTGATTTCTTGGGTTCCCCATACTCTTCAATCTTTGATGAAAAGGCTGGTATCTTATTGAGCCCAACTTTTGTCAAGTTGGTTTCATGGTACGATAACGAATTTGGTTACTCTACTCGTGTTGTTGACTTGTTGGAACACGTTGCTAAAGTTTCAAAATAACTATCTACGAAATTGTAGAGACTTGAATAAGACTACGAAACTGTAAAGACTTGAATAAGATTACGAAATTGTAAAGACTTGAATAATGTACATGTTTGATACATAAAAAAATGAATAATTCAAATAACCATGTATTCTCTTTTTTTTTAGTGCTCTCTCTCTTTTTCTCTCTCTTTTTCTCTAACAGCTCTTGGTCTATGTTTTTCGTCAAGTTCACGTTCGTATATTCTCACTTTTTCCGCTGCAATCTTTCTTACGTCCTCCTGCTCCGATATCCCCCCCTCCCCCTTATATCTACTGCGGTGGTAGCACCAACCTCTCCTTTTTTTTTGGGGATAACTTTTAACTATTGACGTGTCTCCTTGGGTTTTCTCGGTTTAACTCTTTGCTGGTGTGCGCCTTATTTTTTTTTATTGGATTCTTTTTTTTTTATTTTTTTTTTATTTTTCACATCTTTTCCAATAGAAATTGTAGTATAGCGAGTTGCTTTGGTCTTCGTGTGTGAGTCATGTCGACGTCTTCTGCTCAGCCCCGTGAAACTGTGGCTAATCTGACCAAATCTAGGAAGGTACCAACAACGATTGATGAGAAATATTCCCACAACAAAGTAGCAGAAGAAGAAGAAAAAGAGGCTATTAAAAGAAGTCAATATGACGAAACAAAAGAGTCAATTGAATCCTTGAAGAAATTGGAGTCCATTTTAGCACCGCTTTTGTTTACATTGTTATCATTTTTTGTCAGATTCTACCGAATCTCTGTAAATAACAATGTTGTTTGGGATGAAGCACATTTTGGGAAGTTTGGTTCGTACTATTTGAGACACGAGTTTTACCACGATGTTCATCCTCCATTAGGTAAAATGTTGGTTGGGCTTTCCGGATATATTGCTGGCTATAACGGATCTTGGGACTTCCCCAGTGGTGAGCAGTATCCTGACTATATTGACTATACAAAAATGAGATTGTTCAATGCTACATTCTCAGCCTTGTGTGTACCATTTGCTTATTTCACAATGAAGGAAATTGGATTTTCCGTTTGGACTACTTGGCTATTCACTTTAATGGTAACTTTTGAAAGCTCTTATGTTACCTTGAGTAAGTTTATCTTATTAGACTCAATGTTGTTATTCTTCACTGTTGTTACTGTCTTTTGCTTTGCGCGTTTTAACAACTTCAACACAAGGGAGCTAGAATTTGGAAGAAAATGGTGGAAATGGTTATTGCTTACTGGTGTGTCTATTGGTTGTGTTTGTTCAGTGAAAATGGTGGGCTTGTTTGTTACTTCTTTAGTTGGAATCTACACTATTATTGATCTTTTCAGCAAGTTGAATGATAAATCGTTGTCATGGAAGAAATATGCTGGTCACTGGTTAGCAAGAACCCTTGGTTTGATACTTGTACCATTTGCAATTTTCTTGCTTTGCTTCAAAGTTCATTTTGATTTGTTGTACAAGTCAGGAACTGGAGATGCAAACATGTCTTCCTTGTTTCAAGCCAACTTGTTAAATTCAGATGTTGGAGGTGGGCCAAGAGAAGTGTCAATTGTACACTCAGTTGTTACATTAAAGAATCAAGGCTTAACCGGTGGACTTTTGCACTCGCACGTGCAAACTTTCCCGGAGGGCTCTAAACAGCAACAAGTCACTACATACGGCCACAAAGACTCAAACAACAACTGGATTTTCCAAAGAGCTAGACCACAACCATACTACGACCCAAGTGGAAATTTAACCGATATTGAATACGTTATTGATGGAATGCACGTGAGATTGATGCATCCACAAACAGGTAGAAACTTACACACACATGAAATTGCAGGACCTGTTACTAAATCCGAGTATGAGGTTGCTTGTTATGGTAATTTGACTATTGGAGATGCTAAAGACAACTGGATTGTAGAAATTGTCGAACAAGCTGGTAACGAGGATAAGTTGAGGCTACACCCATTAACCACTTCTTTCAGGTTAAAGAATGAGGTGTTGGGTTGCTATTTGGGAGTTTCCGGCTCTACTTTACCTCAATGGGGATTCAGACAGGGAGAAGTTGTTTGTTATAAGAATCCATTTAGAAAGGATAAAAGAACTTGGTGGAATCTTGAGAACAACAGAAATCAAATCTTGCCGCCAGCTCCTGCAGACTTTAAACTACCAAAGACTAGATTTTTCCGTGATTTTATACAAATCAACTTAGCCATGATGGCCACAAATAATGCTTTGTTACCTGATCCAGACAAACAAGATGACTTGGCCTCTTCCTTTTGGCAATGGCCAACGTTGAATGTTGGTATTAGGATGTGTGGATGGGGACCCGATAAGCCTAAATACTTTATGATTGGTTCACCTGCAACTACGTGGACATCGACAATTGGTGTTATTGCTTTTGCTTTCATTACGCTTTACTATCTTATTAGATGGCAAAGACAATTTGTTGACTTCCCACCAACTGAAAGATCCAAATTGAAAAAGTTCTTTATGGGTGGAGTTTATCCAATGATTGGTTGGGGTTTGCACTTTATGCCATTCGTCATTATGGGCAGAGTCACATATGTTCATCATTATGTGCCTGCACTCTATTTTGCAATGATTGTTTTCTGTTACGAAGTAGACGCATTCGCTTCAATGTTCAACAGACCCAATGCGTCGGTTTTGAACAAATTGGTATATGCTGGAATATATCTTGCTGCATACTTTCTCGTTGGTTTTACCTTTTGGTACTTTAGATACTTTTCATGGGGTATGGAGGGTGCTAAGGAAAACTGGAAACATTTACAGTTGATAAATTCTTGGAGAGTTGCCGATGATAACTACCAATAAAGAAGAAGAAGAAGAAGAAGAATACGATGATGTTGATGGAAATTTAAAGAAGAAAGGAACAGTATATAGTCATTAAACATAGAATTGAATGCACATACTACTCTCTTGTAAGATATCAGTTGGGAGATACGGTTACGTTTTGTGTCATGACAAAAAAAAAGAAAATAAAAAAAAAAGTTAAAATATTTATTTCTTCCACTTTTGATGAAGAGAGTTGTAATTCAAAGTTTCATGTTTTATCTGTATGCTTTTAAAGTAAGCAAATGATGATGATTAGAAGTATAACAAGACACAGACCGTATGTCGGGGTGATCCCTATTTATAGACGCGGTAGTCTACAACGAAGGTTTAATGTGACGGCATTGCTATCTCGTTCTGAACCAAAAAGCTTTAAGCCTTCAGCATTTGCATTCCCATCAGACCCGAAAACAACACCACTACCACTGCTGCTGCTGGTAGTGCTGCTGGTGAAACAACAACAGGATAATGATAGGGTAAGGGAGGATATTGCGGGGGGAAATATGAGTGACTTCCAAGCGACGAGACTAATACATGGCGATACCAAGAAAACAATAGCTATTACCGAAAGAGCGTTGAACAAATTGAATAAAATTCATACAGCTGATCCCAAAGATTCAGCACTACATATTCAAGTCGAAAGCGGTGGATGTCACGGATTTCAGTACAATTTGAATTTGGTTGACTTGGACAAATTCTTGGCTGAAAATAAAGACGAGGATGTTTTTGTTTTTGAAAGAGATGATGGTGAAAGAAAAGGGAGGATTGTACTTGATGATTCCAGTCTAACTATATTACAAGACTCCAAAGTCGATCATACAAAAGAGTTGATTGGTAGTCAATTTAAAGTTGTTGATAGTCCATACACCAGCACTTCGTGTGGGTGTGGTGCTTCTTTTGATTTCGATTTTGAGAAATTAGAAAGGAAGCAAGAGGAGAACTAATTTATAGATGACAAAATAGCATACTTTTTTTTTTTTTCTTTTTTGTTGTTGTTGTAGTTGTTGTTGTTGTTGTAGTAGTAGTAGTAGTAGTAGTAGTATTACCTGTGGTCTTATGCCAACATTTCGTTTATTCCCTTGATGCTCTTTGTTGAATAAAATCTAACGTCTACGTCATCATCCGTTTCCAATTTCTGTAAATTCGATAACACTTGTAAATTTATCAATTTCTTCAATTCTTCCGGATTTGCCTTTGCTTGTTCGTCTTTTGCTAAAGTTTCAACCAAGGTTAGATACGATTTAGCAACGTTGAATCTTATATTTGGCACAGCATCAGTAATCAAACTGTTGATAAACGGAAGTACTTTTTCAATGAGTATTTTGTGGTCAATCACCGGAATCAAGCTTGTCACAGCAAAAAGACACGTTATTCTAATTATAAAATTTGAATAGTCAATCTTGTCATCCTCATCGATTTTGTCGTCTTGATTTAACAACCTACTAAGAATTTCCTTTGCTGCCCACTGAGAGCCAAATATAACGGTTAAGTTTTTCAAGTTGTTCACCGCTGCTTCCCTGATGGCAAAAACAGGGTCCCATAACCATGACAAACACAACGATAACAATTCATCGTTGAAGAAGGATTCGCCAAGTTGCTCTGCTAATTTGGGTATATATTCAATTATGGCCAATCTAACTCTCCATTTGTGATCTTGCGCTAATTCTGTTATAGCCGGAAGTAAATTTGTTGATAACAAATTGATACCAATGGTTTCATTGACTACTGATAAATTGGAAATTATGTTCAATCTGACATCTGGAAATTCATCCTTCAACATGGTTAAGAAAATTGGTAATAATTTGTCAATTGTGGCTTGTCTTTCCAAGATTGGTGATAATTCGGTAATAGTTGAGGCCAATGAGGCTCTAACGTTTTCTTGTGGGTCTTGACTTAACTCATTCACCACCGGAATAATTTTGTTTAATATTGTTGCTTTTGCAGGAGGGTATTTGGTTAACAATTGGCAGAATGACGGCAACTGTTTAGCAATTGCCTTTCTCACCTCTCCCTCATGATCCTTCATCAATGATATAAACGGGTCAATTAACTGAAATAAATCTTGTTCATTGGGAGCAAAATTGGATGCAATTTTACTGAATCTATCAGCAGCTGTATATCTTACTCTCCAACTTTCATCTTTGATGAGCTTTAATGCACTTGACAAAAAATCTGAATTGAAGCTATATTCGTGGATTTTTTGAAAGAAAACCAAAATCGATATGAGAACATCAACACTAAGAAATTTAACTGAATCTTGATCATCATTGAGTAAATGCTGAAACATTTTAGAAATGATTTCCCAGTCCTCATTGTTAACTTTGTTGACATCGTTAGGCGATTTCTCGGTAAATTCTGTTAGCAAGTCAATCAAATGTGGTAAATTTGTTGCGGCGCTTCTTCTAACCATTGGGTAATCGTCAGTAACTAGTTTGAGATACATCTTTAGTAAATCTTTTCTAACTTCGGCATTAACCCTGATAATCACCGCCTTGTACAAACCGCACGAAGCGATTTTTTTCAGGAACCAATTTCCCTGTGTTAGATTAGTGATCAAATTAAGAAAGATTTTGTTGATTTCCTCTTGTGTCAACTCCAAACTGATTTTGTTTAAAGATTCAATTGCCTTGTCTCTCACCAAAGGTTCTTCCATTGATGCCAATATGGTCAAAATGGATATTAAAGGTTCACAGTATTCGTGGCCGCCAATCAAGGGGACAAAATCTCCCAATTTGGTACCCAAAACGGCAAATACTTCTTCCTCATCGTCTTGAGCAACATCATTTAAAAATGGTAATAACTCTTTACGTGTTCTTTCGGTACCTAGTGCAATAGCAATTGTGTCTAGTCTCTGCATAGCCTCGACCCTGTTTGATACATCGTCGTGTTTCAACTCATCCATAAGGAGAGCTAACGGGTATAAGTCGTCGTTGAAATTATTCATTGAATTGAATTGAACTAAATTGAATTGAATTGAAAAAAAAAAAAAAAAAAGAAAGAAAGAAATATAAAACCTTTCTTGTAATATGAAGAAAAACAAAAAAAAAAAAAAGGTTTATCCAACTGAGCTTTTCTGTATTACGCTGTGATCAATTTAATGGTAGACGGCAGCTTACCTAATGTTATAACTCTTTTTTTTTCTATGTTATAACTAGTGTCGGTTTTTTTTTTTGTATATTAAGTCAATAGGTGTTATCTGGTATATAGTTTTTGTTGTAAGTATTAATCAATCACTTTTTTTTTTCTTCTCTTTCCAAGTTGGCCTTTTTTTCTGTTGACCTTTTTTCTGTTGACTTGGTTAGTAGAGAAAGGGAAGAGAGAGTGAAAAATAGAGAGAAGTAAGGGAAAGAGAGAAGTAAGAGAAAAAGAGAAGTAAGGGAAAGAGAGAAGAAGAAAGGGAAGGGGAGAAAACTTGTAGTATGAGATATTTGACTCTCCTCTCATCTATGCTAGTTCTGTGTAGCCAGTAACTTGCTAAATAATGCTGGTGGGGGGGTCGTCTATAATCACCAATTGGTTCTATATATTCTTTAGTATTTGTCACGTGACTTTGAAAATGATATTTGGAAAGAGAGAATGCCGAAAAAAGAATGAAAAATAACGAGAGAGAGAGAGAATGAAAAATAACGAGAGAAATGGAGGAAGAGAGAGAGAGAGAAAAAACTTATGGTAGAGAATATATTAGAATGATAGGTAAAGCTGGTGTTATGAAAACTTTCGTATAAAGCGGAAAATCCCACTGCTTGCAGAATATTGATGGGTTTATCCCACTGCTTGCAGAATATTGATCCCAATGCTTGCTAAATAATGCTGGGGGGGGTCTAGTTCCATATGATTGCAATTTCTTTGGTATATATCACGTGACCTTGCATAAAGGATATCTTAACCCATTATGAAAATGATATTAAGAGAGAGAGAGAGAGAGAGAGAGAGAGAGAGAGAGAGAGAGAGAGAGAGAGAGAGGGTATGGAATGTATGAAAATAATAGAAAAGGCTGGTGCTTGCAGAATGTTGATGGTCTCTATGGAAAATACCGGTGCTAACTCTCTCTATATGTAACTCTCTCTATATATGTAACTCTCTCTATATATAACTCTCTCTATATGTAACTCTCTCTATATATAACTCTCTCTATATATGTAACTCTCTCTATATATAACTCTCTCTCTACATTCTATAAACTAGTCTCTTCCTCTTTCAACTAGTTTCTTTCGACTAGACTCGTTTCACTCGTCTAGTCTCTTCCGATAGTGTTGTTATCACGTGACTTTAAACAAATTTTCAAGCACGCCCTAAAATGATTATTTCATCAAGCGGGTATCTTTAGAAGCACATGTTTCCACTGCTCTCCCATAGAATACAGCATTATTTCACAGGTATCCTCTATATTATGTCCTCTTCATCGCTAGCCCCGTCTCCGAACTCGTTAGACATCTTAGACTCGCAAATAGACCCAAAATATAGAGATGCATATTCCATTAAGTTACACCAGTATCATTTGGAGAATCCCAATTGTTGGGAGTTCAGTATTGTTCCTGGCATGTTCAAACAATCTGATCCCGACACAGACGAATCCAAATTCAACTATTTAGATGAACATTTTGGGAAAATAGGTTCGTGGGATGCGATAGTTGAACGATTAAATCAGTTGAATCTGGAATCTTGTCAAGATGAACAATACAAGATTCTATTTCTTTTTCGTCATTATGCCGGGTACCACAATTTAGCGCATTTGAAATATGGAGACGATGCATGGAATAACTATTGGTCAAAAATTAATGGAGACGACGAGATGACTTGGGGTCCAGATGCTAATTTGACAATGGAGAGTATCGAAACAGCGAGAAAGAATAGTAAATTGATCGCGCAAGAGCTAAGTAATAATAATGCTTCAAATAAGTCATTGATCATGCCAAACAGATTGTATGTGTCGCCATTATCTAGAGCCATTGATACTTTGTACTATACGTGGGATCCAATATTAGATTTGAAAAAGGTCCAGCCCAAGATTCAAGAGAATTGGAGAGAAACTATGGGTATACATACATGTGATAAACGATCAACTCGCTCAATAATAAACCAAAGGTTTACAGGTAAAGGGTTTGAAATTGAATCGAGTCTAACAGAAGAGGATGAATTATACCAGGATGATTACAGAGAAACCGTTGATGAACAAGCCATGCGGATGAATTCGGCATTGCAAGAATTATTTTCTGAATGTGGCAAGGATGAATCTATCATTGGTATAACTAGTCATAGTGGGAGTATAAGAACCCAGTTGATGGTTTTGGGTCATAGGTCATTTGCTGTTCAAACTGGTGGAATGGTGCCTGTTTTTGTCAAAGCTTTGAGAAGAGGAAACATTGAGAAATTATGAAATACACTATCGACAGAGTCGACACTATCGAGCAGAGCGAGATAGTGGGGCAACGTCACTATTGACACTATCGACAGAGTCGACACTATCGAGCAGAGCGAGATAGTGGAGCAACGTCACTATTGACACTATTGACACTATTCACACTATCGACACGATCTTGCTTTGCTCGCTAGTCTATCAACCAACACTTTATCGACTAGATTCGTTTCACTCGTCTAGTCTTAAAGGTTTGTTGCTGTAAAAAGTCTTGTTGTGTGTCACTACCAAAGACCAAATATCTGCACATTTGAACAGTATAGATACAGGGAACTAAGCAAGTTGAAAGTACACTTTTTCAACATTTACAATACAAGCTATCAAACAATATTTAGTTGTACTTTATAAGCCTCTATTTATAGACTAAAGATGTCAAATCGGTAGCACGCAGGGTGCAACAAAACAACACAAAAAAAAAAGATTAAGCCACTTTAATTTATTTTCCAGTACTTTTGGAGTATGAGTAGTCATATTGTTGGTAAGTCTTGAAACTGAGCGTGTACCCTTGCCTTTATAGATTGCCTTTATAGATTGCCTTTACAGATCTTGCCTCTATAGATTGCCTTTACAGATCTCGCCCCAAATATTTTTTAGTCTCTCTCTGTTCAGATAAGTTTGCGAGAATATGACAATTAGTCTTGGTGGTAACAATACGACTAATTCTTTCTTTTCTCGTCTAAAGATATTAGAATTATAGTTATGGTTTGTTTACTTTGGTTAGCTATAACTAAGCATGAGAATTAGCTTTAGAGATTGGTTGGATAAGAAGAATAATGAAATAAAGTACAAATTTGTATACATGTTTGTAAAGAGTAAAAAGAAAAAAGAAAAGAAAAAAAAGAAAGAACTGTGTAAACTATTAGAAAAAGGACAATCAAAGTAGCTTTTGATTGCCCATATAGGGAGAGACCTAAGGCTGTAAACTATTACTTCAATACATAGAAATGAGAGTAAACTTTGCTTGACAAAGGGACTTATATTAGGATTCAAAATCCCAAATGTTATTAGCCCCAAAAAAAAATAAATAATATGTGTTGGTAAAGTTTCACCTCTGAAAGATTAAGAAGATAGTTCTATTTTTGCTCATAACCGCACAGAAATGTTTATCATACTGGTTTATCTGTATTATTTTGTATGATTTACTTGATAATAACTACTATTATTTTTGCAAATTATTTGGTACGCCATACACTACCCTTTTCCAAATTGGGCAGAGTTGGGGTATAGTATAATTATGTATAGGTAAATGCACAAAGACAAAAGGTAAAGAGCAATACCAAAGAGGATCAACTAAACAAGGAAAGGTAAAACGAAATATGTGTCTCTTGATCGTGTGACCATTTACTAACCCAAAACGGGGCTTAAATTTGTCACAAGTTGTTATTCTTTGGTATGCATAATTTCCTATTTTGTCAAACCCATGTGTTAGCCTCATTCTTGTTAACTTTGTTTAAATATGTTTGGTCCTTTTTATTTTTATTTTGGATATTGCGACACTAGGAAGCGAAGCGAGCTAGTGGAGCGGCACTTGATATAAAAAAGAATAGCGTTGACCTAATTTGGCCAGTGAAGGGCGCCGTTTGAATTTATAAAGCTGCACACACGGGTTTAAATGCAAATTGAAGTAAAAATTCTTCAATAAAGTATTCACACACGGGTCTAAATACAAATTGAAGTAAAAATTCCTTCAATAAAGTATTATCTTACTTGCATATATTGACCCTCTAAGATGCAAGAGTCTACCTATAAACACATAGGTTTGGGTAAGTGAAAGAAATCCTGTACTTTTTCAAGAGGTACCTAAAATGTTATCATATGCTCATATGCTCGATGAGATCCAATTAAATATGAAATTTTCAAAACTTTTTTTTCAGGTGTGAATGGTAAATAAACAATATAGAAAAAAAAATTAAAACAAGAATGAAATTCTTTGTTGGTTGGAATACCAAAACATCAAGACTAGAAGTAGTAGAGAAAAGATTTTAGACACTCGTTAGCATAAAGATATGGACTCGATAGGTTAAGGATCATAGATACTTTCTTATCTTTCCAATTTTCCTGGTTTGTTCATCCATTGTTTTTAGAAGGGGAGGGGAAGGGCGGGCAGTTTGCAACTTCAATTTTATACGCAGGACAGCTTTTTTGGTAATTTCTACAAAATTTATTTTTATTTAATGCTATTTTTCTGATACCTTCGTGTACCATACTTTTCATCTTTTCATCTTGTCATCTCCATTGCCATAATTAATAAACTTTCACTAATACCCCCCCCCCCCCCCCCCCCC